TTCGGACTCCTTACCTCTTCCGGTTCCCAAATTTGGTCCATTTGATGTTCCTCCCTTGGATTGAGACCGTTTCACTCATGTTTCTCCTCATAGTCATGTAGAACCTATTAATCCATGTTTGGGTAAGTATGGGTCCGTCTAGTTCATCATATACACTACAAGTAAGTTCCCACAATGTGGAGGCACAGAGCTACATTTCGGACTCCTTACCTCTTCCGGTTCCCAAATTTGGTCCATTTGATGTTCCTCCCTTGGATTGAGACCGTTTCACTCATGTTTCTCCTCATAGTCATGTAGAACCTATTAATCCATGTTTGGGTAAGTATGGGTCCGTCTAGTTCATCATATACACTACAAGTAAGTTCCCACAATGTGGAGGCACAAGCTACATTTCGGACTCCTTACCTCTTCCGGTTCCCAAATTTGGTCCATTTGATGTTCCTCCCTTGGATTGAGACCGTTTCACTCATGTTTCTCCTCATAGTCATGTGGAGAACCTATTAATCCATGTTTGGGTAAGTATGGGTCCGTCTAGTTCATCATATACACTACAAGTAAGTTCCCACAATGTGGAGGCACAAGCTACATTTCGGACTCCTTACCTCTTCCGGTTCCCAAATTTGGTCCATTTGATGTTCCTCCCTTGGATTGAGACCGTTTCACTCATGTTTCTCCTCATAGTCATGTAGAACCTATTAATCCATGTTTGGGTAAGTATGGGTCCGTCTAGTTCATCATATACACTACAAGTAAGTTCCCACAATGTGGAGGCACAGAGCTACATTTCGGACTCCTTACCTCTTCCGGTTCCCAAATTTGGTCCATTTGATGTTCCTCCCTTGGATTGAGACCGTTTCACTCATGTTTCTCCTCATAGTCATGTAGAACCTATTAATCCATGTTTGGGTAAGTATGGGTCCGTCTAGTTCATCATATACACTACAAGTAAGTTCCCACAATGTGGAGGCACAGAGCTACATTTCGGACTCCTTACCTCTTCCGGTTCCCAAATTTGGTCCATTTGATGTTCCTCCCTTGGATTGAGACCGTTTCACTCATGTTTCTCCTCATAGTCATGTGGAGAACCTATTAATCCATGTTTGGGTAAGTATGGGTCCGTCTAGTTCATCATATACACTACAAGTAAGTTCCCACAATGTGGAGGCACAGAGCTACATTTCGGACTCCTTACCTCTTCCGGTTCCCAAATTTGGTCCATTTGATGTTCCTCCCTTGGATTGAGACCGTTTCACTCATGTTTCTCCTCATAGTCATGTGGAGAACCTATTAATCCATGTTTGGGTAAGTATGGGTCCGTCTAGTTCATCATATACACTACAAGTAAGTTCCCACAATGTGGAGGCACAAGCTACATTTCGGACTCCTTACCTCTTCCGGTTCCCAAATTTGGTCCATTTGATGTTCCTCCCTTGGATTGAGACCGTTTCACTCATGTTTCTCCTCATAGTCATGTGGAGAACCTATTAATCCATGTTTGGGTAAGTATGGGTCCGTCTAGTTCATCATATACACTACAAGTAAGTTCCCACAATGTGGAGGTAGAGCTACATTTCGGACTCCTTACCTCTTCCGGTTCCCAAATTTGGTCCATTTGATGTTCCTCCCTTGGATTGAGACCGTTTCACTCATGTTTCTCCTCATAGTCATGTATAGAACCTATTAATCCATGTTTGGGTAAGTATGGGTCCGTCTAGTTCATCATATACACTACAAGTAAGTTCCCACAATGTGGAGGTACAGAGCTACATTTCGGACTCCTTACCTCTTCCGGTTCCCAAATTTGGTCCATTTGATGTTCCTCCCTTGGATTGAGACCGTTTCACTCATGTTTCTCCTCATAGTCATGTATAGAACCTATTAATCCATGTTTGGGTAAGTATGGGTCCGTCTAGTTCATCATATACACTACAAGTTCCCACAATGTGGAGGCACAAGCTACATTTCGGACTCCTTACCTCTTCGGTTCCCAAATTTGGTCCATTTGATGTTCCTCCCTTGGATTGAGACCGTTTCACTCATGTTTCTCCTCATAGTCATGTAGAACCTATTAATCCATGTTTGGGTAAGTATGGGTCCGTCTAGTTCATCATATACACTACAAGTAAGTTCCCACAATGTGGAGGCACAAGCTACATTTCGGACTCCTTACCTCTTCCGGTTCCCAAATTTGGTCCATTTGATGTTCCTCCCTTGGATTGAGACCTGTTTCACTCATGTTTCTCCTCATAGTCATGTAGAACCTATTAATCCATGTTTGGGTAAGTATGGGTCCGTCTAGTTCATCATATACACTACAAGTAAGTTCCCACAATGTGGAGGCAAAGCTACATTTCGGACTCCTTACCTCTTCCGGTTCCCAAATTTGGTCCATTTGATGTTCCTCCCTTGGATTGAGACCGTTTCACTCATGTTTCTCCTCATAGTCATGTATAGAACCTATTAATCCATGTTTGGGTAAGTATGGGTCCGTCTAGTTCATCATATACACTACAAGTAGTTCCCACAATGTGGAGGCATAGAGCTACATTTCGGACTCCTTACCTCTTCCGGTTCCAAAATTTGGTCCATTTGATGTTCCTCCCTTGGATTGAGACCGTTTCACTCATGTTTCTCCTCATAGTCATGTGGAGAACCTATTAATCCATGTTTGGGTAAGTATGGGTCCGTCTAGTTCATCATATACACTACAAGTAAGTTCCCACAATGTGGAGGCACAGAGCTACATTTCGGACTCCTTACCTCTTCCGGTTCCCAAATTTGGTCCATTTGATGTTCCTCCCTTGGATTGAGACCGTTTCACTCATGTTTCTCCTCATAGTCATGTGGAGAACCTATTAATCCATGTTTGGGTAAGTATGGGTCCGTCTAGTTCATCATATACACTACAAGTAAGTTCCCACAATGTGGAGGCACGAGCTACATTTCGGACTCCTTACCTCTTCCGGTTCCCAAATTTGGTCCATTTGATGTTCCTCCCTTGGATTGAGACTCATGTTTCTCTCATAGTCATGTGGAGAACCTATTAATCCATGTTTGGGTAAGTATGGGTCCGTCTAGTTCATCATATACACTACAAGTAAGTTCCCACAATGTGGAGGCACAGAGCTACATTTCGGACTCCTTACCTCTTCCGGTTCCCAAATTTGGTCCATTGATGTTCCTCCCTTGGATTGAGACCGTTTCACTCATGTTTCTCCTCATAGTCATGTGATAGAACCTATTAATCCATGTTTGGGTAAGTATGGGTCCGTCTAGTTCATCATATACACTACAAGTAAGTTCCCACAATGTGGAGGTATAGAGCTACATTTCGGACTCCTTACCTCTTCCGGTTCCCAAATTTGGTCCATTGATGTTCCTCCCTTGGATTGAGACCGTTTCACTCATGTTTCTCCTCATAGTCATGTGGAGAACCTATTAATCCATGTTTGGGTAAGTATGGGTCCGTCTAGTTCATCATATACACTACAAGTAAGTTCCCACAATGTGGAGGCACAGAGCTACATTTCGGACTCCTTACCTCTTCCGGTTCCCAAATTTGGTCCATTTGATGTTCCTCCCTTGGATTGAGACCGTTTCACTCATGTTTCTCCTCATAGTCATGTGTAGAACCTATTAATCCATGTTTGGGTAAGTATGGGTCCATCTAGTTCATCATATACACTACAAGTGAGTTTCCACAATGTGGAGGCACAGAGGTACATTTCGGACTCCTTACCTCTTCCGGTTCCCAAATTTGGTCCATTTGATGTTCCTCCCTTGGATTGAGACCGTTTCACTCATGTTTCTCCTCATAGTCATGTGGAGAACCTATTAATCCATGTTTGGGTAAGTATGGGTATGTCTAGTTCATCATATACACTACAAGTAAGTTCCCACAATGTGGAGGCACAAGCTACATTTCGGACTCCTTACCTCTTCCGGTTCCCAAATTTGGTCCATTTGATGTTCCTCCCTTGGATTGAGACCGTTTCACTCATGTTTCTCCTCATAGTCATGTGGAGAACCTATTAATCCATGTTTGGGTAAGTATGGGTCGTCTAGTTCATCATATACACTACAAGTAAGTTCCCACAATGTGGAGGTAGAAAGCTACATTTCGGACTCCTTACCTCTTCATGGTTCCAAAATATGGTCCATTTGATGTTCCTCCCTTGGATTGAGACCGTTTCACTCATGTTTCTCCTCATAGTCATGTGGAGAACCTATTAATCCATGTTTGGGTAAGTATGGGTCTGTCTAGTTCATCATATACACTACAAGTAGTTCCCACAATGTGGAGGTATAGAGCTACATTTCGGACTCCTTACCTCTTCCGGTTCCCAAATATTGGTCCAATTGATGTTCCTCCCTTGGATTGAGACCGTTTCACTCATGTTTCTCCTCATAGTCATGTGGAGAACCTATTAATCCATGTTTGGGTAAGTATGGGTCTGTCTAGTTCATCATATACACTACAAGTAAGTTCCCACAATGTGGAGACACGATCTACATTTCGGACTCCTTACCTCTTCCGGTTCCCAAATTTGGTCCAATTGATGTTCCTCCCTTGGATTGAGACCGTTTCACTCATGTTTCTCCTCATAGTCATGTGGAGAACCTATTAATCCATGTTTGGGTAAGTATGGGTCGTCTAGTTCATCATATACACTACAAGTAAGTTCCCACAATGTGGAGGTACAGAGCTACATTTCGGACTCCTTACCTCTTAGGGTTCCAAAATATGGTCCAATTGATGTTCCTCCCTTGGATTGAGACTGTTTAACTCATGTTTCTCTTCATAGTCGTGAGAACCTATTAATCCATGTTTGGGTAAGTATGGGTCCGTCTAGTTCATCATATACACTACAAGTATATTCCCATAATGTGGAGGTACAGAGCTACATTTCAGACTCCTTACCTCTTCCGGTTCCAAAATATGGTCCAATTGATGTTCCTCCCTTGGATTGAGCCTGTTTAACTCATGTTTCTCCTCATATTCATGTGGAGAACATATTATTGCATGTTTGGGTAAGTATGGGTCCGTCTAGTTCTCTTGATTTCTCACTGTTGACATAGCCTGTCAATATTGTGTTCCATGAAGCTGAATTAGGGTATGGCATCATACTTGATAGAATCTGAAAGGCATTGTTGAAATCCCCGGACTTGACGAAAGTATCGATGAGCTCGTTGTATGTGACAATGTCTGGATTTGGCATCTTATGGAAAAACCAAAGTTCCAGCTCGATTTTACCGTTCCTTGAGAAGGAAGCAAAGATGATATTCCAAGAAACTGTGTCCTTTTCTTCCATGTGTTGGAATACCAAAACTGAATCATCCATAGAACCACATTTTCCGTACATATCAATAAGACAATTACTCACTACCACATTGCCTTTCTCTATGCCAAGTTTCACAATCTTTGAGTGGATGCAGGCTCCGAGACGAGATACTTTCAGTCATGCACAAGCAGCTAAAGTGACGGTAAAGGAGAATTCATTAGGGAAGACATGAGATCTGTGGAGGCCTAGAAACAAAAAAAGTCCTTCCTGGAACCTTACCGATTGAACCTAACAAGAAACCAATGAGTTCCAAGAGATGACATCTGGTTCAAGCATTTCATCAAACAGTTGCTTGTTTTGTAAAATCTTCCAGTGAGTTGCTTGTTTTGTAAAATCTCATCAGCGAATTGGAAAGGTGCGTATCTGAGACAAGCCCATGTTCTATGACGTAGCCATTAAGCTGCATGCACAAAGAAACGTAACCATTGTTTCCGGCAACGCGGAGCATGTGAATAATAGGAGAAGCATCGTCAGGCTTGTCGCCGTTATTGAGCAATTCAACGGTAGAGTGTAATCGTCGATGACATTGGAGTGAGCCAGAGCAAGAATGATGGTTGTCCATGACTTCGAAGAGGCAGTGGAACCAACATGGCTCCTTTGGAGTAGACATGAGATGTGATAAAAACCCGAAGTTTATTCCACACAAATCTTAGCATCTGAGTTTAATCAAATTCCAATTTTTCGGAAAGAAAAAAATGAATATATTTATTTTGGGGAAAATTACAGAGCAGTTTGGTAAGATTGATGGTTGGGATAAAAAGGGATTAAAATAGACATAAAAGATATTTGGAAAGTAGCAAATATAGGTGGAATAACAATGGAGGGTTTGTTTTCTTTTCTTACGGAACCAGATATAATGAGAGAGAGAGAGAGAGAGGTAAAAAATGTTGATTTCAGAGATATTTTTCTGAATGAAGGTAAATGAGAGATAGTAATGAATTTGTTTCAATCTTATCTATATCTAGAACACATTGAATCCTTATAATGTATGTCCTTTTATGCAGTTTTTTTCCTTAGATTTCTATCAATCGGTGCTCAATCTCAGAGGAAATGATGAATAAGGAAATGATAGAGGAGATGGTGATCGTAGGAGGTTTAGTAATGGTTCAATTTGTATATGCAGGCAATTCTTTGCTCATGAGTTATTTGATGTCACTCGGTCTAGGCCCTTTCACCATTGTCATACTCTCTACATTTGCCACTTTCTTAATCCTCTCCCCTTTTGCCATTCTATTCGAAAGGTCCGTCTGATAGAAGCCAAAATAACAAGCTTCTCTTTTCTTTTCAGACATTAAAAATATTTCTTGTTTTGTTTTGGTACTAAAGGAAGCAATGGCCAAAGGATTTTAGCTCAAGGCTGATTGGTAAGCTAGTTTTAATCTCCTTATTAGGGTAAGTATCATCCTACGTTACTTTTTTTTTTAATTAAAAAAAAGTACAAAATTTGTTGAAATTAGCACAATTTTTCTATGTTCTGCAATTTTTTTTTGAACAACAGGGTTACTCTGTTCCAGTCTCTGTTTCTACAAGGAATCAAGTTGACATCACCAGCAATGGCCACAGCGATGCCTAACCTCGCTCCTGGTCTCATTTTCTTCATCGCTTGGATTGTTAGGTAAAATCACTTTATCCCGTTTTTAACAACATTGATCACGTTCTCCAAGATTCACCGTTGTGACTCTTTTGTTATAGGTTAGAGAAGATGAATATTAAATGTGTGTACAGCAAATTGAAGATCTTAGGGACATTGTTGTGCGTAGTCGGCGCTTTAACGATGAGCTTAATGCACAGCGCTTCGATCAGACACAATGAAGGAGATAATGCTTCCATATTCGAGTTTGATCGAGACAGAGTCGTGGGATGTATTTATCTTCTCGGAGCCGTCTTTGTTCTATCCACCAACGTCGTTCTTCAGGTATAGTTACCCAGTTAGTCAAAACCGGTTGTGTGCGGTTCCGTTTAGTTTCTAATAACCTCGGTTCTCACAGGCTTCAACATTACTAGAATTTCCGGCACCAATATCGTTAAGTGCGATTACGGCATTGATAGGAGTGTTAATAACAATCATTGTCCAGTTATTACAAACCCAGCACCCAAAAGTACTTACCAGTTCACTCGTTAGTATTCGTAGCCTCGTTTGTTTTTCTCTTTTGGTAAGTTTAAATATGACTTTTTCATAGACCTTATAATTAATTTGGTTTGATTACTAAAAATATTAATACCTAATGGAATTTAAATTTCGGCAGGGAGGGATGGTGAGTGGAGCATGTGTTAGCTTTAATGGATGGGCGATGAAGAAACGTGGACCGGTTTTGGTTTCCATGTTTAGTCCTTTCGCTACCGTTATTTCGGTTGCTTTCTCCGTTCTGACATTAGGAGAGTCCATTAGCCTTGGAAGGTAAGTTTGATACAAACTCTTAAGAATTACAGGTTCCAGTTAGTAACATAGTGTTTGTTCTATTATTATCCCGACCCGATATCAAGTTTAATAATGTACATTCGAAAAGAGAAGATTTACGTTTGTGTACCATCATGTCACATCTCACAAATATTAACGAAAAGTTATCACGACTTCAGAAAACCAAATGGTAAACAGATTAGGTTTTTTACTTAAGTCATTAGTTTTTGCTAAAATGGCTGAATATCAGATTGTGATTTCAAAAAATTATTGTTGTGATTATTTACGATTGTTCTTTTTTTGCTATAACAAAAAAAATGCAGTGTGGGAGGGATGGCGCTGATGTTCATAGGACTGTACCTTGTGTTATGGGCTAAAGGCAAAGAAGGATTCTCACATGAGAGTTTTGAGAGTGAGTACGATGCTAAGAAGCCTCTCTTGTCTTGATTTTGTTTGCTGAACCTTCGTCTTATATATATATATATATATATACACAAAAATAGCCGGAAGTTGGATATTGAGTTTTAGTCTCTATTCTAGTCAACATTAGAAACGAAGTAAATGGAAAATTCATATTTGTTTCGTTTTATGAGCGCTTTTTTTCCGCAGAGCATTGATAGAAGATGACGGATGAAGTCACAAATCATATCGAATAGCAATTACTTGTTTGTTTCATGGGTTACTAGGGATATCCCGGTTACGCCCGGGTTTTGTTGATTATAAATTTGTTTGCTAGCAAATTTTCATAAAAGTGGAATAATAATATTGGTTTTTTTTATGGTTTTAAGGACCCCTTCTTCATCCTTGATTCCCCGGTCACGAAAACTTTTTACCTGCAACACTACGAAAGAGTTGCGTAAGTATTCAATAAATATTTAGTGAGCCGATCATTCTGCCTACAAGCCAGTTACACAATTACTAGACAATAAATTAATAATAATAATTTTCAATAATTATTAACTAACCGGGGATAGCTACAACCAACATAACTCACGTCTATGGAAGATCCATCCAAGTAAGAAAACCACTAAAACCAAAGAGAATAATTTGATAGAAAAAATACATTGCTACCCTAAAAAGGAATGAATCAACTTAAAGAAGTGAAAAGAGAGAGAGGAGATACAGGAAGTAAGACATGTGTTTAATCAAGAGGATGGGTAAAGAGTCTAAAAGCTGATTGACCGATACGCCCTATTTGCAACCACACCTTTAGAAACTAAATGAGTCAAGCACGACGAATTTGGATGGTCTAAAGAGAGGTGGATTGCTTTGGGACAATCACTAAACTCATGGTAAACACTCTTGTTTTTAATTCAAATTTTGCCATTGCTGTTTTTATGTGGATAAATTAAGGTAAAAGCCAACCCGGATTTCCAAACGATTTGAGAGTTCTTAAGTTTTCAAACCTCTCTTTCTCTCTTAGTTTGCTTGAGGACAAACAAAAGGCTAAGTCTGGAGGAGTTAATATATCCATATTTTACATGTTTTTATTTATGTTTTTAATATATTTTCAATACAAATAATGTGACTTTTAATCCAATCAACCTTATACTTGAACAACCTCTGGCGAACTGATGGCTCCACAGAGATGTCTTTCCCTCACTTCCAACCACAGAGGTAGACAAGCTAGACAATTTCGCAGAGTGTTCAAGAGGAAGAGGTTGAGTATCCGGGTAGAGGAGAGCTTTTATTTAAGCCTTTGCAAGGTTAAACAGAACTCAAGACATCATGGGTGATGAAAGAGATGAAGTGCCGCAGGATGCTATGATGCAGATGCTCACTGCCATGAGAGAAGAGATGAGGAACATGGGAGAGCAAGTAGGAACGTTGAGGACGGAGTTTGGAGTCCGTATTGGCCGCCTGGAGCAGCCAAGGCCAGCACCTGCTAGAGGAGTACCTCTACAGCTAGGTCAACTCACGGATGATGACATGCCGGAGCTGGAAAATGATCCGCCTGATCCTCTTCATCGACAGCATCGGAGGAGAGCAGACCCTCTACAGAGGAATCCAGCTCGTGAAGTAGAAGAAAGGGGACAGAACCATGATATTAAGCTAACCCCTCCTACTTTTGCAGGAAAGTCCAATCCGGAGGTATACATGGATTGGGAAATACGTCTTGAGCACATCTTTGAGTGCTATGGTTACAATGAGCACAAGAAGGTGGCTGTAGCAGCAGCTCAGCTCAAAGACAATGCGTTCGCATGGTGGGACAGAAACGTAGCTGAGAGGAGAAGGCAACGTTTTGGACCAGTAGCCACTTGGAGCGACATGAAGTTCCTCCTGAGGTTAAGGTATGTGCCTGAGCATTATCATAGAGACTTACAGAAACGTTTCGTAAGTTGTCTCAGGGAACAAGGAGTGTTGATGAGTACTTTGAGGAGTTTGAGAAGCTGATGAACTCACTGGAGCTAGAGGAGTCCAAGGAGGCTTTAATGGCGCAGTTCATAGATGGCTTGCAAGAGAGAATTGCCTGGAAGGTGGAGAGAGCTCAATACAGCGGATTACATGAGTTACTACACCTCTCTGTTCAGGTTGAGCAGCAGATCAAGCGCAAGACGTCTCTCAACCAAAGGAACAGAACGTCTCAGCCTTGGACCTCAAGTAGTTCCAAACCTGTAGACAAAGGCAAGGCAGTGGAGATTGATTCTCGTTTCAAAGGAAAAGGCAATGAGAACTCCAAGTTCACTCGACCAGAGCAAGGTAAATCGTCAATTAATGATTCTAGAACTCGTGACATTGTTTACTTTAAGTGTCAAGGCAGGGGACATATGTCAAGGGACTGCCCAAACCGACGAGTGATGATCATTACCTCAACCGGAGACTATGAGTCAGAAGAAGAGCAAGAGGATGAGCAGAGTTTCCTAGACGATGAGGTTGAGTACTCGGATAAAGGAGAGCTTCTGGTGACCAGAAGAGTCCTTAGTGTACTTGTCAACCCCGCAGAAAAAGCTCAAAGGGAGAATCTCTTCCACACTCGTTGTACCATCAACGGCAAGGTATGCAATCTTGTGATTGATGGAGGTTCTTGCACTAATGTAGCTAGCGAGTTTTTGGTAGACAGGTTAGGTCTTGAGAAGACTAAGCACCCCAAACTGTATCCCTTGCAATGGCTAAATGAGGAAGTTGAGATGAAGGTCAGAGAACAAGTGGTGGTGCCGTTCAGTGTGGGAAGATATCAAGATCAAGTCACTTGTGACATCTTGCCCATGCACGCTGGACATCTTCTTCTTGGTAGACCTTGGCAGTTTGATCGACAAGGAGTTGTATGCATTGCTATAAGCCATGGAGACATGGAAACACTACCTTCGGTCTAAGGAGTTTATCATTCACACGGATCATGAAACTCTAAAGCAATTGAGAGGCCAGACGTCACTTAAAAGGAGGCATGCTAAGTGGCTGGAGTTCATTGAGACCTTCCCTTATGTGATCAAGTACAAGAAGGGAAAGGAGAATGTGGTAGCCGATGCCTTACTGATGATAGATTTATGTGTGTGATGTGATGATATGATATGAAATGTAAATGAGGTGGAATGCAACAGTGGTAAATGAAGATGGGATGGTATGGTGCAAAACACAATCACAATCAATCAATTTCTTATCATAGTTGTTAGAGTTATATCAATCCATTTACTGTCTTGACTTTTGATTGCAATCGTCAAGAGTCAACATTTCACATGGATTGATACCCCTTATGTCAGAAAGTAAGAAAGCAGTAAAGCAAGCAGCTCGACCAAGGACTCGAGTCGAGTGGGAACAGAGTAACCAAGCTCGATCGAGTTGAGGGTCGAGTTAGCGTAAAAAGCGATAAAGGCAGGAACTTTAACAAGCTAATGCGAATATTAGGGTCTAAGACAGGGTCTTACAATCAGGGGAAGACTATACTTAATCAATCTTGCTCTCAAACAACTTGTATCAAGGTATCTCTTGATATTGAGCTTCTCAATGCCTAGCTAACCCTTTCCCAAGGTGAAAGCTATCAATCCAAGGCAAGATCTCAGAAACAGGGGGTTAGCCAGTGAGAATCAAGCCTTGGAGGCAGTAGGATCATTGCTCAAACTAATCCATCCAACACCTATGAACTCCATTTCGAGAGCAAGGTTTATTGGAGCTCTTAGTGGACCTTTTCAAGCGATTTCCAACACTTCCATGTGGAAAATCGCCTATGACATACAAGCCAGGGGTAGTGGTCATGTAGCCTTAAGGTTTGTCCAAAAGAGAGAGATTTCTAGATTAAGACATAAGCAAAAGAGATTAAGCATAAGATCCCCTAATCTAGCCCATCTTAAACCCTAAAGGAACTACTCACTACACATGAATGAAAACACAATCAAATGCAATGAAAAGACATAAAGAAAGAGGGAGAAACTAAAGAACTTTTATTGAAATAAGCAAGTGCAAATACAAAGAAATAACCAGATCTAAGGTTCAAGAGCAAGAGCTCAAGAACACAAAGAGAGGCTTAGGTTGCTAAAAAGTAAAGATACAAAATTAAAGAAAAGCTAAAACTAAAAATAAGCTAAAGATTGTTGTCTTTTTCGTGGCTTAGAGCCTTTAAATACAAAGGAGATTAGGTTTAGGGTCAAAGGAAGTCAAGGGGGAAGCAACATTTTTCGGGTTTGACTGTTGACTTCTCAGCTCGATCGAGTTGAAGCTTGGCCGGTCGAGTTGAGGAACTCGACCGGATGGTCGAGTAGGTGGTCGAGCTGGTCTTCAAGATGACTTCCTCCTTCTTCCTTTGTGTGTCCAGTTGAGCTGCGTCCATGCACCAAGTCCTTCCTTGCTCCTCACGTCCCAAATGCTCCAAAGTGCTCCAAAAGACCTATTTCAAGGACCAAACATGCACATGTATGCAAATGCAACCTAAAACTACTATGAATGCACAAGAAGGGAAAAGGAACAAGATATGATGCTAATGGATGCTAAAACTATGCAAAAGATGCATAAAAGATGTACTAAAACTATGTAAAATGCAAGTACATCACTTACCCAGGAGACATGCGTTGATTGCTACCATGGAGGCTACGGTGATCGGGTTTGAGCACATTAAGGAGCTATACAAGGAGGATCCCGAGCTAGGATAAGCTTACCAGGCGTGTACAAAGGGAGCATTTGGTCCTTTTTACTTACATGATGGATTTCTTTTGAGGGATAAGCCCTTGTGCATTCCTCAAGTTTCAATGAGGGAGCTTATATTGAAAGAAGCTCACAGAGTTGTTATATACATCTATTTTACATGCTTTTTATATGGTTTTTATATACTTTATGCATGGTTTTCCAGTGGGTTCTTGTCTTAAAAGGTAGTTTTTATGGAGTTATAGTGCGAAGAGTCATTCTAGGTCAAAAGGTGGATTATGGAGCAAAACACAAGAAAGGAACTTCAATCTAGTTCTATACCGCAGCAGATACTTTTGGAAGAGCTTAAAAACATTCTACTCAATGGATTTCATCAAGACCTCTTTGCTGCGATGCCTGAGTAAGTTAGCTTTCCAACGCAATTGGATTTACACAATTTGGATGAGTAGAAATGGAGTTATGATCGTTTTAGTGAAGACTGGTCCAGACAGCCGAAATCGTGCACATACCGTAGCAGCGCCAAGACCGCGCACATTGGCCGACCCAGGAACTATCGTCCCGCAGTCGAGCCGCGCACCGCACAACATATTTTCCTGCACTGCACGCGGCCAAGTGATATGCCTCTATTTTACATGCTTTTTATATGATTTTTATATACTTTATATATGTTTTTCCAGTAGATTCTTGTCTTAAAAGGTAGTTTTTATGGAGTTATAATGCAAAGAGTCATTTTAGGTCAAAAGGTGCATTATAGAGCAAAACATATGAAAAGGATTTAAAACCAGTTCCATACCGCACCAGCTAGTTTGGGAAGAGCTTGAAAACATTATACTCAATGGATTTCATCAAGACAACTTTGCCGCAAGCCCTAAGTGAGTTAACTCTCCAACAAAGTGGATTCACATCATTTGGATGAGTAGAAATGGAGTTATGATCGTTTTAGTGAAGACTGGTCCAAACAGCCGAATCCGCGCAACATACTATGCCGCGCCCAGATCGTGCGCACCGGCCGACCCGGGAACCATCGTCCGCGGTCGAGCCATCCAGCGTTCAATTACATTTCCAGCATAGCGCGGATGAACACGCAAACCGACCCGGGAAGCATCATTCCGCCGTCGTCCCACTTCCACTCAGCGCCCAACAACGCGCCTGACCGCATTACTCGAACCGGGAAGCATTGTCCGGCGCTCGACCTTTTCGCTTTCCTCAGTCCACGTACCGTGCACGACCGCACTGTCCAACCAGGAGCCTAACATCCCGCATTCGGCCCAAACATAAAATCTAACCATCCGCCCGGCCGATCCCAATGACCGAACATACAATCATCCGGCCACAATCGTTCCGACCGTACTGAAGCCGATCAGGATCCGATTCTCGGCCGAAAGTCCTGACCGACTGTCCAAAAGGTCCGGTCGACCCGAAGCTAATTTTGAAGCCCATTTAACACATTTGAATCCCAATATTTAGATGACTTTCAAGACCTAGGTCTAGCCGCTCTTCAATACTTAGAGCACTATAAATACATCTTTTAAGCCTTGTAACTCAAGCAGGAGAGAGACCACAATTTACTTTATACCTTTTAATAAAAGTTCTTTGCTTGCCCTTGTTTTACTTTGATTGTTCTCTTACAAGAGAGGATCTCGGATCTGTGTTCTTATGAATATGAATTTGATTTCCTTCTCTATGTTTGAGTAGTTTACTTGTTAAATGATAAAGAATAAAAGGATAGTATTCATGTTAGCTTGATATCGATTTATAATGAATTAGGATTTTACATGAACTCTTCACTTTTACTTGTATGCAAAGCTTGATGTTGATTTGGCCAATCAGCATATGATCCTAGGTAGACTTGAGCCATGAAAGTGATGAATCATTCGCTTGAACTAGTATTTGGTGGGAAATATCTTTTAGACTGGGACAGTTGTAGGTTGTGAACAATTGAGACTCATTCGAATTAATGCTTGATTTAATCATCTAAGGACATACCAAAAGTTTAGCGATTAGATAGATTAATAAAGGGGTCGGAGCTACGACAGTGGAAAGATCATACATTAGTGTCTTGATTTCTAGATGGTACCAACTCTTAATACATCTTTTAAACAACTTTCTTCTTAGTTTTCGTGCCTGAGAGAGTTTGCGACCTAGATCTCTTGCTTCGTCGCCACCGACTGGTAGCCTCGTGCCGGTCGACGAGAAGTTCTCCTTTCTTCCCCCTTTTTTCAATTTCTGCTTCCCATGGCTTAGTTTGGCCGTTCTCCTAAGGATCCGCCAGATCCAGATCCGCAGTTAGGGATGTCTTCGGACAGTCCTCCCTCAGATCTAGAAATTCTCACTCTTACGGTGACTAATCCGGGTACAGCTGTTGATAAAGTTGTCGATGATGATGCAGCAGTGGTTGATTCCGGTCCCTCTATTGTATTCCCAAAAGGAGCTCCTCTCCCTAAGGTTGTAAATCCCTCCTCGGTCCCGCTCTCAATACCCTCTTCCTCCGCAGTTCCTTATGCGTCAAGGATTAAGGTTTCTCTTAGGAATCTGAGGAAAATGGCTCCTCCAACTTACCTCGACGATGGAACCTCGGTGGTTCAGGCTCCGGAATCTCTTCACCTCAAGGCTTCGGAAATGTGGAAAGACCACATTATTTCTCAATTTCATGGTCTTCTACCTCCTGCCTCAGTTGTTTTCGCTAACTTGAATCCCATTTGGGGTAAGTATGGTAGCATTACAATGAGGAAATTGTAGGATTACACATGCCTCATACTTATTCCTGTTGTTCCCACACGAAATTGGGTATTGGAGGTAGGTTACTGGCAAGCGGGAAACTGCGGATTTAATTATTTTCCATGGTCTGTTTCAGCCTCGCTGGAGTTGCCAGAATTGGTTTCTGCTTCTACTTGGGTGGTTTTGAAGAACGTTCCTCCGATGCTATATTCTCTGGATGGAATCAGTGTCATAACAAGTGCAATTGGCGAACCTCTACATGCATAAAATTCTAGATTGGATGTGGTGAATCTAGCGTCTACGAAAGTAAATGTGGAAATCATGCTTTATAGTACTCCTCTGGAACCAATTATAGTAAGAGATACAATTGGAAATTTGGCTAAAGTGGATGTGACTTATCCGAGGCTGCCTCCTAAATGTGTTAAATGTCTCCGCTTTAGACATCTGATGAATAGATGTCCCTCTCCTCTGATAAAAACGAAGCCGGCAAAAAAGAGAACATCGTTTGTCGCTTCTGTAGCTCTGAATCCAAATCCGGATCCCAATTCTTCGCTTCCCTCCAATCTTGCCAACCCAGCTGAAGTAGTGGAAGAAGAGAAGGTTCCAGAAAGTTCTAAAAGGAGACAGAGATCGAACGGAAGGTCTAGAGAAAAGTCAAAGGCTAGATCTGTTAGCTCTCCTCCGAAAACAGCCTCTTTCCCCACAATTCAGACTCCTTTACAGGCCTCAGTGGTGGCGTTAGAGCCAGGGCAGAAAGGTACAGGATATAATCACAAAAAATCTTTCGCATAAGTTGTTGTTAGTTTTCTGATGTTGAGTCAGGTTTTACCAAACTCCTAGACCTCTGCAAGTGCACAGATCGCGGAAGTATGGGTATCGAACACAAGGACTGGCTATTGAGTACACTTTGAAACTATGGATTTTGGATCAAGCTAAAACAAAAGTATGATTGAGGTTGTAATGGTGAACCGAACTAGCAAGTATAACGAGGTTGTAAATCAATAAGGAAAAGCGCTAGGTCATAGGGGCTATCGCAGAGAAGCAAGCAATGATCAATGAAACAATGATAGATGAATTGATTAGGGATTTGGGATATTAAGAACCGTCTAGAACACAGATCACGAATATAAAACCATTCCACTTTCGAGGCTCCGGCTCCTTTGTTAATCTACCTAGTCGCTAAACTTTTGGTATGTCCCTAGGTGATTAAATCAAGCTTTAGAATGAATAGGTTCTGATACAGTTCACTAGATTATAGTAGATCAACTTTCGCAGTCTAAGAAACCTAGCTTGTCAAAGAATATGTCCGGCGAATGATACAACACTGTCGAGGCTCAAATCAACCTAAGATCGGATTACTAGATGCGCGGTAAAGCAATCAGCATTAGTTAAGTGCACAAGACGAGACAAAGACTCTAATATAATCCCTAGCTAATCATCGAAATCAAAGATCATGCAAGCAACTCATTGAATAGTAACCCTAGCAACCTAACTAGTGGATTACTCAGACATGATCAAAGCAAACACACATAGAGATGAAGAAAACATGATTGCAATAAAACTTAGAGTAGGAAATCGAAATACAAGGGCGGCTCTCTTTCACAAGAGGCTAAAAAGCTATATATATAGTGCTAGGTCTTCAGAGGCGGCTTAGGGTTAAGCCGGGCTTGAAAATACGTGAAACGGGCTTCAAAACGGGCTTCGGGTCGACCGCGGCGTTGGACGGTCGGTCGGGACGATCGGCCGGACAATCGGGTCATGGCCGCGTACGATCGGAACGGTCGTGGCCGGACGGATTCGTGGTCGGCCGCTGTGGTCGGACGGATGAAGTTGGCCGATGTTTCTCGGCCGGACGCGGGACGTGGCTTTCCCGGCTCGGACGGCGCATCGGCCGTGGTACGTGAGAGGTTGCGCGGCCGCGAGGCGTTGCTTCCCGGCTCGCGCGGCATGGTCGTGCGCGGCATCGTTGAGTGGCGTGGCGTGGCCGACCGCGGGACATTGTTTCCCGGGTCGTGATGCGTGATCGGCCGATGGACGGTTGAACTTTGGCCGAGACTGGACGACGGATTGATCTTGGCCGAGCGCGGAACATTCGTTCTCGGCCAGCCGGACTGCGGCTTGGCGCTGTTCTCGATAGAGCCGTCTGGACAGTCTTCACTCTTTTGGTTATAACTCCTTTTCTACTCATCCAAATGAGGCCGTTCCAGTTGCGTTGGAAAGTTAACTCAATCAGAGCACGCAGGGAACTGGTCTTGATGAAATCCATTGAGTAGATCTTTTTCTGGGCCCTCTTAAAGTTGATGCTTGTGCATGGAGCGGCTTGAAGTGCAAATCCTATGGTTTTGCTCCAAAATGCATCATTTCACCTGTTTAGACTCTAGACACTATAAACACAGTAAAACTACCTTTTTAGATAGAAAACCTGCCAAAAACCATTAGAAAACAATACTAAAACAGTATAAAAAGCATGTAAAATAGAGGTATATCACTTTCCGCGTGGGAGGGAGGTGCCGAAAGCTTAAAGTTCTCTGGTGTCATCGGTTCACGGTTCAGATGAATTGGAGGTTGACAGAGGAAAATCAACAGCTGTCTTAGATAAGGGTTACACTCATGACCGAGAGGAGCATTTAGCCCATTTGACTAGATCGGGAAGAAAAAAATTCAGAAAGGATATGGGGAAAGCGGCTCTAGAGGAAGTCTCGCCGTTTTTGGATAAGTCTCTCTCGAGGTTTCAGGTTCAAGGTATCCCCTTGAGTGCTGAGTCACACCTCTGATTTCGTGCTCTCACCCCCTTTTTGTTGTATATAATGAGGGTTTTAGCTGGAATGTTAGAGGCTTGAACAGCCATTCTCGACAAGGTGCCGTCATGAAATGGATAGGCAATAATAAACCTCTTTTAGGAGGGATTTTGGATACTCATGTTAAAGAAGATCGGGTATCAGTGGTGTTGGCTTCTGTTTTCCTGGGTTGGAGATTTGATTGCAACTACTCTAACTTAGAGAATGGTAGGATTCTGGTGGTTTGGGATCTGCGATATCGGTTATCACTTTTAAGAAATCAGCTCAGTTCATGCTATGTGGTGTTCATAGTCCGACAACAAACTCATCCTTCTGTGTTGCGTTTGTCTACGCTTTCAATGAGGAGATCCAGAGGAGGGAGTTATGGCAGTACATCTGTTCCATCAGTCAGGTACCTCGGCCTTGTTCTGTCCCTGGTAACTTATGGGAGACTTTAACCAAATCCTTCTTGCCACAGAACATTAAAGTCGAGAACCTGTGTTTTTTTAAGCATGTGGGGTTTACCTGAGTTGGAGATCTGAGTTGCAAGGCTGCCGTGAGATACATCAGTGGACCGAAAATTGATTCCCTGAGCATCTCTAAATCGGTAGTAACTGACTTTCCAAATATGCATCTCGTGGATTCAATTCACGACATGATTAAAACATGATTCTAGCGTCTAATGGAAGGGAGTGATAGAGAAGCTTCTGGAACTGAAAGAGAAACGTGAAAAAGGAGAAAGAAACAGACATGGTGTTCGTGAGAGAAAAGAGGAAAGTTAGAATTCGTTTTTTGCAATTTTCTTGAACATTTCCCCCCAAGAATAGTGGGATTTTCTATTCAGAACAATCTACTATATTATTTGCGAAGTTATAATTTCATTTCGAGCAACCACATTTAATCTCAGCCACATAATTACAGAACTACCCATGAAAATATTGATAAAATCTTCAATTTTTTTTTTTTGGTTATTTTCGAATTTGATTGTTCATTAAAAAATTTAAAGATAAAAACCCTAACTACCATATTATCGCACCACAAATTTGGAACAAAAAAGAAAACAAATCCTAGGTTTCTTGACCGACTTTCTCCTATATAAATAGATACAAATAAGCAAAATCCTCAGAATTTACATTTTTTCTTTTTTGAAGTGAATTTTAAATTCTGAGTTCTTATTTGTTCATCTCATTCTCGTGTATGTTAATTGTTATGGCTAGATCTGAATTCTATTAGCTCTAATGTTTAACTAATTATTCATTATTTCCTGCATATTTTACCTAAATATCCGCATCTAAATTCTATTTCTCTCCCTTTTGGAACAGTAGACACATGCTTTGTTAGCGGATGGAATCACGAAGATCAAATATGGTACCAACCATATCTATACTATTATTTGCGAAGTAAAAACGCACCAGAATCATCCTCACTAAATATTACCCCAATGCCCTCAATGAATTCGCCTAATTTTGCCTAATGACATGTCTAATTGCGTCTTTCCGTTAATATGCTAATTAAAACGAATTAATGTAATCGGAAAAGTTAAACTTCCTTTTATCTTGGTTAGGAGATAATCACATGTGGTTGGGAAAGATATATTCATAAAAGGATAGTTTCGGATTCGGTTGCGGTGATAGACTCGGATTTTCATTTATCGGATCATTGATATTAATTTAATTGGACGGATTATTCGCATAAACCCTAGCTCACGCTTCCTATATATATCGAGTAGCTCTCATATCGTCTGCGGATATGTTTTTGGTTCTTGCTTTAGCTGTCGCCGATATATGATTGAATTATATCTCATGTTATTTAGGTATTGTGCAGTCGTTTATGCTTTTTGTTTGCATACGGTTGAGGTTCTAACGACGTTTGTTTTGTCTTTGCGCAGCTATGGTTATGGTCAATCCGGAATTTTACAGCGTGTTTTGTGCAGAAGGTTGATGCATATACAAGTAAGTCCCCGTCCGTTTATGAGAGACAACCCTAATTGTTCTTCAATAAATATCGTTTGGGATTCTCTCATAGTGGATACTTTTTATTTTCTTATAGTTTTAGTCAATAGGTTTTTCTGCTCTACTTTTCTATTATGCTTAGCTTCATAACCCTAATCATTGGATTATGTTTTCTTTTATGCAGAAGGTCCATGCATAGACAAGTATGTTCCTATATATATACTTCAGGTAGTTCCCAGATATGTTTGATGGTTCTTGCTTTAGTTATCACCCATATATGTTTTAGCTATGATCTCATGTTATTTTAGGGTTTGTGCAGTCGTTAATGTTTTTCGCTTGCACATGGTTCTGAATTTGTTTGTTTCCTCTTTGCGCAGTTAGGGTTATCTGCGGTATAGCGTCTTGCGGTGTGTTGTTTTGTAAGTTTCCTACCACGCTTCTTATATTTGTTCTGCATCGTTTTGGTCTCTTTTCTTTGATCTGAAAATCTTGGATATACGTTTGTGATTTTTTTGTAGATTCGTCAAAAGAATCATTTGTTCAGAGTCTGATTTAAATATGCAAATCGAGACGCACGGTATATTTAGTTTGCTTTAGGTGTTTTGGTTAGATATTGGTATTTCTTGAGGGTGATCTTCTGCGCTGTTCGACTCATATCTCTTGGACGGTAAATGCTTATATCACGTTTCTCATAAGTATTTTATATTGTTTTCGGTTTGGTTGTATGTTATTAACCATATGCCTATATTTCATCGACCGACGTTTTATTTATGTTTTTCATATTATATAGGGATTCCTATTCTTCATGGTTTCCGCAGAGTTTGTCTGTTTAGTTTCTTGCATAGATAATTAACAGTGTCTATTTTTCCTTTACCCAGATTAAACTGATCGTCGCTTAGGCGTTTTATCGTGTTTCTAATGTAGTATCTATGTAACAGTGTTTATATTTACTTCATATTATTTTGATCTATTTGTTATCTTCTTCTCGATTCGGCTTATGATGCATTGAATGTGAAATATGCATGATATAGTTTGATATGTTTCCATTTGACAAGGGTTTTATATTTTCATGTTTTGTGCATCTATTGGTTGTTTAATTACCTGCATGGAAACTCATCGATAGTTTTTTTAGCGTTACGCAGGTTAATGCAATCGTTGATTGGGTGTTTTATCATGTTTTTATGTAAGTAACACATTGTCTATATCTATGGCATATTAGTTTGGTCTATTAGTTGGTCTTATTGGACTATAATCCGAAGTTCGTGTGTCTATTGCAGGATCATCAAACGAGTCGTATGTTTTGTCCTTCGTGCGAGTGCGTTACTTGGCTTCTAGAACTGATTCCCGGTGGTGAATGTAGAACGAAGTTGATATTGGCGGACGAAAAGGTATTTGTTACAAGTCTCCGTTTTTGATTAGGTTTTTCGAATAATAGTATATAGAGTGTTCACTCTTAGAAATTTTATATCTTTTTCTTTCTAACATTAAAGGGAGACAAAATAGAAGCAACGATTGAGGAAGCCATGAGGGAATCTATGGAAGCGGAGATTGAAGAGGGTGAGTGGTACGAGATTTCAAATTTCCAATTAAAACCTATATTCCATATGGTTTTGGTTTCAACAAATAGTTTCTACTTGGTTTTCGATGGCAATTACGTGGTTAAGAGTATCGAGCCGGTGAACCAAAATAGGCGATTGGTAATTCGTCAAACTATGTTTAGTTTCATATAAACCTCTTATGCCGGATATATTTTTAACTTTGGACTATTAATGAATGTTTCGTATTGTAAGATCTCTTTGGTGCATTGATTTTTGTTTACGACTACAAAGCTGTCAAGAGAAATTCTAAAGGATTTGTTGATAGTTCTGACAATATCACGAAATTCAGATTGAGGGACGAAGAGTGGGTATCTAAAATTATTATTGCGCCAGTGATTGGTGTGTCGTCTTTATACTCGATTTATGTTTTAGGAGAAGGGAAATTATTTGTGCCGCTTTCGGGGATATAGCTGATGAACTCTAGGGTAACTGGGAGACTGCTGATGAACTCCAGGGTAACTGGGAGACTGCTGATGATTTCGTTGTAGCAGTCCTTAGGCACAGGAAGATCTATTGGGATAAAGGTAATCGTTGAATTTGTATACGTCTAATTTTAAATGTTTACCGTAATCTTCATATGCTTACTGTATATTATGATGAATGTCGCATGTACGTATTCCTTATGTTATTTCGATTCCAAAAGTTTCTACCATTGAGTTTGGTTCGAAAGTTCGTGAGGTAGATAGATTGCAGTATATCTAAGTATTGTGTTTTATCATGTTTGTTGTCTCTTATCTAAAACTAGAAATCAGTAAATGAAGAATTATATTAATTTCAGACTTTGTTTTCTACCTGCGTTTCAAGATGTAGTCAAGTATCCAAAGATTTGAATTTCTCTTTTTTTATTTATCTGATTGTCGTTTCAGTGAAGACAACACGTTAATGTTTAAGGATATGTAATTGAGTATTGTATGTTAAGTTGTTGTGATTGCTATCATGTGTGCTTTCAGACATTTGTGTTATGAGAATACCAAATTGTTTAAAACCTTCACACTATCAATCATGCATATTTGTATGTACACTATGCATCGTGCATATACAAATATGTATATTATTATCTATTCGGTAAATATCCAAAAAATAATATTGGAACTAAAATATATATTTATTCTTTCTTGAAGCATTATAGCTTCTCATAAATCTAGAAAGAATCTAAAAACATATTTTAAACACATAAATCTACCAGTTTATAGATAAAATTATTGATGGTGTTTAGTTTTAGGTCAATTCTGAAGCTAAATAATCAAGAAAAACACATTCAATCATCATGGTGTCTAACGCGATGGTAGCGGACTTGCATTCGCTGATTAATAACATGATGTTAAGAGTCATGGTCTTAAAAAAGTGGGTTGATGCTGGTCCCAAAGGTGTTGAAGGGTTATATGTTATTTTCGTCGATGAAGCTGTAAGTATTTTAAACAGAGTACTCTGCTTTCAATCGTTCCCTACAATCATCACTCATCAATTGTTTATCATAATCGATATTATACAAACACGAACTTCTCATTTAGGGAACAAGGATCCATGCGTCCATAACAAGGAAAGACTGTGTTAGCATTTTTGATGATCAAATCAAGCAAGGAGAATGGTACAGTCTATCCAAGTTCTCCATCGTCGGTTCTCCTGTTCGAAACCGAACAATAACTAATGAATGGTACATTATCATGGATTATAACACTAAGATCCAAAACATACCAAGAAGGTCATCGAGTCATGTAGTTGAACATCATCATTTTACATTGGTGCTGAATTTGCGTGCTGATTACGCATTTCCTATCAGTAGGCCCTCTGATTTAAAAACTCTATTTTGTTTAATACAACAATATTCATAATATTGTTGGGTAACTTTAGAGCATCTCCATCCCTGTATCTAAGGTGGTTTTTAAGGTGGGTTTCAACAATTAAAGGCAATTAAGAAAAGAAAAAAGAAAATAAAATTGTGGAACCAGGTTTTAAGCAAGAATCCTTTTTCTCTCTAAAAACCCGACACGCGTCGGCATCATATTAAAATCGAATTTTCTGTTCTCTTTATGTCGTTCTTTCCGTCGAATCTGAGTTTTTATTTGTATCTTCATCTGAGTTTGTCTCGTCCAGAAAAGGGAAAGCACACACGCGACACGACAAAGAAATCTGTAGTGCTCTTATCAAAGATGAAATTCGAAGAATTGGCTTTAGGTTCATATGGTTATTTCACGAATCGATCACTGTTTCGATCTGCTAATTGGTTTCTGGTTGATCAAAAATTGAAAACTGAAATGCTTAGTTACCTTATCTCATCGTTTGCAGCTTAAAGCCTCGCAGAATTGAGGGAGATACTCGCTAAGTTTATGATCCTCAATTCTATTCTTACAATTGAATTATCGGATGTGAACAAGATGATTTCATATGTTTATTTTACATTCAACTAACCCTCTGAAATTTTCGGAACTCAATGATTCGTTTCTACGGTGTGTTGATAATTCTACAGGTAATTGCTGAGAAGTATTGCAAAACAGATCTTCCTGCAATCGAGAAAAAGAAGTAAAAATTTCATCTTGACTTGTATTTTCAATATCTCTTTGTCATAGTTTTGCTTAGCTCATGACTTGTTTGATATACTGTTGATCTGGTTTCAATTTATGCAGTAACTTTGAAATTACTCATGCACATGTTTAAGAGTTGAATAGCTGATGAATTTCAGAGTGATCACTTTTGTATATATATATTTGAGAATGTTCTTGGAAAGAAACGATCTGAGCTGGTTTCTCAAATGTATAGGTTCTTAGTTCCACGAGATATGTCTGTTGGTTAATTCATCTACATCTTGAGTGCTAGATTACAAATGTCTCCTCGTAAAGCATTATTCGTGTTCGTGAATAACACTCTGCCTCAAACAGGTGAATATCTGGCTATCTGCAACTGTGTTTTTAATTGTAGGGCTTTCTAAGCAAAAAGTTGTTTAATGTGTTCTTCTGACTCTTTCTCTCTATGCAGCTGCTCTAATGGATTCGGTCTACGAAACTCGTTTACATGTGCTATAGCAGTGAGAAAACCTTCGGTTGAACCAAATGAATGTTTGTACATATACATGAATATATGCTTGTTTGCTACATCAAAAGACATAAACACACTTGTAAGCTTATGTGACTGCTGCTTATTTTATCCATTAAGACTTTGTTCATCTATGCAAAATCTCTTCTATTACAATCTCATTTCCAAATTTTATGTTTTTGTGTATCATGTTTAAAGTTGTAAATTTTGTTTAAAAAATTAAAATAATTTGTTAAGAACCAAAGAAAAAGTTTTAGGGATAGAGGAAGAAATAATTTAGAAACCATCCAAAAGTTGTTAATGTAAAAATTAATAATAAAAAATAGTTTAGAACCAAAATTTTGGTTTTAGGGATGGAGATGGTCTAACAAGATCGTTTTCAAATATAGCTTTGTTGGATGTAGTCGTTACTGTTAGAAATCTAAAGACTGTCGAGGATGAATTGTTTTGTGGATGACACAAAAGAAAATGCAAAATCGATTTCCGGATCCGTGATCTTGAGTAAGTCCTCTAATAACAAAATATGTATTTTAACTGAACATATGTGAATTTCAGGGTTCTGATGGTCAGTTATTTTTTTCTCGGAAATCGTGAGATATTATGTTCTACAACTGGAAAGCTCGCTAATGATTTCAATGAGTTGTACCATAGAATTCCAAATGCTGTCGTAGTATGTGAATTAACAGATTAAAGAGCTGTCTCGACCAACCGTATGGTTTATATAGTTTTAAAATATTTGCTGAGTGTTGATGCGCATCGATTTAGCCATAATTTATATTGAACTAATGACGTTCTGCTATATTTTTAGGATTGAATTATGTTGTTGATGGAGGTGGCATATCAAGATTTGAGTTTGATTCACGTTTCCCTCTGGCTCAAGAATTGAAGGAGAAGTGAGTCTCGAATTAACAAAAAGTTTGATACTATAGAGATTATATAACTCGGTACTAATATTTTTTCTTCCGCATCATATAACATGTTTATAGTGACATCCCTTCATACGAAACTATCACCGAATGACGTTTACACCGCTGAAGCATATATGATCGCCAATTATCGCGTTAGATGAGGAGATAGGGATTTATTACACCAAAATACTAAGGAGTCGTGATGTCACATTATTCATACTTTGGCCTTTTTCGATTTTCTAGTTATTATTTATGTAATCACTTATCATATCGTGATTTTATTCTCTAATTACTTCTTCTTACGTCTCTAGACATAATTTATTCTTTATGAATGAATTGATTTATATATTTGCACTTAATGCTGGTGTTTTTGAATCAGTTTACATTCAGATCATTTTATTTTGTGAGGTAATTACAGCTATGCGAGGTAGTTCAATTGGGCATATTTTGTGATGAGACGTGATAAACGTCTTCAACATGAATAAATATTTTAGTGAAAAAAGTATATATGGTGTATTCCGTTTAGCACGTATTCCTGTTGAAATTCCAAACTTATTATAGTTATGTTCAGTGTGATTTGTAGTGATATAAGCTAATTGTTTATAACGATGTATGTCAGCTATATTATTTTATTTTATTTAGATTTTATTTCTTATTTAAACAGTTCTTTTCATATAAACGTTCATTTTTCAGTAATTCACAATTGTTACCTATATATTTACCATCATCAGTTCTGGTCAAATATTGTGTATCAGAAACTCTAGTATCGAACACTGCCTCTACTGTCAATGCTGGCTTTCTTGAGTTGTCGCATCCTTAGTTATTTTTAGAATAGTGGCAGTTTTTCGTTGTATGTGACTCTTCTGCTTACGAGACACATGTAGTCAATAGTTTCATAGATTTGTATGATGTTTTTAATGGAATTATATGAACGGTTCGATTAGGCTTTATACATACATATTCACACGACTTGAGAACTCTGGTTTTCTTTTATATCTTTCACCCTCCAAACCATCTGCCTCGCAATTCCAATGGAGAACATGCTTCCAAGAACCCGAATAGATAAGTTATTGCCTCATACCATTGGATGGACGATATACGTGATGGTCGTTCGACTGTGGACACAACCTGATTATAATGGATATAGCATAATAAAAATGATATGTAGCGACGCGCAGGTTGTATTACATTATTCTTCTTCCTATTTCACAATTCTATTATGATGTCGTTTGTTTTTGACTTTTTATGTTGTAGGGCATAAAAGTAGTTGCTACTATTAGACATAGAGATGTTGAGAGATATGATAGCAGGATAAAACAGGGCGATTGGAAGATGCTCTCGATGTTCAATGTGATTCTGGTTGCTGGTGATGTTAGATATACAAAGCACTAGTGTGAGATTGTTTTTAGAAGTGCAACTTTGGTCCGTGATATCGAGCCAACATCTAATAGCATTTTCTTGGATGCTTCGAGTATTACATATATTCAGCATTTTATGGTTGAAGAAGACGTGTTGGCAGGTTGGTATGTTGTATATGAATCATGTTCTGAGTACTATGATGCTGTCAGTGATATACTCTTTATCATAATTTTTTTTTCAAGATGTAATTGGATTCGTTGCTTGCGTTGGATGTCTCAGAATGAACATGGGTGGTTACCAGACGTTGAAGTTCATTCTTATAGATGAAAAGTGAGATTTATGTGTGTTTCAACAACGTGTCATAGGTGTTATAATAATATACATGCATCATTACAATCGTATTCATAGGCGGGTATTTATAACTAAGTTTTTATTTGTAATTCAGTGACTATCTCATTGAGTGCATTGCATGTGGTTCTATTGCTGGTAGATTCTCTGACCTATGGCCGGGCAGTGGAAATATTACCAGAATCTGTCTTCTAAGGTTTTGGAGAATTGAGCAAAGACGTGAGATATTTTGTTTGCGTTCAATTGCGTTAGTTTTACTAACATATAAATAATGTTTTCGTGGGATTGTGACGGTGGTTTAGCGTAATTTTCCACAGATGGAACTACGAATGATATGATCCTTTGATCTTTTCTCGGGTGTTCCAGTTCATTTTTAATCCAACTGTACCAGAAGGCGGCGGAGTTTAGTGATAAGGTATCAAACTATGGCTGATCAAGGATCGATTGTCGACTGAGAACGGTCTAAGAACCATTTCATCATACCGAGATGCTATCGGCGATCATTGACAATGTACTAGCCAATCTTGGTTTGTTGGTAAAATAACATTCAGTGGCAACGGTGACGATGTTGTCTATATACGTCTGAATCCGCGTTGTTCAAATAATTTGAGGTTCGTATTATATATATCGAATGTAAAATTAATCAACCTATAAAATTATAAAACCAGAAGATCAATTTTCGTATCATAAATCATGTGCCATTAATGATTAATGTAGATATAAATAAAATATGATAGATAAAAACAGCTCGAATTCTGTTTGACACTCTTTTGCGTAAAAAGAAAAACCAAAACAGTCAAGTAAACGATACAAAAAAAAGATAGATATCATGACTATGAATACTAGCGTCATCTTCCAATTTGCATCATCTTTGTTCTGAGCCAGACCGAGTGCAAAACACGCATCTCTGAAGCTGTGATGAACAACGCCCCCACGGTCCTTATATCCTCAAAACTAACCGGACCCCTAACAACTCCTAGCAATACCCTTAGATAGTAAGCCTCTCCACAACGTGGTGTTACGTGCAGAAGAACCATGATGCCTTGCTTTGCCTCAGCCTGGGTTTCCATGCTTTTTTTGTTCTGACCAAACCCATCGCGACGGAAACTCTGTGTAGAGGAGTGTTCTTGCTTCGGGGTTTGATGCGTTGCAATCCATCCAAGACGTAAAACTGTTCTTTGCAGGCGGTTTCACAAGTTCCGGATCGTCGGCCTGAAAAATAATAAGGTTGTCGCATGGGAGATGAAAAGGTAGTACTTGCATCTTGTGGTAGCGTAAAGAAACCCTAAATAAAAATAACAGATGACGAATGAATGATACATCACCGTTCCTATATATATATACATATTTATCTTCTAGAGAAATCCTAATCATTGAATTCAAAGAAAAAAATAGAAAACGATATATATGGACTATGGCTAGACTTAATAATCCTTCCGTTTATTATATATAAATATCTATATATAAATTTATAATATTCCGAAGTAACAGAAAGATAGATTGGAGGTTCGGGAGATTATCTTAAAAAGTATTGAACCTATCAAAAATTAAGGAAATGTACCATATATCACACTAAAGCGTATTTTACAATAATTATAGCATATATATAACTTATAATCATAGTCCGCGCCGTTATGATTACTGAAAATATTCATAATATCAAATCAGATTTTAATGTTCGATATAGAACATATATGGTTCGACTCGGCTATCATCACATTATCTTTGGTTAGGATTTTAATATCAGAACTATTTGTGACTCTAATTATATTTATAATTGACATATAATTAGATTTTACTTTTGTTAAGTATATATTATGGTTTATAAATACCTATCTCATAAATAAACATCATAGCCCGCACCGTCAGGCGTCGGGCATCCATCTAGTGTTTCTATAAAATTTTATATTTTCTCTGATTATTTCAGAGAGATTCCGTTTTTCCAATCTGAATTTGCTTTCGGGTTATTTGGGGCTAGAATTCTATAAATTTTTGGATATGATCTGTTATTCTTGGGATAATGCTAGGTTAGATTGGACGCTCAGTTTTATCATAGAAGCGTACGTAATGCAATTGAGTGATATGAATATTTTTCTTTAGTCGAGGAGAAAGACGAGAACCTATGGAAGAGAATGTGACTCTAGGTCCTGCTTTCCGTGATGGAGAGCAAGTTTTTGGTGCTGTGCTGCATCATTCAACGACACTCACTTTCATCGTGAGTTTCTGATTGTTTTTAATTATCGCTTAAAAAAGTGATATTCCATTATCATGTACATAGAGAGTTGACATTATATCTGATACACTTGCAGCACGTTAACTTTTATGTTATTTTTGTTCTCTATTAAAACTATATGTGAATCGATTTTGATTAACATGGGGATCAAGAGGAGGTTTGACACAATATGCTTTAGCTTTTGTGTTTTGGTTGATGTCTTCTAGCCATTGTTGTGTATTTTCAGTATATTGATGACATAGATCTTGACAGCAAAGGATACAGGACCAACGATGAACAAGACAAAAAAGGTGATTCCCTTATTTTCTTTGTGAGCTAATCGAGCAAGAGATCACCTTCTTTTTCTTTGTGAGCTAATCGAGCAAGTGTGGAACGTGAGGCTTCATCGTCTTCGTAGCTTGCAAGACGACGGTCTATATGCGTTGAAAGGTGCACAATAAGAGGGAATTACACCAGGATATTTATTTCTGCCATATGTAATTTTCGGTCAAATTGACAAGGTGCAACCGTGGCACAATATTTGCCAGAAAAGACGAACCAGCTTTCTACTCTCTTCTTCAAAAGCACAAGTAACAAAATCAACAAATTTGTTAATACAAATTGTTTCATGACATCTATACCTTTAGGAAAAAACAATTGTTTTGTTTCTTATGAACCTTTGAGCTACGCCAAGCACATGTAAAGTATAACGTTCATTTTAGTAATTCAGTTCACATTTGCGTCCCAAAAAAGTATGTATGAATATTAGATTCATAGATTAAGACATTTTGTGCAATTTTCTTAGGCATTTTGAAATCTCAAATCAAAAGTTTCTGCAGTTCACTAATTTACTTGAACGTGAACAGCTTTGCAACCGATTGATTACTTTGTATCATTTTGTTTGGTGTCTATGCAGTAAATACAAGTACTGTAAAACTAATAAAGTTACTTTAAGCTAAAATATCTTAGTTATATGCATGTTGACCAACAATTATGAGAAGAGAATAATGAGGTATTTAAAACATTTGTGCATGATATGATCCAAATATCTTTCTGTTGCATCACGGTCAATGAATTCTTCTTTTGATTCGTTTAAAAACCCTAACGACAAGAAGGACGTCGATAGAATTTGAATGTTTCAAGAAAAGCAATGAAAAAAAAGAAAAAACAAAAGGGGGAAATTGCTAAATCTAGACCACAATTTCATTTTTTCTAATCAACTAGACCACAATTTGAATCAAATGCAAAACTAACCTCTTGGGTAGTAAAATTACCCCACACTCCCATGACCAAACAAAAAAACGCATGCCTCGATTACGATTATAACCTCCAGCCAGGTAGATCTACCGGATCTACCTGGTAGACAATGTTAGAGGTCTACCTCGTAATAACATCTTAAATTTTAATTAACAATTCAATAAAAAATATTTTTATACAAAAACAAGTATGAATAATTCTAATATAGACATTATCATCTACAAAAAATATGAATGCATACAAATGAATCATTTATAGATAAGCAAAGACATGTAGGTTAATATCTATAAAAATGTGTGAGGTCTACCGAGTAAGTCTACTATATCATTAAATTTAATTTTAATTATAAAATTGAAAAAAATATTTTGATGAAAATTATTTATACATAAATACAATACAGACAACTTGCATCTATATAAAATATAATTTCATAGATTTGAACCAATTGAACTATGAAAAAAACAAATTAGGTTAAAAGCCTATAAAACCATGAGAGGTCTACCAAGTAGGTCTACTAAATAATTAAATCTTAAATTTAAATTAAGAAAATTTAAAAAATAATTTGAAATATTTGTTTCACAAATAACGAAATAATAGACATTTAACATCTATTAAAAATAAAATTTCATAAAAATCATGAATCTATAAATATCATATGTAAATAGTTCATAAGGATAAGAGTTTGAGTAGATTGTTTAAGTTTAATGGTGTAAGTTGTAGGGTTTTGAAAAAATTTAGATGAATAATTGTTTTTGATTGGTTTTACGATTCAATGTTCGTTTATTTGTGATATACATTGTAAATTGACAATATGGCAAGCAAATCGTTGCAAAATTGTATCTAAATTATTCGATTTAGGGTTTAGGGTAAAGTAGACCTAACAGTAGACGTAATATAGACCGAAGTGGAGGTCTACCAACCGTTTTAACCTAGCGGGAATCCCGAAGTTTCAAACCGACGGCTGAGATTGAAACGACGTTTTGGTAATTTTGTGGTAGACCTCATTAACGTAAGCCGGAAATAACCGACTCAATTGTTTGCGTAGAACCGTAAATTGAACGCCTGAACCGATATCAATTGAAATAACCGACCATTTTGGTAGACCTTTGTGGTAGACCTTTGTGATAGCCACTTAGATTTTCCTTTTTTTCGTTGCAGAATGGAGAAGCCTACCTTTCCAAGGAGGTTATACACAAGAGGAGCTGAACCGGAAGCCCAAAAGAGCATTTCCTACGGCAGCAACGACAAAAAGCTTGTTTGCTGCCGTGAAAAACTACTGAGTGATGCCGAGTGGGAAACACTATGCGACTCGCGAGTTGGTGTCTTCTGCAAGTTTCACGACCTCAAATTCGAGTGGTCTTCGAAGTTGGTTCACACGATGCTCTCATATCAGTTAGAGTGCAAGAAGAAGTATGAGATCTGGAGTGCGGTTGCGGATAGCCCAATTAGATTTTCCCTCATGAGTTTGAACATCTCACCGGCCTCAACTGCGACTATGTGGAGATTTGTGACCCCAAGTGCAAGGTTACTCTAGAGATGAGAGCATTCTGGGAGAAGCTCGGAGTAGGTGTTGAGCTTGGTCCGAGTCAAGTGGAGCTCATTCGTGCATGCGAATGGGCAACAGACTGGCCGAGTGAGGACAAACTTAGGCTTGGTTACTTGGCCATCTATACTGGCTTCATTGCTGCTCGGAAAAACACCTCGCACACTCCTGTGAACCTGGCCAGATTAGTGATGGATGAAGAGGAGTTTGAGAATTATCCGTGGGGGCGTGTAGCTTTCAAGAACCTGATTGAAGCCGTCAAAGAAGCAGAGCTATGGAAGTCCGGGTATGTCCTGGATGGGTTTGTTGAGGTTCTACAAGTATGGGCATATCGTTTCATGCCTGAATTCGGAGCGAGTTGTGGTGCGCCCATATGAAACGCTCCTGACATTCCGCTCTTGGCCTACAAAGGAATCCAGGGTTAAGAAACATTGAACTCACGATACTGAAGCAGGTACATACTTCGTTTACAAAATATTAGAAAGTAGACCATTGGTAGACCAATTTGGTAGACCATGGTAGACCATGTGGTAGACATCTATGGTAGACCTATTGAGACCTATTAGTACCATTAATTACTTCCCTTATGTTTGTAGGTGAACTTTGATCACTGCATAATGGTGGAGAGAGACTTTGTTTACCCAAAGTGGGATGAGGATAAAGAAGACCCGCGCGTAGATAATCTCATCAAGCGTGTACGGAGACTAGGCCAGTGGAAGTGGAAGCCGGCGGACTGGAATCCTCAAGGTGTTCTGGTGAAGAATCCTAAACCGCGGAGTCTGCGAAGAGGAAAAGATCCTCAGACCATGGAGATGAAATGCAGAAGAGGCTGTGTCCTGAGAGCGTTTCCCTTGCTGAAGATGGCTTCAGTCGCTTCGAGGAAAGCTGAAGTTGCTGTTTGAAGATGGCTTCAGTAAGTTGTCTGCGGAGATGAAGTTGGGCTTTGAACAGTCTGATTCAAAGTTCACGATCCTAACTAGGAAGGTGGTCCGCATAGAAAAAACCGTCCAGGCTATGCAAGCAGCATCAAGGCGTCGGACCCGAACCTGAGGAACCTGAGGCGCCTAAACAGAAGAACGAGCCGTCTGGTGAAGAGGTGATGCTAGAGCCGAGGAGAAGGCTGCCACTCCCAAGAAGGACAATCCTAAGGAACCGTTTCAGACGCCTCAACTGAAGGATGAGGTGTCCGGTGAAGAGGAGGAGGAGGCTGCATCCGAGGAGAAGGTTGCTGATAACACTGCCGAGAAGGCTGCCACTCCTAAGAAGAACAAAGCTCCAGCTCGGTTAGTAAAAAACCCTCTCTCCTTCGTCTAGAAGAAAATCAGCCTTCTATATCTACTAGGGTCCTTCGAGATAGGAAGCGAGATAGAAAAGAGAACCCGAAGTACTTGTAGTTTAGTCTACTGCTGTTCTTGATTTATCTTGTTTCTATATGTGTGAACCTTTTTACTGTGTGTAAAACAATGAACATATATGTTTAATTTATACATCTGTTTTAACGTAAAATATTGATGCAAGCGTCGTTCACTTTAACATTTGCAGAAAAAACAAGTTTTATCTCCATGCGGTAGTGACAATGGCGTAGATCCGGACCTTGTTTTTGTTAAGCAGTATACACCAACAAAAGCTGAGGAAGCGGAGGACACAAAGAGGATGCAACTAAAACAACAAGCATCAATAAATATTGCACGTGCAAACGTACAGAGACAGCGACAGCTGGCCGCTTCACAACGGTCTCCGTTTGTAGGAGATAGCACAGTGAAGGGAATCATTCCTAACAAGCCACGGCTTGGGTTTGGGTACGATCCCAACGAGCATGTGGATAAGGAGAGACTCGCACGGCTGAAGAAAGAGTTTAAAGGCATTTTGTAAGTATTTTCTTAAACTTCCTCTTAGTTATATGACTATCCTGACTTGTTTGATTACCAACTGTGTTTTTATGTATTCTATCCAGCGGCCCTAAGAAATTTGACATCTTCAAGAACCTCAACTACACTGGTGGCAGAATTGGTCGTGCAGACGCAATGGCTCGCTGATACGGTAAGTCGACCATTATTGGTAGACCATATGGTAGACCAATGGTAGACTTTATGTTTCAGTTTTTCTAATTGTCACTAAGTATTTCGCATCTTTTTTTCAGCACATGGACGCAATAACGAACCTGTTTCGTCAGCGCATGAAATTGCACCCGGAGTGGTTTAGGAGTGATCGAATTTGCTTTGGTGATAGTGCTCCTAGTATGTTGTGGACGGAGACAAGTTCAGAGGTTTAAGAATACTGAGCCGGATAACAGGGACTAGGAAGGTGGCTCCCGGGAGGTGCGACTGACTTCTTTGAAGGGAAGACACCACGTTTCTGCCAAACCCTGAAGAAATGGGAAGTAGATATTGATGAGATCTACTTGCCATGGAACGTCAAAGACACTCATTGGGTGGCGTTGATGATTTCTATACCTAAAAGGCATATTACTGTGTGGGACAGCATTCCAAACTATCTGAAGGAGAATGTGTTATCCGCATCTATCGAGCCCATTGCTGTCATTGTGCCTTATCTACAACGGCTCATGGCTGACATCAATGATAGGTATAAGTATTCGCTCGATTTCACCCACGAGTATGTTTCCGGAGGAGATGTGCATGCGCAAGACAATGCAACTGACTGTGGAGTCTACTGTCTAAAGTTCATCGAGTATCATAGTCTTGGGAGGCTTTTTCCGAAGACGCTATATGGTAAGAACATGAGAGCTATCAGAGCAAAGCTTGCAGGACATACATCATGAGATCAACTGTCGCGGACCTCCAGAGCGTAATTGGGAGGACCTGGACCTATAGCTAGGTAGATCGGTATATATCAGTTTTAGTCTGGGTTTTTTGGGAAAGCATCATGGTACCATATTTTACTGTGTACCTAAAACTGACCCTAATTATTTTTTGATGTAACTTCGATGTAACTAGCTAATTATATATATAATATAACTGTTTTTGGATAAACCTTAAAAACTTGAAAACATGCATAATCATAGATAAAATGAAGAACATAAAACATAGTGTCATAGATCTCGCTCTCATACAATTCAAGAGAAATTACATTAAAAACTTGAAAACAGCAAAAGTAGACCTCTATGGTAGATCGAAAAAGGGTAGAGCTATTGCGTTGACCAAAACTCAGGTCTACCATGAGAAGTAGACGCTCTTTCTGTCTACCTATTCAGTCTACTAATTCAGTCTACCGCTGCGTTGTTCATCTACAACAGTTGAAAATTAGATGAACTCAAGTAAGGATAAATCTGAAACATGAACGGAAAGAGGAGTTTTCAATGGCTTACACAATGAGGGCGGGTGTGTCTTGGAAGCCTGCACAGCAACAACTATAAACTTTGTGGATCTTCCTTGGTTTGGTGTGTCTCTTCCTTGACAATTCTAGCCATGTTAGATACCTTGATTTCTTTTTCCGGCCACGAGCTGGCTTCACTTCTGGAGGGAGGCAAATGTCTTCTTCTTCCTCTGCATCTTGTGTAGGCTCCGGGTATATGGGATGTGCATATGTTGAGTACAAAGACTCTTTCGTGTATGTCATTGACACGTTTTGCGACATGTGTATGTTTGCCTCAGTAGACGCTGCAATCACATGTGAACAAGGTATTTTCTCAACCTGGAATACACCACATTCGCATGAACGTTTTCCAAATTGACAATATAAGGCCCTCTCCGCCTATAACATTGAAATTCCATCCATCTATGTGTTCCACAGTATATGATTCTGCGTAGTGTGAACGAAAGCCATCAAATATTCAACTCCCTTGCTGTATGGGGTCTGAAGACTCAAGGTGTCCTCTCGCCTTTTGTAAACCAAATCCCTAACTTCTCCCGAATGATTGATTGGAAAGCCCTTGGCTCTCTTCAATGCGGAATTGATAGATTCAGCAATGTTACTTGTCTTATATTGTATCTATCCCCTGGAAAATGTACTCTGGACCATAACTTAGGATCTGCTTCCTCTAAGTAATTCGCAAGTTTTGTTTAGCAGCCCGGATTGCGACCATGCAACGGTTATACTCTCTCACGTATGGGCGTAGGCAGCTCCTTTCACCAAATACATCAAGTCCTTTGCACCAAACTGTGACTTTGAGACAATGTTATGCTGAAGATGGTAGTAACAAATACCTCTGGTTACCCAAGGTAGAACATTGAGACATTCATTAGTATGGAGGGGAGCCTGTCCGAAACTATCACTACAAGAAAAAACCTATATTTCGTCACAATGAAAGCTATTTCGTAACAATAAAACTATTGCTACTGAGTTGTGACAATTTGTGAATGGTCACAATACAATCGTCACAAATCTTAATTTGTCACAAAAACGTCACAAGTGTTGAGACGGTTATTTCAGTAATCATTCAATCACAAATAGTTACGAGACATAAACGTAACAAAGTCGTCATAATTACTAACTAAAAAATTTTCTAAAAACTGTCATATTTCGTGACTCTGATAACGTCCCAATTCCGTAACTGATTCTAACTGAACTATAGTATCATATTGTCATAAATAGAGACTAAAAAATCATCACCTATCATAATTTGTGACTATTTTACTGTCTCGGTTTGTAAATAATGACTATTTTACTGTCTCTATACCATTTTAGCAATTTATTATAATTTCTATATTTTTTCTAATAATACTGAAATCATAAAATAAACCACTAAATATTTTGGAAAATAAAGAATCGAAGCAACATACAAAATAAAATTGTTACAAACTTATAATATATATTTAATTTATAATATGGATGAACCAAGGTTTATTAGTTACATTAGTAATATACAAAAAGGGATTCATACATAGGAAAACAAATTAATAAGGTGCTTCCATATTTCTTCATCTCACCACTAGTGTTGATCTGCTCTGTCATTGATCTTCCTATATGCCAGAACCACAATTAGCTCTTTCTCTTCTGAAAAGAACGCTCCCTTCCTCTTCTTGATATGGACCCAACGGCGAGGCGAGACATACACACCACCACAACGTCCGCAACGGCGAGACACATACAACACCACAACGTCGGCGATGATGGTGGTGAAAGGACCGGTGAAGATCAGCTTCCTCTCTCTTTAACCACGATGACATTCTCTCTATAGCGGCGGCGACGGCTTTTCTAGTGCAGAAAATACACTCGCATAATATATATACACGTGCATATCTTCTTGTTGGTTAAGGGTTTTTTAACTAATGGGCTTATGTTATTAATAGCATATAAACATTTTGCCTAATGGATCCTATACTCTTATTATTAATACTTTAAAAAATTACTATTGATATTCACGTTAAAAAACAAACTATTATTTATAATAATTTTTGCATATGTGTTTTCACTTTTCAGTTGCCTTGATCGAAGTTGTATGTACCCTACATTTTTATTATCCATGAAGAAAGAAATAAATTTTATTTTCTCTCTTATTATGTAGTATTTACATATATAAATTTACAAAATCATAAAATTATATATGTATATAAACATGCACCTATAGTTATATGTGTATTAACTTATAATCATAAAATTCTATTTATAATAATTAGTTTCATATTTGACCCAAAAGAAATAAAATAAAAGAACTTATTTCATAGACAAGTAATGAAAAAATATATATATGATATATTTATATTTTGATTATTTTCACAACAAATTCTTTTAAAATTATGAAGGAATAAAATGTTAGTAAATTAATCTAGAAATGTAATGAATTTGTTATACATTTCAATTGCAATATATTACGATATGTTTTGCTTTTCAGTTATACCAAATAGTAGCTGATATCTAGTATATATATCGTTACAAACTAATACTTTTAACTTCATCACAAGTTCTTAACCAAGTTGTGACTCTATTTGGTCACAATATTGTAACAATTGTTATGACTACTAATTTTGTCACAATTTTGTACCCAATTGTGACAAATATCAGTTACGGTTTAGATGGTCACAATATTGTTACGGAATAGCTACTCATTTGCAACATAAAAAATTGGTCCCAATATCATATCCTGCAACTTGTCATAACCAACCCCAGATTCGTTATTCTCGGCATCTACAATCCCAAATGCCAACGGGAAAACCTGAAAATTAGCGTCTTGTCCGGCTGCAACCAGCAAAACTCCATACTTTCCAGTTAGATGAGTCCCATCTACCACAATAACACGTCTCAAGTACTGAAAGCCCAACATTGAAGCATATAAGGACAAGAAGCAGTATTTGAATTGACCATTATCATCACATACAAGGTCAGTCACGGAGCCCGGGTTTGACTGCTTCACTCTTCGCAAGTACGAGGGCAAAGCCGCATATCCAGCTTCTGGTGTTCCCCTAACAAAAAGTTGGGCAGCTTTTAAAGCTCTGTAAGTCAAGCCCTTATCGCGGAAGCAATATGCCTTGGGACAATTCCATCAATGATTCCAAACTGCTCTACAAATATCTGCCCAAGATACCTTGGAGTACATCCCTTGCGGAATCGAGCACGGTCCACCACAGAGCATGTATGAACCTTGACATACTTTGTGACAAAGAACCTCTTTGCCTCATTCTTTATAGCAGCTCTGCACATCCATTTGCATCCATCTACAAAACATTTTGCCACATAGAGCTTGGTAGTAGACTTAGAAACCTTGAAGGCGAATCTAGACTTCACTGCCTTCACTCGCAAGGCAGATATGAGATCATTCTTGCTTACATAGCTCTGGCCAACTGATATATCGCCTGACCCATCGAATCCTACCCCATGACCATTCAAATCACCTCTGCGAAGCCTTTCTTCAAAGCGTTTTTTCTCCCAATCATCTTCATCTTGAACTTTCCCATACTCACTATAGTCTGCGTCCGTGTCTTCAGCTTTCTTTCCTGCAAAATCTTCATCCACATAGTCATCGTCCCCTGCATCATCATACTCTTCCTCAACTTCTTCATCTGAATTTGCATCCCAGTTTACATCTGAAAGTTCCTCCTCTTTCATACTCATCCTCATCCACATAGTTATCTTCATCGACATAGTTATCCTCATCTCTCTGCTGACCTTTATCCTTGTTTCCAACAGAGATGCAAAGGCGCAGCACATGCGTTTTGCATAGCTCTATCAAGCTATGGACCTGCCCATCGTTGGTGATGTACATAGGAGGAAAGTCAGAGGGCATTTGATGGAGCATCACATCTGGTAATGGATAATAACTCCACCCGCTCTGGTTCCATATCCAGCATATAGTCAGCTTGTACCATTCTAAGGAGCTCCTCATGTGTACAACCATCACGCAAGTAGAACATTCTCCCTCCTTTTCCTTTATCCACCTCAAAATGCCATGACTTGTCTTCCATCACCACCCATTTTCCATAAACGGAAGCTAGACAAACCATTACCTGCAACAAAAACAAACAAGACCACAAAACGGATTAGTAGACAGAATGGGTAGACCGACAAGGTAGACCCACAACTTGGTCTACCAGAAAATTAAGCTAGATACCTAATTCAAAAGAAAACCGAATATAGCCTTAATTACGCAGAAAGAACATTTCAAACTCACACAGAAGCAAGTAAACAAATAAAAACAACTAACTGTTCGAGATAAATTTCAAAATATTTGATATATTGAAAGGAAAACGACATTTAAAAAACACATAATAATAGACCTAAAACGTAGACGTTCGGAGTAGACGTTCGGTAGACCTCCACTTAGGTCTACGTGGACCACGTGGAGGGTTAGTTTTGCAATTGATCGAGAAAAATGTTTTTTTGGAGGTCTACCGTGTCGGTCTACTACACGTGGAGGGTTAGTTTTGCAATTGACCAAACGTTGACTTTTTCACAAGGTCTACCGTCGTCTACCAGAAAACGTAGACCTCTCAATCGGTCTACCAAAAAAAGTAGACCTCTGAATTAGTCTACGCCTTAGGTCTACCTAAAAAAGTTTGTTTTGCCGTTGACTCAAGTTTGACTTTCCTCGGGTAGACTTCCGTGGTAGACCTCAGTTTTTTTGCGTTGACCAGTAGACCTCACTTTCGGTCTACCAGAGGTAGACCTACACGGTAGACCTCAATGACGCAAACTCTCTCCTTTTTGAGGAAAGTCAAACTTTTGTCAACGGCCACCAACTTTTTTTTTTAGGTAGACCGACAAGGTAGACCTCCAAAAACATTTTTCTCGATCAATTGCAAAACTAACCCTCCACGTGTAGTAGACCGACAAGGTAGACCTAAAAAAAATTTTCTCGATCAATTGCAAAACTAACCCTCCACGTGGAGTAGACCTAAGTGAGGTCTACCACTTGTTTTTTTTGTTTGCAAAGGAATTGACCCGGTCTACTTTGCGTTGACCAGACCTCAACTGGTCTAGACTTAGTAGACCTCAACTGAGGTCTACCATGTAAAAGTAGACCTTCCACTTCCGTCTACCTTCGGACCAAAACTGAAAGTCGTTGAATTTTGAAAGAAAGTTACCTCGGCCGTCGGAGAAAGGCTCTTCGAAGCCTGATAACTTCAATTTGGGCTTCCAATTAAGATCTCCGGTCGTCAATGTAAGCTAAACAATCGGAAATACCAAGATCCAAGATTTGAGATTTCTTTAGAGTTTTGGGATGAAAATGGAGAGAAAATGAAGAATAAGAGTTTGTGAGATGAAAGAAGGAGAAATGGTAGCTCACAACGTTTTCGGAGCATTGAAAGCTCCATGTGGTGAAAATGGTGGTTGGCAACATTGATGATATGGCATTTTCGAAATTTTGTGTAGGAGATGAGGGGTCTTTGGTCTTTCAGCAGATCTGGTAGACCTAAATATCGGTCTACCAATCGAAAAAGTAATGGCAATTGTAATTAATTAGAAAAAACTGGACAAACTTAAAATGGAAAAAGCAGGATGTTAATTTTGCATTTGACCACAATTTTGGGTCTAAAAGTGAAAGTACCCCAAAAAAGAAAGTCAGAGAAGAAGAAGATGTAGTTGAAGAAAAGAAATTTGAGGAAGATTACAAAGATGAGATCATGAGACAATTAAGAACCATAAGAATCGGAAATGCGAGAAGATGGAGGCGGTAAATGAGGGTTAAAAAGAAGAAGACGGAAAAAATGAAAAAATATAAAGAAAGATGACTATTATTAGAAGATGAGGATGAATAATAAGATTAAAAAATATAATGATAAAAAAAGAGAAAGAATAAAAACTCAAAACCGATGGAGATTAGGAAATGTATTGATATTTTGAATCAAAACCACAAAAAAAAAAAAAAAAAAAAAAAAAAAAAAAAAAATTAGACCGAGAAGATGAAAAGTTTAAGAGAAAGATAAGTACCCACAACAAAGAAAGACATTCATTGCAGTCTATGATTCTATGCACCATGACCTACAATAATTTAATATATATTATTCATTTTTTATTAATCGATCAAACATTAATATTGTGGATTTAAAACAAAACAACAACAACATTTAAAAAAAAAAACTAAACAATAAAAAACGAAGTTGTAAGCTTTTAACAAGCCAATATAGTAAAACTTAAATATTTAACATTCAAAAGCAAAATTGTTCTCTTTTTGTTTGCATCATCTACTAATATTTGCTTAAGTTCATACATAGTTATCTTTACATGTGTTTTCGTTTTTGGATGTTCTTTTTTTCTTTGTTGTTGATTGTTTGTTTGATTCGAATTTGATACGAAACTGAACTTTATCTTCAATTTTGTAGGTTACGTGGATTAAAGAAAATTTGTCCCTTCTCATCTATGACGAGAGCTCACCGCTTCAGACTCTCACATCAATAGAAAGTATAAATCCCACAAAGAAAGTGGAAGTTAGAGTTAAAAATAAGAACAATTTAGTCAATGTCTTGCTTTTGAAGGTTTGAGCTCATGTTTTAATAAAAAGATCACAGTTTGTTTGTATGTGATACATCATATAAGTAAGACGAAAGTTGAAAGATGAAGACGAAAAAAATAAAAGAAACAAGACAAAAAAATTGAAGAATATGTAAACAATAAAGAAGTTCAAAAAAAAAGAATAATAACACAAATGTATTTGAAAAACAAATTTTAAATAAAAGAAAGAAAACGAAAAAAACTAAGAAATAAAAGGATGATGATAAGAGGAAAGGGAAAAAAGAATAGAAAATTTGATAAAAATAAGTAAAAAACGATAGAAAAAGAAGGGAAAATATATGAAAGAAGTAAAAGACAAAGTAAAAAAAGAATAAGATAAAATGGGGATGGAGTTTATGATGAACGGTTTATATTGATGGGCATAAGATTTAGTTTTTGGTGCATTTTACAAATTTTGAACTCTACATTACTGATTTAAAAATAAAATGTTTAAAAAAAAGTAAAAATAAAAGCAAATCCAGAAATAATTTGTAAAATATGGGGTTCAAGTGTGCGGCTTGGGTTGGTGGAATGAGGGGTTTGGGTTTAAGGTTTAGGGTTGTTAAGGGGAGTGGTGTTATACTGTGGGGTTTCAGTTAAGGGTGTAAGGTATTTAGAGGAGTGGTGTTACACTGTTGGGTTGGGGTTTATGGTGTAGGGTTGTTTAGGAGGGGTTGTGTTGCACTGTGGGGTTTAGGTTTAGGGTGTAGGGTTGTTTAGGGGGGTGGTGTTACACTGTAGAATTTGGATTTATGATGTTACACTGTAAGGTATTTAGAGGAGTGGTGTTACACTGTTGGGTTGGGGTTTATGGTGTAGGGTTGTTTAGGAGGGGTTGTGTTGCACTGTGGGGTTTAGGTTTAGGGTGTAGGGTTGTTTAGGGGGGTGGTGTTACACTGTAGAATTTGGATTTATGGTGTAGGGTTTATATTGATGGGTGTAGGGTTTAGTTTTTGGTACATTTTTAAAATTTTGAATTATTATATAAGAATATCATGATTAAAAAATTATATTTACCTGTCTAAATTACATTGAAAAATAGAAGAAACTAAAACAATATAATTAAAGCAAATTCAGATTGGAAAGATAACAAAACCAATAGATTTTTAAAAGATCTTGACTATATAAAGATAAAAATTATTTCACAAATCCTTGAAAATCTAAACTGTTGAATGAATTGATTGGTGAAATACAAGATGTAGACAAGAACTAATAAAAACACGAATAAAAGAAAAGAAGATGAGAAATTTGGACAAAAAGAAGAAAACTCGAACATTAGAAAAATAAATAAAAGAATAAAAAAATGGAATGTGAAGAGAAAAAAGACAAAGAAGAGACTAATAAAAACAAGAATAATATGATTTTATAGAAGACGGAGATGATAAAGATTGAGAGAGGGAGAATGAGAAAGAAAAAAAATCAGAAAAAGAATATAAAAGAAATTAGAAAGAAAAAAGAAAAATAATGAGTTGAGGATATGAAGACAAATGAAAATATTAAAGAACAAAAATTAGAAGAAGAAGAAGAAAAAGAGAATGAAAACGAATATAAAATTGAAAGAAAAAGAAGAAGATGTGATAATTAGAGAATAATAAGAGGGAGAAGAAAACAAGAAGTGGAAAATTTTTGGTATCTCTCAAAGAGAATGAAAAGATTATGTAGAAGAATGAAAAAGAGAAGACAAAAATAAAACACATTAAAATTTTTAAAAAAAAAGTAGACAAAAAAAACAATGAATACAATAAAATATTCTACTACTTATGTTATTAAATGAGTATCTTTAATTAATTAATGTATTAAAAAAGATTGTACCCGCATAAGGTGCGGGACAACCACCTAGTCAAAAAATATAAAGTATACAATTCGTACAATTTTGATTTACTTTATAATAAAATGTAATTTTTATAAAGCAGAATAAGACTATTATCTAAAAATTGCCAAAAATAATATGATTTCTCACTTATAATTAAGATCTAAATTTTTTGACACATGGTAAATAAATTTCCTTACCGGTTTAAAAATTTTCTTTGGATGAATAATTTTATTTTATAACTATTAATATTTCAAAAGAAGACTTTATTCGCGACATAAATCTGAAATTTCACGAAATCAATCAAAAAGTTATCTTACGGTGGTCTTGAGCTTGTTAGATGGTTCACAATTTTGATTCTAACTAACACCAAGAAAGCCCATAGACTATCAACGGCCAAACTACAATTGCAATTTTTTAGACCATCAAGTTTGGAAATGTTAAATTGTGAAGTTTTTTAGATGAAAATTAAGAGAAAATGTAAGAATATAAGGTTCTCAGATATGATAATGAGATTAGAGTGCTCAAAAATGGGTATTTGAAGCTTTAAAAGCTTCAAATTGGTTGAAAATGGTGGTTTGAAGAATTATGTTAATGGCATTTTCGTGAATAAGTGAAGAGGATGAAAATTGTTTTGTCTTTTGGATTTCTAAAATTAAAATAAAAATAAAAACGTAATGGCACTTTCGTAAATATAAGAAACTGGGTAGGGTGAAGTTGAGAAAAAGTGGCAAAATTTTTGAAGAGTTGAAAAAAAAGTTACTTATGTAATTGACCCTAATTCTTAGGTCATTATTGCAAGAATCCCAAATAATTTCTATAAAAAAATGTGTCTTTCACCGGTTGAATAGTTACGGACTGATGATTTTTCTGACAAATGTTAGACATCTTTTAAAAATAAATAATTTTATTTCATGGGTAAATAACTTTTATGAATTAGGTAACTTGCCTATTAGAGATAAAACAAATTTACAGATTAATAATTATTTTTTACACATGTTAGATTTCTTTTCAAGAGTGATAATCTTATTTCATAACGTCAGCCCAGCCTATCTATACTTTTCTCTATTTCTTCTTTTTAATATCACAAAAATGCTCTTCTGTTTAATAACACATCACCAAAATGCTCTTTCTTAACGGGTTAAATAATTTTATTTACGGTTTGAATAAGTCATATGGATTGAATATTTTTTTTATGGGTAGAATATGTATATTTCACTGAATGTTATTTTTACACAGGATAATTTTTTACTGATTAAATAATTTTCCAAGGGTTGAATAAATTTCTTTTGCAGGTTCAGATTGAATAACTTTACACTATGAGTTAAATAGGTTTATTTTACTGAATAATTTTTTAGGGATTGAACAACTTTTTCTACAGGTTAAATAATTTTCTTCGCGAGTTCAACACTATTTTTTTACGGATTGAATGATTTTATTTTACGGCTTGAGTAAGTTCTACAGATTGAATAATTTTCTTTTACGAGTTGAATATGTTTATTTTACTGAATGATTATTTTGACACATGTTGGATAATGTATTACAGATTGAATAATTATTCCACAGGTTCAATAATTTTTTTTGCGGGTTTAATAATATTCTTTTACAGATTCAATAATATCCATTTACGGGTTGAATACTTTTATTTTAAATTTGTTTATTTCACTTAATATTTTTTGACACATTTTGGATAGTTTTTTTACGGATTGACTAACTATTTTTTTTTACAGGTTCAATATTATCCTTTTATGCATTGAATAAGTTCTAAAGATTGAATAATTTTCTTTTAGGGATTGAATAATTTTGTTGTAAGGGTTAAAATAATTTTCTTTTAATAGTTCAATAATTTTTAGTTAAGATCAAATAATATTGAGAAATCTGGCAAAATACTCCACATTTACGGAAGAGTTGTCCATCTACTCCTTTTTGCCAAATCTTGTCCAATTACTCTTTATTAAAATTTAAACCCAATTTTAACCAGCAAATCAGGTTTTAATAGAATTGGGAGATTAAATAATTAATAAATAAATAATATGGAAAAGAAAAGAAAAGTTTTAGTCATCGTCATCGACTCTTCTCCCTCAAACTGCTTTTCTGCTTTAAGCTTTGTTGTATTATTTGAAAACTCATTTATATTTCTTCTAAATTTATTGGTTACTCTTCCATGGTTTTTGCTTTTATTTTGGTGTCATCTGTTTTTTAGTTTCTAGATCATTCCTTAACAGAGTATATGTGTTTCTTCCATGGTTTTTGTGTTCCAAAACAGAGCACATATATTTTACCAAATAGACACACAATGTACAATACAAATTGATATATTAACTCATATGCAACCTCGCATAATAAGAAGAAAACCAATTTCTTCAGTTTTTGTGGTTGTTGCTTGCACCACAAGAAACCTTCTACCACTCAAGATAAAGATGTATTATATACATCGATTGACACACTCTAGATGCGTTACGTCATGGCTAATGGAACACTAATTATCACTAATTATGACGGACCTGAAGCTGCTACCTCTTGGTATTAGGAATTAGGAAGAAGAACAAACAAAGTCACATTTTGTTGGGAAGAATTTGTCTGAAATCGGATTCTGAGGGAGAGAGAGGAATTGAGATTTCAGCGTTAGCGAGTTAAAGAAAAAGTTTTTTTTTTTTCTTTTAGTTAAAACATATATGCAATTTGTTTTCGAGATGGTTGTATACTTGTCAGTTTTGGCAGTCTAAACTAAAAGTACTGGCGGTTTTATGTGAATTAGGTAAATTTTGAAATGCTATGATAGTCTAACTCAATTTTGGATTTCGCTTTTAATAGCAGTTATGAAAATTGAGCTATTATATTGTGCTATGAATGGTCATAATTCTTGTAGTGGTAAAACTTGGTTCTAGGATTTTCTTTTATTAAATATATATTTTTAAAAAATCTGGTTTAATGTTTAAAACCTTCTTTAAATCTTCCGATGGAGATGCTCTTACATTCCGTCTATACCTTAAAATAGTCATGTAAAATAAGATTCAAATCTTTGAGTTTTTTCTTTCGTTTGATTAAAACAATCTCTCTCCCTCGTTCGATGCCGAAGATTTCACCGACTAATCAGAGTTTCAATCAAATATTGGATCCTGGAATTCACCGAGAATGTTTTGTCGATTTTTGGATCTGTAAATGGCACTCTGCTCCATTCAACCTTGATCTTCTGTACATCTACTTCGTTTTCCAATTGATCGTCTCGTGAAGGTTGCAGATCCATCGATTTCTCGTGGTCATTTTTTATCCCAATTTTAAATATCGTTCTCAATTGATGGCTTCGACTCATCAATTCCTGCTGGATGATCAAACGGACGAGGATTTCTTCGACAAACTTGTTGATGATGCCTATTCTCCCAGCGAGGCTCACGCTTTATCTTCTGCTCAACAGCTAAACTTCAACGATGGAAGTGACTCCGATGACACCAGAGCTTTTGCGAATCTCCCCGTAGTGGAGGATTGTGTTGGTGATGGAAATGGAGCACTGAATGAAGTAGACCGGAAGAACGATGTTGCAATCAAGGGGGCAATTAGGTCGCTAGGAAAAGAAGAGCCTTCATCTATTTCTCTGGAAGATGTCCAATTTCTCCACACCGGTGCAAATAAGTTTACAGACGATGTGCTGAAATCGGAGGTGGATGATATGCCACTAGCTGAAACATCAAAAGAAAGCAATGCAATTGATGGATCTGGGAGTCCCATGGTAAAGGAGGTTGATTGGGGCTCTTTTTATGCGGATCCATCTGTAAATGACGTTTGTGGGTTTGGTTCATATTCTGATTTCTTCACCGAGTTAGGGGGATCTACAGAAAATCTACAGGGAAAGGCTGAAATAGATGTGGCCAATGTAGGAAACTTAGTATCCAATGATACAAAGAACATGGGTATTGGTTTAGATAATTCGGCAGGTTTTGAGCAACATCAGGGTGATGTGAACCACGCTTCTGCAAGTGGGCAGTGCGTGGATAATCGTCAATCTTGGGAAAATCTCTATCCTGGATGGAGATTAGATGCAATTACTGGCCAATGGTACCAACTTGATGGTCATGATGCAAGTATAATCTCACAAGAGGGCTATAACAACTCAACGAGTAACTGGGAAAGCGGTGCTTCTATTGAGACCTCGGATGTTGCTTATTTGAGTCAGAGGACAACACATGTAGTGGCTGGCACAGCTGAGAGTGTGTCCACCTGGAACCAGGTTTCACAAGTGAGCAATGGATATCCAGAACACATGCTCTTTGATGCCCAGTATCCAGGGTGGTGCTATGACACAATTGTTAAAGAATGGCTCTCCCTGGACAGCTACAACCAGGCTTCTCAAACAAGTGGATCTGGTCAAGCTTATGGTCATCATGTTGAGAATGATCATGCTAGCATGTATAATGTTAACGATGAAAGACACATATTCAAAATGCAAGAGGTTGGTATGCAGAGCCAACAGGGAAGCTGAGACCATTCTTACTATGCCAACAATCAGCAGGCTACAAACACATGGCAATCAAAATATAGAGGTAAGGCTGAGGAGTCTGTAACTTATGCCTCATCATCAAACATCGAAGGAAACCAGCAAGTAAATAGTATGTACAGTACAGATTTTGTGGCTGAACAGTTTAAGCCAAATGAGGTTGGAGTTCAAGACTTCATTCCTCGGCATATGAATGTGGCTAGTGCCACGCAGAATGGGCCATCGAGTTTCTTAAACAATTCCTATAACAGACATAAATCTATAGATGATTCTCAACAATCATTTCAGAGCAATAAGCTTTTCTCCCCAAGTTCATTAAGATCACCAGATAAACGTCTACCTCATGCACTTGTCACTTTTGGGTTTGGTGGGAAGCTCATTGTTATGAAGGATAGTAATGGCTCTCTGCAGAATTTGTCATTTGGGAGTCAGGTTAGTCCTGAAGGGTTATTTTTCATTAGTAATTTTTTACACCCTCGGAAGTTTAGGCAAACTATTGTAGGGGTATCGTTAATTTTGTATGCCTATCAATGAACATATATAAATTCTATAATTATAACCTCAAAAAGTGAATTTCAATTCTTGTTTAACTGCTAATATTTTTCTATAGGGAACAAGGGGAAGCTCTATCTTTGTCTTAAACTTGGCAGAAGTTATTTCTGGGAATTCCTCTTATTCAAGTCTCGGAGAAGACTCTTCGGGTTACTTTCGTTGTCTGGATCAACACCCTCTTCCAGGTCCCTTGGTTGGAGGAAATGTTGGAAGCAAAGACTTACATAAGTGGCTTGATGAGAGAATTTTGAATTGCGAATCTTCCCATATGGACTTCGCAAGAGGGAAACTTCTAAAGATGCTTCTTTCTTTGCTCAAATTATCCTGTCAGTATTATGGGAAACTCCGGTCTCCTTTTGGAACTGATCAGCGCAGAAGGTGAGGAGTTATAGATCTCTTGTCAGTACACCTCTTAAGGAAACATTTATGTGTTACAGTTTTCTCATCCTTGTATCTACACTGCAAACAGGAAACGGATTCTGCTGAAGCAGCTGTTGCTAAACTTTTTGCATTTGCCAAGAAAGATGGTTTCCAAAATGGTGGTTATGCTCCTTTTAGCCAATGCTTGCAGCAGTTACCACCTGAATCACAAATGCAAGTGAGTATTCAGCATCTTATTCTAGGGGTGTCAAAATGGGTAACCCGACCCTAACTCATCAGGTTTGAAGGTTATAGGGTCGGGTTATGACCTAACCCATTTATTTTGTGGGTCATAATTTATAACCAAACCCAATTACATTAAAACCCATGGGTTAAACGGGTTACATGGGTATCCATATATATAAAAATAGTAATAAAATATAAACAAATTAAACTAATGAGTAATATTTTTTATGAACATATATTATTAAATCAACTAAAATTTCTAAATAACAAATTAATAGTAATATTGTGTAGTAAAACAAAATAAAATATTCATAATATGAGAAAAAGAAAAGAAAATCACAAATTAAAACGATAAATTTATGAATATTTTACACATATATATACAAACTCATGGGTAACTCATAACCCTAATGGGTTTACCCATTGGACTCATAGACTATTAGGATCAACTCGCTAAAACCCATTTATTTATATGGGTGAAAAAATTCAACCCAAACCCACTAAAATTTGTTACCATTAGGTTCAACCCATGTGTAATGACCCATTTTGACACCCCTATTATCCCATATTTTTTCTTTCGAGCAATTTGTTTTTTGTTTGCTAATGAACACGTCTGGAAGAATTTCCCAGGTAACTGCTTCAGAGGTGCAGATCCTTCTAGCTTCCGGTATGAAAATGGAGGCTTTGCAATGTGCACAAGAAGGCCATTTATGGGGACCAGCGCTTATTATCGCGGCACAGCTTGGGGATCAGGTTCCCTTCCATTGATTACTATAGATTTTTACATTCCGCTCTTGTGGTTGTTTGACTGACTTGATTGACGTCTTAAATTGATGCAGTTCTATGCTGAGACTGTGAAACAAATGGCCCTTCGTCAGCTTGTACCTGGGTCACCTTTGCGGACATTGTGCTTGCTGGTTGCAGGGCAACCAGCTGAAGTGTTCTCCAATCGCAGTACAAGCGATATCAGTTTTCCTGGTTCCGTTAGTGTGCCTCAACACCAACTCTAGGTAATACTTGCCATCTATTAATTCTCCGTCAGATAATGTGATAAATTAAAGAGTAAAGAAAGTGTTGAGAGACATGTTGAGCGGATTTGTAGAGATTACAATGGTACCTTCACTAGAAGGAGATGAAAACTCCTTATTGAGGAATACTAAGATTCAAAATAAGTAAACCCCAAAACCGGAATTAGGGAAAACATAAGCATTACCCCTTATTCTTCTCATGATAAAGATACTAAATCAATCAATCAATCTCTACTAAATCATTGCTACATATCAATTACTATGACTAGATGACAATGGAAGACAAGAGATAGTTTATGTACCAGAAGGAGTTAGCGCTCACTCTTCCATTATAAGGAAATAATTTGTTCATGCAGCTCTGCCACCAAGAGTTAGCCAATAGTGTCTCTTATTACCTTAAATTGCAGTCTGGAAGTAGTAGCATGCTAGACAATTGGGAAGAGAATTTGGGTATAATAACTGCTAATCGAACCACAGATGATGAGCTTGTGATTACTCATCTTGGAGATTGCATGTGGAAAGGCGAGGTAATTCTCTGCCTTTTTACATTGTTGTACTTCATGGAAGACTTTATTAATCATGACATTTGAGCTGCTGTGATGAAGCAGATAATTGCGGCGCATATTTGCTATTTAATCGCGGATAAGAACTTTGATCCATACTCAGATAGTGCCAGGCTCTGCCTTGTAGGAGCAGATCATTGGAAATATCCTAGAACTTATGCAAGTCCAGAGGCTATACATGTGATTTTTTTTATCAATAAACTTGGAGATTCTATTTTGGGCATTTCATAAGTAGGCAAGCCTTCTAGTTCCTCGATATGTGCTTAATTTTTGGTTGGTCTTTACATGGGCAGCGGACAGAGTTATATGAATACTCTAAGACGCTGGGAAACTCTCAGTTCATCCTCCTACCGTTTCAGCCGTATAAAGTCATATATGCTCATATGCTGGCTGAAGTTGGTAAACTTTCGGCTGCACAGAAGTATGGAGATACACTTTTCATCAACTGTTACTTGGTTAGACTATATATGGCTTCTTGATGTTCATGTGTCGTTGCTGAATCAGGTACTGTCAAGCAGTATTAAAATGCGTCAAGAGTGGCCGATCAACTGAAGTAGACACTTGGAAACAGTTTGTTTCATCACTTGAAGAGAGAAACCGTATACACCAACAGGTACAATAGAATTACGTGGAATCATTTGCTTTTACTGGTGGGTTTACATGTCACATATGTTACATTCCGTCTATACCTTAAAAGAGTCTTGTACAATAAGATTCAAATCTGTGAGTTTCCTTTCGTTTGATTAAAAATGTGAAAAAAAGAATCTCAGCCTTATGGATATCCATTAGACAGGGAACAATATATAGCTTGATCTTTTGTCTAATGAAACCGGATATTCATACTACAGGGTGGGTATACTGGGAATTTGGCCCCAGCAAAACTTGTTGGAAAACTGCTTAACTTTTTTGATAGTACGGCAAATCGTGTTGTTGGGGGAACGCCACCAACTGCACCAAATTCAAATAAAGGAAGCCTTCAGGTAAATGGGTATCAACATCAACATCTGGAAGCTGCCAAATTACCATATAGTCAATCAGTTAATACAATGTCATCATTGATGCCACCTTCTTCATTGGAACCCATACATGAGTCGGGTGAAAATGGGAGGAGGAGGGTAGTACATACTAGAAGTGTATCAGAGCCAGATTTCGGTAGGATGCCAATACAGGTTAATACCAGAAAACCATTATCACCACTAATAATATCTTGAAATGGAGGGTTTATAAAAGGTTTGCCTTTTTCTAGGATATGGCTGACTCCTCTAAAGAAAAGGCTGTTAACGGGGTGAAACAGTTGAAATCGTCTGAAAGTATGACAGCTTTGCGGTTTAGTCGCTTCGGTTTCGGCATGCTGAAAGACACTGTAGGGAGGGTCTTACAAGCTCGTTCATCCAAAGAGGTACACTACTAAGTGCTTTGATCTTGATGATATTTCTTTGAACATATTCTAATTGTTTTGGTTCATGCTTTGGGTTAAGGCAAAATTGGGCGCAGAAAATCAATTCTACTATGATGATAAACTAAAGAGATGGGTGGAGAAAGGTGTGGAACCCCCAGCTGAAAAAGCTGCACTGCCTCCTCCTCCAACTATAGGCACATTCCAAAACAACTCACTGGGTTTTGAAAACAAATCTGACATGAATCCATCTAATGGAAACTGGAGTTCTGGCGGCCCAACTCCACCAGAGAATTCCTCAGGTATCCCACCAGTGTCACAGGGCTCGAATCAATTCTCAGCTCGCGGACGGATGGATGTACGTGCAAGGTAAAACAAATAGCTTGAGCGACTTGAGAATTAGAATGTGTGTAGATTACCCTGGATCCTAAACTATGAACTCAATTTTTCTGTCACATTAGAATGTCTATAAGGAGGGAATATAACACACCTTTAGTTTACTGCTAGGAAAAATGACGCATTAAGTATGAAAGAGGCATAATTTTCTTGGTTGCAGTTTCCGGTTTTCTAGCTGTTAGTTGTAGTTCATAGATAATGTGTATGCTCAAGAGTTAAATTATTTCACTCTGTTTTGAGGCAGATATGTCGACACCTTTAATCAAGGCTGTGGGAACTCTCAGACAATGTTTCAGTCACCTTCAGTACAATTTGCTAAACCACCAATCCCTGCAAAAGCAAAATTCTTCATCCCAGCAACACCTGCATCGCATTCAAACGACATGGTAACGAAATCAGCTGCTGTTGAAACCAGACAGGAGGAGTACTCGGCAGATGAAGTAGTAGCCTCTACATGGGCTCAACCACCAATGAGGATGCAAAGATTTCCAAGTATGGATAACATAAAACAAAATGGACTGGGAATAAGCGTTAATGGGGATCATCCTCCTCCTGCTTCTAGAAGAACAGCTTCATGGAGCGGAAACTTCAACACATCATTTACATCTCCCAGTAGTCCATCATCCTTCAAACCAGTCCTACTCAATAATAGCTGCATCAGCTTAGTAGAGGAGCTTCAAGAGGTGGAACTGTAAGTCGCCGAAAACTGATTTTTTTTACAAAGTTTAGTCAGTTTAACATGTAGGGAAGTTGTCGACACATAAACCGGTTAATTCCTTGTTAATCCGTGAGGGAAATAGGGAGCCTACTTGGGTCTTCTTCTTCAATGATAGGGCAGGCAATATAATTGCAGTTTGTATAGATGATTATTCATTGCTTCATTGGTTGAATTTTTTGAGAATGGAACCAAAAGTGGTCTTCAAGAGAAGCTCGCTTCTTTGGCATCTACGTGATCATTTGGGAGTTTGCGAGAGAAGTGATAATGATTGTGGCAAGAGGGAGGATAAAAAAAGACTTGAAAGTGATGAATACAGAAATTCTATCATTTGCCCCTCACTACTTCATCTTTCGAACTTTTGAGTTCCGATGTTATTTGTATTCACTGTTTCGTTATACATTTTGCTTTAGGTGCATTAGGGAACATATAGAGAGCTGAATTTGTTAGTAGTTATAGAAGTACACAAGTTTACACGGCCATATGTATCAAATTAAACAATTTCACCTTTATAATATAAACTCTCTATATAACACAAAAATAGAATATCAAACCCCAGTAAATTTGAATAAACAAATGATAACTAAGCTAGGAAAAGAAGGAAAAACGACGTGCAGTGTAATGAGTACAAAAATTCTAGTCATAAATGAAAGACATTTAAAGCAGGTTAAGCATCTTGAGGAGCGATCCAATGTCTTCCATTAACGAAGCTCTTAGCTATAAAAAGGATGAGCCGACTCATAGTCCAAAGCTTTGGCCCATGATACGCCTCTCGTTGCTGCTGCTCCTTGTCCATAGCAATTGTTGATTGCGTGATCAGGTCTTCCTTTTCCTATCCCTGATTCTGCAAGTGCACATGTCAGAAGTAGTAAACGGGTATCGAACACAAGGACCAGATTGCACACTACAAACTATGAGATTGAGATCGAGCTAGGGCAAACAGTATAAGATTGGTTGAGTGCAATGAAAGTAAAGGCATGCAAGTAAGTAAAGGTAAAGAAGTTGAAATCAATAGGAGATGAGGGCTAAGCAATAGGATAGTCTTAAGATAAGCAATTCAAGAAGCAAGGAATCAATCGATTAGGGTTATTGTAATTAGGTGCCATCTAGAACTCGAAACACTATGGTATGATCTTTCCACTTTTGTGGCTCCGACCCCTTTGTTAATCTCCCTAGTCGCTAAACTTTTGGTATGTCCCTAGGTGATTAAATCAAGCATTAGTTCGAATAAGTTCAATTGTTCACAACCTACAAGTAAATCAACTTTCGCAGTCTAAAAGAGGTTGCCCACCAAATACTAGTTCAGGCGAATGATTCAACAATTTTGAGGTTCAAGTCAACCTTAGATCATATGCCAGATTTGTTGAAGTTTTGATTACAAAACAGAGTAAGATGAGAAGAGAGAAAACAGAGTAAGAGATAAAAGATTATCTCTTCTCTCTTAAGAAGAACATTAACGAGGAATGGATTTTATTACACTGAAACTTGATAATCTTTACATCACGTGTTCCATCATGGTTATATACTAAGACAACAACACAAAGAGTTGTGTCTTAACACACCCTAAACCAAAAGTCACAACTTTACAAAGACAACGTTTAATACAAACTTTATTCTAACTTAGAAATCTCATAACCTAGACTCAATTAATTCCAACCTAGACTTAATTAATTCCAACAATCCTTTGTTTTGCTCCATAATGCACCTTTTGACCTAAAATGACTCTTTGCAGTATAAATCCATAAAAACTACCTTTTAAGACAAGAATCCACTAGAAAACCATTAGAAAACCATAGTAAAATAGTATAAAAAGCATGTAAAATAGAGGTATATCAACTCCCCCAGACTTAGATCTTTGCTTGTCCCCAAGCAAATCGAATCTAAACTAGTGAAGAGGTTTTGAAAACACGAAAACTCACTTATCTTTTGGAACTTGTATCCCATTGCTCTGCTCTCTTTGGGACAAACCAACTTTGAAACTGGCTATCACGTACTGACCTTGAGCTTAGCGAACCATACCGGACCCAACAAATCTCATCCAGTATTCCAAACTCTCTATTGCTAACTCCTTGCAGTATTTAAAGCGTGTGGTCTTTATCAAGGGAGTATTGATCACAGAGCATTGATTCTTACCCATCCAAGTGTTTGCCAAGATAGTCTTTCTTGCTCATTCAGTACCAAACCTCTCTCCTTCTCTCTTATCATTTGAAGAATCGATTTTTCCCTACTTTTCTAGGGTATCATTTTATTTTTTCTATCGATCCTCCTTCCCTTAAGATTTCTCTTTGTGGGATACATGGATTGGCATTGAGCTTCCTCCTTGTGTATAAGGTATTCCATAAGACATGAAGGTACAGAAGTATGCATTCCTCATGCTTACTTGTTTTCCTTGTGCTCTTAGAGCTTTTGATCTTTCTTTTGCAGATAAGAGAGAGGATGGACTGTTTCTTTTCTAGACATATCTCAACTAAACTCAATGAGGAGTCGACTCACATGAATCTCAAGCCCCTTGACAAGAAAAATTAAAGGTTCATTAAGTTGTGGAGCTAGCTTTAGATTGTGTGGGTACCTTAGAAATCTTGCCAAATCAGTAGGTCGATCCACCCTTAGAGGTTCCGTTAGGCATTGTTCGGTGTCGGATTCGCCTTAATGATCACAAGAGCTTTGGTGTGATATGGTAAGCTTCCTAGGATAGATCATAGTTTCCTACTTATTTTGACTCAATAAAACAGAAGTTTTGAAAAAGTGGGTAAGGAAAACGAATTTAAGATAGAAACAACATGAACAAACACATTAGTACCGACAATCCCCCCAGACTTAACTTGCACCGTCCCGGTGAAAGAAAATCCAATTAAGGGAGTTAAAGAAAGAGGTAATAAGGCGATTGTGAATGTAAAAAGAAAGATGTAACCTGATTTGGTTTGTATTGAAGAATGGTGTATGCAGTGGAATGATGGTGGTAGAGTATGGAATGCAAGTGTGGTGAGGTGGGATGGGCGAGATGCAGATGGAATGAGATGGGATGGTGTGTTGGGCGACTCGAGAGGACATGGGCGAGCGTGGAGAGGTTCTGCTCGGCCATCAGGGTCGTGCCAACTATGAGCATTCTTCCTTGTGGTGTATCTTCTTTATCATTGTGTGGTTCTTAGATTCCTGTATCCAAAACTCAAAACAAAACTAGACATTAACTAAAACTAATTGAAAAGAAAGATAAGAAATAACACCTTTCATGGGTTGCCTCCCATGCAGCGCTTGTTTAGAGTCATTAGCTTGACTGATAGACCTCTTAGTGAGAGAGGGGATAAGGGCATGTGATGTGGATTAAGTTTTACCCAATCCTATTACTAGATACCGCAAGTGCACGGATCGTTGGTAGTATGGGTTATCGAACACAAGGACCAGATAAGTTACACTATGAGTTTATGAGATTCAAATCAAGCTAGGACTCAAGTATGAAGGTTTGTTGTTGTCACGGATTCAAAGCAAAGTAAAGTAAATAAGATAAAAGCAATAGGAGAAAGCATTGGGCATCAGAGAATTCTCAAGGTTTCATAGATTGGATCAAGCAAATAGATAGGGAAATCAATAGTTTGTTCTAGAACTCGAATCAATAAGTATAATTGACCTACTCCCGCAGTGCCAATTACTATGTCTAACAACCTAAATCACACAACTTCCGCAGGTAATCAAGAGATTAAACATGTAAGAACAGTCTAAATTCGATAGCTCTACTTCCGTAGGTCTAGTTCACAAAGCCTTTGCAATTCTACTTCCATAGGTTACTATGCCTTGCTCATCTAAGTTGATTCAAGAGATTTAACAAGCGTCAGAAGTAAATCTACTTAAGAACATAGCTTAGACGGTCAATCAAGCTATAAGCAATAAGCACAAACTTAGATGAAGAACACTAATGATAAAACCCTAATCTAGCAACCTAACAATCAATCCATGAAAACCCTTTGAAAACTCTTAAACCCAACAAGGAGATTACTCAAGCATAGTAAGACAGATCAAGCATAGAGATGAAGAAGAATTCATAATAAAACTTGATAAGAAGTAAAGGGTTCAGAAATCTTCTCTATTGTGTTACAAAGGCGAGATCTTCTCCCATGAAGCTCTAAAACGAAATCTATGTAAGCTCTCTAAAACTAATGCGGCTCTCACTTCTAAAGAGGCTAAAAAGAGTATTTATAGTGCCCTAGGTCTTCCACAAGTCGGTTGAGGTGAAACGGGCCAAGAAAGGTTAAAACTGCATAAGTGGGCTTCTTGTTCGCGGACCTCGGGTCGACCGTGCAAGGGATGTGGTCGGCCGTCGGGGTCGGCCGTGATGTGATGGTCTTGGTCATGAGGTGATGATCTGGGTCGACCGTAGTCCTTTGCCTTCCTGGTCGACCGGTGCGTTCGGCCGGATGCTTTGATCGCATGTCGAGGAATGGATCGAGCGCGGTTCATTGCTTCCCGGATCGATCGCTGCGCTCGGTCGGCTGCATGGGACATGTGGTAAATATTGGTCGACTGCGGGTCGGTCCTGGTGAAGGCCGAGCGAAGCCAATTCCCTTCCTGTCCGGCCGAGTGCGTTCGGCCGGCTGTGGACCAGTCTTCAGTACAAACGTGATATCTCCTAAACGGCTTATCCAAATTGCATACTTCCAACGGCATTGGAACATAACTCATCTGGCTATCTTGGTGTTGAGTTTCATTGAAATCCATTGAGTTTAAGGGTCCAAGCCGCTGCTGCTCGTCTGATGTACTGATGCAGTCCGATAAAGCTCCTCGGTATATGTCTCAGGGAAATAGAGATATCTCCCAATCTACTCGGTCAAATTGATTGATTCCAGTTGTGTTGCAAAGCTAACTCACGTATGCATCACGTCGAACTGGATTTGATGAAGTCCATTGAGTAGAATGTTTTTAAGGCCCTTCTAAAGTTGATGCTACGTCCTGGAGCGGTCTTGAAGTCCAAATCCTGTGTTTTGCTCCAAAATGCATCTTTTGACCTGTTTAGACTCTAAGTACTATAAATACATAAAAACTACCTTTTTAGATCAGAAAGCCATTAAAAACCTTATGAAAAGCATAGTAAAACCATATAAAAAGCATGTAAAATAGAGTATATCAGCATGATCTGAGACAAAGTCTTTTGGTGCTTGTCTCATCATCCTTGAGTGTGGTCAGGTGGTTCTCTTGGGCGGCCTTGGGCAGTGATGAGGTAAGACAGCTTGTTTGGTGAGATGAATGGTATGGTCTTGTAAAAGACTGTCTTGTAACATTGGCAAAGACATTCGCCTGTTTGGAAGGTCCATGACAGCTCCAGCAGTGGCCAAAAAGGGTCGGCCTAGTATCAATGGTGTGTCACATCCTCCTTTGATGTTCATGACATGAAAATCCACCGGGATCTTGATATCTCCAATCTCTAGAAGAACATCAACAACAACTCCTCTTGGCTTGGCTATAGTATGGTTAGCAAGTCCAATACTAATTTGAGCAGGTTGCAAGCGTGTGATGCCAAGGAGTTTGGCGGTTTGGGTTGGCATGAGGTTTATGCAAGAGCCAGAATCGCATAGTGTTCTATCAAAGTAATGACCATTTACTTGACAGGGAATAGAGAATTGACCTGGGTCTTCAATCTTGTAGAGGGTCTTGAAGGTGGCTTGAACTTTAGCTTTCTCAAAAAGCTCTTGATGTCCTGGGTGTCTCCTTGCAGTTGTGGAAGAAGGTGGTGAATGGGTAGTGGCGCCAAGCTTGTTGGAAGACATGCTGGCTGGAAGAGTTTGGACAAACTGGTTGAACTCAGCAAGCTTCTCTCTTGATATGGAATTGACATACCATTCAGGGTGGGTGGATGGTGGTGATGGTGGTTGATTGACTGCATGAGGGGCAAGGGGAAATCGTGCCTTCTGAAAAAGTTGTGTATTCTTCTTTGGTTTCACCAGTTGTGAAAAAGAACTCCACTAGATCATGCTTTCCCAAGCTTCTTCAAAAGTGACATAGAATGGAAGTGATTTCACCTTAGCATTGAACTCTTAAGCTTCATGGGGCTTATCTTGTTGGGATCAATGGGATCATAGCCCAAGTATCTTCTTCTTCAGTAGGTGGTGATGGTCTTTGCATCACTTCCAATCTTGGAAGTTCAGAAGCTTGACTTCGTGGTGGTGGTGAGAAACGAGGGTCTTGGGCTAGGTGTATCCTTGCTCTGTTTTGGAGAAGCATTGATGTCGATGCTCTGCTCTTCATCTTCATCATTCAAGTTGTTCCTCATACTCTCTTTCTTCTTCTTCATTGTCCTCATGGACTTGGCGATTGTGCTTCTTCTTGTGATGGCATTGCAATAAAAGGGAGGGAGGTTGGGTGTTGGACTCCTCTCTCTCTTGTACTTGGAGTAGATGATCCTTCAAGGGCTTGTAGGCGGTTGTAGATCGATCCAAGATGCTTGCTATTGCCATAGCTAGTATCTTCAATTCTCATGCTCTTGTTCAGCAACTCTTGATATTTGGAGCAACATCAAGCTTAACTAGGTTAGAGATCGATCATGGTCTTCTCTAAGCTTCTTAATGTCTTCATCAAGCTTGATCACTTGCTTGAATAGGACTTCAGATTTGTTTCCAAGACTCTCATGGATGAAATCGATTCTCTCTCCATCTTCTTTGTACTCTCATCTTGATTTTCAAGTACTCTTGAAGCATCACTTCAATCTTGGTTGGCGCGGCTTGTGAACTCTCCTTGCAAAAAAGGTGCTTGTTTATGTCTGGTGATGATGGATGGTGTTGTGAATAGCTGGGGTGGTGGTGGAACATAATAGGACCTCTTGCAAATCTGTAAAGGAAAGCTTCCTTTGTACCTATTCCAAGTCTTGAAGCATGTTGGGCATTGAACTTACCCATTCTTTGGCTCGTCCAGCTAGTGATAGTTGGAAAAGTTGTATCTTCTTGGGGTTGTCTCCAAGACCATAGTAGTGCAAAGTTGCTCAAAGTTGTATAGATGCTCCTTTGCACACTCTGAAGTAGAATCATGGAAAGGGTCTCTCTCCACATGCTTGATTAGTTCTTCATTCATGATTCAGGATGGGTTGTATGCCTCCCCATTCTTCTTCATCACGCTCCACTTCATGCTGATAGAGTAGTGGTTGTACTTGGATTTGAAAGGTGGTCTCCTTGCAAATCTCTTCAAGAATGCTTCTCTAAAATCGATCCATGACTCGATTGGAGAAAGCGGTTCATGCTGCGCCCAATCTAGAGCTGGTCCAGCTAAAGATGCTGAATAGCATCATCTTCTTCTCAAAGTCAAAAACTCCATAAGAATCACAAAGATTCTCAAAGTGATCTATGTGCTCCAGTGCATACTCCGAAAAGATCATGGAATTGATCTCTCTTCACGAACTCGATCAGTTCAGGGTCAATCTCCTCTTCTGGTGTGGCTAGAAGGTGTTCTTCTCTGTAAGATGCGGCTTGGCTAGACGTCTCCAGGTCGGCTGCTTCAAGGTAGGGAAGAAGGTTCTTCTTGGACTTCAAGGGAGATAACTTTTGGAGGACTATCCCAAGAAGGTGGTGGTGCTTGAGGGCTTGACATCTCTTGTTCGTCCAAGAGGTTCTTTGAGGTGGTATGTGGCGAAGTGGGATCGCCTTTATAGGGTCAAGGACTTGTGAATCCTTTTCCATATCTAACTAGGAAAACCTGAAAAGTTCAAAAACAAAAAGGAAAAACGAAATCAAAAGAAAAAGGAAAAATAACAAAACAAAAAGGAAATAGAAGAAACCCTAGACTAGCTCTCTTGCAAGAGCTTGTAGGTGCGAATTGGTCCCCGACAACGGCGCCAAAAACTTGATCGCGGGATCAGGTCTTCCCTTTTCCTATCCCTGATTCTGCAAGTGCACAGGTCAGAAGTAGTAAACGGGTATCGAACACAAGGACCAGATTGCACACTACAAACTATGAGATTGAGATCGAGCTAGGGCAAACAGTATAAGATTGGTTGAGTGCAATGAAAGTAAAGGCATGCAAGTAAGTAAGCAGTAAAGAAGGTTGAAATCAATAGGAGATGAGGGCTAAGCAATAGGATAGTCTTAAGATAAGCAATTCAAGAAGCAAGGATCAATCGATTAGGGTTATTGTAATTAGGTGCCATCTAGAACTCGAAACACTATGGTATGATCTTTCCACTTTCGTGGCTCCGACCCCTTTGTTAATCTCCTAGTCGCTAAACTTTTGGTATGTCCCTAGGTGATTAAATCAAGCATTAGTTCGATAAGTTCAATTGTTCACAACCTACAAGTAAATCAACTTTCGCAGTCTAAAAGAGGTTGCTTCTCTATCCTCATCTACATCCGCTCTTATCATAAGAGTCTCCATCTCTTGATAGTATTCCTCCACACTTCTGCTCCCTTGAGTTAACCTCCTTAACTTTTGGTGTATCTCTCTGTGGTAATGACTGGGAACAAAGCGCTTCCTCATGATTGTCTTCATCTCATCCCATGTATCAATGGAATGCTCCATTAACGCCTCTTGTTGGTAACCAACTGATCCCACCAATTAATAGCATAATCATAGAACTCAGTGGCTGCAACTCGTACCTTCTTCCTCTCAGAATAGTTTTGGAAATCAAAAACCAACTCAATCTTCTTCTCCCACTCTAGATATGCATCTGGATCGTTTGGAATGATGGAATCTTCAACTTAATACCACCTAAGTTGTCATCAGCTCGATCCCTGCCCTCTCTAGTATGTCGTGGTCTCCTTCGACTCCGTCTGGATGAATGATCATCATCACTGTAATAGTCATTCTCTACTATGTGATTGATCTCTCTTGCTCTTCTAGGTTGAATAGCTCTTCTAGGCATATTAGGCAAAGTTTGTGGCTGCCTCTGTTGTGCCTCTTCATTGTATTGATCCAACCTGTCATGGACTGCTTCCATCTCAACCCTAATCAACCGTTTGATCTCTCCCACCAGAGCATCCACTTGGAATGTTTGGTTCGCCGGTTCTCCTTCCACACGGCCATCGTCATTATTTTTTCATGGTTAGACATGTTTCTTCCCTGCAAAATGAACAAACAAATTAGCAGAAAAGGTGTTTCCCAAGTGTTTCCCACAAAGATATTCTAGCTCTAGTGTTTCTGAAATTTTATATCCTCACAATTCCCTCAACCAAATATCTCTCAGCGAATTCTCCTAGTTCCAATAGAACTAATAATCAGATCTCAATGAGTTTTCCAAATAAAATAAACCAATAAATCAAGAGAAAAGAAAGAAAAAGGAAGATAGATAGATAAGAAATTTTGGATTTATATGACAAGCAAACTTGATCTATTCTAGAAGAGTAACCTTATACTTTCTCTCTTTTTTTTTTCTTTTTTTTTTTTTTTTTTTTTTTTTTTTTTTTTTTTTTTTTGTTGGCTCAACTAGTGATTACAGCAAATAGAAATAAAAGAAGGTGAAAAGACCGAAAATAAATTGAAAGAAAAAATTGAGAAGATGAAAAGATGAGAAGATGAAAAGTTATGATAGAATACCGAACTTAAGAGCGTTGCTCTGATACCACTTGATACGATCCTAGCCAAGATCTTTCACTCTAAGTTGGTAGGGATAATCCTTGCCTCCAATGGAATAGTGAAACTCCAAAGAAACAAGGCGGTGGAACCTTAGAAAGATGATGCATGTAGATCCAACAGTGAGTATATTAAACCCACTACCTGATGTTATCTTAAACTGCAAACAACTATCCTCAGTTGATAGAATGGCCACACAAGTGCGATGAAGAACACTTGATAAACCGGGTTGATCCCTTGGATATGACACACCAAGACAGATCGAAAAGTTCAAAAAGAACAAAGAAAATCACTCTCAAAATATTTGATAAAAAAATGTTGTTTTCTTTCTCAAGTGAGATTACATGAATATATAGGAAAAGAAACTTGGTGACAAAGCCAAGAAAGGGGACAAAGCTAGTTTATTAAATAAGAAAATAAATAAAGATAATTGATGTGACTCTTCCAAGCTTCTAAGAGACTCTTCAGCTCCATTTTCGTCACCTCCTTTGACCACACAATTAAGTGAGTAATTTTCAGCCTTCTTGAGCCTGTATGACATTCAGAAGAGGCTAGGCTTAGTAGTTAACATCATCAAACGAATTGTGAGTGCTTTCCTTGTCCAGAACTTCATGAATCAGTCCACTAAGTACATTCCTCAGCTGCTTAACTCTGGCCTGAGTCATTGGTCCTTATGGTACCAGCATTGCATCCTCTGGTTCAAGCATAGCTTCCTCAGGTTCAAGCTCAGCTACATGATTCTCCTCCTGGGTCCACCCTATGATCACATCACAATTTCTTTCATGGTTTAATTTAAGAGATAATTGCATGTATCGTATGGGTGATAGATAGGAATAATATCTTTATTCCATATTTATCTCATAATTAATATTATAATAACAATATTCGATTTATATGGTGCTATAAATACTTACAAAGTATCGTTCGTGCTCAATCTTGAGGCATTACTATAGGGTAGATCCAAGCTACTGATTCATATAATTTTAACTGGTCTCTAGGCACTGTTGTTTTAGATGCATTGTTCCAATGAAACAAGCTTAGTAACCTTTCCTTGGATCTTGGAATCCTTCCGAGTAAGATTATGCTAACGTGGGAGTTAAACGACGTGTCAATAGGTAAATCAGTTTTTGTTATATTAATGGTATCTATTTGGTGATGTGTACTATTGGTTGTTATTATGATATGTATGTATATTGATTAGCGTTCTGATGTAGGTTTCGGCGAGAGTCTCTTGAAATCGCGCTTTCACGACGGAACAGATCTTCGTGTTAATATTTTTACAGTTCTGTCTAATCGGAAACTACGATTTTGTATTGAATTCAAATGATTCATCTGGTTCTATATTTGTCAAGGTTTTGAGGGACTAGAGACAAGTATATCTGTTGAAAATATAGACCACTGAGTTGATCCTTGCGGACGAATATGTGCGTTTGTTAGTTTGTATACATATAATTCAAATTTAATTAACTAATGTATTCAGTGGTTGTAACTGTTATGTCATTTTGTACTTTGATGACCAGGGTGTGAAGATCCAAGCTTCTGTTAGTGAAGATCGATCACTTTCCTTTTTAGATTCAATGGTTACTGGTCCGTGGCTTACCCTCAAGAATTTTAAACTAAAACCTCAGATTGGATCTTGCCGAGCCACAACACACATTCACATTATCTGTTTGGATGGATCAACATCTATTACAGACAGCAGTACTGCATGTGATCGTTGTTTTTTGTACTTCATCGATTTTCAGAGTGTACTTGATCATACGCATGATGACGATTGTTTAGTCGGTGAGTGTACTGTTATGCAGTTTGCATGTTTTTGTAGTGTAGTTGTGGATGTGTAATTGTTGTCCATATCTTATTGGGGAGGTTGCTGGGGTTGGGAGTTTTGATCTAGCTGCATGTCTCGGCAAAGAAGTTGGACATGAGTATAAGAACATAATGTTCGACATTCGTGATACAAGGTTTGTAGTTCTTAAAAAAATTATATATTTTGTTGTCTATTGTTTTCGTGTACTTAAGGTTTTAGTTTTGCTTGGTATATAAAAACCAGCGATGTGCTTCTTGAATGTGAATTATCTGGATCTGTGGCTGCAAGTTTTTATGCTGACTGGAATCGTGTCAAAGGTGGTGTTGTTGTTTGCGTTTTCTGGTGGGCTGCTGTTGATTTTTACAGAGGTATTAGTGTTTTTAACTGTCTTTTTTTTTTTTTGCTGGCATAGGTATCGTTTATTACCGTATTTACCAGAATTTGTAAATTCTTTTACAGGTAAGACGACTATATGTGAGACTTCGCCTACTCGCGTGATGCTCAATCCACCTATTCCAGAAGTGGATGAGTTTATGTCAAGGTTGATAAGCATTTTGCTGAATTTTAACTATATTTATCTGTTTTTTATTTATGTTAACGTTTGTTTTATTAATTTAAGGTTGGGGAAGAAGAAATCACTGAGATGTTCATCGAGGATTGTGGGGGGTGTATGATGCATGGATTTGATTATCTGAGGCATTTGCTTTACGCTTTGATTTTTTGAAGTTTTTTTAGACGAGTGTTATGATTAATTTCTTTTTGGTATTGCATGTTTTTTTAAATATCCATTTATTTTCGTGATGAATCTTCACTATGTTTTTGGTCACACAATCAAATTTAGCAAGTGTGAATTTTGTTTTCGGTTAACGAATATTATTGACGCATTGAGAATTACTTTTACTTCATATGGATAATTATTTCAGCTCTACGAATCAGTGGCCGGCTAGATTTCGGTGTAGATTGTCAAATAGTATTTTTTTGATAGCAGATTTTTCTCCAAGTGTTTGTTATATCGTAGCAAGTCTTCAGAAGCGTTTGTCGATGAGATAGAGGATGAACAGTTTGATGTGATAACACGATGTTCCCAAAATTTGTTGTGTAGTAGCGTGCATTCAATAGCGATTGTGTATAGATTAGATGACGTTTATTTATGGGACTTGGAATGGTATTGGTCAAGACAGTATTTCCCAGATGATTTGTGCAATATTTATATATAGAATCAGTGGTAATGATATCCATTTCATTCGTATAGATCATAAATTGTCGAAATTACGTGCAAAACACTGTTTTGAATTGATAGCAAATTGTCTCCAAGTGTTCGTTTTGTGTTTGCATGCCTTGAGTGGCGATTGTTGAAAAGATAGAGGATGAACAGTTTGATATGATAACATGGTGTGCCAAAATTTGTTGTGCAGTAACATGCATTCATAAGCAATTGATGATGAGTTAGATGATGACCAAATGTGAATTTACTTTGTATGATGAGATAAGGAATGAAAACGTTATTAGATGTGTGACGATAAATTATATCGCTCATTGTTCAAATACACCGTCGTATATGAATTTCACAAAGCATCAATATCTAATAAATTACTCAAACGTTGCGTTGAAATGGTTTAATGTAGCAGTTATTTATCTTTTTCGTTTTATATGTAATAAATAACATTTTGGGTTGATGTCACTTATAAAAAAAAATATTGATGTAAATAAAAGTTTGTGAACGTAATCTCTATCTCTATATATAGTGGATGTATTCTCTCATGTATTCGCAGTAACTCATAAACTCATTCAAATGTATTAGTAAAATGACCACTTTTCATGAGATTTACAAATTAGATCCATTCACCCTTGGTTGAAAAATTGGAGTGAAAATCGTTCGCATGTGGTATCAATTTTGGGGATTTGGGACGACGTTGGAGATGATAATTAGCGACGACAAGGTAGACGTTATGCACCGAAAGTTACAAATTTGATATATTTGTTTGATGTTGTGCAGAGAATATAAAACGTGTTTTACCTATTAGGGAGTTCATATACCCACGACGGTGATGCCTGGCGATATCGATCAGTTTAAAGATAAATTCGAGCAAGGGCAATGGATTCTCTTATGGGGGTTCAAGGTCGTGGAGGAATCAAGATCTATGCGAACTACTAATTCTAGATACAGGATCGAGATACTCAATTCTATGCTGGAAGCGAGGGCAAAAGGTTTGCTATTGCGCCCAACACGATTTTATGACATTTTTACAAGAGGCATCGACAGCCAGTATCTCATAGGTATGTTAAGTACATCAAATCGTATTATTATGTGGTCACTATTGCTGTTTTATAAAACGCTTTAACCGGTCGTTTTGGTGTTTTGTAAAATTATGATTTACGTCCAGATATTGTTGGCTTGTATAATGTTGGAGAGATCAAGGAATGGCCAGTTACGGCATACCGATACAGGGACTGTGAATTACAATTTGACCTTATTGATGCAACGTATGTCTATATAATTAGTTTTGGTTACTAATATTGACTCTACCTTTTTAGTTCGTTTTTATGTTTGTAGATGTTTATAATCTATAAGTTTAATTTGTGATGGAAGGAGAGAGGCAGTTCTGATGTGCTTTGCATGTGGAGATCTGGCGAAGGAGTTTCACAGACTGTACCAAGAGCGAAAAGATGGAATCGTTTTCTGCTTTCTCAGATATTGGAGATTAGATTATCAAGGTTGCAATGGTTCGATCATCTTATGCTCCACGGGATCCTGCTCTAATTTTCTCTTCGATCTTATTGATAAAGATGTCCAAGATTTCAAAGACGTGTAAGTTTATGGGAGTTAAAATAAACTGTTTTACTGATTATATTGATAAACTAAATTGTAGGTACTTTCGCAATCGTACTTCGTAGAGATTTGACGGGAAGAATGTTGTTTCATTTCGCCGTCTTTTATGTCTATCGTTGGCGTCTCTTTGTAATTATGTGTGTTGCATGTCTATTGTGTTGGGTTTTGTATATCATATTTACTATCTACTTGGTTTTTGTAATTCGTATTTACTGTCTACTTTCTATGTAGCTATCACAGTCTATGAATTATCTATTTAATGATCAGTTTGCAGTTGTGTATCAAGCGTTTAAAGGTTATGTGAGAAATAGTTATAGAGTATATTGATAAAAATCGTTTAATATTTTTACAGATTTGCGGATGATTTAATATGTCCAAAATAAATATATATTTAAAAAAAATATATTGTTATCCAGTTTGCATGTTTTTGTAGTGACGTTGTGGATGTGTAATTGTTGTCCCGATCTTATTGGGGAGGTTCCTGGTGTTAGGAGTTTTGATCCAGCTGCATGTCTGGGCAAAGAAGTTGGACTTGAGTATAAGAACATAATGTTCGACATTCGTGATGCAAGATTTGTAGTTCTTAAAAAAATTATATATTTTGTTGTCTATTGTTTTCGTGTACTTAAGGTTTTAGTTTTGCTCGGTATATAAAAATCAGCGGTGTGCTTCTTGAATGTGAATTATCTGGATCTATGGCTGCAAGTTTTTATGCTGATTGGAATCGTGTCAAAGGCGGTGTTGTTGTTTGCGTTATCCGGTGGGCTGTTGTTGGTTTTTACAGAGGTATCAAGGTTTTTAACTGTCTCTTTTTTTTTGCTGGCATAGGTATCGTTTATTACCGTACTTACCAGAATTTGTAAATTCTGTTACAGGTAAGACGACTATATGATAGAATTCGCCTACTCGTGTGATGCTCAGTCCACCTATACTAGAAGTGGATGAATTTATGCAAGGTTGATAAGCATTTTGCTGAATTTTCACTATGTTTATCTGTTTTTTATTTATGTTAACGTTTATTTTATTAATTTAAGGTTGGGGAGGAAGAAATCACTGAGATGTTCGTCGAGGATGTGGGGGATGTATGATGCATGGATTTGATTATCTGAGGCATTTACTTTACGCTTTAATTTTTTGGAGTTTGTTTGGACGAGTGTTATGATTAATTTCTTTTTGGTATTGCATGTTTTATGGAATATCCATCTATTTTCGTAATGAATCTTCACTATGTTCTCGGTCACACGATCAAATTTAGCAAGTGTGAATTTTGTTTTTGGTTAACGAATATTATCGACGCATTGAGATTCACATTTACTTCATATGGATAATTATTTCAGCTGTACGAATCAGTGGCAGGCTAGATTTCGGTGTAGATTGTAAAATAGTATTTTGATTTGATAGCAGATTGTCTCCAAGGGTTTGTTGTATAGTACCAAGTCTTCAGAAGCGTTTGTCGATGAGATAGAGGATGAACAATTTGATGTGATAACACAATATTCCCAAAATTTGTTGTGTAGTAGCGTGCATTCTATAGCGATTGTGTATGGATTAGATGACGTTTATTTATGGGACTTAAAATGGTATTGGTCAAGACAGTATTTTCCGGATGATTTGTGCAATATTTATATATAGAATCAGTGGTAATGATATCCATTTCATTCGTATAGATTCTAAATTGTCGAAATTACGTGCAAAACACTATTTTGAATTGATAGGAAATTGTCTCCAAGTGTTCGTTTTATGTTTGCATGCCTTGAGGGGCGATTGTTGAAAAGATAGAGGATGAACAGTTTGATATAATAACACGGTGTGCCAAAATTTGTTGTGTAGTAACATGCATTCATTAGCAATTGATGATGAATTAGATGATGACCAAATGTGAATTTACTTTGTATGATTCTACTTAGGGTATAAGATTCTCATGTATCGAAATATTGGAAACTATACTAAAATACGTCAGAGAGATAACTACTACTATAATATTGCGTATATATCTTACTTTTTGAAAATATAAAATTAACAATTTAGTAACATGCAAATATACACACACTATAGCTTTATATATATATATATATATATATATATATAAAGCTATAGTGTGTATATATATATATATATAAAGCTAACCAGTCCGATCTTCTGAAACGAAAAATTTGGTGGATTAATCTCGCAACCGGTTTCTTTGACTTAGCAAGATGGAGAACAAGGCTGTGGCAAAACGGATGCGACTTCCACGATTTTTGCGATGTGTAAGATGTTTCTAGGTTATTTTTCTATTGTAAAATTTAATATATGGAATGGTTAATAAGGTAATTAAACTATTGATCGAAGTGTATCCGGCGTCTGTTTCGTTGGATCCAGTGAGTTGTCATGATGCAAGAGTATGGAGGAAGCAGATGATAGATGCAATGCCATCCATGTGTTTGTATCACAAGAGTGGCTTGCTGTATTTCACGGTGGATACCACGGTAGAGGAAACGTTTATGGACCATGATATGGAGCATTGGATGCATTTCACGGAATTTGCCAGTGTCAGGGATGGAACTTGTGGAACGAAACATCCAGTTGGTAAGTGTGATAACATATTATATTTCGGTCGTATGTGGGTTTTATAATTCATTGTTTTCATAGTTTTTTAACTGAATTGTGTCATTCCTGTGATATGCATTCAAGATTTTCTAGGTCATATTTACTGTGTTGGAACGCTCGGATTAACCAAATATCGTTCGATTAAACTAACAAATGACAAAAAGATTTCTGTCATCACATTCTCGCTTAAGGACAATGCGTGAGTTTTATATTATTTCATATGTGTATAAATTTTGTTATATTTAACATGGTTAGTTTATATGTTAAATTTTCTGTCTTCTTGCAATTTCAAATTCTTTGTAGTGGTAAAACCCGTAACTGTGTTGCCCTTGGAGAATTGGCGGATAAGATCAATGACGATTAGCATTACAATAGTTTATCTACCTCTATATGCACTCTGAGTCACTCGAGAGTATTCAAGGATGAAGGTAGTTTATTGTTTATTTTAAGTTATTCAGAAATTCAAACTAAATTGATATCCGTTAAGTGTGTTCTTGGTGTTCTGTAGCATCCGATGAATACAAAATCAGGGACGCCGGAGGCATGTCAAGCTTTGAACTGGATCCGAAGGACATGTACGTTATTTGTCAATCTAATTGATTATCCTGTTTTGTCTGGATGTATCAATATATGTTTTAATTGTTTCTATATATTATAAAATATAGGTTTGGTTATATGGAGGGTGAAGAGGTTGATATGGACGATGCTGAATTGAGTGATGAAGATGAGGAAGATTGTAGTGACTCTTCTTATGTTGAAGAATTGATCTGCCTATCACCTTAATTTCTGATCAGTTCAAATATATGTTTTCAATTCGATTTGAATTATCTTTTCTTTCTTTTGTGTTGGACTATATGTAATATATAATCGTTTTCGGCTTTTTTGGTAGACTTGATAATCAATATGGTACGTATTGTTGGTGTTTGTATTGTCGTAAACGAGTAGTTCGAACCGAACATGTCTTTTGCTAATATGAGTCGCTTATCGGCCAACAAATATTTAGATTGATTAGATTGCGTTTAAACTTGGTGTAACAAAATCCACAACCAACAAAGGCCCAAAATAATATTCATGATCTAATATTAGGATATTATAAAAATATAAATATTCCTTCTTCGTATATCTATAAAATAATGGAAACAGAAAAATATTTCTTTCGTATACATATCTATAACTAATACTAATTAGAAATACTCCACAAACAACTTGGAGGATAATATGGCGGTTTCCTCTCATCTATATGTTATATTAGGTTAATGTAAATATTTCTTCTGTGTATATTTATAAGATACTATATAAACGTAATTATTCCTTATGTGTATATATCTAACGCTAATCTTAAATAGAAATATTCCACAAATCCTTTGGGCGGTTGCTACTCACCTATATATATGCGTCCTTAAACTTGGACTTTCTTCTTTATAACATATACAGATTTCTTTTGCAATGTCGATATACAAAAGAAAAAGAGTGTCTCTTGTCCACATAGACGATCTGGATTCGTCTTCCGATAGTTTTAAGATAAAGGTCAATATACTCAAAATTTGTGATGGATACAAAGGCAAGGGAGAGAGATGGTTTTATTAGATGAAAAGGTAATTCCCGTAGTAATACAATCTACATATGTAATTCACATTTTTATGTATGTGTACGTGTTCTAATATAGTTGATTATGTAACAGGGTGACAGAATCCACGCTTCAGTTGATAAGGATTGTGTTGGTGAGTTCAAAAACAAGTTGGTAGAAGGTAGATCGGTCGTATTAGACACTTTTAAGGTTGGTCCTTACCAAAGTGCCATACGCACGTCGAGATGTTCTTTTAAGATCAGATTCTACGCCACTACGGGTGTTAGTCCGTGCTCTGATTTTCCGGGTCATGTACCCGAGAAGTATATGCTGAATTTTCAGGATATACTATCGGGTAATTTGGACAGGTCTTATTTGATAGGTAATCAAGATATAGTGTCCTTTTGTTCTCTCCTATTATCTTCATGTTTGCTTTAGTTGATTGTATATTTATTTTGCGTGATTGCTTAGACGTCATGGGTCAGATAGTACGTATGGGTAATGTCGAAGAGGTTACTGCACAGAGAAAAGCGCTCAGAGACTTAGACTTGATCTAAGAGATACGAGGTTAGATATATCAGATATATAATTTAAGACTATTGTGACAAACAAAATATACTCTTACCTTTGATTTATTCAACCACTTGCTTACAGTGATATGAAGTTGTCTTGTACCCTATGGGGTGAATATGCTCATCAAGTTTCTCAGTACGTTAAAAAGAACGTTGAATCTATTGTTGTGTGTGTAATCCGTCTGGCCTCCGTCAAGGAATACCAGTGTAATTAAATATCAATTCTTATTTTTTTTCTCATCACATATATTATTTATTTTTGATCGTTTATTTTTGCTTCTTTTTTTGATGACATAGCTGTAAATAGCATCTCAAACTATTTTAGCACCACAAAGATCTTTTTAGACCCTGGTATCCCCCGCGTGCACGATTTTAGACAAAGGTTTGTGTCCGGATTTTATTAATAAATAACTTTTTTATAGTTGAATTTGTTGTTAATTCTTTTTCCAATAATCTAGGTTACCATCAAATAGATATGATCTCTATCCTACATATGAAGAGTTGCAAGTTTCGATCTTTCTGATTAACCCTAGAAAGTTAACAGTTACGAAGGAAATATTACATTATAAACAGAGATGTTAATATGTATTGAAATTATGTAGGTAAATCTAATTTTATAATTTATTACGACTCAAAGGTGTATATATATACTTATTCTAAAATATGTGGTTCTGAAGTTATAAATGGCGAACTATTACCTCACCGATTTTAGACACATAAGTTTTAATTTATGTGTTTTTCTTTTTAGAAAGTTACATCCACTGGCTACCAGAAGAGCAGTGCGAGTATATATTATTCGTATGTTTGATAGTGCAATTGGAGACGAGACCGTGAAGTTCGTTTTTGTGGATCATAAGGTAACCAGATTATATGGATGAAATAATCAGGAAATAATATGTATTATATATAGTCGGTTAAATTTACAGCTGTACTGGTCATCAATCGTTAGTATATATAAATAGGTGCTCCGGTTTTTAGTTTTCTCGGTCAGATAATATCTACTGCGAGAATATGTATGTTTATCCAAGCGATTACGAAGTGTATAGATTACGACATGTGTTTGCTTAACGTAGTGGAATTGCATCCTCTTATTAAAAAAAAAAATAGTGTTATGGGTGTAATCATCCGCACGTTTGTTGGTTTCGACGGTATAGATGAAACGTTGGAAGTTCTGTTGCTCGACGAGAAGGTGACTCGCTAATTAATTGTGTTGTTTTTGTTGTGGTTTTTTTTGCATATATTGCACATTTATATTATGTATATGTTCGCAATTAGACATCTAATGATTATTCGTTTTAGGGTGATCGGATCCAAGCTTCCTTGAAGAAGGAGTTCGATGTTCCTGTTATCTGTTATCCCTACCCCAATGCAGCCTCTCTTTTTGCGAAAAGGTGATTGGATCCTATTGGTTGATTCGATCTGACACCAGCATTTGGGGAGTTCAGACTAACTCCTCATGACTTTGTGATAGAATGTAACATATCAACGATCATTAGGAAGTTTCCACATGGAAGATCTGATTACAAGTACAATTTTGCATCGTTTGAGGATATCAAAACTGGTATCGTGGATCCTGCCTTTAGCGTGGGTAATATTTTTTTTTTTCTTTCTTATTGCCTTTAGTGTTGTTATCTGTGTATTTGAGTTTATACATTTGCTATAATCGTATATGTGTTGTTATGTTTTCATCCATCTATTTTAAAGATCTGATTGACAAGGTTACCAATGTTGGAAACTTTTTCAAGCGATGACATGTCGCTGCTGTGGATAAAAACCATAATGTTTATTTATATCTGCAGAATGAAGGGTAAGGAATTATTGTATTCATATTAAGTCATAAATGAGTATAGTATTTGATATATATTAACCATATATAAGTATAATATTTGACATGACTTAAATAGTTCGATGTTGTCGATACCTTGGTAGGGGTGATTGTATAACAGTGGTGATACAGAGGTTGCACGCAGAGGATATTGTTTGTCGTTTGATGGACTATACAGTAACGACTGATATATGCGTCGTGAGGTTTGCGAGAGTTAGGAAATCAAATCGAGTCTGGTCGGCTCATGCGGTACATCTGTACTCACATGTGACACTGGATCCTAACGTGCGCAAGGTTAATGAATTCCGACGTCTAATAGCCGAAAGCGACAAACAGTGTACCAAGGCCATCGACTAAGAAAATTATAACGTTTTTAATGAGGGTGTGGTTATCCAATGGTTTCATGTTTGTTTATGTCATTAGTGCTTTCGAAATTATGAACATTTTCCTTATAAAGGTTACATCCAATAGCATTGTTATTTATTATAGTTATTATTAAGTTTAGAGAAATTTACGTTGTTAAGTTGATATTTAGAACAATCGCAAAAAATATTGCACAAAAATTCGTTATATATATATATATTTTTAACAACTCATATTCGTTAGATAAATATTAAGCATTCATTAAAAATAGTTTTAATATATGAAAATACAGATATTTACGTAGGTCGGCGTCTGTATAACTTCCATTGTCCATTCTCGAGAGACCACAACCTTTCACATCTCCTAAAAGAACTATCATTGTTTCTCAACGGAGTTTTGTCCGAACCTAATATGGCTTGTGCGTATCAAACAATTAAGCAGCTTGTGCTATGGAAATATCCGTCAACAATAAGGGTTAAGGTCTCTAGGAGGACTGAAACTTAAGATTCTGATGGTATGCCTACGATGAACTTCATATTTCTTGACCATGAGGTATGATGACCGACTCTACACCACCGTTTTCTAGATATACTACTCTGATTACAGTTTTAGCATTCTCAATAATGTGCTAGATACTTATAGGGATTATATTTGCTTATATAAATTTTTTAGGGAACTAAGATCCATGCAGTTGTCAGCAACTCCAGTTTCAATTATTTCCGACTAGCTTTACCGGAGAGAGAATGGAGAGATCATCAAATTCAAGGTTTCGTCGGACAATTGGCTGAATTGGAATTTCATGGTCGCGGACCATGACTACATGATCGTCCTTAGACATGGAACAGAAGTTTGGCCTCTTCAGCTTCAATCGGATAACCAGGGTCTTACAATCAGAGGAAAGCTATGCTTAATCAATCTTGCTCTCAAACAACTTGTATCAAGGTATCTCTTGATATTGAGCTTCTCAATGCCTAGCTAACCCTTTCCCAAGGTGAAAGCTATCAACCAAGACTTGATCTCAGAAACAGGGGGTTAGCCAGTGAGAATCAAGCCTTGGAGGCCATAGGATCATTGCTCAAACTAATCCATCCAACCCCTATGAACTCCATTTCGAGAGCAAGAGTTATTGGAGCTCTTAGTGGACCTTTTCCAACGATTTCCATCACTTCCATGTAGAATCGCCTAATGACATACAAGCCAGGGTAGTGGTCATGTAGCCTTAAGGTTTGTCCAAAAGAGAGAGATTTCTAGATTAAGAACATAAGCAAGAAGGATTAAGCATAAAGATCCCCTAATCTAGCCCATCTTTGACCCTAAAGGAAACTACTCACTACACATGAATGTAAACACAATCAAATGCAATGAAATCGACATAATATGAAAGAGGAGATAAAGATAAAAACTTTTATTGAAATAAGCAAGTGCAAATACAGAAAGATAGAACCAGATCTAAGATTCAAGAGCAAGAGCTTCAAGAACACAAAGAGATGCTAGGGTTTTGCAAAAAGTAAAGACAATTAAAAGAAAGCTAAAACAAAAATAAGCTAAAGATTGTTGTCTTTTTTCGTGGCTTAGAGCCTTTAAATACAAAGGGATTAGGTTTAGGGTCAAAGGGAAGTCAAGGGGGAAGCAACATTTTTCGGGTTTGACTGTTGACTTCTCAGCTCGATCGAGTTGAAGCTTGGCCGGTCGAGTTGAGGAACTCGACCGGATGGTCGAGCTGGTCTTCAAGATGACTTCCTCCTTCTTCCTTTGCGTATCCAGTTGAGCTGCGTCCATGCACCAAGTCCTTCCTTGCTCCTCACGTCCCATATGCTCCAAAATGCTCCAAAAGACCTATTTCAAAGGACCAAACATGCATATGTATGCAAATGCAACCTAAAACTACTATGAATGCACAAGAAGGGAAAAGGAACAAGATATGATGCTAATGGACTAAAACTATGCAAAAGATGCATAAAAGATGTACTAAAACTATGCAAAATGCAAGTACATCAATACCCATCGGTTACCTTGCTCCTTATTCTATTGTTAAACCAATGGTATGACTCTTGGATTATTTTGACCACGAGAACAGGTGAGATTATGATCGTCAATGGAGGAGGATTGTCTAGATTTTGGTTTGATCCTAACATCCCCGAGGTTGCTCTTCAGAAACAAAGGTAGTTTGGATAATTCTGATTTATAATTTATATCAATATTCAGTATGATTTAGTTATTTAAAAATAAAATGCAACTAAAATTTGCTTTATTTTGTATAGGATCGCAGTTCAGAATAATTAGTAGAGATGATCACGTATGTTTGATTCAGTATAATCTGAAAAACATATTACTTTGGCCATTGAGTTGACATCTATAGTATTTCCTTATGTAATCGTGATTTCATTCTCTGCTTCCCTCTTCCAATAACAATAAAATTCGTTTCTGATTATCCATAAATAAATTTAAATGTTTTTAATTTATGATGATTACTTTATTAGCTTAATCTCGATTTTTTTTTTATAGTTAACATTGTTCTATAACATTAAATAATGACCATATAAAAAATAATTAGTTCATATTTATGTGAGGCAATCAAGTTTAGCATCTGTAGTTAGTTTAAAATGAATAAGTACATAAGAAAGATATTTGTTTGACCATATAAAAAACAATTAGTTCATATTCATACAGATATTCGTTTGACGAGAACCAGAAGAAAGATTGCTCTGGTGTCAAACACCCGAGTCACACCAGCTGAAAACTTGCATGTTATAAATCTGCTTGATCTAATCCCGTTTGGAGATGTCTGGGACGGATCTGTTCATGATGGAACTTCTTACATTAAATGTTACATTTTTTTCTGATGATGATTGAACCTAAATGATATTTCACTCTGTTATATTTTCTGATCATATTTCGTTGTTTTTTTAAAAGACTTTGTAGGGATAATTTTTTGGGTTGAAGACGTTTTGCTTACCGAAGATGACTCTATTCCCAGAAATCCATTTAACGATGCTCCTAAAACCACTAACATGATCGATTTTATCCTACAGGACTACGAGTAAGTATATGTGGATAGTAAACATAATATTCTCTTCTATAGTAATGTTATTCCGAAAATTAAAAGACAATTATAAATTTATTGTAGTGGGCATGAACTTTTTTGTCGTGCAAAGGGTGCCTTAGCAGAAAAATTTAAAAACTACTGGCTTTGCTTTGGTAGAAGACAGACCATCGTATGCCTGCTAACTGATTGGCGCATTGTTTCCACAGAAGGTCAATTGCTCAGGAAATTTTTTAAATAATTGTCGCTTGAATCTACTAATTATGCATAATTTCGTTTTGACATGTCAAATTATTATTTTTAGGTCCTATTCACGTCGTAGCTGAAGATGGAATATCTAAGTTTCATTACGATCCTAAGGGCTACAATGAGGTTAAAAATTTCGCTCAAAAAATAGTAAGTATTAGGTCTATCTCACTGACATTTGGATAATTACTTTTAGTTTGGTTCAATCTTGACTGCTAGAGCATAATAAAAATAACATCTTCTCTGCAGCTTTAGTGCCTATGAAACTAGCGAAGAAGGAGAATCTGAAGAAATAGAGCAGGATGAGATGGAATGCGGTAAAACTGGATTCAACAAGCGATCAAAGTATTTCGAAAAGACTGGAAATTTTTGAAGTTTGCATAATATGTTTTTCATATTTTTTAAATGTTGTATTTTATGATAAAGAACTATCTATATTTTTATCGTGGTCGAAACTCGGAATGTTTATCTCGATATTGATCGTGAAAATATCGAAATACTAAGAGAAGCAAGCGAGTGGGCATCACGCCGTTTTTTACGCCAAATGTTTTGATGGAGGTGGCATATCAAGATTTGAGTTTGATCTATGTTTCCCTCTGGCTCAAGAATTGAAGGAGAAGTAAGTCTCAAATTAACAAAAAGCTTGATACTATATAGATTATATAACTCGGCAATGATATTTTTGCATCCGCGTAATAGAACATGTTTATAGTGACATCCCTCCATAAGAAACCATCACCGAATGACGTTTACACCGCGGAAGCACATATGATCGCCAATTATCGTAATAAATGAGGACATAGGGGTCTATTACACCAAAATACTAAGGACATGTTGTCACATTATTCACTCTGGCTTTTTTCGATTTTCCAGTTATTATTTATGTAATCACTTATCATATCGTGATTCTATTCTAATTACTTCTTCTTACGTCTCTAGACATAACTCATTCTTTATGAATGAATTGATTTATATATTTTCACTTAATGCTGGTATTTTTGAATCAGTTTACGTTCAGCTCATTTTATTTTGTGAGGTATCTACTTCTTTTCGTACAATTATGAGATAATGTTCATATAAAAATCCTTTTCATCACACCTATGCGACGTAATTCAATTTGGCATATTTTGTGATGAGACGTGATAAACGTCTTCAACATGAATAAATATTTTAGTGACAAAATATATACGGTGTATTCCGTTTAGTACGTGTTCCTGTTGAAATTCCAAACTTATTATACTTGTGTTCAGTGTGATTTGTAGTGATATAAACTAATTGTTTATAACGATGTCAGCTAAAACATTTCGTTTTAGTTAGATTTTATGTCTAATTTTTACAGTTCGTTTCATATAAATGTTGTTTTCAGGAATTCACCAGTGTTACCTATATATCTACCATCATCAAATCTGGTCAAATATTGTGGATCAGAAACTCTGATATCGAACACTGCCTCTATTGTCCATGCTGATTTTCTTGAGATGTCACATCTTTGGCTGGTATCAGAATAGTGAGCAGTTTTTATTTGCATGTCTCTTCTACTTACGAGACACATGTAGTCAATCGTTTTATAGATTTGTGTGATGAATTTAATAGAATTAAATGACCGTTCGATTAGGCTTTATACATACATATTCACACGATTTGAGAACTGTGGTTTTATTTTATATCTTACACTCTCTAAACAACCTATCTCAAAATTCCAATGGAGAACATGCTTAAAAGAACCTGAATAGATAACTTATTCCCTCATACGATTGGATGGACATAAACGTAATGGTTGTTCGATTGTGGACACAGCTTGATGATAATCGATATAGCATAATAAAAATGATATGCAGCGAGGTGCATGTTGTATTACATTATTCTTCTTCCTATATATTTCAAAATTCTATTATGGTGTCGTTTGTTTCTGACTTTTTATATTGTAGGGCATAAAAATAGTTGCTACTATTAGATATAGAGATGTCGAGAGATATGATAGCAGGATAAAAGAAGGCGATTGGAAGATGCTCTCGATGTTCAGTGTGATTTCGGTTACTTGTGATGTTAAGATATACCAAGCACCAGTGGGAGATCGTTTTTAGAAGTGCAACATTGGTCCGTGATATCGAGCCAAAATCTAACAGCAGTTTCTTGGATGCTCCGAGCATTTCAGATATTCAGCATTTTATGGTTGAAGAACACGTGTTGACAGGTTGTTATGTTGTATACGAATCTTGCTCTGAGTATTGTGACGTTGTCGGTGATATACTCTTTATTATAACTTTTCTTTTCAAGATGTAACCGGATTGGTAGCTTCCGTTGGATGTTTGAGAGTGAACATGGGTGGTTACCAGACGCTGAAGTTCATTCTTATCGATGAAAAGTGAGATTTATTTGTGTTTGAACAACGTTTGATGGGTGTTATAATAATACACATGCATCATTACAATCGTATTCTTAAGTGGGTATTTATAACTAAGTTTTCAACTGCAATTCAGTGACTACCTCATTGAGTGTACTGCATCTGGTTCTATTGCTGGTAGATACTCTGAGTTATGGCCGGGCAGTGGAAATATTACAAGAATCTGTCTTCTAAGGTTTTGGAGAATTGAGCAAAGACGTGAGATAGTTTTCTTTGCGTTCAATTGCGTTAGTTTTATTAACCTATATAAGTAATGTTTAATTGTGATTTTGACGGTGGTTTAGCGTTATATTCCACAGATGGAACCACGAATGATATGATCCTTCGATCTTTTCCGGGTTGTTTCGAGTTCATTTTTAATCCAGTTGTACCAGAAGCGGCGGAGTTTAGAGATAGGTTCCAAACTATGGCTGATCAAGGATCGATTGTCGACTGAGAACGGTCTAAGAACCATTTCATCATACCGAGATGCTATCAGCGATCATTGACAATGTACTACACAAACTTGGTTTGTTGGTAGAATAACATTCAGTGGTAACGGTGACGATGTTGTCTATATACGTCTCAATCCGCGTTGTTCAAATAATTTGGAGTTCGTTTTATATATATCTAATGTAAAATAATCCAACATATAAGATTATAAAACCAGAAGATCAATTTTCGTATCGTAAATCTTGTGCCATTAACACATTACTGTAGATATAAATAAAAGGCGATAGATAAAAACAACTCGCATTCTGCTTGACTCAAATAATTGCGTAAAGAAACCAAAACAGTAAACGGTATAAAAATATATAGATATTATGACTATGAATAATAGCGTCAGCTTCTAATCTGCATCATCTTCGTTCTGAGTCAGACCGAGTGCAAAACACGCATGACTATGGCTAAACGTAATAACCCTTCCTTATATTATATGTAAATATCTATATATAAGTTTATAACATTCCAAAGTAACAGAAAGATAGATTAGAGGTTCGGAAGGTTATCTAATAAATATCGTAACCTACCAAAAAATAGGAAATGTACCATGTATCATACTAAAATACAGTTAATAATAATTATTAATATATATAACCCCACGCCGTTAGGATTACTGAAAATATTCATAATATTACATCTGATTTTAGAGTTCGATATAGAACATATATGGTTCGACTCGGTTCTCATCACAATGTCTTTGGTTAGGATTTTTTTTTTTTTTTATGCTTAAGTTTTTACTTCAGATTATTGTTTAAGTGATGACCCGAAATGGCTATCCAATCAGAAAGTCTCATAATATCCAACCAAACTGTAACATCCGTAAACCTGAAAAGTGTGAAATTTTGTTGGTGTCGAGCGACACAAGAGTTTGTGTCGGTCGACACCGGTTATCAGAAATTCTCTGGTTCAATTTAAGTCAACTGGAACCCGATTTGGGCCCGGTTAAGGGCTTGGAAACCCTTGTTCGTGAAATAAAACTGCGCAGCCGCTGAGTCTTCTCCTCCTTTTGTCGTTTAGAGGCGATTTTGGTGTTTGGAGATCACACAAAGGTTGTTCTTTGTCGATTGGAGGCTTGGGCTTTGTGTGAGGCTGCTGCGTGGTGGTGTGGGTCGTGTTCTTCGTTCAGTTCATCTTCTCCAATCCGTTTTTCCCCCTTTTCAATCCAAATCTAAGGTGAGTGCATGACTGTGGGTCCGTGATTTGCTAGATTAGATTTGGTTTGTGGTTGTTGTGTGATGTTTTGTGTGATTGTTATTTTTATGATTTGGTTTGTTCGATTTTGTGATTTTGTGTTGTTCATAATCTGTGTTTTGGAATTGAAAATTGATTTGACTGGTTCGGTCGAAGTTTATTGGTTTAATTGATTTAATTGATTAATTAATTGGTGGTTTAATTAATTAAATGGTTTAATAATTTTTTTTAATTTTATTTAATTAATTATGGTTATTTAATTAATTAAATGGTTTAATTTATTAATTATTTAATAATTGAGAAATTGATTTTAATTATTAAAATTATTTAATAATTGGAAAATGGTATTTAATAATTATTGGAGTTTATAAATATTATTAAATATCTAGTAAATTGCGTAAATGGCTCGTAGGCAGAGTGATTGCCTCACTAAGTATTTATTAAATACTTACGCAACTCCATTCCAATGTGTTGCAGGTAAAAGATTTGTGTGATCGCGGAATCAAGGCTGAAGAGGGGGATGATAGGATGTTTATGTTTTATTGTTTTGCATTATTTTGCTAGACTTGTTTAATTATTATTTGCTTCCGCTGAGCTGATTTATTTGTTATTGATATTTTATTTATTTAATTTATTTTTAAAGACCTTCGCTAGAATTGATTAATATTTATTAAAAAAAAAATGTTGGTTGTTTCATTTTGGTATCAGAGCCTAGACGGTTTTAGGACTGTTAGAATTGCTAGGCTTTAGTATCATCCCCTTCAGCTACAAGAGATTCCGCGGTGAGTTTATGTTTGTTTTGAGTTTTGGTTGCGTGTTCTAGTGTGCTCTTTTCGGTTCCATGAGTGAGATGGACTGAGTAGCTAGAGGTTGTGGCGCGAGAGGGCGCGGTGCTCGAGGCCGTGGTGGCAGAGCTAGAGGCCGTGGAGGCCGGGGCCGAGATTGTGGACTTCGGCGGATTCGGGAGAGAGTGTGGTGCCGAGTGTGGCGACTGCGTCGGTGACCCAGTCGGTATCCGTGGCGAGTGAGGCCAGTGTGGATGCGAGTGTTGGTTTGGGAGCGGGGGCTGCTCCGGGTTGGGGTGGTGCTCCGGCTCAGGGTCTTGATGACTTAGTGGTGGGTTTGCTGACGCAGTTATTGGCTCGTTTTCCGCCAGTGGTTCCACAGGGGCTCCGGGAGTACCTCCAGTGGCAGAGGTGCAGCAGAGGGCTGCGGGATTTGTTCAGCCGCAGGCTGTGGGTTTGATGGTGCCGTCCTATTTGGATATGATGGGGCACATGCAGAGGATTGGTACGCCGTACTTTGAGGGCGGAGTTAGCCCAGAGGCGGCAGATGAGTGGCGTCAGAGATTGGAGCGGAATTTCCAGTCTATCAGATCTGGTTTAGTACCAGGTGGAGTTAGGGTCCACTATCTGTGGTGACTCGCATTTGTGTTGTTGTTCTGTTTTGTCTGTGATAGAATTGTGAGGTTCTCAACGCATGTGTTGGTAATGACCTTGTTAGTGGGCGGTTTTGAGTCCCACGTTTTATTCGACTCTGGAGCATCGAATTGCTTCATTACACCGGAGCGTGCCGAGAAGAGTGGCATCCGGAGTAGCGCGGGCGAGAGCGCGGGCATGGTCAAGGTGGCGGGAGGTGGATTCTTGTCTACTTTGGGCCGTGCTAGAGGAGTCGAGATCGAGATTGCGGGGCAGTCAATGCCAGCAGACTTAGTCATCAGTCCGGTGGAGCTGTATGACGTTATTCTCGGGATGGACTGGTTGTCACACTACAGAGTTCATCTGGATTGCTACAGAGGTAGAGTGGTCTTCGAGCGAGATGCAGGGAGGTTGGTTTATCAGGGAGTGAGACCGACTTCCGGGAGTATTGTGATATCTGCTATTCAGGCCGAGCAGTTGTTAGAGCGGGGCTGTGAGGCGTATCTGGCGACGATTTCTATGTCTGAGTCAGGAGCTGGAGTTGTTATGGGAGATATTGAGGTTGTCCAGGATTTTGAGGATGTCTTTCAGTCACTGAAGGGATTACCACCATCTCGGTCTGATCCTTTCACGATTGAGTTAGAGCCGGGGACAGCACCGATATCGAAGACGCCTTACAGGATGGCGCCAGCTGAGTTGGCAGAGCTGAAGAAGCAGATAGAGGACCTTTTGTCTAAGGGGTTCATTCGACCAGTGTTTCACCGTGGGGAGCACCGGTGTTGTTTGTGAAGAAGAAGGATGGGTTTCAGACTTTGTATCGATTACAGAGGTCTTAACCGAGTCACTGTGAAGAACAGGTACCCACTCCCGAGGATTGATGAGTTGTTGGATCAGTTGAGGGGTGCTACTTGGTTCTCCAAGATTGACTTGGCATCGGGGTATCATCAGATCCCGATAGATGAGGCAGATGTCAGGAAGACTGCTTTCAGGACGCGTTATGGGCATTTTGAGTTTGTGGTTATGCCTTTCGGTTTGACTAACGCGCCGGCAGCCTTCATGAGATTGATGAACGACGTGTTCAGGGAGTATTTGGACGTGTTTGTCATCATTTTCATTGATGATATTCTGGTATACTCGAGGAGTCAGGAGGAGCATGCGACTCACTTGAGGTTGGTTCTGGAGAAGCTTCGGGAGCAGAAGCTTTTTGCTAAGTTGAGCAAGTGCAGTTTCTGGCAGCGAGAGATGGGATTTCTTGGCCACATTGTTTCTGCAGAGGGAGTTTCTGTGGATCCGGCTAAGATTGAGGCTATCAGAGATTGGCCTAGACCTAGTAGTGCCACCGAGATCAGGAGTTTTCTGGGTTTGGCAGGATACTACAGGAGGTTCGTCAAGGGGTTTGCTACCATGGCGCAGCCGATGACGAAGTTGACCGGGAAGGATGTCCCTTTTTTGGTCAGCTGAGTGTGAGGAGAGCTTTAGTCAGCTCAAGGAGATGTTGACTACTACACCAGTGTTGGCGTTACCCGAGCCAGGGAAGCCTTACATGGTGTATACAGATGCTTCAGGCATTGGTCTTGGTTGTGTGCTGATGCAGGAGGGCAGAGTGATAGCATATGCTTCGAGACAGTGGCAGGGCAGTGAGCGTAACCGTCCTACACATGACTTAGAGTTGGGAGCAGTGATCTTCGCGTTGAAGATTTGGAGGTCTTACTTGCTAGGTGAGACAGTACAGGTCTTCACGGATCACAAGAGTTTGCAGCATATCTTCACTCAGCCGATGATGAACGCGAGACAGACGCGCTGGGTTGAGTTCTTGGCGGAACCTAGTGGCGGTTGAGTAGACGGAGGTATGATTCCGCAGTTGAGCGAGATGTGGAGTCTCTAGTTGGCGAGATCAGTACCTTGCGTTTGTGTGCCATTTCGCAGGAGCCTTTGGGTTTAGAGGCAGTGGATCAGGCGGATCTACTTAGCAGGATCAGAGTTGCTCAGCAGAGTGATCAGAGTTTGCTGGATGCGAGAGTGACTGGTTCTGAGTATGAGGTCTCTGCGAATGGGACTATCTTGGTTCGTGGGCGAGTTTGTGTGCCTAAGGATGTGGAGTTGAGACATCAGATTTTGGGAGAGGCTCACGCGAGCAAGTTTTCCATTCATCCGGGAGCGACCAAGATGTACCATGACCTCAAGAGGTACTATCATTGGGTCGGGATGAAGAGGGATGTAGCAGACTGGGTTGCGAAGTGCAACACTTGTGCCTTGGTGAAGGCAGAGCATCAGGTTCCGGGTGGTCTTTTGCAGAGTTTACCCATTCCAGAGTGGAAGTGGGACAGGATTACGATGGATTTCGTGGTTGGACTACCTGTTTCGAGGACTTTCGATGCTATCTGGGTGATTGTGGATCGGTTGACTAAGTCCACATTTCTTGGCCATCAAGAAGACAGATGGAGCTGCTGTCTTGGCTAGGAAGTTTGTGCGAGAGATTGTGAGGCTGCATGGAGTGCCAGCTAGTATTGTGTCAGACCGTGATCCCAGATTCACTTCAGAGTTTTGGAGGGCGTTTCAGGCAGAGATGGGCACTAAGGTGCATCTGAGTACAGCTTATCATCCGCAGACAGATGGTCAGTCAGAGAGGACTATTCAGACTTTGGAGGATTTGCTGAGGATGTGTGTGTTGGATTGGGGTGGCCATTGGGCAGATCACCTGAGCTTAGTTGAGTTTGCATACAACAACAGCTTTCAGGCGAGTATTGGCATGGCTCCATTTGAGGCTTTGTATGGGAGGCCATGTAGGACACCCCTATGCTGGACCCAAGTGGGGGAGCGCAGCATGTATGGAGCTACTTATGTTCAGGAGACGACAGAGAAGGTTCGTGTTGTGAGGCTGAACATGAAGGAGGCTCAGGATAGGCAGAAGAGTTATGCAGATAGACGCAGACGAGAGCTTGAGTTTCAGGTTGGAGATAGAGTTTATCTCAAGATGGCTATGTTGAGGGGTCCTAACAGATCCATAGCAGAGAACAAGCTGAGTCCGCGATTTATGGGTCCGTTTCCAGTAGTGGAGCGAGTTGGGCCATTGGCTTACAGGCTGGAGTTGCCTGAGATTATGAAAGCCTTTCACAAGGTTTTTCATGTGTCGATGCTGAGGAAGTGTCTTCACCCTACAGAGGAGTTAGTGGCTAGGATTCCAGAGGATCTTCAGCCAGATTTGACAGTGCCGGCAGTGCCTGTGAGGATTTTAGAGAGGAGGGAAAAGGTTCTGAGGAACAAGAGGATTCCCTTACTGAGGATTTTGTGGGATTGCAGTGGTTCTACAGAGGAGACTTGGGAGCCAGAGGCAAAGATGAAGTTGAAGTTCAGGAAGTGGTTCGACAAGCAGGTCGAGGAGTGAGCTTATTTCATCTTTGTAGCCTCAGTTGTTATTTTTGGCTTTGGTGTTATTGTATTTTCGTTTTCGTTGTAACGATATACATTTTGGAGTTTTAATGAGATGCAGTTTTTCCTCATTTTGCCTTGTGTTGTGAAATGGTATTCGGATGTTACACATGTTTGACCAGTTTTTGGTTGTGAGACGGTCTAATCTTATGGTTATAGACATTTTCCGGAATTTTTACTCTAAGGATTGCGATCCTGAATAACTCATCATGTTTTTGGAGACTTCGTTCTCTGGCAGACTCTCTGGGTGCAAGTAGGCCTCAGTTGAGTGTAGCTTATCTGGGTGCAAGTAGGCCTCAGTATAAGCAGTTTAGTTCATCTGGGTGCAAGTGGGCCTCAGTATGGACGTTTCGGGTTCGTCTGGGTGCAAGTGGGCCTCAGTGCGGACCGGTGTGGACTTGTCTGGGTGCAAGTGGGCCTCAGTACAAGTTGTTTGTGTGTTTGGATGATGAGTTAGGAGTGAAATTTTCTTGGAACGTGCTTATGACATAAGATTGACGTTTGTCTCGGGGATCAGTGAGGATCTCCGTGTTGCGGCCTTGCGAGGTCGGGTTTTGTGGTCTTTGTGACGTTTGCGTTGGGATTCGAGGACGAATCCAGTTTAGTGGGGGAGAGTTGTAACATCCATAAACCAAAAATTTTGTGGTGTCGAGCGACACAAGGAGTGTGTCGGTCGACACCGGTTATCAGAAATTCGGCCGGTTCAATTTAAGTCAATTGAACCCGGTTTGGGCCTGGTTAAGGGCTTGGAAGTTATAAGGTGCAAAGTACAGAAGAAGTTATAAGCATATATGCTTCATTATAAACATTTTATTAAACTTTTAAAACCCGTATGGTTAAAACATATATGTTATTTTCATTATGAATGATTCATTTGTATCACAAAATCAAGTATAGGTTCTCATGGAGTTCATATGCGTCATATGAATTATTTTTTACTCTAATTTTATTTATAATTGACATATAATTAGATTTTACTTTTGTTAAGTATATATTACAGTTTATAAATACCTATCTCATAAATAAACATCATAACCTGCGGCGTCGGGCAGCCACCTAGTTAATTAATTAAATCCGAAAATAAATCAACCAAATTAAATCAAACCATTTTAATTCAACTAAACCAATTAACCAGAATCAAATCAATTTAAACCGCAATTAAATTCCAATCGAACCGGACTGAACCGGTCAGTCATGAAACACTCGATTAACCACAGCAACAACCAAAATACCACGAAATAACAATCAAACATATAAACTCATCAAGAACAACCACAAACCAAACCGAATCTAGTAAATCGCGGACCCACAGTCATGCACTCACCTCGAAAAGGGATTGAAACTAAAGGAAATGAAACACAATGAACAGTGCTAATCGCGACGATGACCTGAACAGTGACGAATCAAGCTCTAAAACTTCAGAATCGCCCAAAAACTCTTCTCTTTTCTTCTCTGCAAATTTTCTGATATGTTTCTCTGCCAAACTCTGGAAAACGATGATTCCTTCCTTTAACCCTGAACCCTATGATTTCTCTTTAACCAGCGCATTAAACCGGCCCAAACCAAATCACTTAGATTGAACCGAAAATCAATTTTTTGTTAGTTTGCAATGTTACACTAGTAAAATCCGGGACCAATCTTGATGACGACACCCATGCTATTGTTCCTAGGTATGGAGTCCACAGCGTCCTGGACGGAGCGAAACTGAGAGTGGCCGTAAAGTGAGACGGTGATGACGTTATGTCCTGAGGGACCCACCCATTTCCTGTGGCGACGGTGTAGATCTTCGGTGGTGTTGGAGCTTGAACAAGCTGAAACCAATGAAAAACGATAACATAAGCAGTGGGATATGATTAATAATAGAGAAACATACAGAAGATAGTTAATGGAATTAGTAAAAGATTTGAGTTGAGCCATTTGGATGACAAAAAAATCAAATGCTAAATTTGAAGATCCATTCACAACGTACCAAATCATATACGTAATAAAATGTAGACCAAAGGAGACTGAAAGTAACACCGATAACTATATATTCTTCTTTTTCTTCTTATTGCATGCTTATGCGTTTATTTATTTTGAAACAACTAAACGTTATTTTTGACTCTCAATTTTTATGTTTTGATCTCGGTAAGAAAAATATGGATTTGTCTGTCTGTACATAACATCCTTTTTTGATGAAACTGCTCCAGACTTTCAAAAAGGATAGTTCTGAATCTTTCATGGTGGCTCGTAGGACCCAAGCTTATTTTTTTACATTAACTCCTATGTCAAAAGAATCGGTTGCCTTCATTAAAACACTATTGACGTACATGAGTAAGCAAATCAGTATAAATTTTCTTTCAAGATCCTTTGATATTTGTTTGTCCACTAAAGAATGATTCAAGTCTTTAAAACAATTGTACAACATGTTTTCATCTCATCATCCACAAATTATGGTAGACCCATTTTAGCTTACTTAAACAAATCTTAAGTGGGCCTTTTTAATTGGAAAGAAAATGCCTTGACCTACGTCGTCGGTAAATAGAAACTTAGAAAGGACCGTTATTCTATTGCCGAACCTTTCCTGCACAGAAAGAAATCAATTATTTATCCACTATAGCTTTTGAATTATTATTTTTGGAAAATTTCAAAACTACACCTTTTTGGAACATATTTTCAAAAATATACTTTTAGGCTGTCTATTTTCAAAACTACACTATTTTCATTGAGTAAAATAACTCTAAATCCAAAGTCTAAACTCTAAAATCTAATCTTAAACCCTTAAATCTAAACCCTGGGAGGATAAAAAAGACTTGAAGGTGAATACATAAATTCTATCATTTGCCCCTCAATACTTCATCTTTCGAACTTTTGAGTTCTGAAGTTTTTTGTATTCGTTGTTTTCTTATACATTTTGCTTTAGGTGCATTATGGAACATAAGAGAGTTGAATCTGATAGTAGTTATAGAAGTACACAAGTTTACACGGCCATATGTATCAATTTAAACAATTTCACTTTTATGATATAAACTCTCTATATAACACAAGATTACAAGATCAAACCCCCAGTAAAATGAATAAACGAATGCTAACTAAGCTAGGAAAAGAAAGAAAAACGACGTGCAGTGTAGTGAGTACAGAAATTCTAGTGATAAATGAAAGACATTTGAAGCAGGTTAAGCATCTTGAGGAGCGATCCAATGTTTTCCATTGACGAAGCTCTTAGCTATAAAAGGATGAGCCGACTCATAGTCCAAAGCTCTGGCCCATGATACGCCTCTTGTCGATGCTGCTCCTGGTCCATAGCAATTGTACACTCCGAAAAATGCAGTCCTAGTTTTCGTAGTTCTTTCGAGTCATTTTTTTGCAAGGAATGAACACCCATAAATATTATAGTTTATCTAGATACGAGTATAAAAATTACATACTTGCTTTTATTGGATTTGTGATCCCAATCGTCCCAGCCACCGTGAGCGACGAGAGCATCGAAGTAGGTGTAGGCGTAGATAATCCGGGAGTATTGGCCCATGGCCCGGCCCACGTACAAAGGACCCGTACCCGTTACCCGACAACCTACGAACGTAAAACCTGTTTTCTCCTCCGGGCATGTCCTCCCATGCGCCGCTATCGACCCGAATCGCGACGCTATTGAATGCAACTCACAATCCTTCACCAACAACATAAATTGTGTATGAGTATTTAACTCAATTGGTCAATGACTTTTAGTTAGAGTATGTAAACCTTTCTTAACAAACATTTATTAATGCTAATATAATTTTCAATTTTGATGTTCTTACTTTATACATGGACCGGCCGTTACCGAATATAAAATCGATAGAGCCTTCGATGTAACACTCCTTAAAGTAATGACGGCCAGCGTCGTCACATAAAGTGTCTTGTGCGCCGTAGAATCCGCAGCCGGAAAAGTAAGCTTTGTCCCCAGAGATTCTAAATGCCACCGCCTGCCACCCTTGCATTCCTGGCAACGGCGCCGGCGAAGTATTCTTCACATTTTAAAACAAATAAAACCAAAATATTAAGACTCAGTCGTAGTCAAATCTCTATAAAGTTTTATGAAAAGGATTAGTTACCCTGAAGCTAATGTTTCTAGCGGAGAAATAATTAGCAAAGACTGTGACGGAAGCGGTTTGATAAGTACGTAACTGTTGACCGTCAGGACCACGGTCAGACGCACGGTCGTGCCATTCTATAATTGTCACGTCCCGACCCGCTCCTTTGAACGTTATGTACGGTTTTGTCGCTGGAACCACCACTTTCTCTCTGCACGAATGGAGATTGTAAAAATGCAAAGTTAAATTTTAAACGGAAGTGTGCGTGTGTGCATGAAACTTAACAATAACAAAAAGTAACAGAAAATATTATGTGAAAAACAAAATTAACTAAGGAATATTATTTGCACCGGTAAAATCCGGGACCAATCTTGATGACGACACTCATGTTGTTGTTCTTAGGTATGGAGTCCACAGCGTCTTGGATGGAGCGAAACTGAGAGTGGCCGTAAAGTGAGACGGTGATGACTTTGTTTCCTGAGGGACCCACCCATTTCCTGTGGCGACGGTGTAGATCTTCGGTGGTGTTGGAGCTTGAACAAGCTGAAACCAATGAAAAATGATAACATAAACAGTTGGATATGATTAATAATAGAGAAACATATAAAAGATAGCTAATAAGGGAATTAGTAAAAGATCTGAGTTGCGCCATTGGAATTGCAAGAAAGAAAATGGTCTGAGTAATGAAGGATCGATGGGTTTTATATATGTACGTGTATAAAGGTTAGCTAAGTGGTCCTTGTATGTTTAAGTCTCAACGGTCATATTATTGTGGTGAAGTGAAGCAACATTGGCAATGAACATATAGCTTTTACTGCTTTTTTTTTTTTTTTTGTCAACTTGCCTTTACTGTTTAATCCAAGAAACTGAGTCCTTTTAAAAAATAAGTAAAAAAGGTACCCTGCCTATTCTCGTGTTAGGTCGCTATTTTTTTCTATTTGTAATTAGGCGTTTAGATAATTATTTCAGGTTTTGAGTTTAGAGTTTGTCTTTATTTCAGATTCGACTAATAGTAGCTAGCTTTACTGGTAATTATAAATAGGAGCCATTACTTAATGTTTCACTGTAATTATTAACTATTATATAGCTGCCAAATAGTTAATATATTCATGATAATATTATCTGACCCATGCTTAGCCACAGCCACAATGGAAGCAATGAGCCTCGTGTGATATATTATGTATATATGAATACATGATACACTGATACAGGTGCACTCACTCTTTTAGTTTTATAATATATAATTTGATGTAAAATGGGTATACAACGATAATAAAACGGTCGTTTTGAGGAGAAAAATGAAAGCGAAACGACAAAGCAAAAATTGGTATATGAAGAAAGAGTGGGTGAAAATAATTAAATTACGTGAAACTTTATGATAGTGCGGACACACTGTTTCTAAGGCGTCACGTGAAGCCCTATTTGGGTCCTACAATCTTTGAAAAGTACCACTCATCATCATGAATTGAATCCACAACCTATAACTTTCTGAACGTTGGAGATTGTTCCAAAACCTTCCCACGGGGACCATAGTCTCTTTGATATCCCATCTGGTTCAGTGTTAGCTTTCATTTCCATCTAAACTCTTTGGATGACAAAAAAATTCAAAATGCTAAATTTGAAGATCCATTCACAACGTACCAACTCATATACTCCCTCTTTCCTCTGTTCGTTAATATTTGATGTCTTATATTTTTGATTTAAATTAAGGAAATAATTAATGTTTAACTATTAATGTATCAAATATTAAAGAATAGAGGTAGTACGTAATAAAATTTAGAACAATGGAGACTGAAAGTAAAACCATAACTATTTTTTGAACTTTTTCTTCTAATTGCATGCTTATGGGTTTATTAACAATTTAACATTGAAACAAATAAACGTTATTTTTGACAATCAATTTTTAGGTTTTAATCTCGGTGAAAAAACGTATGGATTCGTCTGTCTGTCTCTACATAATATATTCTTTTTTTCTCCGAAACTGTTCCTGACTTTCAAAAAGGATAGTTCAGAATCTTTCATGTGGCTCGTAGGATCCAAGCTTATTTTTCCACATTAACTCATATGTCAAAAGAATGGGTTGTCTTCATTAAAACACTATTGACGTATACGTGGGCATTTTGTTGGAAATCACTATTGGTGAGTTTCTCACATGTTCTATTTTGTTGGAATTTGATCGTTAGGAAATGTGCATTTGTTAGAATGTCGAGGGAATCGTTTCCGACCAATTTGATTTGTTAGCCATTCGTCGTCAGAAGTTAGTGTATCATTCGTCGGAAACTCGTTGGTATCATCCGTCAAATTTCCCATCAAATTTCCCAATGAAACATTTGTAGGAAATTAGTTGGTACTTTCCAACAAATCTCTTACAAAACTATTTGACAAAATTCTCACAAATTCTGATGAAATCTCACAAACTTTTATGGATATATATTTGTAAATATCCACGAATTTCATTATTAAAAATTAAATAATAATAACAATTAAACATGTTTTAAATATTCAAAATATTTAAAATCTAATGTTAACATGATAAATATCCGGAAAGCTTAAAGAATATATCAAAATAAACATCCAAAAACACTACAAATAAACATCAAAAGGTATAATATAAGAAACATGAAATGTATTCATGAAAACAGAACTAGAGATATAATAAAACTCAGAGGCTATGGTCTGGGGTCACGGGGGTTCACGTCTTCAGTTTCTCTCATTGAAGGCGGAACTTGATATGAACACTTGTTTTACATCATTGTAGTCCAGAATTCAACATCTTTAACTTCAAGTGCATCTCCTCCAATTATACTTTTGCTACATGATCAAATGAAAGACACAAGAATTAGTTAGAAGCAAATAATATTGTGATTTGTGACATGCATAAATGATTTAAGCCTTTTGGTCAAAAAAAGAATTAGTTAGAAGCAAAATCAATTATGCATGTCACAAATCACAATATTATTTGCATCTGCTATACGAAATGTTATTGTCCACATGTAATGGGCTTGCTGAAGTTTGAAAGCAATGAAATTTTATTAAACTAATAGAAATAGAAAAACAGAAAATTAAGACATCATATTTTTAGAAAATTACCAGCAATTACTGTTTATCATCGAGCATTTGAGACTCGTACACGGCTGGGATTACAAAGCAATTTGTGCACCCGCTCCCTCCGGTCTAACCAAACAACTGGATACCGAGTGTGTATCAAGTTATTCTCCAAAGAGACATAGGGGGTGATTGGTTGTTGCTCTAGCTTTTTTTTTTTGCTGTAGAGTTTTTGCTTTATGTTTTATGGATGTGGCTGTGAAATTGTAGCTTTAGGATATTGATTGCAGGATTTTAGTAAAAAAGGAAATAGGTAAATATGGAAAATATTAATAAGGAAAAAAATAAAGACAAAAACAATATATTTGGAAAGAATGAAAGAGAGAGAAAAAAGAAATTCAGAGCCTTTGAAATTATGCTCTAGAAATTTTGCTCTGCAAAACTGAAAAATGAAGGAAAAATGAAAGAAATGAAAGAAGGCTATAGGTTTAAAAAAAAAGTATAGAGCATGATTGATGATCTATTTGGCTTTAGAATTTTTTTTTGCTCTCTACAGCTTCTACAGCCACAACCAATCACCCCCATAACCTTTCCCTTGGTCCCATTACTTTGGTTGTCCATTTCGCAAACCCACCAATAGATAAAGCAACATAACACTTCCATCCATCTTTACCTGAAAGGGAAGGGGAGGGATGAGTAATTTAGATTACTTATACAACCAACTTACATTTTACGAACACCGGATCACAAAGCCTCGGCTAAACAAAGCATCACACAATGTCAACCAACAACATTACACAATTAACAGCTACATCAACACACTAACAACCTAGCTCAATAGCACAAGTACATCACACTAGTTCATTAATCACACAAAACACGACTATCACCCTAATTCAATAACACAAGGATAACACACTATCTCATTATACACAATTACCTTCTCACTAACAGCAACACAGCTATCACCCTAGATCGATAAGCCTAGTACATCACAACACAGCATCACACACACGTTGTACTCACACAACGCACAAAACCGGTAGCCCGCAATGCCTACATGTCATCCGCAGCCAGGCCCGGCCCGGAGCTAAAGCTGGTAAAGCAAGGACTTTAGGCGCTAAATGATATCAACAAATTTAGGGGCGCCAAATTATGAGAAGTTCCTTTAGTGTAGTGGTTTGTGTGTTGTTATAATCTCTCATGTGTGCAGGGTTTCGAGTCCACATGTCATTTTTTAATTATTCTAAGGTTTTAAGATGGGCCAAAAAATTTAATGGGCTTTAGGCTCCATTTGACCACGGGCCGGCCCTGTCGGCAGCCACTACCCCGAGGTCTTAAGTGCTGGCTATGCTGCCCCCGTCGGATATACTGCCGATCCAGTCACACGTTAGTGCACCATGTCTTATGCTACCGCAATACCAACGTTAGGCCGTTACCCTAACCGAATGTGTCGGGTTGATTTCTGTCTACCCCCAAGACATGCCCACATGGCCAACACACAACAACGTCATAGACTAAGGCCTTGGTCCAACACCGACTTCCGTTCAATATCACGATACCACAAATCATCACACAAAACCGGTTGGTTTACAACCTAGACAGTCAAAACGCATACTAGGTGGAATCATCAGCATTAACAACACATGAAACCAACCATAACAACATCGACAAGAGTAACAAGAGTAACGCATGACAGGTCTAACAACCAAATTCCAATAAGTGAAGCACAAACAACGTATATAACACACGATCAATACGATACAAGAGTGAGCAATAACAATAACTGAAAAAAAAAAAAAAAAATAACAATAACTGAACATGAAAGCAATAAAATAATGAACGATAACTAGGTGAGAATCATCAATACAACGCATGCGACCAATAGCAAGTAGCAACGAACAACAACCATGCAACGGTAATTCGTTACGTAACTATATAGTAAAACACATCGTTACACTTTAATAAACAATTCATTCATGACTAGGTGTAATCAGCCAAAATAACATTCATACAAAAGATTAAGCAATCACCACTTTAACAGGACTAACAACCTACGGGAACAACAAGTACACAACACACGACCAAAAGGGAACCTACATGGGAGGTTTATCAATACGTAAACAAGTATGGTCATAATGCAACAAGTCAATAATAGACGGTCAATCATTGTAAGTCTTATAGCAAGCGAGAGATCACATAGTAATATCAACTAACAATGACTTGCAAGACAAGCAACAGTCAAGGCACATGAACCTATATAAATTAAGTTACTTTTACGTGGAAAAATCTATATGCAAACAATATACGCTAAGCTTAAACTCATCTCAGAATATCTCGAAGCAAGGAAAGCCCAAGAAGGAGGCATAAGCCCATCCTCACCTTGGGTAAGCTGGTCGAGCGAGATATGGCGCGGCGCACGCATCATCGGAGGAGAAGGGACGGCATGATGGCGTCAGAGAAGTCGGAGAAGAGGAGCCGGAAAGATTGGCGGAGAAGACATGGCGTTTCACAGATGATGAGATCTTCTCAAGGGGTCGACACTCTAGAGTTGTTAAATGGATAAGCCTTCATTCAACATGCTATGAAGCCACGAAGAACAAGGAGATGTGGATTGAAAGGTCGCACAAAAGCTGCAGAAGACTTCTGATTTACCGGCGGATCGTCTCTCTGGATATTACACCAAAGGAGATCAACAGCTTGCTGGATATGACACACAAACAAGAAATGGATAGAGATGGATTGAGAGAAGCCACAAAGATCTGTAAAAGGATCTCTGATAAGTCTTAAACAGCCATGAAGATAAATATGACACACTATGAACATGGAGTTCCAAAAATAACAAGACATAACATCTTGAAAGAGAGAAACTTCTCTGATTTTAACTGAAACTTTAAACTTGTTTTCATTCATGATTTTGGGTCTCTATATATAGAGAAATACAAGTCATTTTCGTCATAATTGAGAGCTTAACGTACAGAGCACCTAGAGAAATGACGTTTGACTCAAATCTGTATGTAAGAGAGAGAAATAGACATCATTTAATGTGGTCTTTGTTGAGACTCGAAATATGATCTTCCTTGATAGCTTTTGGGCTGAATCCAACTTCATGGGCTTTTCTGATGGATCTAGTTTGTAGAATGACTTGGTTTGTAGCTTAACTCGTTCTGGCCTGGTCGGAATCATTCATTAAATGCCCATAGGTCTGAATTGAGTAAACCGGAAATCACTAGCTTTGTAAATTGAATAACTCCTTCGTTTGAACTCTGATTACGATGAATATTCTTTGAGGTGTTCTGGAATCGAGCTGAGTACAATCTCCAAGTAATTTCGTTTGTTGAATCGTTGTGGTTGAGAAGATACACATGTCCTTCGGGTCTCGTTGAAGTCTTGCATCCGGTTTGATTGAGCTCTGATTCAGCTGCTGTTTTAATGACCTTATCATAACATGTTTTGCTACCCTCAATAATCATATCATACTCCCTCTCTTAAAAAAAGATTTGTCCTCAAATCTTGCTCTTTATTGAAAATAAACTAAAAGAAGATGAAGAGGTGAGAAAGATGAAATAGAAAGAAAATCAAACTCAAGAGTGTGCTCTGATACCAAATGATGAGATCTTCCCAAGAGGTCGACACTCTAGAGTTGGTAAATGGATAAGCCTTCATTCAACAGGCTATGAAGCCACGAAGAACAAGGATATGTGGATTGAAAGGTCGCACAGAAGCTGCGGAAGACTTCTGATTTACCGGCGAATCGATTCTCTGGATATTACACACCAAAGGGGATCGACAGCTTGCTGGATATGACACACCAACAAGGAATGGATAGAGATGATTGAGAGACACCACAAAGATCTGTGAAAGGATCTCTGATAAGTCTTAAACAGCCAGGAACATAGATATGACACACTATGAACATGGAGTTCCAAAAATCACAAGACATCACATCTTGAAAGAGAGAAACTTCTCTGATTTTTACTGAAACTTTAAACTTGTTTTAATTCATGATTTTGAGTCTCTATATATAGAGAAATACAAGTCATTTTCGTCATAGTAAGAGCTTAACATGCAGAGCATCTAGAGAAATGAAGTTTGACTCAAATATACATGTAAGAGAGAGAAATAGACATCATTAAATATGATCTTTGTTGGGACTCGAAATATGATCTTCTCTGATAGCGTTTGGGCTGAATCCAACTTCATGGGATTCTCTGATGGATCTAGTTTGTAGAATGACTTGGTTTGTAGCTTAACTCGTTCTGGCATGGTTGAAATCCTTCACTGAATTGAGTAAACCAGAAATCACCTGCTTTGTAAATTAATAACTCCTTTGTTTGAACTCTGATTACGATGATTATTCTTTGAGGTGTTCTGGAATCGAGCTGAGTACAATCCAAGTAATTTCGTTTGTTGAATCGTTGTGGTTGAGAAGTGTTGGGCTTCATAAGCACAGTCCAACTCCCCCACTAGTATGATATTGTCCGCTTTGGGCCCAAGTGGCAAACCCTGCACGGATTTCTCTTTGGGCTCCTCCCAAAAGGCCTCATACTAGTTGGAGTTGGACACTGCTTATATAGTAGACACTTCTTGTTTAAACTTCCGATGTGAGACTTGATTGATATCTCAACAATCCTCCCCTCAAGCCAAGGACCACATAATTTTGTGGCCTTCCACCTTCAGCGAAACCTGGCGCCCTTCTTGTACCGCCGTAATTACCAACAGACCTCTTCCACTAACCCTTGGCCTTGTTAGGAAGACTTTCGACACAAGGACTGACACCCATAATCGCAAGGTCACCTTTGAAGGCTCCGTTCACCACGGAACGCGCAGCCGCCAACACCCACATAGATATGACACACTATGAACATGGAGTTCCAAAAATAACAAAACATCACATCTTGAAAGAGAGAAACTTCTCTAGTTTTTACTGAAACTTTAAACTTGTTTTAGTTCATGATTTTGGGTCTCTATATATAGAGAAATACAAGTCATTTTCGTCATAATTAAGAGCTTAACATGCAGAACACTTAGAGAATTGAAGTTTGACTCAAATCTGCATGTAAGAGAGAGAAATAAACATCATTAAATGTGGTCTTTTTTGGGACTCGAAATATGATATTCCTTGATAGATTTTGGGCTGAATCCAACTTCATGGGATTCTATAATGGATCTAGTTGGTATAATGACTTGGTTTGTAGCTTAACTCGTTCTGGCCTGGTTGGAATCCTACACTGAATGCATATAGGTCTGAATCCAGTAAACTGGAAATCACCTGCTTGTAAATTGAATAACTCCTTCATTTGAACTCTGATTACGATGATTATTATTTGAGGTGTTTTGGAATCGAGCTGAGTACAATCTCCAAGTAATTTCGTTTGTTGAATCGTTGTTTTTGAGAAGATACGCATCGAACAGTGAACACATGTCCTTTCAGGTCTGGTTGAAGTCTTGCATCCGGTTTGATTGAGCTCTGATTCAGCTGCTGGTTTAATGACCTTATCATAATGTGTTTTGTGACCCTCATTACTTCCTTATGAGGGTTATGAAGGGAGAAAGACATTACACGTCAAACCTTTTTGGGCGAATGAAATACTTCATTATAATGTTTTGGATATGTTACTATTACTATAAGGTAAACATTGCAATTGATAGATGAACAAGGAAAAAGCTACAAATATTGATTAATTTTTGTAAATTAAAAGGAAAGAAAAAGGACAAGTATGATGAAGAGAATTCGTGATTCACTGATTCTTTATGAGACATATTAACTAACAAACCTAACCATACTTCTATAGTTCTACTAGTCCCACTTTCTAATCATACTAATTCTCTCTCATTTTTTCCTCATCATACTTTATTTCATTCTTATTTCTCCACTACTAACTCAACGTTCTGATTTTTTTCCTAATATCAATGGCTAAATCCTCAAATCTTCTCCTCTGTCTCTCAGTTTTCATCTTCATCATCACTGAATCCCCCACCTTGGCTCAAACATGCTTCAACTACAAATTCTCCAGCAACCGTCTCTTTGAATTCTGTAACGACCTCCCTGTTCTTGATTCCTTCCTCCACTACACTTACGATTCTTCTTCCGACAATCTTCAAATTGCTTATCATCACACAAAGCTAACTCCTAGAAAATGGGTTGCATGGACCGTAAATCCCACATCCAACAGCATGATCGGATCTCAAGCCATTGTGGCTTATCCACAGTAAGACAACACCATTAGGGCTTACACGTCACCGATCAGCAGCTATCATATGAGTCTCCAAGAAGGTGGCCTGAGTCTCAAGGTCTCTGAGCTGTCTGCCACTTACCAAAACAACGATATGGTCATCTTCGCAACTCTAAATCTTCCACTTGCGAATGGTGCAACCATTAATACTGTGTGGCAATATCGATCCCTTTCAGAGAACAATCCTCTGTCACATCCAACTTCTTGCAACAATATCCGCTCCATTTCCACTCTGAATCTCGTCTCCGGTGCATCTGTATCCCCGCGGGAGGAGGAGCAAGAAATTCCAAACATAGAAAGCGCAACGTGAGTTGATGGTTTCAGTTTCATTTTTCTTTCTTCAATGTTTGCAACATAGGTTTAATTTCTAATAATGATTGTAGATACATGGAATCTTGAATGGAGTTAGTTGGGGAATAATGATCCCAATAGGTGCAATCATTACTTGATACTTGAGAGACTCTAAATCAGCATGCCCTTCTTGGTTCTACCTTCACGTTTTCTGCCAGTCTTGTGCCTATGTTATCGATGTCGCCGGTTGGGCCACCGAACTCAAACTGGGCGGCGAATCACCGGGAATTCAGTTTACCGCTCACCGTGCTATCGGGATCGCTCTATTCTGTCTTGCAACAGTTCAGATAGGGTTTAATATTAACAGTGAGTGTTTGATTTCTTATCAAATATGTTTCATAACTTAATTTCTTGTGTCACATATTAGGTCTTTGCGTTGTTTCTAAGACCCAAACCAAAGCATAAGTACAGAGTGTACTGGAATATCTACCACCACACCATAGGCTACACAGTGATTATTTTGGCGGTGGTAAACATTTTCAAAGGGCTAGACATATTGAGCCCTGACGTGCAGTGCAGAATCGCTTACACCGCTATAATTGTGGCATTGGGTATAGTCGCGGCCGTGCTTGAAGCATTTACTTGGTATGTAATCATAAAGAGAGGGAAAGCAGAGGAATCTGCGAAAACGGCTCAGCTCGGAAACGCTGGTCAGTCTCAATACGCTTAGAGATGGTTGTTATATAATTTAGTGAGTGGAATTTTCTGGTTTACCTACTTATTTACCAATAGGGATGTCAAAACAGTGCACCCAACCCAATCTAATCCATCTATACTATTAATTGCGAAGAAAAAACGCACCACATCGCTCCTCACAAAATATTATTCTGCCCTTAATGAATATGACTAATCACATGTCTAATTGCGTCTTTGTGTTAATATGCGAATTAAAACGAATTTATGTAACTAGAAAAGCAAAACTTCCTTTTTTCTTGGTTAAGAAATAGTAACGTGTGGTTGGGAAGGATATATTTAGAAAAGTATAATTTTATATATATATATTTATCGGGTTAAAATAAAATATTTAAATGTGTGTCAAATAATAAAAATGAATGATTCGGTGATAAAAAGAAACGCCTAAACCTAAATCCTTTCTCTTATATATACTTTGTGCATCTCATATTGGTTACATGCTTATCTTTTTGTTATTGTTCTTAGGTTTGATTGCTTTTTATTCTTTGTACTTTTGTTTATTTCATACCAAACTAACTATATATTCATTGCTTTGAATCCAGGCAGAGATGTAGGCTGTGTTCTTTTCATAATCGCAGAGATAGCGGCAGCGACGGAGCTAAACAGCAACAGGAACAATGAGCAACCAAGTTAAACGACAACTGATTTGAAAAGAGCACTGCGAGTATGCAAGATTAACGGGTATGTAAGTTTTGTAATAGATATTAAACACCAAATAGTTATCTTCTACTAGCTTTCGAGTTCCATAATTCGATTGAATTGTATGTTTTATGTTTGTTATGGAATATTTGTTATCTTGCTATTGAACGAAATTTTGAATGAATTGTAATCAGATACAAACGCATCTACATAATTATGAGAAACCATTCATCTCTCATGACGAGACTGAAGCCATCAATTTCTCTGGGTTTGATTAGTTTATCAGCCAGAAGATTTTTGCTTCGTCTTCTTCTCCTCAGGTACATATTCCAATAATCTTATATTTCTATTTTCTTTTAAACCATAATACCCTTTATTTATCAATAGTTACATGTCGTTCATGATTAATATTTGGGATATTTGTATTTTCTTACCAAGTTATTATTGGGCGGTTTCGAGTCACATGTGTTATTTGACTTTGGAGCATCGAATTGCTTCATTACACCGGAGCGTGCCGAGAAGAGTGGCATCCGGAGTAGCGCGGGCGAGAGCGCGGGCATGGTCAAGGTGGCGGGAGGTGGATTCTTGTCTACTTTGGGCCGTGCTAGAGGAGTCGAGATCGAGATTGCGGGGCAGTCAATGCCAGCAGACTTAGTCATCAGTCCGGTGGAGCTGTATGACGTTATTCTCGGGATGGACTGGTTGTCACACTACAGAGTTCATCTGGATTGCTACAGAGGTAGAGTGGTCTTCGAGCGAGATGCAGGGAGGTTGGTTTATCAGGGAGTGAGACCGACTTCCGGGAGTATTGTGATATCTGCTATTCAGGCCGAGCAGTTGTTAGAGCGGGGCTGTGAGGCGTATCTGGCGACGATTTCTATGTCTGAGTCAGGAGCTGGAGTTGTTATGGGAGATATTGAGGTTGTCCAGGATTTTGAGGATGTCTTTCAGTCACTGAAGGGATTACCACCATCTCGGTCTGATCCTTTCACGATTGAGTTAGAGCCGGGGACAGCACCGATATCGAAGACGCCTTACAGGATGGCGCCAGCTGAGTTGGCAGAGCTGAAGAAGCAGATAGAGGACCTTTTGTCTAAGGGGTTCATTCGACCGAGTGTTTCACCGTGGGGAGCACCGGTGTTGTTTGTGAAGAAGAAGGATGGCAGTTTCAGACTTTGTATCGATTACAGAGGTCTTAACCGAGTCACTGTGAAGAACAGGTACCCACTCCCGAGGATTGATGAGTTGTTGGATCAGTTGAGGGGTGCTACTTGGTTCTCCAAGATTGACTTGGCATCGGGGTATCATCAGATCCCGATAGATGAGGCAGATGTCAGGAAGACTGCTTTCAGGACGCGTTATGGGCATTTTGAGTTTGTGGTTATGCCTTTCGGTTTGACTAACGCGCCGGCAGCCTTCATGAGATTGATGAACGACGTGTTCAGGGAGTATTTGGACGTGTTGTCATCATTTTCATTGATGATATTCTGGTATACTCGAGGAGTCAGGAGGAGCATGCGACTCACTTGAGGTTGGTTCTGGAGAAGCTTCGGGAGCAGAAGCTTTTTGCTAAGTTGAGCAAGTGCAGTTTCTGGCAGCGAGAGATGGGATTTCTTGGCCACATTGTTTCTGCAGAGGGAGTTTTGTGGATCCGGCTAAGATTGAGGCTATCAGAGATTGGCCTAGACCTAGTAGTGCCACCGAGATCAGGAGTTTTCTGGGTTTGGCAGGATACTACAGGAGGTTCGTCAAGGGGTTTGCTACCATGGCGCAGCCGATGACAGTTTGTTTGGTCAGCTGAGTGTGAGGAGAGCTTTAGTCAGCTCAAGGAGATGTTGACTACTACACCAGTGTTGGCGTTACCCGAGCCAGGGAAGCCTTACATGGTGTATACAGATGCTTCAGGCATTGGTCTTGGTTGTGTGCTGATGCAGGAGGGCAGAGTGATAGCATATGCTTCGAGACAGTGGCAGGGCAGTGAGCGTAACCGTCCTACACATGACTTAGAGTTGGGAGCAGTGATCTTCGCGTTGAAGATTTGGAGGTCTTACTTGCTAGGTGAGACAGTACAGGTCTTCACGGATCACAAGAGTTTGCAGCATATCTTCACTCAGCCGATGATGAACGCGAGACAGACGCGCTGGGTTGAGTTCTTGGCGGACTATCAGGTGAGCATTAACTACCATCCGGGCAAGGCTAACCTAGTGGCGGACGCGTTGAGTAGACGGAGGTATGATTCCGCAGTTGAGCGAGATGTGGAGTCTCTAGTTGGCGAGATCAGTACCTTGCGTTTGTGTGCCATTTCGCAGGAGCCTTTGGGTTTAGAGGCAGTGGATCAGGCGGATCTACTTAGCAGGATCAGAGTTGCTCAGCAGAGTGATCAGAGTTTGCTGGATGCGACGAGAGTGACTGGTTCTGAGTATGAGGTCTCTGCGAATGGGACTATCTTGGTTCGTGGGCGAGTTTGTGTGCCTAAGGATGTGGAGTTGAGACATCAGATTTTGGGAGAGGCTCACGCGAGCAAGTTTTCCATTCATCCAGGAGCGACCAAGATGTACCATGACCTCAAGAGGTACTATCATTGGGTCGGGATGAAGAGGGATGTAGCAGACTGGGTTGCGAAGTGCAACACTTGTGCCTTGGTGAAGGCAGAGCATCATTTTGTCTTGTGTTGGTAAAATTGGTTCAGATGTTACATGTGTTTGACCAATTTTTGATTGTGAGACGGTATAATCTTATTGTTATAGACGTTTTCCAGAATTTTTACTCTAATGGTTGCGGTCTAGAATAACTCATCATGGTTTTGGAGACAGCGGTTCTCTGGGAGACTCTCTAGGTGCAAGTAGGCCTCAGTTAGAGTAGCTTATCTGGGTGCAAGTGGGCCTCAATACAAACCGGTGTGGACTTGTCTGGGTGCAAGTGGGCCTCAGTACAAGTGGTTTTGTGTGGTTTGGATGATGAGTTAGGAGTGTAAATGTCTTGGAACGTGCTTATAACATAAGATTTGATGTGTGTCTCGGGGATCATGTGAGGATCTCTAGTGTTGTGGCCTTATTAGATCGGGTTTTGTGGTCTTTGTGAGTTGTGTTTTGGGATTCTAGGACAAATCCTGTTTAGTGGGGGAGAGTTGTAACATCCAGAAACTAAATCTACGTCGTTTTGGAGGTGGTGTCGACCGACACCATACAATTGCAAATTCCGGTTCAATTCAAGTGACGGTTTGGTCCGGTTAAGGGTGGAAACCCTGGAATCGTGAATAAAACTTGTCGTTTAGCGAGCGAAGAGCAAGAGGAGAAGAGATTTCTTGAGGCATTATGGTGTTTGGTGATTGATTCGAGGCTGTTCTTCTTGGATTGGAGGCTTAGGCTTCGTGTGGTGGCTGCTGTGTGGTGCTGCGTCGTTGTTCTTCGTTGTTGTGTTGTGACTGTTCATCTTCACTTTGTTTTCTCCCCTTTTTAATCCAAAATCGAGGTGAGTGCATGCTTGTGTGTCCGTGATTGCTAGAACCGTGTTGTGTGATTGTTTTGTGATGATTTGTGGTGGTTTTGATGTTTGCTCGCGGTTTACAGTAAATTGCTTGTTTCCGCTGTTTCAGGTTCTATTCATAGCTCGATCTGTGCGTTCCAGGAAACGGTGTCGAGCGACACAAAGCGTGTGTCGATCGACACAGACCGGTTATTTCCGGTTTAAATTGATTTAAATGATTTGATTGAAATTGTCTGGTTTAATTAAATTGAAAGTGGTTTAATCGAATTATGTTGGTATAATTCGGTATTTAATTAACTAATGTTTATTTTAATTAATTAAAATATTTCAAATAATTATTTTAATCATATGGAAAATTATTATTTAATTATGAGAATTATTTAATAATGAAAAATAGTATTTTAATAATTACGAAAATTATAATTATTATTTAATTGTTAATAAATTGTGTAATTGACCGGTAGGCAGAGTGATTGTGATGAGGACAGCAAGTCATCATCAACCAAGGAGCACAGATCCATGAGCCATGAAGAGGAGAGCATAAAGCTGAGGAGAGCTAAGGAGACCAACACCTGGAGAACATTCTGAACTCATATGGAGGCCAAGATCAAGTATCCAAGCTCAACCAACACCTGGAGAACATTTGAACTCATATGGAGTTCATCTCGAAGAAGAACCAACCCAAAAGAATCCCAATTGGGGAAGATATTGAAGATACATTCTGGAAGGTCTTCAATGGACGCTATGGAGACCTGCGTTCACTCATCGAATCATTCCGGTCCAACCAGGAGGATCAAAGCTACAAATCCAATTTGAAATATATATAAATTTTAAATATCAAATAAATTATTTAAAATTCATAATATTTGAAAATATTCTTTAACAAAACATTCTGAAAAAGTTAAAATTATCAAATCAAATAGAAAATTTATTGTTTAATTAGAAAACCGGGTTCAATACGGTTCAATGGGTCATCGGTTTTTGATTTTTTGTTGATCGAACCCGGGTTTTTAACCGGTCTAACTGTCTATGGGTTTTACTAGTAACCCAACCCGGAGATGTTTCCGACTTTTTATGGATTCTTGACTCAAGCAGGGATCTCTATCAATTGGATTCATCCCAATACCGGTTTTGGTTTAAGATTTATTCAACTTCTAAACCAGAAGATGCTCAACTTGCCTTATATGGAAGCTCACGGGTTCAATAAGTTGCAAATCAGTCTTTGGCGACCAGGAGAGGCATCTATGGATTCATAAGACACATCTAACCATCCAGGAGAGTCATCTAAAATCTTCCCATGCACCAGCACCCACGGAATCAGGCGGATTCTCATGTTTGTGAACTTTCCATTTCCGGATGCATTCACACTTGGAGGAATAACTCTCCAACGGCTATATTGTCTAAGCTGCTGCGTTTTGAAGACTTTTTCAATGCATCTAGACGTCCCAAGACATCACAGCTTCACGCCCAAGCTTTTCAGGCTCAAGCATCATCACAACTTGCCTTGTTTGGCCGATATTGTCATCAAGCCACCAACGCTACTTTCTCATTCAATATTGCGATTTGTTTCTTTCTTTGTAGCTTTTGGCCGTTGTACTGAGAATCTATATAAGCTCTTTACTTGTCTCATTTGTAAATCACCTTTCAATCCAGATTTAATCAAAGTATTTTCATCTTTTCTTTCAAGTGTGTTTTCTTGAAGAATTGTTCTTTCTTTAGACTTAATTGTGCGATTCACTTAGTTCTTTAGAGGCTGCGATTCAGCTTGTTTGTGTGATTCAAGCAATCTATTTCGTTCACATATTGAGAGAGTCAATCAACCCCATCGATTGAGAGAGTCAATCATCTATCATCACCATAATCTCTACCATCGATCCACTTCCGCAAGCAGTTGGCTTAGGAATCTGCTGATCACAGTTTGATCTAGCAGCCTGCATCATCTGGTATCAGAGCTAAAAACTCCTATCCCCAGGTTGTGTTCATCCAACCCTCTATCAATTTATATTTTCTAGTCTTGTTCTATTTTATTTCATAAAAAAAGCTGTTTTATTTCGTTTTATAAAATCTAGAACCCCATAACAATTTTTTTTCGAATTTATTTTAATTATTGGTTGATTCTAGAATTTAGTTTTAATCAAATCCTAAGAGAAAATAAAAAGTTATCATTTGTTTTGTTAAATTCGAATTTAAAGAAAAGAAAAAAATAAAAATTTTATGGGGAAATTACCAATTCTAGACCACAATTTAATATTTTCTAGTCAACTAGACCACAAATTGAATCAAATGCAAAACTAACTTCCATGGGTAGTAAAATTACCCCACATTCCTTCATGACAAAAAAAAACGCATGCCTCGATTACGATTTTAACCTCCGGACTAGGTAGATCTACCGCGAAGGCTTACCTGGTAGACAATATTGGAGGTCTACCTCGTAATAACATCTTAAATTTTAATTAACAATTCAATAAAAAATATTTACAAAAACATGTATGAATAACTATAATATAGACATTATCAACTACCAAAAATATGAATGCATACAAATGAATCATTTATAGATAAGCAAAGACATGTAGGTTAAATCTATAAAAATGTGTGAGGTCTACCGAGTAGTCTACTATGTCATTAAATTTTAATTTTAATTATAAAATTGAAAAAAAAATATTTTGATGAAAATGATTTATACATAAATACAATACAACAACTTGCATCTATATAAAATATAATTTCATAGATTTGAACCAATTGAACTATGAAAAAAAAAAATTAGGTTAAAAGCCTATAAAACCATGGAGGTCTACCAAGTAGTCTACTAACTAATCAAATCTTAAATTTAAATTAAGAAAATTAAAAATATTTGAAATATTTGTTTCACAAATAACGAAATAATAGACATTTAACATATATTAAAAATAAAATTTCAGAAAAATCATGAATCTATAAATATCATATGTAAATAGTTCATAAGGATAAGAGTTTGAGTAGATTGTTTAGGTTTAATGGGGGTAAGTTGTAGGGTTTTGAAAAAATTTTAGATGAAGAATTGTTTTTGATTGGTTTTACGATTCAATGTTTGTTTATTTGTGATATACACTGTAAATTGACAATATGGCAAGCAAATCGTTGCAAAATTGTAATCTAAATTATTCGATTTAGGGTTTAGGGTAAAGTAGACCTAACAAGTAGACTGGATCCAGTAGACCGAAGTGGAGGTCTACCAACCGTTTTAACCTAGCGGGAATCCCGAAGTTTCAAACCGACGGCTGAGATTAAACGACGTTTCGGTAATTTCGTGGTAGACCGTAACGGTAGACCTCTTTTAAGCGAAAGCCGGATAACCGGCTCAATTGTTTGCGTAGAACCGTAAATTGAACGCCTGAACCGATATTAATTGAAATAACCGGCTAATTTGTTGGTTCAAACCGATATAACGAAACCAGTTCATCGAACCGACGTATATAAAGCGATTTTAACCCTCAGCAGTTAATTTCTAGGTTTTGTTAGAACATTGCGAGTCGGCGCTCTGGAGAGGCGATTTCCGTGTCCGACGCCGTTTGCTCCGCCGCTATTCCGTGTCCGACGCCGTTTGCTCCGCCTCTGTTTGTTTACGCCGGTAATATCTCCGCCCTATACCTAGTGTCGTTAATCTATCTCCGTCAGTCGTCTAACGGTTTTATTGTTCATATTTTTTCGTCGTCTTTTGTCCGTCGTCTTTGGTCTGCCGTCTGGTGAACTCGTCGCCGTTGTCTAACAGAGTCGGAGCGCTCCACATCGATCCCCTTTCCCGGTAGTAACTCCGTCACTCACTCTTCTTACCATTTCGGCTTCGTATAACCACATAATCTCACCGAACTCATGTGTCTTTTTTGTCGTTAGATCTCGTTTCAGATATCGTTCCCGCTGCTTTGCGATAAGCGCTTAGAACTGTCGTTTTCTCCGAGAGGTACAACTATAATCTATAACATAACCTCTACAACTCATATATGTCTTTCTTCTTCGTGATTTCTTCGTTTCTTCTTCTTTTCGTTTTTGATTCTTCGTTTCAGTTTTAGTAGTATTTGGGATAGACATTTGTGGTAGACCTTTGTGGTAGACCTTGTGGTAGACATTTTGGTAGACCTTTGTGGTAGCCTCTTTGATTTTCCTTTTGGTCGTTGCAGAATGGAGAAGCCTACCTTTCCAAGGAGGTTATACACAAGAGGAGCTGAACCGGAAGCCCAAAAGAGCATTTCCTACGGCAGCAACGACAAAAAGCTATTTGCTGCCGTGAAAAAACTACTGAGTGATGCCGAGTGGGAAACACTATGCGACTCGCGAGTTGGTGTCTTCTGCAAGTTTCACGACCTCAAATTCGAGTGGTCTTCGAAGTTGGTTCACACGATGCTCTCATATCAGTTAGAGTGCAAGAAGAAGTATGAGATCTGGAGTGCGGTTGCGGATAGCCCAATTAGATTTTCCCTGCATGAGTTTGAACATCTCACCGGCCTCAACTGCGACTATGTGGAGGATCTTGGTGACCCCAAGTGCAAGGTTACTCTAGAGATGAGAGCATTCTGGGAGAAGCTCGGAGTAGGTGTTGAGCTTGGTCCGAGTCAAGTAGAGCTCATTCGTGCATGCGAATGGGCAACAGACTGGCCGAGTGAGGACAAACTTAGGCTTGGTTACTTGGCCATCTATACTGGCTTCATTGCTGCTCGGAAAAACACCTCGCACACTCCTGTGAACCTGGCCAGATTAGTGATGGATGAAGAGGAGTTTGAGAATTATCCGTGGGGGCGTGTAGCTTTCAAGAACCTGATTGAAGCCGTCAAAGAAGCAGAGCTATGGAAGTCCGGGTATGTCCTGGATGGGTTTGTTGAGGTTCTACAAGTATGGGCATATCGTTTCATGCCTGAATTCAGAGCGAGTTGTGGTGCGCCCATACGAAACGCTCCTGACATTCCGCTCTTGGCCTACAAAGAATCCAGGGTTTAAGAAACATTGAACTCACATACTGAAGCAGGTACATACTTTACTTCGTTTACAAAATTATTTATAAAGTAGACCATTTTGGTAGACTATTATGGTAGACATATATGTAGACCTATTAATTTACTTTGCCTTACGTTTGTAGGTGAACTTTGATCACTGCATAATGGTGGAGAGAGACTTTGTTTACCCAAAGTGGGATGAGGATAAAGAAGACCCGCGCGTAGATAATCTCATCAACATGTGTACGGAGACCTAGGCCAGTGGAAGTGGAAGCCGGCGGACTGGAATCCTCAAGGTGTTCTGGTGAAGAATCCTAAACCCCCGGAGTTTGCGAAAGGAAAAGATCCTCAGACCCTGGAGATGAAATGCAGAAGAGGCTGTGTCCTGAGAGCGTTTCCCTTGCTGAAGATGGCTTCAGTCGCATTCGAGGAGAAGCTGAAGTTGATGTTTGAAGATGGCTTCAGTAAGTTGTCTGCGGAGGTCAAGTTGGGTTTGAACAGTCTGATTCAAAGTTCACGATCTTAACTAGGAAGGTGGTCCGCATCTGACCCCAACCCCGAGGAAGCCTAAGGCGCCAACAGAGAAGAACGTGAGGCGCCAACAGAGAAGAACGCTGAGAAGAACGAGCCGTCTGGTGGACTCGTCGATGCTAGAGCCGAGGAGAAGGCTGCCACTCCCAAGAAGGACAAACCTACGGAACCGTTTCAGACACCTCAATGAAGGATGAGTGTCTGGTGAAGAGGAGGAGGAGCATCCGAGGAGAAGGTTGCTGATAACACTTCCGAGAAGGCTGCCACTCCTAAGAAGAAAAAGCTCCAGCTCGGTTTAGTAAAAAACCCTTTCCCAAATCTACTAGGGTCCTTCGAGATAGGCAGCGAGATAGGAAGCAGAACCCGAAGTACTTGTAGTTTAGTCTACTTGATTTATGTTGTTTCTATATGTGTGATCCTTTTTACTGTAAAACAATGAACATATCTGTTTAATTTATACATCTGTTTTAAACAAATATTGATGCAAGCGTCGGTCTTTAATGCAGAAAAAACAAGTTTTATCTCCATGCGGTAGTGACAATGGCGTAGATCCTGACCTTGTTTTTGTTAAGCAGTATACACCAACAAAAGCTGAGGAAGCGGAGGACACAAAGAGGATGGCAACTAAAACAACAAGCATCAATAAATATTGCACATGCAAACGTACAGAGACAGCGACAGCTGGCCGCTTCACAACGGTCTCCGTTTGTAGGAGATAGCACAGTGAAGGGAATCATTCCTAACAAGCCACGGCTTGGGTTTGGGTATGATCCCAACGAGCATGTGGATAAGGTGAGACTCGCACGGCTGAAGAAAGAGTTTAAAGGCATTTTGTAAGTATTTTCTTAAACTTCCTCTTAGTTATATGACCTATCCTGACTTGTTTGATTACCAACAGTGTTTTTATGTATTCTATCCAGCGGCCCTAAGAAATTTGACATCTTCACTCAACCTCAACTACACTGGTGGCAAGAATTGGTCGTGCAGACGCAATGGCTCGCTAATAGTAGACCTTGTTGGTAGACCATTATGGTAGACCATACAGTAGACCATAATGGTAGACCCAAGGTAGAGATTTATGTTTCAGTTTTTCTAATTGTCTAAGTATTTCGCATCTTTTTTTCAGCACATGGACGCAGTAACGAACCTGTTTCGTCAGCGCATGAAATTGCACCCGGAGTGGTTTAGGAGTGATCGAATTTGCTTTGGTGATAGTACTCCTAGTATGTTGTGGACGGGAGACAAGTTCAGAGGTTTAAGAATACTGAGCCGGATAACAGGGACTAGGAAGGTGGGTCCCGGGAGGTGCGACCGATTCTTCGAAGGGAAGAAACCACGTTTCTGCCAAACCCTGAAGAAATGGGAAGTAGATATTGATGAGATCTACTTGCCATGGAACGTCAAAGACACTCATTGGGTGGCGTTGATGATTTCTATACCTAAAAGGCATATTACTATGTGGGACAGCATTCCAAATATCTAAAGGAGAATGTGTTAGCCAAAGCTATCGAGCCCATTGCTGTCATTGTGCCTTATCTACAACGGCTCATGGCTGACATTAATGATAGGTATAAGTATTCACTCGACCCTTTACCCACGAGTATATTTCCGAGGAGATGTGCATGCGCAAGACAATGCAACTGACTGTGGAGTCTACTGTCTAAAGTTCATCGAGTATCATAGTCTTGGGAGGCTTTTTCCGAAGACGCTATGTGGTAAGAACATGAAAGCTATCAGAGCAAAGCTTGCAGCGGACCTGTATCAAGAGATCAACTGTCGCGGACCTCCAGAGCGTAACTGGGAGGACCTGGACTTGGACATATAGCTAGCTAAGTAGATCGGTATATATCAGTTTTTGTCTGGGTATTTTTGGGAAAGCGTTCATGAACACATATTTTGCTATGTACCTAAAACGGATGCTCTAATTATTTTTTTGGTGTAACATATAACAAGATAACTTCAATGTAACAAAGCTAATTATCTGGTATAATATACCTGTTTTTCGGATAAAGCCGTAATCGTTGTGATCAAATTAATGCATGGTTTACTAACATGGACATCAATATCAGACAAAATGAATAACATAAAACATAGTGATAGATCTCGCTCTCATACAATTCACGAGAAGATTACATTATAACTTGAAAACAGAAACAGTAGACCTCTATGTTAAAAATGATGTTAAAACAATTTACATTACTTATAAAAATGATTGTAATTGCTGTGATGCAAATAATTAGTATCGGTTTATTTAGAATTGATGTAAATATGCAAAATATTTGCATCAATTATTATAATTGATGTATATATGTATCAATTTCAAATATTGATGCTAAATTTTTTTATTAGTTATCATAAATGATGTTAAATATTTTATCAATTATTTATTGATGTTAAAGGTAATATCAATTTTCATAGCGTATTTTGTAAAAAAAATTATTCATAAGAAAATTATTTGTTTAAACAATTTTCATCATTATATTTTCATGAATTATTATTTTTGCTTAATCGTTTATATATATTAAAATCTTAACAAGAGGATTACAATCAAAACTTATTGAGATTTTTATTAATTAATCCATCAAGATAACAAAACAAATCTCGATCTACACAACTCAAATAAAATAACAAAATCAAACATAATTAATATAGAATTCAATCACCATTCTTATACCAAAAGAAACAAAAGAAAAGAAAAATCAGGGCTAAGAACTAAGATCACAATTGAATTGGCTTCATGTTGATAGATCTCAGAATTTGGACTCGTAATCAGAACACAAGAACAATACACACTCTGTTTTGGACAATTAAGATTGCCTCTTTTTGGCTTTTTCATTTAGTTAAATAGAAATACAAGGAAGCAAACGTGGAGTCGTAACTCCTACAACTGGGAAATGGGAAAGTGGTAAAGGTGGTTTCCGCAACAAGAGGAAGACCAAGCCTTTTCCATTATTTAACTGAAACTCAAATTGCAACAAAAGTAAAAGAACAGAGATCGCAAACCGATCAATAGATGTATTTCCGGTTTGGGATCCTTTGCCGGTCTGATGTCCTTCTAGCCGGTTGAGTCCTTCTAGCCGGTTGAGGTCCATCATTACTCGCCTCCCCAAGATGAAGCTTGTCCTCAAGATTCAACGTAGGAAAGCTCTGTTGTAGTTGACTAATGTCCTCCCAAGTAGCGTCTTCGTCAGGTAACCCTTGCCACACAACCAATGCCTCTTTGCAAAGTGTCCCATCTTTTGCTATCTGACGGATGTCTATCACCTTTTCGGGGTTCAGCTTCAGGACGCGGGAGGTACGGAGTGGTGGAAGAGATCCCGACGTTGGTGTGTCTGTTCTCGCACGTTCCTTAAGCAGAGAAACGTGAAAAATAGAGTGAACCTTGGTACCTTCCGGAAGTTTGAGACGATATGCAACCGGACCAACACGGGCTTCGATCTGGAAAAGACCATAGTACTTTGTCGAGAGCTTTTGAGACGTCCTTTTGAAGATGGTGTGCTGACGGTATGGCTGGAGACGAAGGAAAACCAAGTCGCCGACGACGTTGAACTCGACATCTCTACGCTTGGCGTCAGCCATTTGCTTCATTCTGTTGACTAAGGCTTGAAGGTGTGTCTTGAGATCGTTGAGGAGCGCGTCCCGTTCCACCAACTGTTCATCCAATTCCAGAATTGGGGTGGTGTTGTTGCTGTAACCGGGTACGAGTGGAGGATCCATGCCGTAGACTGCTTTGAACGGTGGCATGCCAATAGAAGAATGATAGGTGGTGTTGTACCAAAATTCTGCCCACGGTAGCATGTAGCTCCATTCCTTTGGCTTGTCATGGACAAAGCATTGAAGAAATTGTTCGATGCATCGGTTGATTACCTCGGTCTGACCATCGCTTTGTGGGTGATAGGCTGAAGACATGCACAGCTTTGTACCTGAGAGTTTCCAGAGGTCCCGCCAGAAGGCGCTGACAAAGACATGATCCCTGTCGCTCACAATCGTCTTTGGTATTCCGTGTAACTTCACCACAAACTCAACAAATTTTGCAGCAATAGACTTTGCAGTGTAAGGGTGAGATATCGGTACCAGATGAGCAGCCTTTGTCAGGCAGTCGACCACAACCATGATGGAGGTGTGGCCGTTGGATCGCGGCAGTCCGTCGACGAAGTCCATCGACAAGTCCTCCCACACCTGGTTAGGGATCGGTAACGGCTGAAGGAGGCCTGCTGGTGAGAGGCTAGACGACTTGGCACGTTGACAAACATCACAGGCGGCTACATACTCTTGAACCGTGCGGTGCATCGCTGGCCCATAGAAGAGTTGAGCGATTCTCTTGAAGGTTCGCAGCACCCCTGAATGGCCTCCAGATGGTGTGTCGTGGTATTCGGCAAGCAATGTTTTGATGAACACAGAGTTAGGCGGAATAACCACTCGATTTTTGAAACATACCAGATCATTGATGCGGCCGTAGGGTTGTCCTGGTGCTTCATCAGCGAGCTTGCCTACTCGTAACAGATACGGGTCCACAGATTGAGCCTGTCGCAAATCGTTCCAGAGGTCGGCGTGTTGGCTAGAGATGGTGAGGAGACAGGGGCTATTCTCACGCCGAGAGAGAGCGTCTGCTGCAAGATTCGCTGTGCCGGGTTTGTAGGTGATCTCATAATCGTATCCCACTAGCTTTCCCATCCACTTTTGTTGTTCTGGCGTGAGGATTCGTTGCTCGAGGAGGAAACGGAGACTCTTTTGATCAGTTTGGATTGTGAACTTTCCACCAAGGAGGTAAGGGCGCCATGTCCTCACTGCCACCACTATGGCAAGCATCTCACGTCCATAAGTGGACCAGCTGCGTTTTGCCACTCCCAGCGATCGACTCATGTAAGCGAGAGGTCTGCCTTCCTGTGTGAGGATCGCCCCAATTCCTTCACCAGATGCGTCTGTCTGTATGATGAAAGGCTTGGTGAAATCAGGGAGAGCGAGTGTTGGTGTGGTGGTCATCACGGTTTTGAGAGTTTCGAAAGCCTCGGCTACCTCAGCTGTCCATTCAAACCTTCCCTTCCTCAACAGGTTAGTGAGAGGTTTTGCAATGATACCATAGTTCTGGACAAACTTACGGTAGTAGCCGGTGAGACCTAAGAATCCGCGGAGCTGTGTGATGTTTGTCGGAGCCGGCCACTCCGTCATTGCTTGTATCTTGGTCTAATCGACTTTGACTCCTTCTCTGCAGATTATATGGCCCAGGTATTCCAGCTCATGCTTTCCGAATTCGCATTTTTTCATCTTCACAAACAGACCGTTGAGTTGCAGAATCTCGAGAACTGTGCGGACATGCTGAATGTGTTCTTCGTTCGAACGGCTGTAAATGAGGATATTGTCGAAAAACACCAGAACGAATTTTTGTAAGTACCTTCTGAAGAACAAATTCATGAGTGCTTGGAACGTCGAAGGAGCATTGCATAACCCAAACGGCATTACTAAGTATTCGTAATGGCCATTGTGGGTTCGAAATGCTGTCTTAGGCACATCTGGTGGATGAACTCGAACTTGGTGGTAACCGGCTGTGAGGTCCAGCTTCGAAAAGATCACTGCTCCGTTAAGCTCGTCGAGCATATCGTCCACCGTCGGTATTGGAAAACGATCTTTGACGGTCGTCGCATTGAGCGCCCTGTAGTCCGTACAAAAACGCCATGATCCGTCTTTTTTCTTCACCAATAGCACCGGTGAGGAAAATGGACTCGAACTCGGTTGTACCAGGCCGGCATCGAGCATTGCTTGCACTTGTCGTTCGATCTCCTCTTTCTGGAAATGTGCATAGCGGTAAGGGCGGACATTGACGGGGTCGGAGCCCTCCTTAAGAGTGATGTGGTGCTCGATGTCTCTCGCCGGTGGCAATTTCGTCGGAAGTTGGAAGACCGGCTCAAATTCATCCAGTAATTGACGGATGTCATTGGCAATGGGAGAGGCGGCGGTGTCTAGATTTTGGACCGTAAGAGAAAAAACTTGTTGACCTTGTCGGGCCTCTCTTTCTAACTCTCCTGGTTGGGCTTGGTCAATTCCACTTGCACTAAGCCCACGAATTAGTATCTGTTTTCCGGCCCAGGAAAAACCCATGGTTTGGGCTTTCCAATCACAGATAGTGGGCCCAAGTTTCTCCAGTCAACTAACCCCCAAAACGACGTCGAGACCGGATAACGGAAGGCCAAAAAAATCAGCCATAAAGATCTCGCCGGCTATCTCAAGCGCCACCTTGCGATATGCTCCACGGCAACGAAGTGGATGACCGTCGGCGACGCGGACGTTGAACGGCTTCGTTGGTGTAAGTTTCAACCCCAGTCGATTCGCCTCTTTCTCTGCGATGAAGTTATGAGTGGCACCGCTGTCGATGAGAGCAACCAAACGGCGTTTGTTGATCTCCACCTCAACCCGAATGGTTTTTGGTGATCCCCAGCCGGTTAAAGATTGAAGCGAGATCTCCGGTTCGACGGCTTCCTGACTGTCGACGAACTCATCTTCATCGTCCTCTGCATCCTCTCCCTCCATAAGCAGTAATTGAGATCGCTTACATTTGTGTCCCGGCGTGTATCGCTCATCGCAACTGAAACGCAGGCCTAAACTTCGTTTTCTTCTCAATTCCTCCCAACTCAACTTTTTTGGGCCGTCGGGTGGTGGCTCAGGCGGTGCTGGATTGCGTGGTACCATCGAGGACGAGGTTGCGTTACTTCTTGTAGTACCGACTGCAAAGTTACCGATCCGTCGGCTGCGTTGGATTTGATCATCTCGCATTCGTGCTAGCTCGATGGTGGCTTTCAACGTTGTTGGTCGGAACATCCTTACCGAGTCGGAGATGGCGTCTTTAAGGCCTCCGATGTAGGTTCCGATGAGAGCTTTCTGCGACCAGCCGGTAACCTTGTTCTGAAGCCTCTCGAACTCACGGTGGTATTCTCGGAGAGACCCCTTTTGGCTGATTTTGGATAGCGCTTCATCGAAATCATCGGCTCCAGATGGTCCAAATCGTGCCCAAAGTTCCTCCTCGAATATTTCCCATGTTACCAAAACGTTATCTTCCCCAAGAGCCTTCGCGGTAGCCTGCCACCACTCGTTAGCTTCATCCTCCAGATGGTACGACGCGAATTGACTCGTTGTTCCATTGGTAACTCTTGATAAGCAAAATATTGTTTGGCTTCGCTTATCCAAGGCGTCGGATCTCCTCCTCGGAACCGAGGAAACTCGAGCTTCACATGGCGATGAGTCGGAGGATTTCCAAAAGGGTTGGTATTGTCGTTTGGACCCGACGGAGATGCTCGTTCTCCTCCGGATTGACGAATCCCTCGCACTGGGCTCCGCGCACCTCTGCCGTTTTCTGATATCGTCTCCATCAGTTTCTCGAATGATTCCTCCATGAATCGGAACTTGTCCGTCATGGCTTCTCTCATTTTCATCACTTCGTCCTGCACCATACCGAGACCAGTCTAGTTCGGCAAGGCGCTCCTTTGAATTGGCCATTGATTTCTCGGATGAGGTTTCAACAGACAATAACTGTTTATCTTTTCTCTTTTTTGGCGGAATGCTGGTGTGTGGGTGGTGTTTGATAGGTGGAAATTGTTGAGTAACAGAATTGATTAGAGCAAAGCTTTGATACCAAATGATAGGTCTCAGAATTTGGATTCGTAATCAGAACACAAGAACAATACACACTCTGTTTTGGACAATTATGATTGCCTCTTTTTGGCCTTTTCATTTAGTTAAATAGAAGTACAAGGAAGTAAACGTGGAGTCGTAACTCCTACAACTGGGAAATGGGAAAGTGGTAAAGGTGGTTTCCACAACAAGAGGAAGACCAAGCCTTTTCCATTATTTAACTGAAACTCAAATTGCAACAAAAGTAAAAGAACAGAGATCGCAAACCGATCAATAGATGTATTTCCGGTTTGGGATCCTTTGCCGGTCTGATGTCCTTCTAGCCGGTTGAGTCCTTCTAGCTGGTTGAGGTCCATCACATATCTTCTTCTTTACTCCAAGATTGTAGGTTATGTCCAAAATTATTTTCTTCGACTTCTATAATTCAGATCCTGAAAAAAAAAATAAAAAATAAAACAAATTAATAAAGTACCTTACTACTTTTGTTTATGTGTTCCAATGAAAACCTATGAAACAAACAGCCATTAGATAATATGTTAAAATACTACCCTTTATAACTTGATAAAAGAAACGAAAAAACATTACATTAAAGAAACTATACATACCAAAAGTTAGAATCTGTTAAAACATTCAATGAATAGAAAAATTAGTGCAAAGGAACCGACAGAAAAAAAAAAAACAGAGAATAAGTATGAGGTTGAGATAATTGCAAACAGAAAGAGAAACCATAAACTTCTCTGTTGCAATTGGTAAGAAACGACATGAGGAGATTTAAAGGTTAGTGAGTAACTGAGTATCATGAGTTTTAAATATGAAGGGATGACGATGAACCCGTAAGAAAAAAGAGAGAAAAGAGATTAGATGAATCTCTAAGTAGAGGGTGAGGAAAGAAAGTTTGTTCTCGTTTGGTTGAAAGCAAAGTGTAAAAACTGTAGAGATTAGATAATAGAACGTGATTAATGGGGAGAGATTTTAGGCATTTTAGTTATTTACATAACAGTTAATTTGCAGATTTATTTCACATGTCATTTAATATTAACGTGATTAATAGTAGTTCTTTTTCCTACGTGATTGAATAGACATTATTAGTTAGCATCATTTTAAACTGATGTTAGTTTTGTATCATTTATAAAATGATGTTAAAAGAAATTAGTAAATATATCAATTATTTAACCGATGTAAGTTTAGATTTTTACATCGATTTATTTAAATTGATGCAAACTAATGTAGTTTTGTATCAATTTTATATAACTGATGTAAAATAAGTCAATATTTGCATCAATTATTATAATTGATGTTAAACCATATATTTTCTATCATTTCTTATTATATGATTCAAATTAGTATCATTTTATTAATTGATATTCTCTCTGTTCCATATTATAAGCAGTTTTGGTATAATGTATCTGCAATTTTTTAGATGTATCTGGATGTGTTTCTATACAAATACATTCAGAAAATTTAGGCATGACCACGGTTACGATTATCACGGTTAAGGTTATTTAACCACTGGTTACGGTTAGAAATTTTGTTAACCTTACACCTTAACCATTTAACATACAGTTAATACGGTTATGGTTAAATATCAATCCAGTTAGTACGGTTACGGTTAGTTACGGTTATAACTATAATACGGTTAATAATACGGTTTATGATTAAATAAATATTATAAAATACAGAACAATGTTAAAATTTTCATTAACATATGTGAAAGAGATAAATTAAAAAAATTATTAATGTATATAAATTTCTGAAAGAAAATATAATTATTAATCTCATATTGAGAATTATTATTACAATAATAAAGTTTTTAAAAAATTAGTCAGGTGGTTACTACAAAGTGGGCAACGTGTGTTTATTTGTTACTAAAAAGGTGGAAATAAATTTATAAAATATTTTGTCAAAACAGTTTGAAAAGGAATGGCTTCATTACCTTTATAATCATGTCAAAATCATATTTATCTAATAATCTTATTACTTAATGGCTATACTATATTTTCTAGTTTTAATTAGATTTTACTTTTTGAATTTAACTAAAACTTAGCAAAATATAATATTCAAGTTAATTATTTCTATATTTTATTTAATTTCTCCATGTCATAGTTAATTATTTTTGTATTTAATAGAATATTTTAGACGGTTACGGTTAAATGAAACGGTTTTAACCTTGCGGTTAACCAACGGTTTTTATACGGTTACGGTTAAATTGAGGTTACGGTTAATATTTTTTTTAACCATAACTAATATTTTTTTACGGTTAACGGTTACGGTTTTAACCAGTTTATACGGTTACGGTCTGGTTACGGTTTAAAAACGGTACTGTTACGGTCCGAAATACGGTTACGGTTTCATTTTGGTCATGCCTAATCAATGTTAGGCATGACCACGGTTACGATTATCACGGTTAAGGTTATTTAACCACTGGTTACGGTTAGAAATTTTGTTAACCTTAACCATTTAACATACAGTTAATACGGTTATGGTTAAATATCAATCCGGTTAGTATGGTTACGGTTAGCTATGGTTATAACTATAATACGGTTAATAATACGGTTTATGATTAAATAAATATTATAAAATACAGAACAATGTTAAAATTTTCATTAACATATGTGAAAGAGATAAATTAAAAAAATTATTAATGTATATAAATTTCTGAAAGAAAATATAATTATTAATCTCATATTGAGAATTATTATTACAATAATAAAGTTTTTAAAAAATTAGTCAGGTGGTTACTACAAAGTGAGCAACGTGTGTTTATTTGTTACTAAAAAGGTAGAAATAAACTTATAAAATATTTTGTCAAAACAGTTTGAAAAGGAATGGCTTCATTACCTTTATAATCATGTCAAAATCATATTTATCTAATAATCTTATTACTTAATGGCTATACTATATTTTCTAGTTTTAATTAGATTTTACTTTTTGAATTTAACTAAAACTTAGCAAAATATAATATTCAAGTTAATTATTTCTATATTTTATTTAATTTCTCCATGTCATAGTTAATTATTTTTGTATTTAATAGAATATTTTAGACGGTTACGGTTAAAATGAAACGGTTTTAACCTTGCGGTTAACCAACGGTTTTTATACGGTTACGGTTAAATTACGGTTACGGTTAATATTCTTTTTTAACCATAACTAATATTTTTTTACGGTTAACGGTTACGGTTTTAACCAGTTTATACGGTTACGGTCCGGTTACGGTTTAAAAACGGTACTGTTACGGTCCGAAATACGGTTACGGTTTCATTTTGGTCATGCCTAAGAAAATTGCAGATACATTATGCCAAAACAGCTTATAATATGGGACAGAGAGAGTACTATTTAAATGATGTAATACACTTTTTTTTTTGTAGTGTTGAGACATGTTAGGTATGGAGGGGTGCCTGTCCGAAATAATGACCATGTGATGAGATGAAAAGCATTGCTGCAACTTGTTCATAAACCACCCCCATGATTCGTTATTCTCGGCATCTACAATCCCAAATGCCAACGGGAAAACCTGAAAATTAGCATCTTGTCCGGCTGCAACCAGCAATGTTCCTCCATACTTTCCAGTTAGATGAGTCCCATCTACCACAATAACACGTCTCAAGTACTGAAAGCCAACATTGAAGCATACAAGGACAAGAAGCAGTATTTGAATTGACCATTAGCCATCACATACAAGGTCAGTCACGGAGCCCGGGTTTGACTGCTTCACTCTTCGCAAGTACGAGGGCAAAGCCGCATATCCAGCTTCTGGTGTTCCCCTAACAAAAAGTTGGGCAGCTTTTAAAGCTCTGTAAGAAGTGGTGTAGTTAAGCTTAAGTCCAAGCAACACCCTTATCGCGGAAGCAATATGCCTTGGGACAATTCCATCAATGATTCCAAACTGCTCTACAAATATCTGCCCAAGATACCTTGGAGTACATCCCTTGCGGAATCGAGCACGGTCCACCACAGAGCATGTATGAACCTTGACATACTTTGTGACAAAGAACCTCTTTGCCTCATTCTTTATAGCAGCTCTGCACATCCATTTGCATCCATCTACAAAACATTTTGCCACATAGAGCTTGGTAGTAGACTTAGAAACCTTGAAGGCGAATCTAGACTTCACTGCCTTCACTCGCAAGGCAGATATGAGATCATTCTTGCTTACATAGCTCTGGCCAACTGATATATCGCCTGACCCATCGAATCCTACCCCATGACCATTCAAATCACCTCTGCGAAGCCTTTCTTCAAAGCGTTTTTTCTCCCAATCATCTTCATCTTGAACTTTCCCATACTCACTATAGTCTGCGTCCGTGTCTTCAGCTTTCTTTCCTGCAAAATCTTCATCCACATAGTCATCGTCCCCTGCATCATCATACTCTTCCTCAACTTCTTCATCTGAATTTGCATCCCAGTTTACATCTGAAAGTTCCTCCTCCTCTTCATACTCATCCTCATCCACATAGTTATCTTCATCGACATAGTTATCCTCATCTCTCTGCTGACCTTTATCCTTGTTTCCAACAGAGATGCAAAGGCGCAGCACATGCGTTTTGCATAGCTCTATCAAGCTATGGACCTGCCCATCGTTGGTGATGTACATAGGAGGAAAGTCAGAGGGCATTTGATGGAGCATAACATCTGGTAATGGATAGGATAACTCCACCCGCTCTGGTTCCATATCCAGCATATAGTCAGCTTGTACCATTGTAAGGAGCTCCTCATGTGTACAACCATCACGCAAGTAGAACATCCTCCCTCCTTTTCCTTTATCGACCTCAAAATTCCATGTCTTGTCTTCCATCACCACCCATTTTCCATAAACGGAAGCTAGACAAACCATTACCTGCAACAAAAACGAACAAGACCACAAAACGGATTAGAAGACAGAATGGGTAGACCGCTACGGTAGACCCACAACTTGGTCTACCAGGTAAAATTAATCTAGATACCTAATTGAAAAGAAATCCGAATATAGCCTTAATTACGCAGAAAGAACATTTCAAACTCACACAGAAGCAAGTAAACAAACAAAAGCAACTAACTGTTCGAGATAAATTCCAAAATATTTGATATATTGAAAGGAAAACGACATTTCAAAAAACACATAATAATAGACCTAAACGTAGATTCTAGTAGACGTAAACGGTAGACCCACTTAGGTCTACGCCACGTGGAGGGTTAGTTTAGCAATTGTTCGAGGAAAAATGTTTTTTTGGAGGTCTACCGTGTCGGTCTACTACACGTGGCGGGTTAGTTTTGCAATTGACCAAACGTTGACTTTTTGCCAAGGTCTACCGTCTCCGTCTACCAGAAGACGTAGACCTCCAAATCGGTCTACCGTAAAAAAGTAGACCTCCAAATTAGTCTACCGTATCGGTCTACCTAAAAAACAGTTTGTGATGGCGTTGACTTAAGTTTGACTTTCCTCGGGTAGACTTCCGTGGTAGACCTCAGTTTTTTTGCGTTGACCAGTAGACCTCACTTTCGGTCTACCAAGGTAGACCTACACGGTAGACCTCAATGACGCAAACTCTCTCCTTTTTGAGGAAAGTCAAACTTTTAACGGTAGGTAGACCGACCTGGTAGACCTACGACAAACATTTTACTCGATCAATTGCAAAACTAACCCTCCACGTGTAGTAGACCGACACGGTAGACCTCCAAAAAAACATTTTCCTCGAACAATTGCTAAACTAACCCTCCACGTGGAGTAGACCTAATTTGAGGTCTACCACTTGTTTTTTTTGTTTGCAAAGGAATTGACCCGGTCTACTTTTGGTTGACCGTAGACCTCAACTGAGGTCTACCATGTAAAAGTAGACCTTCTCTTCCGTCTACCTTTGCGGACCAAAACTGAAAGTCGTTCAATTTTGAAAGAAAGGTTACCTCGCCGTCGGAGAAAGGCTCTTCGAAGCCTGATAACTTCAATTTGGGCTTCCAGCAACGATCTCCGGTCGTCAACGTAAGCTAGACATCGGAAATACCAAGATCCAAGATTTGAGATTTCTTCTAGATTTTGGGATGAAAATGGAGAGAAAATGAAGAATAAGAGTTTGTGAGATGAAAGAAGGAGAAATGGTAGCTCACCAACGAGTTTTCGGAGCATTGAAAGCTCCATGTTCGGTGAAAATGGTGGTTGGCCACATTGATGATATGGCATTTTCGAAATTTTGTGTAGGAGATGAGGGGTCTTTGGTCTTTCAGCAGATATGGTAGACCTACAAATCGGTCTACTAGTCGAAAAAAGTAATGGCAATCCTGTAATTAATTAGAAAAATCTGGACAAACTTAAAACGAAAAAAGCAGGAGGTTACTTTTGCATTTGACCACAATTTTGGGTCTAAAGTGAAACAACCCCTATTTTTATTTGTCATTAATTGTTCTTTCCTTTTTGTATTGCCTTTGAATTGATACACCTTTTTTTTTCCCCTTTCTTGCAAGGAAACTTAGAGCAGCAACAATGTAGTATGAAGAAGATGAGGTGAATGAGTTCCCTATCTCTGAAGTTGATTGGGGAGAGGAATCAAACCACTCATGGGGAGGAGAAGAAGGCCACGACCAAGAGCAATGGGGAGATCTAACTGACTCTGAAATCAGTTTTGGAGATGAAGTAGATGGTGAAGATTTCGAAACTGAGCCACCAGGCTATGGCCAAGGCAGCAGGAGCCATGAGAGTTGGTCCAGCGAAGAAGATTATATAGAAGACTATGAGGAAGAAAATCATGAGAGCAACTCTCAGTTCAGTCCAGAGGAAGGAGATCACGAAATTGAATCAGAACATGAACAGCTCAGTCATGAAGACCAGTTCGTGGAGCCTTACTTTGAAAGTGAACCAGAATATGGAGAATCAATTCATGGAAGAGAGCCATGGAGCCAAGACACTGGAACAGAAGCAAGTAATGATGGTGATTCAGAGCTTGAAGAAGAACCAGAGCTTGAATATACCAACCAACAAAGCTATGGAGAAGATGATGAAACTGATTATCAAATCAGTTTATGATGACGACATCAAGTCATCATCAGATTGCCTCACCAAGTATTTAAAAGATTTGGCAATGTGATACAGGTAAAAGATTTGTGTGATCGCGGAATCGAGGCTAAAGAGTGGATGATAGGATGTTTATTGTTTTGCATTGTTGATTTGCTAGTACCTAGTGTTTAGGTTGCTCGTATTTCCTTTATTTATTTATTTGAATTATTTATATTTCCTTTATTTATTTATTTGAATTATTTATTGAACCTAATTTATTATTTAATGATTATTTATTTTAAAGACTTCCGCTAAAACTGTTTAGGATTTATTTATATTAAAAAAAGTTGGTTATTTCACGATAAATTAGCGATATGAAAGTGTCGGCTGCATTGACACAAGTGGAAGCATTAAGAGCTAACGAACACAAGTTACCTAGGAAGTTAGAGACAAGACAAGAAAAGATTGAGAAGCTAAAGAGTACAACACATGAGGCATTGAAGAAAGCAAATTTCGCTGATGCTTCTAAGAAAGCAGTTGAAAGAAAACTCAAGAGGTGTGGCGGTAAAGAGATCAAAAGAAAACAGAGGAAGCAACGTTGAGGGTTCTTGCAGAAGCTGAGGCAAAAATGTCCGTTGAATAATCACCACAATATCATTACAAAGCTTGAGTGTGTGGTTTGAATTCACTCAATCCATTTGGTGGCATGCACAGAACAAGTCGTACAAGTATGTGTGTATATAATCTTTGGTTTTTTTCGTTTCCCATTAAGCCTTCTAAAACCACAATCGTCTAAAGAAGATCGAATTTCTTTCAGGAAGTGATTGTGTTACTGATATACCTCTATTTTACATGCTTTTTATATTATTTTACTATGGTTTTCTAATTGCTTTTAGCAGGTTTTCTATCTAAAAATGTTGTTTTATTGGATTTATAGTACTAAGAGTCTACACATGTGAAACAATGTACTTTGGAGTAAAACCACATGATTTGCACTTTAACCCGCTCCAATACCGAAGCATTAACTTTGAAAAGGCCTGAAAAATAATATACTCAATGGATTTCATCAAGACTGGTTCCCTGCGTGTTATGAGTGAGTTAACTCTCCAACGCAAGTCGTTGGCATCATTTGAATGAGTAGAAATGAAGTTATGATCAAATTAGTGAAGACTGGTCGAGATGGCTTAAACCGCGCAACAGCGCTCAAGGCCGCGCACACCGGACGAATGAGGAACTCTCATCCCATGATTGACCCGTGCATAACGTTCACATCCATACCGTCAAGCGCACGACCGCGCCATGCGAACAGGAAGGCATCGCCTCTCGTTCGTCCCGACCGTCAACACAATCTGTGTCCCGCGCACGATCGCACCGTCCGACCAGGAAGGCATCGTCTCTCGTCCGGCCAGAACATTCAACCAACATTATCCGCCCGGCCGAACCCGGCGACTAAACGAGAATTTTTCCGGCCACGATCGACTTGATCGTACCGATGGCCGATCATAACCCGATAGCCGGCCGAATATCCCGACCGACCGTCCGAATGATCTGGTTGACCCGAAGCCTGTTTTGAAGCCCGTTTCACATGTTTTCACGGCCCGACTTAACCTAATGCCGCCTCTGATGACCTAGGACTATAAATACAATTTTTAGCCTCTTAGAGAGAGAGCCGCATATTGTATCACATTTTCACACTTAGAGTTTTGTTCTAGAGATTTCAAGGAGAAGATCTCCCCTCCTTACTTCAATTTGGAGAAGTTTTCTAAACCTTTGTTTATCTATTATGGTTTCTTCATCTCTTTGTGTAATTCACTAGTTACGTTATGAGATTTATCAAGAGTTCATGGTTCGATAGGTTGCTAGAAATCGCTTAGGGTTTATCATATTAGATCTTCATCTTCACTTGAATTCATTGCTGCTTGCTTTTCTGATCAACTAGCATCAGATCTTAGGTTTCATATACATTCCAAAAGCTTGCTATATAACCGGAACTAAGTGTTTGGTGAGCAACACTTCATAGACTGCGAAAGTTGATCTATGCGGGGTTGTGAACGATTAGGTCTTGAACGAATTAATGCTTGATTTAACTATCTAAGGACATGCCAAAAGTCTTAGCGATTAGATAAGTTAACAAAGGGATCGGAGCCACGACAGTGGAAAGATTCTACTTCGTGATCTGAGTTCTAGATAGCGCGCAAAACCCTAGTGAACCTTTCGATCATCTTGACAACCTTGAATCTCTGCGAGTTTCTCATTGCCTAGCTTTTCGTCCATCTTGCATCTTAAACCGCTTAATTTACTGCTTAGTTCTTTAGTCATTAAAAACCAACAAAACCCCAATCATACTTTCTTTTCTAGCTAAATTAGACTTGCAATACTTGTAGTGTACTTATCTGCTCCTTGTGTTCGATAACCCGTTACTACTTCTGATCTGTGCACTTGCAGAATCAGGGATAGGAATAGGTAAAACTTGATCCTGCATCAAGTTTTTGGCGCCGTTGCCGGGGAGCAATACAGCTACCTTCGAGTTCCCAACTATAGTCTAGTCTAGAATTTCGTTTTTCCTTTTTAGTTTTTGCAAATTTTCGTTTTTAGTTGTCTTCTGATCGTTTTCTATTTTAAGGATTCTTGTCTTGATGTCTTTCAGGTGCAAACTTGAAAAGGGGACTTGAATATGAATGAGTCAGACGACCAAGAGGAAGGAAATAACACAGGCGCGAGAGACATTGTGCTGGGCGAGCAGCACGATCATCCTCCAAATCGGAACGACGCGCATGACCAGACCGTTGATGAGTCACCAAAGGAGCTAGAGAAAATCGATAGAGAAGTCATGGGTGATTTTTATTCCAACCGAGCTCTACTCATCAATCGAAATCCCATTCATCCACCACTCCCTGGAGGAAGAAGCTATGAGATTTTGCCAAGAGGTCATTGCTTTGGTGAAACAGAACCAGTTCCAAGGGAAACCTCAAAAGAATCCTTTGGATCATATTGATGCATTTGAAGAAATCTGTGGGACCATCAGTGCAGATGGAGCGCCCAATGAGTATTTGAAGTGCAAACTTTTCTCTTTGTACATTGACAGGAAAAGCCTTAAAATGGGTGAAGTCTCTTCCAGCTCAATCCATAACTACTTGGAAAGTACAAAGGGGCATACTTAGGCCACTTTTTCACTAAGCAAAAAGCAAATCTACTAAGAGAAAAGATCTCTAACTTTCAACAAGGGCCGTTGGAGCCTTTTCATGAAGCTTTGGAGCGCTTCAAGGACTATACTAGGAGTGTCCTAACCATGGACTCTCTGATGGAAGCTTGTGGAACATTTTCTATAGAGGAATATATAGGAAATGTCGTTTTTTCTCTTGATACAGCCAGCAATGGAAACTTCATGACCAAAGCAGTTACTGAAGCAAAGATTCTAATTGAGAATCTAGCCTCAAGCGACAGTGACAACTTCATTGGATCTCAGAGTTGCCAACATAGTCGGTTCTATTAAGAAGAAGAAGGCATGCTACCAGGAAAAGAGATAAATCCAAGGAAATAAACATAGCTGCAATCACTCTTAGGAATGGAAAAGGATATGAGCCTCCAGCATCCAGCCAATGAAGAGACAATACCACCAGTTAAAAAGAAACCATGGAGTATGTGACCATTGGAGATGGAACTGAACCACCTAAAGAAGTTCCATGTCAGAATAGAACCAGGAACTCCAGGAGGAAGTGGAGAACCACCTGAAGAACCAAGAGTGTATGAGCCAAAGATCCCATACAGAATGTTCTTTCTCAACCCAAGAAGGAGAAGGAGCAAGCAAAACTCAAGGATCTTGTTAGCCAACTTTCAGTTCGGTTACCTTTCATTGATGCCTGCCAAATAATTCCATCTCTCAGGAAGTATATGAAGGCCATACTCACAAGCAATGTCAGTCTTGAAGAAGGAGCAATGATGATTACAAAGGAGTGTAGTGCCATACTTCAAAATCGCATGCCAGAGAAGCTGAACGACCCAGGAGTTTTGTTTTGTCTTGCAAGATCGGTTCTACACACTTCCATAGAGCACTTTGTGATTTGGGTTCTAGTGTGAACCTAATGCCCTTACTCAGTGGCCAAGCTATTGGGCATCACTGACTTCAAACCTACAAAGATATCTAGTCTTTGCAGATCGATCTGTTCGCCGCCCTGTTGGTGTTATTATGGATGTTCCAATCATGGTTGGAGATTGCTACATCCTGCTGATTTTGTAGTTCTTGAGCTGGAACACCAACCTAAAGACCCTCTTATCTTGGGAAGGCCATTCCTAGCTACTGCAGGAGCTATAATAGATGTCAAGAATGGAAAGATTGACTTGCATCTTGGAGATATAGTGATGAATTTCGAAGTAAACAAGTCTATGGAGAAACCAACTGGATGGTCAAGCTTTTTGGATTGGAGAGCTCGCAGAGACAAGAGAAGAAGTGCTGGATGAACTCCTTCTTATTGATCCCTTGGAGCTAGCTTTGACAAAGCTGAAGAGAATGAGTATGGATACATGGAAGAGAGAAGCTCAATGCTTAGTCAAGTTCATGGATTCAAGGAAGCATAAAGGAGCTATAGCTTATATGGACTAGAGAGAGAAGAAGAAAGCCAGACATTGACAAGAAGCAAAAGATCAAACCAAAGTTAAGTTCGTGCCCACTTGAGCTAAAACAACTCCAGTTGGTCTAAGGTATGAATATCTTGGTCCTAATGAAACATATCCTGTTATTGTTAATGCTGCACTAACAAAAGAAGAGACCGCTTTACTTGTTCGCGAACTGAGAAAGCATAGAAAGGCTCTTGGTTACTCTTTGGATGATTTAACAGGAATCTCACCTGAACTATGCACATGCATCGCATCATCCTGGAGGATGAGTCTAGTTCTTCATTGAACACCAAAGGAGGCTAAACCCAAACCTAAAGGAAGTTGTCAAGAAGGAGATAATGAAGCTATTGAAAGCTGGAGTGATTATCCAATATCAGATAGTGCATGGGTCAGCCCTGTACATGTCGTGCCAAAGAAAGGAGGGATCACAGTCATCAAGAATGAACATGATGAGCTCATTCCAACAAGGACAATCACAGGACACAGAATGTGTGTCGACTACAGGAAACTGAACTCCTCTACGCGCAAGGACCACTACCCCTTGCCATTCATAGACCAGATGCTTGAGCGCCTTGCCAATCATCAATACTACTGTTTCTTGGATGGATACTCAGGATTTTTCCAAATTCCAATCCACCCAGATGATCAGGAGAAGACTACATTCACTTGTCCCTATGGCACATATGCTTATAGGAGAATGCCTTTTGGATTGTGCAATGCTCCAGCTACATTCCAAAGGTGTATGATGTCCATATTCACAGATCTAATAGAAGAGATTATGGAGGTTTTCATGGATGATTTCTCAGTATATGGTTCTTCCTTTGAATCATGTTTGGGAAATCTTGGAAGAGTGCTACAGAGATGTGAAGACAAGCACCTAGTTCTAAATTGGGAGAAGTGCCACTTTATGGTTAGAGATGGAATAGTGCTTGGACATAGAATCTCAGAGAGAGGCATAGAAGTTGATAAAGGCCAAGATTGAAGTCATGACAAACCTTCAGCCGCCCAAGACAGTTAAAGATATCAGAAGCTTCTAGGACATGCTGGATTCTACAGGAGGTTCATTAAAGATTTCTCACAGATAGCAAGGCCGCTAACACGCCTACTATGCAAGGATATTAACTTTGAGTTCACAGAGGAGTGTCACAAGGCTTTCACTAAGATCAAAGATGCATTGGTCAGTGCGCCAGTGGTTCAACCTCCAAACTGGGAACTACCTTTTGAGATAATGTGTGATGCAAGTGATTATGCAGTAGGAGCAGTGCTTGGACAAAGAAAAGACAAGAAGCTACATGTGATCTACTATGCCAGCAGAACACTTGATGAGGCACAATGCAAGTATGCCACAACAGAAAAGGAGCTTCTAGCTATTGTCTTTGCATTTGAAAATTTCGATCATACTTGGTGGGATCGAAAGTTATAGTTCATTCTGATCATGCAGCATTAAGGTATCTCTTATCAAGAAAGATGCCAAGCCAAGATTGTTGAGATGGATACTATTGCAAGAATTTGATCTTGAGATCAAGGATAGAAGAGGAGCAGATAATGGAGTAGCTGATCACCTTTCAAGGATGAGAGTTGAAGAAAACCTACCCCTTGATGATAGGCTACCTGAAGAAACAGTTTATGCAGCTGAAGCAATCATAAGCATACCATCACAGGCCAGGAACAAAGATCTCATCATCAAACACACCATGGTTTCGCCACATAGCAAACTTCCTTGCAGCTGAATACCCACCACCAAACTTCTTTGGCTACAGAAAGAAGAAATTTCTGCGTGATGTGAGAAGGTATTACTGGGATGAACCTTACTTATACAAGAAATGTTCAGATGGAATGTTTAGAAGATGCATACCTGAGGAAGAAGTAGAAGGAATATTGTTTGCTTGTCATAGTTCTAGCTATGCAGGCACTTTGCCACTTACAAGACAGTATCCAAGGTCTACAAGCTGGATTTTGGTGGCCAACTATGTTTAAGGATGCTCATGCATTCATATCAAGATGTGATGCTTGCCAAAGAATGGGAAATATAAGCAAGAGGAATGAGATGCCACAGAACTTTATACTAGAAGTTGAAGTTTTTGATGTTTGGGGCATGACTTTATGGGACCTTTCCCAACCTCTTTTGGCGACCAATACATTCTAGTGGCAGTTGATTATGTCTCCAAATGGGTGGAAGCCATTGCCAGCCCTACTAATGACGCACAAGTGGTCATCAAGATGTTTAAATCCATCATTTCCAAGGTTTGGAGTGCCTAGGATAGTCATAAGTGATGGAGGTTCACATTTCATCAACAGAATCTTTGCCAACCTTTTGAAGAAGCATGGAGTACTCACAAAGTTGCCTCTCCTTACCACCCTCAAACTAGTGGACAAGTTGAGATCTCAAACAGAGAACTCAAGAGCATACTTCAGAAGACAACAGGAAGACAAGAAGGATTGGAGTGCCAAACTAGATGATGCTCTATGGGCATACCGCACTGCCTTCAAAACACCACTTGGTACACCCCCTTTCATCTTTTTATGGTAAAGCATGTCATTTACCTGTGGAGCTAGAGTACAAAGCAGCTTGGGCTATTAAGGAGTTGAACTTCAACCTAAAGACAGCAGGAGAAAGAAGATTGATCCAGCTAATGAGCTTGATGAGATTAGCATCTGGCATATGAGAATTCAAAGATCTATAAGGAGAGAACAAAGCTTTCCATGACCGCAAGATCATTCCAAAAAGCTTTGCCCCAAACGACCAAGTATTGTTGTTCAACTCAAGACTGAAGCTCTTTCCAGGGAAGCTTCGTTCAAGATGGTCCGGACCGTTCAGGATCAAAGAAGTCCGACCTTTTGGAGCAGTAGTGCTATGGGATCCAATGGGAGGAGATTTCACAGTCAATGGACAAAGACTAAAACCGTACATCGCCTCAACCACAATACCACCGGAGACCTCACTCACTCTTGGTGACCCACCGGATCTCTAGAGACACCATACAGTCAAGCTATTGACTTTAAAAGAGTGCTGAATGGGAGGCAACCCATTACAAGGTAAATTTTACTTTTCTTTTTCATGTTGGTTTTATTTTACTTTTTATCTAGTTGTGAATAATCAGAAACAAGAAGTCCAACACCAAACGGATGCAGAGAACAGGTTACACACCTTCTAATTCACAAACAACATTATTATTTTTTTTAGTTATTCTCCCTTAATTGGATTTTCGTTCACCGAGACGGTGAAAGCTAAGTCTGGGGGGATTCCAGATACTAATGTGTTTGTTCACTTTCTTATCCTATGATTGAACCATTGTTTTTGAAATTTCCATAGCATTTTGTTTTATTGAGTCAAAACCTAGTCCGGAAACTATGAACTTGCTTTGAGATTGACAGTGTTGTGCTAACAATCATGACCCTAGAGCAGACATCAGCTAAAGGCACAAGCCTAACAGAAGCTCTTACAGTGGATCGACATGCTAGCTCAGCGAAATTTCTAAGGTAACCAAGCAATCTAGAGTTAACCTCACCCTTAATCAATCTTAATAACTCTTGTCAAGGGGATTGGCATACATATTGACAGTTCCTTGCTTGATTTTCAATAAGATTTGTCTAACCTTAAGTGCAGTTCTCCTCTCTCTCCCATCCTAAATAAATTTTATGAGAAAAGCTTTTTGAGCAAAAGGAAAACAAGTAAGCATGAGGAATGCATATGTCTGTACCTTCATGTCTTATGGAATACCTTATCAAACAAGGAACAAGCAAAAGACTTATCCTGTGTTGATAGAGGGTCAATAGAAAAAATAAAATGATACCCTAGAAAAGTAGGGAAAATCGACCTTCAAAAGTTCTGATGTGAGAAAGAGAGAGGAAAAGAACTCATTGCACTTCAAAGACAATCTTGGAGAGATCAAGTGGGTAAGAACAAGTGCTTAATGATCGTTATTCCCTTGATAAAGAACTCACGCTTTAAATTTATGCAAGAGGTTAGCAATAGAGAGTTTGGATTGCTGGATGAGACTAGTTGAGTTGGTATTGTTCGCTAAACTTGCAGGGTGTATGTGAAGCTAACCTTATGTTGCCTATGTTCTTAGTGGAATACAGGAAAGGAACCCTTCACAATATTCAAAAAGCAAGAGTTTCCACGTTTTCAAACCTCTTTCAAGGATTTAGATTCTGTTTGCTTGAGGACAAGCAAAGATCTAAGTCTGGGGGAGTTGATATACCTCTATTTTACATGCTTTTTATACTATTTTACTATGGTTTTCTAATGGTTTTAGCAGGTTTTCTATCTAAAAATGGTAGTTTTATTGGATTTATAGTACTAAGAGTCTAAACAGGTGAAATGATGCATTTTGGAGCAAAACCACAGGATTTGCACTTCAACCCGCTCCATACCAAAGTATCAACTTTGAGAAGGCCTGAAAAAATAATCTACTCAATGGATTTCATCAAGACCGGTTCCCTGCGTGTCATGAGTGAGTTAACTCTCCAACGCAAGTGGATTGGTATCATTTGGATGAGTAGAAATGAAGTTATGATCAAACTAACGAAGACTGGTCCAGACGGCTTAAACCGCGCATCAGCGCTCAAGACCCCGCATACTGGCCGACCGAGGAACTCTCGCCCCACGATCAACTCACGCAGAACTTTCACATCCATACTGTCCAGCGCACGACCGCGCCGTGCGAACAGGAAGACGTCGCCTCGTTCGTCCCGACAGTCAACACGATCCGTGTCACGCGCACGATCGCACCGTCCGACCAGGAAGGCATCGTCTCTCGTCCGGCCAGAACATTCAACCAAATAATCCGCCCGGCCGAACCCGACGACCGAACGAGAATTCTCTCGGCCACGATCGACCTGATGGCTGATCATAACCCGATAGCCGGCCGAACGTCCCGACCGACCGTCGAACGGTCGACCGAAGCCCGTTTTGAAGCCGTTTAACACGTTTTCACGGTCCGACTTAACCTAATGCCGCCTCTGAAGACCTAGGACTATAAATACAACTTTTTAGCCTCTTGAGAGAGAGAGCCGCATATTGTATCACGTTTTCACACTTAGAGTTTTGTTCTAGAGATTTCAAGGAGAAGATCTCTCCCCTCCTTACTTCAATTTGGAGAAGTTTTATAAACATTTGTTTATCTTTTATGTTTTCTTCATCTCTTTGTGTTATTGCTTTGATCATGTCTGAGTAATTCACTAGTTAGGTTGTGGATTTATCAACGAGTTCATGGTTCGATAGGTTGCTAGAAATCGCTTAGGGTTTATCATATTAGATCTTCATCTTCACTTGAATTCATTGCTGCTTGCTTTTCTGATCAACTAGCATCAGATCTTAGGTTTCATATACATTCCAAGAGCTTGCTATATAACCGGAACTAAGTGTTTGGTGAGCAACACTTCATAGACTGCGAAAGTTGATCTATGCGGGGTTGTGAACAATTAGGTCTTGAACGAATTAATGCTTGATTTAACTATCTAAGGACATGCCAAAAGCTTAGCGATTAGATAAGTTAACAAAGGGATCGGAGCCACGACAGTGGAAAGATTCTACCTTCGTTATCTGAGTTCTAGATAGCGCGCAAAACCCTAGTGAACCTTTCTATCATCTTGTCAACCTTGAATCTCTGCGAGTTTCTCATTGCTAGCGTTTCGTCCATCTTGATTCTTAAACCGCTTAATTACTTGCTTAGTTCTTTAGTCATTAAAAACCAACAAAACCCCAATTCATACTTTCTTTTCTAGTAAATTAGACTTGCAATACTCGTAGTGTACTTATCTGCTCCTTGTGTTCGATAACCCGTTACTACTATTGATCTGTGCACTTGCAGAATTAGGGATAGAAATAGGTAAAATCTGATCCTGCATCAGTTGCTTAAGCAAGGAATCAACTTCAAAGTTTATAGATGAATAAGAAACACCATAAAATTCTCATATAAAATTTATATATATACTCTCTGAGGAAAAAGTGTCAGATGAGAATGTCAATAATACTTCATTTTTTAATAAGGAGGTAGAAAGAGGAGGTTGTGTCAGCGAAATTCTCACTTTGGTTTTATCTTTATGAGTGATAATAGACAAAAGGTAGAATGATTCCATGAGTAATTTCATAAAGAGTTATGACATTATTATAAACTCATGTTACGAACATGAATAAATTTAAGAATTTGTTTGTTATATTCTCATGCATACCATAATGACATTATAAACGAAATGGAGGCTGAATTTAAAATTCCATGAGTAATTTCAGGACATTGATATACTTTAAATATTATACTTATGGTCTTGATTGGTAGAGCTTTTAGAAGAGCATTAAGCTTTTTTTCATCCAATCAACTTTTTTTAAAAGAGTATTTAGGAGAGTATTTAGAAACTACTACTGCTTCTAAACTGCTCTTTCCCACCCTGCTCTGAAAGCATTTCCAAAGCATTGAACTCAAAAATATTTAAAAAATCTTAAATTTATTTATTTTGGTAAAAAAATGAAACTATATTTATATCAAGTTTACAATTTTATAATTTCGTAAATTAACATTAACAATAATGTATTATTCATAAAATAAATATTTAATGACATAAAAATTAAATAAATATAATTTAAATATGAAATAGTTACTAAATATTTTAAAAAAAATAAAAAACAATCTTATGTTATTAATGAAAACTTATATGATGTATTAAAATAAATATCAATATACATATTAAATAATTTCACAAAAAAATAATAAAAAAGCTCACAGCTCTACCAATCACAGTTTCAAGAGCTTAATGCTCTTCTAAATACTCACCCTGCTTATGCTCCTTAATAGTCATATGATTCACACGTGTGAATATCGAATCGTTCAATACAACTATGAATCCTATGGCTCAATCTCAGGGGTTGAAGAAAACAGTCCAAAATGAAAACATCTCAAAAGTTAAGATATTGACCAAGCCACCATAGTGATCTGATTATATGGCGAAGCAATAAGGAAGCTTCAAAGCAAAGAACGATCAAACATTTCAAAAGTGATAACAGTGAGATTGGGTGGAGAAATATGAAAAGCAAATAATGAGTGAACTGTCACAATCTCTTATCTTATTTTTTTCTTAATCTTATTTAAACTCTGATTTTTAGGTTTATAGTGCCTGAAGTCTCAATTACAGTTCTTAAAGTTGTTGCCTTTGTTTTATTCTCTTTTTTTTTTAATTGTATCCGTATCTTCGGAAATCAACAAGGTTATGTTAACTCACAGATTAAGCAATTCTACTGAATTACAAATGTTTAAAAATATAATTAATTCAAATGAAGACAAGTCATTACAGCGCAAACCGGAGTAACACAAACGATTGTCACTTTGTTTTTCTTCAGAAACTGTTAAACAATTACCAAGTTTGGCAAAGACATTCTGTTTTGTCGGTGTAGATGATGTCATAGGAAATATTACATTACTAATAGGACTATGTCATTAGGTCAGAGTTATATTCTTTCACAGACATATAACCCACATCATTGATTTGTATTACGAAAAATCTAATATATGTATTTTGTTTTGAAACGATATGGAATTAAATTTTCGGTGACAGCATCGGAAAATATCCGGCAACTTTAATGCCTACAAGGTGACGAATGATGAATCTACATAACTAATAAGGTTTGGACATTCTCCAGTTCGGGACATGTGGCATCTTCTTTTTTTGTCCTTCCAAATGCCAAAACGATGTCGTTTTGCGTTGTAGTTTTTTTTTTTCCCATCTTACACCAAAACGACGTCGTTATGGGTCTTCCCTTTTTCCCGAAAGTTTACGCCTAAAACCAAAACAGCGTCGTCTTGGATTGTTATTTTACCTAGCTCCTTCCATTTAAAAAATAAATTAATCAAACAAAACAACTCGTCGTCTCCCCTTCCTTTCTTTCCCGATGAGGCGGCCGATTTGAAACACTTCCGGCGATTCCAATTGTCATGGTTTCCGGTAACCCTCGCGCTCCACCACCGCCTTCATGTGCTTTCGAAGAGTTTCTCTTGGGTCTGACTGCGGAGAGCATCACCGTGCGCCTCCTGCGTATGTGGGGAACATCCCTTACCTTCTCGACCGCTTGATTGATTTTTTTCATTTCGACTGTCCCGGTTTCGTTGCATTCTTCAGATCCACGCAGAAGAAGTTACGGTTAATCTGAGGTATAAACGTTCTCTATTGTCTCCGTTTCTCTATTGATGCACCTCAATCTTCTCCTGCAATTTTAGATCGAATCCCTTATTTCGATTGTGTTGATGTCGTTCTAATCAGATTAAATTCCCGTGTTCGTAGTTATCTCAGATTTCGTTGATTTTCACTTTTCTTTTTGCTGTTTTCAAAATGGTTAGTCTCGAAAGTTTATCATATAAACATGATGAGACTTTTTGTTAAACTCATTGATCAATCTCCACTCTGATGATGTTATCTCCTTATCTGCAACTCAATCATAATCGTATGTTTCATGAATTGAATGATTTACGAAAAATCCGGCGGCTCTGATGATGTGCGCTTAATGATACCAAAAATGAAGTTGAAAACGAAGTCAATGATGGTGGCTCTCAGAAGGAAGATGGCAATGAAAAAAAGGAATCAATTGCTGGTGGTTCTCAGAAGGAGAATGGTGAGGACGTTAAGGAAGTGAACGGCAGTGGTTCTCATGAAGAGACTGGAAAGTAAGGAGGCTAATGGTGGCAGTTCTAATAAAGAGGTTGACGAGACTCGACGTATCAAAGGCACGAGTTCAAAGGTGACTGAATTTAGTTTCCCTTTTAACCCTTGTGTGAGGTAAGTCTTACAGAGTGCTCTTGGTGCATTTGGCAGGTTGGCACGCTTATTGGTAAAGGCGGAGAGATGGTGCGGCATCTTCAGTTCAAATCTGGTGCCAAAATCCAAATTCGGACGGATTCTGAGGCTGATCCAAATTCATCTTTATGACCGGTGGAGATAATTGGAAAAGCTACTTCTATTGAGAAAGCAGAGATGCTTATCAATCAAATTATAGCAGAGGTTTGAACTTGTCTTTGACATCCGTGTTGATTCTTTATTAAATGGCAACTTTTTTTGTTGTTGTCTGACCTCAGATTTGGTCTATTTTTTTTTCTTCTGCTGCAATCATAGACTGAAGCAGGAGGTGTACCTAGCCTTCTTGTAAGGTTCGAAGAACAGATGGAGATTAAAGTTCCAAATGATAAGGTTGGTGTGATTATTTGTCGAGGTGGGGAGACTATCAAAGAACATGCAGACAAAGTCTAGAGCTCGCATTCAGGTGGTTACTTCTATTCAATCTTGAATGTATTAAGAGTATTGAGAAAAATTGTAAGTATTTTAATATGACGGTTAATATTAAGAGTATTAAAAGCTCGATTTTCTTATATGACGGTTAGTCGAAAATGTAACTACTTTAATAAATCTCTTTCTCGCATTTGTAAACCAGATTATTTGTCAAAGATTGGAACAGTTGATTTAATTGTGCTCGTAATTGAAACATGGGAAGAAAAAAAACAATGGGACCCTTGATGCTGGATTTTTAAAACATTATTAACCCAGCTCTGAGAAAACAAAGAAAACATTAACTTTACCCTACATCTTTAATCATTAATTTTATATTCGTTTGTGTGTCGTATAATAAATCCACAAGGCCAAAAAAAGGAGTGATCAAACTATTCATACTTATGAAATGTCTTCGAGAATTAAAATACCAAAGATAGAAAATATCATGAAGCCTGTAAGATTAATGAAATGATTTGTCTGGAAATTTATACATAACACATATAGCTGGTTGTTGTTTCATAAAATGTTAGTTTACTAATGTATATGTATATCATATTTTAAAGTTTTAAGAAACACGCGCATTGTGCGGGTGCTCTCCTAGTGACCAATGGATTTGATTGCAAATAAGAACTGGTATCATAAAAGTCGATCTATTTGTCAATTTTTTTTTTTGTATTGTCGATGATGAACAAACCAAAATCAAGATTTACAATTCTCGAGAGGATAAATTAATTTATAGGTTTTATGAGTTTTTGTGCTTGAGACCAGGATGGACAAAACAAATAAGGTTTACACGTCAGATCGACGAAATTAAATATAGAGAGGTAATGATGTAACACACTTTTAGTCTCTAATGTCTGAATTTGATATATTTTTGGAGTTCTTTCACTTTTAGTACAAGATTTGTGGTCAAATACAAAAGTAGTCTTCATTGTAAAATGTGTTTTTTTTTCCTCCTCTATCCTCATCATAATCAAATAATAACGGAAATACCATTACTTTTCCACATGAAGACTAACTGTAAAGTCTAATTGAAAAAAAAATTATCCAAAGTAACCTCATCTTCTTCATGTATTCACGAAAATGCCATCACCATCAATTCATCCAACAACCATTCTCAACCGAAATGAAGCTTTGAATGCAAGATTTATTCTTGAAACATATCTACCAACTCATTCTATCATCTCATAAACTTAGTTCATCATCTTTCTTCTCCATTTTCACCCAAAGAACTTAGTTTTTCATCTTTTCAAAATTAAGGTTCTTAGATTTTGCCATTTTCGGTGTCTGAGCTCATTTTAACCGTTGGGGAAGTTTGCTGAAGCTCTAAAACGAAGTTCTAGGCCGTCATAGAAACTTAAGATCACGGCAAGGTAAAATTCTGATAGATCTGAGTGAATTTCATATTTTTGCAGGTCCTTAGACTTCATAGCGAAGTCTAACAAACTAGTTTTGCAATTGAGTTTTCAAAAATTTTAGAGAGTAGACTTCACAATGAAGTCTACTCCAAATTCGTTTGATAACAAAAAAAGACGTGTTAAACTTCCGGAAGTTTATTATGAAGTCTAACTCGAATAGACTACTTTTGTATTTGTTCGCGTAAAATCTTTTTACGAGAAGTCTAACCGTGAAGTTTGCTTAAAATAAAAGACTAGCTTTGCAATTGACCACACAAGACTTTTCTGTAAAGTCTATTAATGAAGTCTATTTGGCCTGTATTATACCTCAAAATGAAGTCTACTCACGAGTAGACTTCATTGCGAAGTCTAATATATGATAGACTTCTTCATGAAGTCTAATAGTCAACGTTTTTTTAGATAGACTTCCTCGTGAAGTCTACATACCGAAATTTAAAATTTGGACTATTGCAAAACTAACCCATATGAAGTCTAACTCTTTTCGTAGACTTTACCGGTAGACTTTATTATTAAGTTAGACTTCAAATTGAAGTCTAAGTACATTGATGAAGTCTATTCTGAGAAGTCAACGTTAGGTCAATTGCAAAACTAGTCACTTTTGAAAAGGTAGACTTTACGGATAGACTTACCCAAAAACAATTTGTTTCGTTAATTGTAGAACTAGTCTATTAGACTTCACAGCGAAGTCTAATAGTTAGAGTTCACCGTGAAGTCTAATATTAAACGTTTTTTTTTTTAAAACGAATTATAAGAGAATGTATATCGAAATTTATAATTTTGTTTAATGATGGCGGGTTTAGATTGCCTCAAATTTTCACAATTTATAAACCCAACTAATGAGCTGCAAGTGCACAGCCGTGTTGTAGTCGGGGTCGAACACGAGAAGGAAGTGTTCTCACTTAACACCTTGTGAGATCGGTTTGTAGCTAGCTCGCAATATGAGGTGGTTTTGGGACCTAGAATGAGAAAACAAAACAAAGGAAATGTGACGATCTCCTAGGGCTTCTCTCCTCTGAACTCTCTTCTCACACGTACACTCTTTGATAATTTTCGGACTCTCTTCTTCAGCGGCTAAAAACATGTATATATGGGCGAAGTCGCGTAGGGTTTTCTTCATGCCGGAAAAGGAAAGTTTCCCGTGAGCAAAGCCTTCTTCTCCACGTCGTGTATGGGCCGACATTGTACCAAGGAAAGCTCCAAACATTAGCCAGGCCTCTTCTCTATTCGATCAAGGCCTTTGGCGCTGCTGCTCGGGCCATTAGACACTCCAAATCCTCCATGGGCTTCGTTTGCTCGCTTACCGGACATGTCTCGGTAGAAAATAAGTCTAGGCCTCATAGTTGATCCAAATGGCTTCATTCCACTTCGACGTGATGCATGACTCAAGTATCTATCTTTCCATATCAAGATCGTAACTTTTGGACGTCGGGAACTCCTCCGCGCGCGGCCAAACTTCCGAAGCTTCGTTCTGCGCGCAGCGAGAACTAACACTTGGAGATAAAATGATCTTCTTGACTTGGAAACTTGCATGGATCTTGATTTAGGGCTCTTTTACTCCTTTTTGCATCCTTTTTGATTATTTCACCTACAAAGACTTCAAATCCCACAAATACAAGAAAACTACCTCTAAAGGCAAAGAATCTTGCAAAAACCGTTTGAAAACATAGGTAATATATAGTAAAATCATGTAAAATATGGTGATATCATTTAAACAGTTAGTTGTATTAGTCTATTTAGTTGCTTTGGTGTGGGTTTTATATGCTTATTCGTTATATACTATGTTCAAACGGTTTTCTTATTTAATTAGCAATTTAGACATTAGTAAGTAGACTTCATGAAGAAGTCCATCACGGAAGTTTACGGACAAAGTCTGTTTTTCCTTTTTATTTCTAATGTTGTTTTGCGGTTGTTAACTTGCAGAAAATGGTCAACATCGCTTCTGTTTATGAAGAATGGGTGAGAAAGGACAATATGGCGTCGGTTTTTGAGGTTGACTATCGCAAAGGAGGGAGAATGTTCTGTTTGAGGGATGGATGTACACATGATGAGCTTGTTCAAATGGCCTTAGATGATTATTCGGTGAACAAGCACGGACTGGAGCTATCATATTCATTACCAGAACCATTCGTGCAGCAAACTTCTTCAATTGATTCTCCGCCTGTGTATGTCACAAATGACAGACAAGTCCACAGCTCGATCGAGCTAAGTCGAACACATGTTGTACGACTTTGTGTCTCTAGCCAAGGGAATGCTGATGTGGAAGATAATGTACATGGACGTAAGAGTGAAAACCATGATGATGAGTTCTCTGATGATTGTGATGAAGACTGGGCTGCGGACCTAGATGAAGTGTCGGAAGGAGGAGAAGATGCGGCTTGTGATGAGGGTGATGACAAGAAAGATCCTCATCAAATCGATGATGATACCCACGCAGATTACAGTCAGTATGGGAAAGTGGAAGATGAAGACGAGCGTGAGACAAAGATTCCTTTCGATGATCCCCGTCTTAGAGGGCGTGGTCAACGCAAACGAATGGATAATTGGGAAGACAATATATACGAGCACCAGAGTTTTGATAGCAAGGAAGAACTAATGTCGGAGTTGCGTTTGACGGCGGTGATGACAAGATTTACATTCAAAGTAGCTACGTCTACAACAAAACTATTTGTGGCCAAATGCAAAGTGGGGGAGTCATTGTGGTGGATGGGACTCATTTAACAGGGACATATGGGGGAGTTCTACTTGTCGCCGCCGGACAGGACGGGAACTTTCAAATATTCCCCTTAGCTTTTGCAATTGTCGACGCTGAGGACAGCGAATCATGGGAGTGGTTTTTCAACAAACTCCGAGATTGCTTTATGCAGCATCCGGCCAATGGTCATAGTGTCTGACCGAGCCAAGGCCATTGCTAGAGCATGTGAGATCGTGTTTCCTTGGGCACTAAAAGGAATATGTTACTATCATCTCCAAGGTAACATAATCAAGGATTTCCATGCAAAAGAGATCATGTATATGGTTAAGGGTGCAGCTTACGCTCATACAGTTCCTGAGTATAACCGCTACATGGACCTCATTCGAGCTGCAAAACCTGAGTAGGCAACTTACCTAGAGGAAGCAGATCCGAAATTGTGGTCAAGAGTTCATTTTCCCGGTGATAGATACAACATAAAGACGAGTAACATCGCCGAATCAATTAACTCGGATGTTAAGAAGGCAAAAGGATATCCCATTCCAAAGCTTTTGGAATTTATAAGGGAGAAGCTTGGGAGATGGTTTACCAAGAGGTGTGAGGATGCTGTGAGTCTCACAACTACCCACAGCAGAGGAGTTGAGTACATTTTAGCTGTGCGTTCAGACTATGCGGCAAGTATGACCGCTGAACGCATAGACACTTGGTGTTATCACGTAAAGGGAGGAAAACGTGATTGCAATGTCGACTTGTTCCGCAGAACGTGCTCTTGTGGGGTGTATGATGTTGAGAAAATTCCTTGTACTCATGTCATTGCAGCCGCAACCGCAACAAACGTACTAATGTCCCATTACGTGTGCGATTGTCATTCTAAACTTTGCTTGTATTCAACCTATGCACATCCGATCTATCCTAAGGCGGGATCTGACTCACACGTAAAGAAACAACCGTGTTTGATTCCAGTTGAAAAGGTCCCTCCTGGCAGGAAGAAGAAGTCGAGGTGGCTAACTTGGCTAGAAATGTCGAGGAAGAAAAATAATAAACCGAGGAAGATGCACAAGAAGTACAGCTGCTCTAAGTGTGGGGAACCAGGACATACTCGCCCAAAATGCGTAAGCTCATCACCTATATCCTTCTTTTGTATCCATCTTGAAAGTCTTTAACAATTATCCTGGGAATGGTCGAACAGGTCGCAGAAGACTGATGTGAAGTTGGATGAAGTGTACCTAGGCAGTCTACAAATGAAGCCTAATTCCGTTTCTCTTTGTGTTTTTAATACTCCTGAAGTCTATATATGAAGTCTACCATCTGTTCTTTAGTTTGGCCGTTTTAGGGTGGTGAAATGGAGGAAAACTCAGGTTTTTTGTTGTTTTTGAAATATTAAAGTCTACTCCTGAAGTCTATTCTTGAAGTCCACGAATGAAGTCTACCATCTGTTCTTTAGTTTGGCCGTTTTAGGGTGGTGAAATGGAGGAAAACTCAGGTTTTTTGTTGTTTTTGAAATATTAAAGTCTACTCCTGAAGTCTATTCTTGAAGTCCACAAATGAAGTCTACCATCTGTTCTTTAATTTGGCCGTTTTAGGGTGGTGAAATGGAGGAAAACTCAGGTTTTTTGTTGTTTTTGAAATATTAAAGTCTACTCCTGAATTCTATTCTTGAAGTCCACGAATGAAGTCTACCATCTGTTCTTTAGTTTGGCCGTTTTAGGGTTTGAACATTACACACAAGTGCAATAGCCACAACATACACGTACCAAAAGCATAGTTTTTAGGGTACATTACCAAACCTGTAATGTTAGGTGATAGATTACTAAAGAATAATTAGCCTTAACCTATCATCAGGTACAAAAGGGAATAGTTTTGTGTTTACAAAGACACAGCCACTCAATCTAACAAATCAAGTCCTTCCCAGTCTCTTGGGTCCTCTATCGGTCCGCGGCAGTCGATTTCATGGAACAAATCAGACGCAATCTTCTCCCGTGCTCTTGTGGCGTTGGCCTGGCAGAATGTCTCTGGAAATGTGGTATATCCAAGTGCTAGGCACTCCATGTACTTCAGGACAAACAGACCACAATCTCCACCATTGTTTTGGTGTGGCACACCCTTTGTCGGAAACTCTACAGTGTACTTATCTAAAGGGAAGTAGGGTTTATCATCTGCCTTAGCAGCTTGTTTCATCAGGTTCGGCATCATCGCAGCATAAGGTTCGACAACCGACTCCATTATCTTATCTTCGATCGAGCCCGGTAAACTGTCGTAGACGACAATGTGCCGTTTCGGGATGGAGACATGCAGGGCGACCCAATGTGTCTGCTTGATGCTAAGAGGGATGTATAAATCATCAATATCATAGGCCCATCTCTTCCCGGTGGGGTTGCTTCTCGGGAGCTTCCCAAAATACCAGTCCAGTGACTGGGCAGGAAGAAGTTCACAGGCCTGGAAATTTGGCCAGTCCCTCGCCAATACTGTGTGATCCTACTGTCAAAAAACATGATCCTATCACTCTTAAACCAGTCCTTGTGCGTTTCCAGGCGACGAGCCATCATTCTGGTCCAGGCACTGACATGCTACAAATAAAAGAAAAAGTTATTTGATCCAGGCATTCTCATCAAAGTCTAACTACAAAGTCTAACATTTCCGTTTTGTGAAGTCTATCAAATATCTCCAACTGGAAGTCTACCTAAGAAGTCTATCTACAAAGGAACTTACAGTGTCATCCAGCCACTCTTCCTTACTCAGCAGAGTCCACCACTAATACCAAAGTGGGTATTCATGTTTATCCGGCTCCTTCATCGGATAACCCCTGAAACAAATCTAGTTGTGTTAAGCTCTTTCACGTTATTCAAATTGTAAGAATATAGGTATGGGAGACTTACGGTAAGGTGGCACAGTAATCAGCCATTTCTTTCTTGCTTTCCTCGGCGGCAACAGAAAATGGATCATACCCACCAGGTACTTTCAAAACAGCTAATTTCGCTGGTGCTTGTTTCACAGCTGCTGCTTCTTTCGCAGCAGCTTGTTTCGCAGCAGCTGCGTCCTTCGCAGCAGCTTGTTTCGCAGCAGCTTGTTTCTTTTGCAGCACCTGCTTTACCACGAGTTTTCTCTTCGGTTTAGTGATGGCCTTAGCTGGTTTGGGTGCCTCCGGCGGATTGTTCAGGACTATCCTCCTGGCGGTGCTGTTTCCTACGTATGCACCTGTCTGTGTATGCGACAGAGTCCGGGTTCTCTGACTCTTACCTCGTGCTAAACGATTTCCTGCTTGATCTGTTCTGCTTGCTTCTTCTTCTTCCGCGTCAAGTTCAGAGGCACTCGGATAATGGGTTCGGAGAAAATTACATTCCGAGTCTTCCTCACCAGTATCGCAAGCATCCTTATCCTCTTTGCCGTTTTGCTTAATATTGATCAAACACAAAAAATATACACTATATAAGGAGCATGGGGAAAGAACAAAAATTTTATTGAAAAGGTACGATTGCATCAAGGGAAAGTGTACAACACACCACATCAAGGTTCTTATTCATTCAAACATACATGAGTAAAAAACAAAGGTTTCAGGGGTTTATTTGTTCCCCTTCAATCTACGACTCCTACGAACGAATTTTTGAGCACATTTATCACCATTTTTAGAAGTATGTGGAGAAGGAACTGTACTAACCGGCTCACCAGGAGGATCCTTCTTCGCATCTGACCCACCAAGAGGATCCTTCGCATCTGAGCCACCAGCAGGATCCTTCTTCGCATCTGACTCACCAGAAGGATCTTTCTTCAAATCTGACACACAAGAGTTCGCATGCTCTGCAGAAGTATGAAGCGAACCCTTCTTGACAATCCTCCCCAGGATAGCCACTTGAGTAGTAAGGAGTTGAATCTTCTTCTCGACATTCTCTAACCCAAGCTTCATCTGTTCAGACTGCTTATCGGAGAAGTCTTTAAACAGCTCCTCCAACTTCGACTCGAGACGGTTCCAGCCATCACCAGAGGCCTGCGCAGCTGAATAACCAAAGGTCCGAGCCCTTTTTACACTGATTGCTTCATCATCCTCATCAGAGATACTCCTCTTGACATGAGACTTCTCTGACTTCACTGCCTTCTCGGACTTCACAGCGATTATCCCTTCGTTTACCCAGTCAGCTGGTTTCCAGTTCCATTTTCCACCAAGTTCCCCAAGCAAAGCCTTGATGATGTTGTCCACCTTCTGGTCATCTACATCCTTATCCCAACGTGGGTACACGTCTTCCCTGTCCACCATTACCATGTGATTGAACAGCACCTGCAAAACAGTACACAGATAAGTTAAGAATTTTTTTCGGGTATAAGTATACGAAAAGTATAAGTCTAATTAAGAAGTCTAATTAAGAAGTACACGTATGAAGTCTATATGAAGTCTGATTATGAAGTCTAATTATGAAGTCAAATGGATTACCTGCTTCTTCATGGTTCCGATCACATATCTCTTCCCTTTGATTCCCTTGAAAGCTAACAGCGGTGGCTCAGGATTATTAGGCATGGGATCACCACTCTCTTCTCCGAATTTCGGCATAGCATGATACGCCCAAACTTGCAGGACTTCAGCGAAACCGGCGAGAACAAATGGCTTCGACAAGTCTGCTTCCTTAACAGACTTGATGAGGGTGTTGAAAGCTACTCGCCCCCAAGGATAGCTTTCAAACCTCTCCAAGTCCATCACTTGGCTAGCCAGTGCTAAACTTGTAGGAGTGGAAGATTTCTGGGCATCAATAAAGCCAGCGTATACGGCCAGGTAGCCAAGCCTCAACCTATCCTCTCTGCTCCAATCTCCGGCCCACTTGCAAGCTGCTACGAGATTGTCAATGCTCGGACCAACCTTGATATTCACTCCAAGCTTCCGCCAGTACTCTTTCATCTCGTCTGTCTCAATAGCTTCTGGCTTCGTCAAAGCAGCTCTATACTCGCAGTTGAGCCCGGTGATGCGTTCAAACTCGTTCAATGAAAAACGCAGTGGCTGCACACCCACGACACTCCAGATCTCATACTCCTTCTCACAACCACTTGCATAGTGAGCATACATCGTGCCACAACTGATGCCCATTTAAAGTCGAGCTTCGTGAACCTGAAGAGGGGTCCGAGATTGGAATTCTCAAGCTCACTCCACTCCTCAGCCAGTATAACGTGCAGTTTCTGCCACAGCTCAGTGTTCTTGCTGTAGTAGCCAACGCTGCGGTCATATTCCGGTTCTTCTCCTTCTGTGTACAGCCTCCTAGGAAATGACACCGGGTCCATACTGGAAACACAGTAAACAGAGGATAAATAAGAAGTCTATAAATGAAGCCTAACTAAGAAGTCTAACTAAGAAGTCGAAACCATAATTCCAATAAGTCAAACTGAAAAGCCTAACTAAGAAGTCTATATTTTAAGTAAGTGAGAAAGTCCATCTAAACCCTAGTTTCATACGCACTGCCGCGTAAGTACGGCTAATAGGACAATTAATGTACACACTTTTACCTTATTATTAGCGGTTATGAGGGCCAGCAACGGCAAAGATCTACAACCGTTTAGGCGACGGTTTGAGGGGGGTAAAGAGAGAGCCAATAGTGGAAGGGGGATAGCTCACCGGCGTTGAGAGAGAGAGAGAATAAGATGTGCGATACAACATCGGCAACGAAGGCGGCGGAAAGGTCCATAAAAAAAGAAACAGAGTGAGTATGAGGGAAAGAGAGACGCGTATATAGATTGATAGATGAGTATGACTTACAGAAGTATACTTCAGCGGAGGAAGAAGAAACGGCGGCGGCGACGATGATGGCTCTTTCTGGATTCGACGGCGACGGTAGGCGAAGAACATGCAATCGCCTGAAAGAGAGAGAACGGAACGGGAACGGCGGTTGTGAAAGTGAAAGTGAAATGTGAACTTAGTTTACCCTAATTTTGGGTTTGTAAAATTGTGATTACTGGTTACAACTTCCGATTATGTCCGGTTCAGTTTGGTTAAATCCAATTCGCACAAACATTTCGGTCCAGTTTAAAATTCGGACTTCGAATAAAGCCCAAACAACAAAGTCTACTTGGGAAGTCTAATAGAAAAAGTAAATTTGTCCGCGTATATTTCCAATTGCCGCCCAAAATATTTCCGGTTCCCGCCCAAACTATTTCGTTTCCCGCTCGCTTTTTGAGTTACAGACTTCTCAGAAAAGTCTACCCCTGAAGTCTACCAGTGAAGTCTGACTTACCCTAAACCCTAAAATGAATTTTTAAGTTCAAAACTATAGGAAACTATAGAAAAGTCCGCATAACTCTTCTGTGTATCCTGAGCCTCCTTCATGTTCAGCCTCACAACACGGACCTTCTCTTTCGTCTCCTGAACATAAGTAGCTCCATACATGTTGCGCTCCCCCACTTGGATCCAGCATAGGGGTGTCCTACATGGCCTCTCATACAAAGCCTCAAATAAAGCCATGCCAATACGCGCCTGAAAACTTTGAAGTGAATTTGGGATCATGGTCTGACACAATATTGGTTGGCACTCCATGCAGCCTCAATCTCTCGCACGAACTTCCTAGCCAAAACAGTAGCTCCATATGTCTTCTTAATGGCCAGAAATGTGCGGAATTAGTCAACCAATCCACAATCATCTAGATAGCATCAAAAGTCTGTGAGTGTTGGACCCGGATCCCACACCTGGAATCCAGCCCGAAAGAGCCCATTACCTTGCTACAGAATTGAAGTCCAGGCTCACTCAAGTCCAGTAAGAAGACCTCGAGCCCACCAAACAACTCCATCGCAGCCCAGCTAAATGTCATCCGAGCTATTCCGGTTGACGTAAAGACGAGCTCCAGCTAGATCAAGGACCAGGTCGGCGTGACGAAGAAAGACGAAGTTAAAGAAGATCTTATTCAAATCCGGTCTCGTCCGAGATCACCGGGATCGTTAGCTGCATGTGGCGAGATGCACGGAGGAGGTTCGTTAGCTGCATCTGGAGCTATCAAAGGATCTGGACGTCAGTCGGATCGAGGGACGACTTTTATCTCATTTTTCACCCGAATTAGACCTAGAAACTACTTTCTTCTTTCTGATTCATCATGTATTGTTCTTCTGAAATTAGTTCTTTCTCTCTTCAGAGATACCTTGTAATCATTTTCATTCGATTAATACATATTTATTTAGCCAAATCCTTGCTTACGATTCATTCGACTTACATCAAAATCTAGCCCTAAATCTCCCTAAGTTTCTTCCTTGCAAAACCTATAAATTTCGAGTGTGGTTTTCAGCACCCACATTGAGATAGGAAATCCCACCACGAAGTCCATCGTGATCCTGTCCCACTTCCACTCTGCAGAAGATCACCTGGAACCTGATGCTCTGCCTTAACCAAGGCACAAGTGTTGCACTTCACAACCCAGTCAGCTACATCCCTCTTCATCCCGACCCAATGATAGTACCTCTTGAGGTCATGGTACATCTTGGTGCGGGAGAACCAGGTTCACTGATGCCGTGTTTTGCCTACGCCTAGGTTTCCATTCTTTTTTTTTATTCTGACCAAACCCATCTCGATGGAAACTCTGTGTAGGGCATTGTTCTTACTTCGGGATTTGATGCGTTACAATCCATCCAAGACGAAAATTTAGTTTTCACAGGTTTTACCTCGAAGATCTCTCTCCTTTCGAAATAGTATATGAAGATGATTGATATGCAGAATCAAACTGTTCTTGATTTTTTTTTTTATATGCTTTCTTGTTGCTTCTCACACTTTTTTTTTCAGTTTGTTTTTATTAATTTCCTCTTGGTAGACTCCGGATGTTTCAGATTTTATTGGATGTTTATTTCAGATTTTACATGTGTTCTAAATCTCGATGGGCATTACTAGGGCGCTCGGCCCGGGACTAGAGACTTTTTTGAAAATCGGAAATAAGTCTGAAAGTACTCGGTGATTTTATTTTATATAAGTTATATATACTGGTAATATGCGGTTGTAACATTAAGATATAGTTTAGTCTAGTGGTTCTCCTTCTCAAATTATACTCTCAGGTTGCTTGATCTAATCAAGGTATGTGCGGTTTAATTTTTTCGCATTTTATTCATTAATAAAGGTTAAAGACGAAATTACCCTCTTCTTCTTCCTCACCTCTGCGACCCAGAAACCCTAATTACAGCCGTTTTCTTTCTTGTTTTTACAGTTCTTGACATTTTGGGTCGTTTTTCTTATGTTTTTTACCTTATATCAATAGATCTACTATCTAAGCCTAAATTCCTCGGAACCAACTTTCCAGCGACCAATCAGCCGTATCGCCTGGAAGGCGGAGATTTTGAACACAAGGTTTTACAGGTACCGGATCGTGTGCATGGAAAATAATATTGTCGTCGTCTGGGAGATAAAAAGATAGTAGCTACATCATGCGATAACATGAAGAAACCCTAAATAAAAGGGAAATTGGCAAAAATGACAACCAAAAAAATTATAATTCACAATCTAACCATATGGTTCCCCTGGCTACTATACATTGTGTAATTTATGTATAAATGCCTAAAAACTCCTTCAACCCAAACGAAACTAACTTTCTTGTGTAACTAATATGCAAATGTGGGGTCAGGAAAAAATGAAGAGAGAATCTATTTCTGTATATTCCAATTTTAATTACATATACTCTATATAAAGGTTTTTTAATCTTTGAAGTCTACTATATGTAGAATTTCTAAATAATTTTGTGATAGCATGTATTTAGCCTAAATAAATGACATAGAAAACTTAAAACTTAGCCTTTGGGTTGATTTTTCCCAAAGTAGGGTTTACTTTTATTGATTTTGGGTTTAAGATTTGAAATTAGGGTTTATATTTTGGGTTTAGGGTATAGATTTTGGGTTTAGGGTTTATATTTTGGGTTTAAGGTTTAGTTTTATGGTTTAGGATTTAGATTTTGGGTTTAGGGTATTAAAAAAAAAATTGAATCATTTTTATTCTAAAATTTAGTCAATTTTAATTGAGAAAAATATGTATTTATCTTTGTCCTACCAATACTTTCTTGTTCTATTTTTTTCAATTGGTCTACAGAATTTCCATTTAATCTCTGTTTTTTTTAGTTGGCGTTTTAATTATTTTTCCTTGTGAAAAACGAGATCGTTGCATAGATAGATGTTGTACTCCACATAAAAGGAAACTAACTGAACGAGAATGACTTTCATGTAAACAGGTTTTTACTCGTTAGAGGGCAAATTCGTCATAAAAGGTGGCTGAATGTTACTTCCTTCATTACCCAATTTTGATGGCTATTTTCTTCATTATGAACCCCAATATGGCCATTTGGCAAATTAACCCTAAATAAAATAACATATGATGAATGATACAGCATATATATATACCCTATGAAATAACAAGCGTACATATGTATCTTCTAGAGAAAAACGTAATAGTCATTTTCTTTTCTTATACGTAAATATCTATATATAAATTTGTAATATTCTGAAGTAACAGAAATATAGATCAGAGGTATGGGGAATTATCTAAAAAGTTAATAATATTTCCGAAGGAAATCAGGAAATATACCATATAACAATTAAACTTAACTAAGTTTGAGCCCGCACTATGCGCGGGTGGTGTTGTTACTTTTATTAGTTTTTTTTTTATGTTTGTAAAGTATATTTTATAAATGGTAATAATCCGATAGTCTCTTTGATGCAATGTTTTTTTTGTTTCTCGAATTTCTTTCATTTCTTCCCTTTAATAACTTATGAGTTGCAATTTTCACATCATACATAAATTTGGTAGAACTGTGTGACTAACGTTGAATGTCATATAGGTTAAACTCCGTCATGTTCAGTTAATTAATCAGTCATTTTAGACTTTAAGTTAATTTAGTAGAATGAAAGTCGAATAACAGTCAGATGCATCATCAATTTTTAGTTGGGGAATTGCACTGAATAATCAGATTGGGTGTCCAAATTAACAATATAGCCATATGCTTCGTTTGGCTAGAATACACGACATATTTTATACAATAATGTCAACAATAGCCCTTCATTTAATAATCGGCTCTGCAAGTAGACGGTTAATAATGCGAGTTTGAATTTCGAAATTCACCAATATCAATGCCATTTGTGAACCTTCTTCGTTTTTAGTAGCTTCGAGTCTGGACACAGATCTGAGGGTGAAAGTATATGAGAGAAAGTATTTGCGAAAAACAGATTTGAAAGCTTTGCTTAGAGAATCGTATTTGGGGTTTAGGTAAATTGAGCGTATCACCTCTGGTTACTGGTGGAGGAGTGGGCTTTCGAAGGCGGCGGATATTTGGGATCCGATTAATTACGCAGAAAAAGGTATATTCATAACATATCGGAATCATATTTTTGGGTACGAAATTTTTGGTCTGGCGGCTGTTTGAAGTCTAATTTGATATTCGTTTTTGTAAATTGGGTGTACAGAATATGAATAGATTAATATAGTTTATGAATGTAAGTCAGCTGCATCCAGTTCCTATGTTATGAATTCAGGAGTTGCAAATAAGAAAATACCAGATTATTGGGTTAATTTGATGTATTTACATTTTGATAATATATGAATTCAATTGATGTATATGATGCAATTAGGAATATGCGGATTAACCCAATAGTGTATTAGTGTTTTAGTAGTTGAATGAAAATTGGTTTACAAATGTCGTTAACGATGATGATCGATGGTATAGTCGAATATTTGTTATGATATAGTCAAAAATTATTGTGTTGTGTATATAGTATATAATTTGACATAACTGTTGTATATTGACATCATGGAGGAGATGGGATTACCGGAGAGAATGTTCGAATCAGGGAATGAACCAACTGGAAGGAAAAGAGTGAATAACCACTTTAATCTCCGGTGGGTTGATAATATAAAACCGGCATTAGATGAAGAGCATCTTGAAATGTTGGCGGAGTCTCAATATGGGAGACTAATGCGAATGGGAAACCATACGTTTGCTGTCATGTTTGTGCATTATCTATTGTCACGGTGGTTCACGTTGCAACTCATTGTGAAATGGGTAATTCGGACACTATACAGGGAACAAATGCACGTGAGCCGGGTAATGTGGTTGTTGTAGGACGGCGTAAGTCGGAGAGGGTTCGGAATATGCGCACCGGTACAACTACTTCTACGGTTGAAGGCACACATCTACCTCCAGCAAAAAGGCCACTACAGGTTAAGTTTCGTAATCAGTCGAGTATGCAAATATTGTAGTTGGCTCATTTTAAATAGCGACATGTTAGTCTGAAATGGAATCTATACTATTTACGCTTTCTTGTATGGTATTCGAAATGAACATGACATTCCATTTTTAAAGTGTATAGTATGTGTTGTCTTTCTGCCGGTTGTAGGATAATAAAGCAGGTCCGAGTGACAGATTACGGTTACCACCTCATCCTGTTAGCAAACGCACAAGGAGTGAGCCAGGAACAAGAAACGTGACAACCCGAGCTGCAAGCAAATGTAATCCTTTGGCGTATGTGTCACCGAGCAATAGTACGACGGAACTCGCAATTCAGCAAGCGGCTGCACCGCCGATGTTATGGAAGGAGAAAGTTTGTACATTGGTTGGAGGCTTTTCTCCATTCATACTCCCTGACGAAGAAAAGGTTGCAGCGGTCCAAGCAATTAGTAAGCCTAACAGGTAAATATATTGTCTCTCTACGAGTTGTAGCTTAAATAAGTATTTGTTCACTGAATTTGTCTTTTAATCAAGTAGGCAGCTCATACTCGCACCTGGTGTAGCTATAGATGGCTTTACCCTTGGAAATTTTTTTAATGCGTCTGGCCCACCGGCAGCTGAGGTACGTAGAAATTGTGTTCTCATAAGTTCAGTTAGTACCTTCTTGATAAGTTGACTTCATAAACCCGTGTATGACTTCATTGATGCGTATTTCCCACGACAGGTTGTTGAGGCGATTATCGTGAATATGCAACACAGGCGTGACAGAGACGGTGATGGTGGATATGACTTTCTCGGACCTTCATACATGACAGCAATAAAACAAAAGTATGGCGGTTTTATTTCCTGCGTCGATAAGAAGAGTTTTGAGTTCTGTAGCGCAGTCCGGCTTCCACTGCACAACCGCTCAAACAATATGGCAGATGTCAGGCAGCTATATTGTCCGTATATGATCGACGGGAAACATTGGGTTGGCATTATCATCGACCTATCAACAACGTCCATTACTGTGTTGGATTGCAACACAGCCTGTGTAACCGTTTCTGGAGTGGAGAAGTATCTGCAACCACTTTCAGAAATGATTCCGTACATTCTGCGCGCATCGGTTGGTCATGAAACTGCTAACTCACTCCCTCTTATTCTGTTTCCTATTCACCGTCTTGACATTGCTCTTCTCTGCGAGAGCCCAGGTAAACTTTATGTGTAACCATTGGAGTTAATGAGGTTGTATTTGAACCAATTTGTTGATGTATACCCATTTAAGTTACACTATTAACATCTACTATTTCTGTGGCAGGCCTCTCCGCCGTTGCTACTCTCATCTTGATTGAGCTTCACGCGACAAATCAAATTCTTGCATCCGGCGACATAGATGACGATACTTTACGAACTGCAACAAGAAACTACGCAATTGCGTTGTATGAGGACTGCCAATGAACAAGGTAAACTTGGAAAAGAATGAGGAGCAGCAAACCCTTAATGTATCCGAAGTGTTTATAGTTAAACTGAGCGTTTTTGAGAATTTGTTGCGTTGTTTAAGTTTTAAGTACACCAGACGATGGTTTTACCGTAGTTGGCGTCGTGATGACATTTATGTACTATACTATTTCTTGTTAAATGTATGGAATGGACCAATATTTTGACATGCTTTCAATAAAGTGGATTTGTATCTGTTCTGTGTATATGTGAAGGTTGGGTTGTATATTTTTGGGTGTTTGGGTTTATGTGATAGGGTTTAGGGTATAGTATCGGGGTCAGTTGACTGTGCACACAAGATGCCATTTATGTACTATACTATTTTGGATTATATGTATGGAATGGACCAATATTTTTACATACTTTCCATAAAGTGGATAAGTATCTGTTCTGTATATGTGAAGGTTGGGTTGTATGTGTTTTGGTGTTTGGGTTTATGTGATAGGGTTTAGGGTATAGTATTGGGGTTAATTGACTGTGCAATGTACTAAATGGTTTATTGTGGTATGGTTTAGTATGTTGCATGTTAGGTATTTGACTGCTTTACTTGGGTTTATGTGATTGGGTTTAGGGTTTATTATTGGTGTGTAGTGACTATACGTTTTATATGAAAGTTGTATTGTATAATCTCTGGGTTTATGGGTAAGGTATCGTTTAATATGATTGGGTTTAGGGTTTATCGTCTATAGTGGTGGCTTTATGGTTTACTGATGGTGCGGGGGTTCAGATTGTGTGTCTGCTGTATATGTGGAGAGACTCTCTCCATAACCAGAGTTCATGATTTTTATCTACATAGTTTAACAACATCTTTAAACCCAAATTAAATGGTCATGTAAATATCAGATTCATATGGTTTTGGTTCACTAATTTGGGGACTGCTTATGTGTACTTTTCCATAGTTTATTGTGATGGAACTTGAAGAATTTGTGCTCCAATTATACTGTGTTATTTATGTCTATATTAGTTACGATACTTGCTATTTGTGCATGCTTAAAACAAAAGAACTTACATAATGGGGGCTTTAGTATTTCACATCAGAAAGGAAGGTCTACATATGGCTGCTAGCTTTATACATTGCAGGCTTTGCCGAATATACATAAGGGTTGAGGTTTGATATCGAAATATCTTGGTATATTTCACTTTTATGCATATACCAACATATATCGTCTTCCCTCTCCCCTAAAATTAAGCTACTGCACTTCACATCATCCTTCGATGTGGAACCCATTATTCAGCCTGTTGCCAAAAAAACTTGTACCAAGCAACACCTTCCACACGCCCCTATCAGAGCACCGACCATCATATTGCAAACCGGCAGGAGGCTTTGTTATGTCCTCCACGACGACAGCGTGTGCATCGTCGGCCTCTGTTTGTTGCTGATTTCTGAAATAAATAGACAAGTGGATGGGTCATTTAAGTTAACAATTAAAGCGTATCGTAACGACCATGTTTAGGTATGTACCTTAAATTCACCACGTGAGAGTATGCGAAGCTTCTTAGGCCTCCCTGGTGGTCTGCGAACAGCAGGTGGCATAAGTTCCCCAGATATTTCATCGCCAATCTCCATACTACCAACCGAAGGAACTGGATATATTTTCCCGTCGAAGCCACGGGTCCAACTCTCACCGTAGAATACCCAGGAGACCATTGAGTCTGTAGGCAAGTTGATGGTCGCAGCTGCAGCTATGGCGTGAGCACAAGGCAATCCCAATTGCTGGAACTGCATGCAGGTACATGTTCCATCCAGAATTTTCACAGTGAAGCAGTCACCATCTGGCTCTTGAACTTGGAATTCCATCGGACATATTGGCCTAACAGCAAGAGATGTTGAGTCTTCAAACGTTTTCTCAATGATCTTACGGACGTTAGGTGTCAATGTACCCTGATGCAAGTTTGACTTTGCCCTCCGTATGGCAAACCAATTCATGACAGAAGTTCGAATGTACTCCAACATACAAATCAAAGGGAACTCCCTCGCCTCCTTTAAGACCGCATTCCATGATTCAGCTATGTTGGAGTCCATTATGTTAAAACGTTTCCCTGGAAAGTGAACCCGTGTCCAATGTTGAAAGCCTGTCATATATTAGCATAACAATAGTTAGTATGTATGTCCAGCTACATGAATTTGTAATGGAATTGAATATGGTTAGATGTGACAATTTCAGTAACCTATATCCAACAAATATGCCGCACATCCTGGGTTCAGTCGTTGTATATGTAAGAACGCTTTGTTGAACTCTGATACAGTAAATGCTCTAGCAGCGGCTGACATAAGGTTGGCAAGCCTTTTGGACTTGAAATGGGACTTCACATTGCGCCAGAGGTGAACAGTACATGCTCCATGGTTTGCTAAAGGGAAAACCTGAATATGGATACTAGTTAAACAGAGCTTCATATGGAATAGCAGAATATATGAGATAGTGCGTATACTTCTTTTATGGAATGTGTTATATTTTCATGATTACCTTTGATATGGCTGATAAGATGCTAGCGTGGCGATCGGAAATGAACACAAGATCCACCGAATCACCTATAAAAGCGCTCAATTTGCGCAGATACCATTCCCAGGAGGAGTCATTCTCACTATCGACGACGGCAAACGCTAGTGGGAAGATTTGAAAGTTAGCATCTTGAGCACAAGCTGATAGTAGACAACCACCAAACTTGCCTTTCAAACTAGTGCCATCGACGACAATCACTTTCCGCATGAAAGGATATCCAGCAATCGATGCCCCATAGGCAATGAAAGTGTACTTAAACCGCGAGCCTCCACCAGGCTCCGCCACATGTTCAAGCACGCAAATGCTTCCAGGGTTTGCTCTTTGCAGCTGCGATAAGTACGCAGGGAGGAGGGCATAGCTTCCAGCTCTTGAACCCATTGCATTGTCCATTGCCAGCTCCCGTGCGCGCCACGCTTTCCAATACGAAACATTAACATGATAGTCATCCAACAGAATCTTCCTTACTCCACTCGGATTAGGTCCCTTCTTTATGCCAACAAACTTAGACTGCATTATCTCCCCAATGACTTGGGTTGTTGCAAGCTTGTGGTAGTTGCGGCGGTCATCAACTGTGCACGTATGCGTTAACGTGGCTTGCCTTATCTGGAAGTTGCCGCTTCCATCCATAAGGAGTGAGTAAATACGCCATTCACAAGTTGGGCAGCTGCACTTCATCACCATAAAAGACGGACTAGAGCGTGAGGTACGAAAATGGAACTTCCTATTAATGGCATGAATGGCGAGCTTCAGTTTGCAATCAGTTATAGACTTAAATACTTTCCCCACGAAGATTTTGTCCCCCTCATATGAGACATCTGCAAGCGCTGATTCAATAGCTGTGAATGAAGCAAAAGGGTTAGTAAATACGTAGTATCCATACTACTAATAGTCATAGTATAATCACAAGGTGTCTATATTACTTATCAGATAGTATAGTTCAACCAAATTTATAGAACTTACGATCATCCTCCCAAACTTCAAAAACCGGTGGAGCATCCCTTCCGAACATTGCAGGATCAGGGCTGAGATCAGTAAGTAAGAGGTGTAGGGCTTCATCGAAACGTCCCCAAGTACTTTGCTCCATGTCTCCTCCATCTCCATCTCCGTTGTCCGAATATTGTGCAGCTGAATGAGCCTCGCTTGAGTTTTCTCCGGTGTGGACCTCTGTTTGGGGGAATAATTGACGCCGCACAACTTCTCCATTTCTTGTTATTACAGGCGACCTTCCCTTCATCCTCTTCAAGTCGGGTACGATAGCGTCATCGTCTGAAGTATCAGTGTCACTTCCGACATCTTCGGCTACGGCTTTCCCTTTATCACGAGGATCACAAATGGGGCTGCGGAGTCTGATCGTGTCTCCTCCTTCTCGAATTGTAATCCCGTTTGTGCGTAGTCTCTTCCCTTGTGGCACACGTTTTCCACCGCCAATGTTCGGAACAACCTGATCACCGCCTTTAGAAGGGTTTACTGCAGTGTTTGGACGTGTTAGTGGTGTCTCTGATATTGCAAAAACATGCCAATCATCTTCGGTGTCATCTTCCTCTGTTGCGGCAGGTACAATGCGGACATCAGAGTCTGTTACAGTTGGTGGGAGTTGAGTACAGATTGGAGAGGTATTGTCTCCGGTCATTTCTCCATCAACTCGTTTGACTGTAACGCAGAGGTTAACCTCCTCGATGTGGCGCCTCATTTGGACAAACACTTCAACCTCCTGATCATCAGTTATATATTGTGGCGTCGATCCATCTCCATCGTCAATGGCCATCCACTCTGGATACTGATACGCCAGTTTGACTGTAATGTGTCTCGATAGGAGGTGAAGTGTCCCTCTGACAATGTTAATTAGCACAGCAAAAGAGAGACCGGATTGAAGATTTATAGATTTCTCTCCACAGCTTGGGTCAGTCTCGAAGATCCACATGCCATTATCCTCTCTGTTCCATGTCCCAACAAGTAAATATACTTTATCTATATCTGGAAGCTGCAACAACAATAAATGGAATACAAGTAAGTCAGCAACCATGAATATAAATAGTAAGAGATAGTTAGATGTACTAGATCGGATTTAGTTTGATGTCTGTTGTGGACTACATTTAGTATGTAACAGGCCAGACATAAATAACTGACAACGGTGGGATGTAAATATTTTGTACGTAACCTGAGAGGGTAAGAGCGGCGTATTTACTGCACCACCGTCTTCGTCGTCATTCATGTTTACGAATGTAAATACAGAGTGGGTTGGTAAGAAGTGTTGCTTTCAGTACAGTCTGCTTAGATTAATATGGAATAGGTCCTTATAAAGAAGATGGAATCACCTTAATAATTGTAAATGTTAATGGTTAAGTTAGCGATTTGACAGTCTCATATCTCCGTAAAATTATGTGGCTCGAATTAGTGATGACAAAGCCTTTCCTGTAGTTGATTCTTTTATGTGGTCCTCATTAGTAAGGTGATTATGTGCCTAGCCGGTTGTCTAATTAATTTCCCGCCAATGAGAGTAAGGATGATGTGGTAACTTCGCATCCATAAAGTGTACGACACCAATTTCCATCCCAATATGGCTATATTGTTAATTTGGACACCCAATATGATTATTAACCAAATTAACCCTTTTTAGTTTTATCTTCTTCTTTACTTCAATGAAGCTAAGTTGGCTAAGTAATCAACTATGTTAAAAAAAGAAAAGACAGCATATATCTCAATTAAGATTAAAGCTATTAACCCTAACCCGAAAACCCAAAATATCTATACCCGACTGATTTCGGGTATAAATAAAATCACCCAATTATAAAATATTTGATACCCGTGAGTATCGGATAATTCCCAAACAATATATGAATGGATACCCGAATTGGAGGCATGAACCCACAAATATTAAAGCAAAAAATTTAACAAAAAGAAAACAATATATTCAAGGAAATTGTTTTCTTTTCTATGTGCGGATTTCTATTTATGCATACTTCTTAAATTTTATTTAACTTAAATTAATAACATATTCCATTTATCATAAAAAGAGAATAGTTATAATCAATATGACTACAAATGTTCAATTACACGGCTCTAAAATTTGTTTTAAATCTACAACAAAATTTCAAATACCTTATCAAAGTCAAATAAAATAAGTTAACATGTAGGTAATCAAATATCTTAAAATACTGGTTAATGTATGTTTTTCAAATAACTTTAATTTTCAGATAAATTTTGGATAATATTTTTTGATACCCGATCGGTCTTAGCATATATCTGTCACGCTTTTATGAATTCTTTTATATGCAATTGTTATACTTTTTAATTTGAGAAATTTTTATAGTATTCAAGATATTCACTTAATAAAATACTATAATTTAATTTTTATAATATATTGGAAACTCATTTTGTGGTAAATTTCTACTATATTATACATGCATGTTTACATTTTGTTTCATACGAAAAATCACTAAAATTACTAAAACTATAACAGTCCGATTATTACTTCTTTTTTTTGGTGGAACACCCGAAGCAAGCTCCCAGAATTTATTCAAAGCGAAAGAAAGTTTTACAAACGGACTTGCCGTGAACGCGAGTTTCACTACGCTCGTCCTCACGAAAAACATCTAACAAAACCGAGGGAATGAAATCAAAAGTATGTAGCCCTAGTGGCAAAGTAAACACATAGTTAGCCAGTCCATCAGCTAGACGATTGGCCTCCCTATACACGTGAGTAACCCGGACCTCCCAATCCTTCGTTAAGAAGCCATGGCACAAATGTATCAGGAAAGACAGAGGGTGTGTATCACAAATCCCTGTATGAAGAAAGCCGACCACCATTAAAGAATCCACCTCGACTTCTAGTCTCGTAATCCCTTTCTCCCAAGCAATGCATAAGCCATAATAAACTCTCCATAGTTCCGCCATTGGTGCGGTGCAGTGACCAATATTCAAAGCAAAACCACAACACCATTGTCCCTCGCCATCACGAATTACCCCTCCTGCCGTAGCCAGTCCTGGGTTACCACGTGAAGCCCCATCCGTGTTCAACTTCTTCCAATTCGCCTGTGGAGGCAGCCACGAAATCAGTCTCTCCTCCCTCACTACTGACCTCCCATTATCGCTTCTCAACATTATTTGGCTCACTTCCTTTGTATAATCCTTCATGAACTTCACCCTATCCTTCCAAAGTTGACCATCTCCAAAGATATTACCACACCTCCATTTTCATGTCCACCAAACAGATATGGCAAACATAGTTGACCACGGTCCGAACCCGGTCTCAGCTCCTTCACTCAAGTTCTCATATAACCATTCAAGGAGAGGCATAGCAAAGAATAGTCGCTGTTTACCTCGGCACAATGCGTCTCCATATCCCTGAAATCGCAGGACAATCTCTTCACATATGTAAAGTTGATTCCACCCCAGCCGTACATACTTGGCATATCTCAGAGTCGCTAATGTGCCGACAGAGTCATTCTTGGTTTGTCATGATCCCATGATTGCCGACCAACCAAAAGAAAACTTGTACTCTCTCCAGCACTCGTACTCTCCACACACACTTGAAGAAGTTGCTCATGTCACGTTTGAACGTCTCCCTCTCCGTTAAGAAACGGTATGCTGAGGCCACCGTAAACTTGCCATCAGCCGCCTCTCCCCAAGAGATCGTATCCGGTCTCCCTGAGTCTGAGTTCACCACTACTGCTGCCATTTCCAGCTTCGTCTCCACCGATACATATGGTGTGATTCTCTGAAAGTCCCATCCTAACCCATGCGTCCATAAGTCTCCAGCCTTCATAGATAAAACCTCTAGTGGAATCTCGGAGACAGTCAAGTCACACAAAGAAGTACCCATCAGCCACTTATCAGTCCAGAAGTTGATTCTTTTGCCATCTCCTATAACCCAACCATGCCCTGGTAAAATCACATCCTTGATAGCCAAAGTCACACTTCTCCATGTAGATGACCATGATCCTTTAATAACTAACCAGGGGCCATCATGAATGTCACCAACTCGATATTTGCTTCGGATCACTCTTGCCCAAAGGCTAGACTCGTCGTGAAGCACCCTCCAACCCACTTTCGCAAAACACTTTATTCATGAGGCTTGACTTGTGGATGCCTAAACCTCCTTCTGTCTTTGGGCGACAAAGCTTCTCCCACCCAATAAGATGTTGCTTCCTCTTCTCGACTATGGATCCCCACACAAAGTCTCTTGACACTCGGTCCAAAGATTTCATTGTCAACGCCGGGAGTTTACTTCTGATTTTATCATTTGTCGTCCTACATCCGAGATTCATGTAAAGTTCTTGTATTTTCTACATTTTGCTTAAATTTCTTAACTAAATCCAAAATGTTGTCTTTTCTCTTAATATATCATCTTACTATTTTATATGAGGTATGTGATCCCGAAACAATTTAGCTTTTACGTAGTCAATATCTATTTACAATTTGTTTTTTCAAAGATATGCAAACAATTGGAGTTGATCATTCATTTTAAATAAAATGTATAATGAGAGATTTGTAATCATGAGTTATGAAAAAGATGTAATTGTGAATCTGTGATAAAGTCAGTTATCTAGCTAGAATTTGTACACGTTTTTATGATATCTTTTTTTTTTTTTTTTTATCATCTGTCTCTAAGGACTTTAGTTTTATTTTATTTTTATGTAGCTTTAGTTGTTCCATATTTATGCTTTGATTTGTTGTTACTGCCAATTCATTGATTGTATTCTCTTCATTGTAAACTTGTAGGTTCCATAACTCAATCTTCTTTATCGTTGAACAGCAAGACAAACCAAAAAAAAACAAATTAGCCAAGAGATCATCAGATTAAGGGTATATCAAACAGAGTATCAGATTTTAAAAGCAAACAAAAATTTATCATTCGAACACACACAATTGCAGTGATTCAAGATTAAGAATGTCTCAAAATAAAATATCTAAGAATGTCTCGACATAACTTCCGACCCTAAGCTTTTGATTACCCAAGGGTGGGTTTTTAGTTGGAGCTGAAAGACTAAAAACAGGAAACAAATTAACAAGCATTAAGATGGTTAATCTCATAAAAATTCTAACTTCTCGCAAGAAACAATCATTAACTTTTGACGAATTTGGCTTAATCTAGATAGAAGAACATCTACTTCTAAATATCAGAAAAAGCGAGCCTAATTTCCAACGTTTTCAGAGCAGACCTGCACAAAACACCTTTGCTTATTTGATACTTCTATGATCGTTCCAACTCAACCAAATCTGGACTAATATTTTGGTTTTAAAAAACTATGTTTGTTAAGATGTCAAGAGTAAAGCTTCCTTCTCTGCTAACTCTTCATATCATTAGAACCATTGAATCCATGATACGGAACCTCCCACATAGCCTCGAGGTTCCACGCCCACCAAACTCCTCAGAGAAGAAATCAAAACCAGGGCCACTTGACTGGTCAAGGAGAGTGTACATAGAAGCATCAAGGTAGTAATGACCGCCAATTAGCTCTTTGATGACCTAAACCATTTTTGAAAAATGATAGTTAACTTCAATTGGTCATCTCGTACTTTGTTGAGTTTCTTTCTTCTACACCAAACTCTGATCAGAAAAACTAAAGCTAGAGTAGACGGTTAAAAACTCTTCTAGACAATAAAAGCCTTATCTATATGTTCCTCATTAAATCTTAGAGATCCAAAAGCAGTAATAGAAGAATGTATGTGTGGATGACCATTACGGTCCAAACACATGAAATTTCGTCACTTGTTTCGGTAACAGCTTCAAAACCTGTAATGAGAAGCAACAAAGATTCAGACTTTCATTTGAGTTTGTTTCAGAACAGTTAAACGAAGATAGAAATGCAAATCATCTTACCATTTCGAGAGGAACTCCAATGAGACTAAGTGGCAGCTTAATGGTACCGACCTGACGAGTTCCGTGTATGAACTGTTTCTAAGAAAGCAGAGGGAAAAAAAACTTAAATCAGAGAGAAAATAACGAACACAGCAACACATATATAGTGAGCGAATGCACGGTTTCCGAATCAACTAAAATCTCAGTGCCTGCGGAACAATAAAAGATCGAGACTTTTAAGCTTAATTCATCGATACAACCTTAAAAAGTTGTGCTTCTAAACAAAGATCAAGGCTAATGAAATACAAAGACCTAGCTTCTGATTGATAATGGAAGTTTGAAGCATAAGCTTACCATGAAAAACTCAACGAAACCGATTCTGGTTGGATGATGATAATCTCCGAACAGCCTGAGATGGTACACCTCTCCAGACACAGACTCGAAAAACAGTTTTATCTCCTGTTGAGTGACCTGTTGAAACATTGAAACTTATCAAAGTTAGCTACTTTTATGTCTCTAAATAGCACTGATGATGAATGAGAACCAATCCGAGAAAGAGTCACCTTCTTGTCAATGTTAGTGCAGTAGATAGTTCTCGCACACATCTCACGTTCATCTTCAGACTACGAAACCAAATCAAAAGGACTACAAGTCAACGTCTTGACTCTTTACAAAACCATTACTTCGATGCAAATCATGAAACACAAGAAAAACTCACCCTTGGCAAGAATGTTGAGTTAACCATTGCGATAGCGGTTTTGGACGGCATAACCTTCACAGGATAGAATCCAACCATTGTCCCAGACAGACTCAAAGCAGCTCTTGCACCCACTACCATTCCCAAATTACCATTAAACCAACCATTTACAAAGCATAATCCAAAAACAGATTACATAATGAAAACTGATGAGATACCTTCGTTAGTGAACTCGATGAAAGCAAAACGAAGTACTAATACCAATCCAACCCATTTCATGAATAAAATGTGAGTTTGGGTCACCGCAGATGCGACAGGAATTATGAAAGAGAATTGGATAGTTTTCTTCCGGCTCCAGCGTCTTCTAGCAACCACCATCCGACCTCCTTAGTGTGCGCCGATTTGAAACCTACACCGTTTCCCTGAGGTCCCTCTTCCTTTCCGGAATAAATTATTCGCTGACCAATCTCTCTGCTCCTGATCTTTCGGTAGATTTAGGCACTCTTCTTGAAAATCAATATTCATGTCTTTCAATTCCCTTTAGAACCAGTGCTTTATGTCTTCTCACAAATACACATGAGGACTTGAGTATGGAAACCCAAAAAATTCGAATCGGAGACATAGCAGATCTCTTGAGATGATTCTAACAAAGAATGAGCACATAAATAATTGGGAAAATGTGAAACTGAAACTCATGTGTTCTGCCTCTCAACAGAGAACGGCTGAGAGAGGGGCGGAGGCAAATCGCGGGGGAGGCTTTAGGTGTAGGGAGAGAGGATGCGAAACATTTTTTTCACTTTAAAAGTTGATTAAAATTAAAAATTAAAAGAAAGAAGAGAAATTCTCAGGAGCTGCCACGTGTCTTCCTCTCAAGTGCTGACGTGTTGGGCAACTTTTATAGTATAGGACTAGTAGAGTACCCGCACGTTTGTGCGGTGTGACGTTGTTGTTTTGTGTAGAAAATTTAAACCCTAAATCCGAACCCGACAAAAAACCCTAATCAAAAAATTTAAAAACCCAAACTTTTTTAATAGGTCTAAACATGAAAATCCGAAATCAAAAAAATCCCGAAAACCCTGACTGAACAAAAAAAATCTGGAAACTTTTTCACCCGGAACCCGACCCCAATACCTAATCAAAATTTTAAAATACTCAATTTTTTTAATATATCTAAACCCGAAAACCAGAAATCTAAAAAATCCGGAAAACCCTAAACTGAAAAAAAAAATTGAACCTAACCCGAACAGAAATTTTCAAAGAAACCCGAACAATTTCTATATCTCTATATATATCTCTATAAAATTATGTCTCAGATTTTCACCCAAACCCGAACTTGTCTATAAAAACCCGAAAATCCAAAAAGCATATTCTATTGATTTGGAATTATCGTTAGATTATGTTAAGTTTTCTTTTTTGCAGATTTTTAAGAGATGGAAAACGGAAGTTTTCTAAACCATCGGTTTATTTTAAGTTATTATTCTTGTATCCAAACAATTTTTTCCATTTATTCTTCTATCCAAATAGATTTTTCTCTTATTCTTATATCCAAACAACTTTTGTTTCCATTTATTCTTCTATCCAAATAGATGTTTCTCTAATTCTTGTATCCAAACATTAGAATGTACTTCTCAATTAATAATATAAAGATTTAAAATAAATTAACTGTACAATATTAAATTAACATAATTTTAGTTTAGTTAAATATATATTACGTTTTATAAATTATTATCTCATAACTTAGTATAATGGGGAAATTTCATTAATAGCCCGCGTCGTTAGGCGGCGGGCCAATACCTAGTTACCCTAATGGGTGAAGAGTTAAAAAATCATGGATTAACCCAATCCATTTAGCTAATGGTTGGGTTGACTTATTACCTATTTAATTACATGGATCAAATGGTTCAATGGGTAAACCATGAATTAAAGTCATACCGTCAAGGAACATTTTTTTCTTAACACGGCATTTCTGCACATTACAGAATAACTAGAGGTGTCAACCCAGCCCAAATCCATATGAACATTAGCGGTGCGGGCTCGGACCCATAAAAAGTGTGTGAAAATTGTGGGCTTAGTGGGCTGAGTCCATGTGGACTCTAGTTCTGGGCGGGTTGACCCGCTACAGGTTTGCCCAATTCAAAATCCCATTTCCAACAATTCTTTGGCTTCACCGCTTCCTTCTCCATCGAATCCAAACGAACCCTCCATGATTCAGCACCTTTCATGTCTGAAAATGAGACAGTTTCAGTTCCTTTCTAATTATGTGTTGAAATCCATGAACTCTTTCAATTTCTTCAACGATTTCGTTTCTGAAGCGAAGAGACAATTTTTTTTCTCACCGAATCGATACTAGACTTAAAACTTGCATGATTATGAATAATTGATTCAGCACCACGATGGGTCCATTGATTCTAATCGTACCTCACGCCGCTCTGCCGAGCTTCTCCATTGATGAGTCTCCATTTTTTTTTTCCTTTTATCTCTCTTATAATCCCGACAGACTAAGTGATCATGCTAATGTTTTGCAGGAATTGGCTGGTTTCAACGTCACAAATTCAATTGTTGAGGTAGATTATTTGTTACTTTTGTTTTGATTTGGGATTCCAATGACCAATTTTGAGTTTCAAAGCTTGAAATTCCATAAGCATATTTCGAAAAAAAAATAAAATAAAATGAATTGTTGTTTTATGTTTATAGCAAACTACACAAAAAACTAAAAAAGAGCAAAGAAGCTCCCAGACACGTTTCTCGAACCAGTCCTAACCCCCCCCCCCCCCCCCAAGTCACTTTCGCACTATCACCTTAGGGTTTTCCTTACCCAAAGTAGTAAGGTTTTTCAAATTTTGAAAACCTTGGGGCTTGCAACGCCGGGTTCCGTCCCCACCTACAGGTTGGGACCCAAACCCTAAACCCTAAACCCTAAACCCTAAACCGCTCCAGACCGCCGGTAAGTAGCTCTCCCCCCTCGCAGAAACCTGAAGTTACTTCCTCGAAGGCTCCTCAAGAATCAATCAAAGTTCGGTGTTTCTCGATAACTAAAAGCTCAGCCGCACTCATCTTTCAAAGCACAAACTCACATTAGCCAAACAAGACTCTATTGCATGGACAAAAATCGTGAAAGAAGCATCAGCATCCACAAAGAGTACACCATGGAAAGGAGATACACATATGCGGAAAAAGGAAAAGCAATGGCTAACCCGCACGACCACCCCGCTAGGAAGAGAATCCGAGCCCCTGAGATGGATACAACAGATCTAGTTGAAGAAAATGCTCTAACGCTCATTGGAAGAATCACAAACCCTAAGGAGCAACGAATCCGCTCTCTAATCCCCTACTTTTCAAACCGGTGGGAGATAAAAGGAGAAGTAGAGGGCTCAGACCTGGGGAACAACTGTTTCCAGTTCCGCTTCACCTTGGAGAAAGATCTCAACAGAATCCTAGCAAACAGGCCCTATCAGTTTGCTAGATGGATGGTGATAGTCCAAAAGTGGGAACCCATCATCTCATCCTAGTTTCCGTCCCAGATCCCGTTCTGGATTCAGCTCAAGGGACTGCCTCTCCACTACTGGAAAAAAGACCTAGTATGCAAATTAGGCAAAGAAGTGGGAGATCTGTTAGCTTTCGAGATCTCAAAGACAATGGCAAAGGTGCAGATCTCGGTCAACGCACTACAACCGTTAGTAAAAGAAACAGAAGTAGAGTTTGCAACAGGGGAAGTGGCGCTTGTCACCTTTGAATTTGAAAGACTGGGACTTCACTGCTCCATCTGTAATAGTCTAGCGCATGACTACCTCTACTGCTCAAAGTTCCATGAAAACCGACCCCAGGAGACAGCTTACAAGCCACAAGAAAAGGAGAAAGGAGCATTACAAGAGAGGTTAGACGCAAGGCTTTCTGCAGGAAGGGAACAAATCTCAAGTGAAAGGAGAGACAGACATGGCCACCTGATATGCGAGAAGCCACTCTATACAAACAGGGGACCAGAGGCTCCACAGCGGAGGACTTGATATCTTGCGTATTTGACGCATTCTAACACTTGTTTTCACGAGTTTTATCGAGTCTTTCTAGTCTTTATCGAGTCTTTTCAGGTCTAAAGACGTTCCAGGGAGAGCTTTGGTCACATGGACCAACAACAGGAGGAAAGCAGGCAAAAGGAGCTCGATCGACCTCACAATCGATCGACCGCCTCATGCACCAACTCGATCGACCGCCCCTAATGCACCAGCTCGATCGATCCCCACGTCCTGCACCAACTCGATCGATCCCATGCAGAGCAAGCCAGCTCGATCGATCCCGTCTGTTCAGCCGTTCGATCAATCCCGTCAGATGATATCACAGCCGTTCGATCTACTTGGTGCAAACCGACTCGATCGAACCACAGCGAACCGGATTGAACCGAAGTCGACCCCGGAGCTATTTAGACCTATCTTTAGCCATTGTTTAGGCTACGCCGTTTTTCAGAGTTTACACTGTTTTCATTGTTTCTGAGGGAGAAGAGATCGAACCTCTGTTTTTCACAGTTTGGAGAAGATTTCTGAACCCTTGTTTTTGCTATTTTCTATTTTGATTCAATGAATTCAGTTTCAGTCATTGTTTGCTGTTTCGCCATGTCTGAGTAGTCACCCTTGCTAGATCTAGGTTTTTCAAAGGGATTCATGTGTTAACTTGACTGAATACAGATAGGGCTTTAATACTGTCTTCGCCATTGTTGCATTCATGCTTAGATCGATCTGATCACTCGATCTCTGATCTCAGATTACCTGTTCATCAAAAGTGCAATAGGTTGTTAGAACGAACTGTGGTGAGCGAATCGTCCTTAGCCTGCGAAAGTTGATGCTAAGGCGATTCGTGAACTTATCGAACCTGTGTTTACTGCTTGCTTTCATTGCTAGATTCAAACGACAGTTTAGACATCTAGGTTGTTAGATAAAGTTGTTATTATCGCGAAAGTGAATTGACATATTGTTTTGTTTGAGTTCGAGACCTGTTCTTTATCTGTGCCCTGAATAGTTGTTTGGTCGTTAACCTGTGAATCTCTGCGAATTGCCTTGGTCTAGTCCTGTTTATTGAATTACATCAACGTTTACATTCGTTACCTGTTACTAAAACCAATCATCTTTGTCTTAGCTCTGTTTTAATCTCCTAGTTTCACAGTGTAACGCTGGTCCTCTGGATTTCGAATCCTTTATATTACAATCTTCATCACTGTAATTTGCAGTAGAGAAAATGACCTATTTCTAGTTTATCAGGACTAGAGAGAGATCCCCAATGTCAAGCAACAGATCAAGTCTTAGAACCCCGCATCGAAGCCTGGGAACCTCTCCTACAAAAAGAAGAGAATATCGAGAACACTTAGAACGCTCAACAAGGGAAACCCAGGACCCTCACTGATATTACCGACAAGAGGAAAGAAGATACCAAGGACAGAGAGGGACTCAACAAAACAGAAGCTACCCACCTCCTCTCTAATGGCGTGAGAAAACCAGAAGCCAGACATCCGACGGCCAGGTAGAGTCATTGGTATCGGAGACGTCACGACCACAAAGGCTGGAACGACAACTGGGACCTCGAAGCCCACCGGATGCACCAATCCCCACCACTGCAGAGGTAATGCAAGAGCTCCAAGAGGTAACGATACGATACATCAACTGCCCTGACCCTACAGAGAGCGCAGCAAGAAGACAAAGAGTCATAGCCTCAGAGGAACAAGGACTAATGGAAGAAACGGCAGCTAATATAATAGCAGCAGCAACAGATTCTTACCACATAAAACTTAACTTCGATCCAGAAGAAGAGTCCCAGATAGTCCTAAGGCAGCAGTCCCCACAACACCCTCCATCAGAAGGAACAACTCCACAGAACCAGCCAAAAAAGCAGAGGGGAAGGCCACCAAAGAACAAAAGAATGAGCCCGGCAATAGGAATCAGTCTAAGGCAAAGAAGAATATCGCAGGTCCAGAACTCACCTCAGATCAGAAGACCAAGTATAGGCCAAGGACAGAACACGAGAGGAAACCATGAACGCACGGGGCAAGCAATTCAAGGAGACCCGGGTCCAAGTATTAGGGGAACGACTCCGGACACGATTATACCGACCCTTGAGAGGGCGACGGAAAATTTTCGGCGTCCGCGAAGTCCGATTCCTTAAAAGTGGCGAGCTGGAACTGTCGAGGGCTGGGGAACCCCAAGACAGTTCAAAGAATCAGAGAGATACGTTCTAGCCTTACCCCAGATGTATTCTTCCTGATGGAAACAAAAAATTCAGAAGAGTTAGTGTTAAAGGAAACAAAATCACTTGGATATACCTCACACTTCATAGTTCCCCCTCACGGACATGGAGGTAGAAGATTGGCACTCCTCTGGAACCAGAAGCTCCAAATAAACATCATTACCGCTACAGACAACTACATCGATGCCTCTATAACCTACAAAGACAAGTTCTTTTACGCTACATTTTTGTACGGGGAACCGGACAAAACAAAAAGAGGTGAAGTATGGGAGCAGATATCAGACCTGACGGCGGCAAGAGTTAGTCCATGGTTCCTCACGGGGGATTTCAACGATATTCTAGACAACACTGAAAAACAAGGAGGCCCAATTAGATCAGAGGCTTCCTTTGGAGTTTTTCGAGAATTCATGGCTACAAATGATCTCTATGATCTACAACATACCGGCAATTCTCTGTCTTGGCGAGGAGTGAGATACGATCACTTAATCCACAGTAGACTGGACAGAGCAGTTGCAAATAGCGCATGGTCGGAGATGTTCCCCACAGGAAGAAGCGCGTATCTCCGATATGAAGCTTCTGACCACAGACCAATCATCTCTTTCTTTGAACCTACACTTAAAAAGAGAAGAGGACTGTTCAGATATGATAGAAGGATGAAAAACAACGAAGAAATAAAGAAGCTGGTGGATAAAACGTGGAAGGCAAACCTTTCTCAAACGGTGCAAGGAAAAATCTCAGCTTGTAGAAGAGAGATCTCAAGGTGGAATCGAAAACACCACTGGAACAGCAAAAAGATAATAGAGGACCTGAAGAAAAGGCTGGATGAGGCCATGTCTGCCAGAGTTCCGGATGAAGCAGCGATACAGGAGATAAACGCAAACCTGAAAACAAATTACAAAAAAGAGGAAGATTTCTGGAAACAAAGAAGCATGCAATTGTGGCTGGCACTGAGGGATAAAAATACAGGGTATTTCCACGCAGTGTCACGAAACAGAAAGAGAGTCAATACCATAGTCATGCTTGAAGACAAACAAGGGAAGGCCTGCTTTGAGGAGTCGGAGATAGCAACAATCATCTCTGAATACTACAACGATCTGTTCACCACAATAGAGGAACCACGCAGGAAGAATATAGTGGATCAGACACTCTCTCCCTGCATCTCACAAGAAGAAAACTTAAAACTAATAGAACTACCATCAACGGAAGAAATAAAGGAGGCTCTGTTCTCGATTCACCCGGACAAGGCGCCGGGACCGGATGGTTTCTCAGCATGCTTCTTTCAAACGCATTGGGAGGTAGTGGGCGAATCAATAGTAGAAGAAGTGGGGTCTTTCTTCTCCTCAGGAATACTCCCTACAGCAATAAATAATACTCATGTCAGATTAATCCCCAAGACCCCAAGCCCAAAAGGAGTAGCAGACTACAGACCGATAGCTCTCTGTAATTTCTACTATAAAATCATCGCGAAAGTACTTACCAGAAGACTCCAACCGATCCTGAATGACATCATTGTAGAGAACCAATCTGCATTTGTACTAGGTCGAGCTATCTCGGACAACATGATGATAACACATGAGGTGATGCACTTCCTAAAGGTCTCGGGAGCTAAAAAACACTGCTCAATGGCGGTGAAAACCGACATGAGCAAGACCTATGACAGAGTGGAATGGGACTTCCTATACGCAGTTCAACAACGACTAGGGTTCCATCCAAAATGGATAAACTAGATCCATCAATGCGTTTCTACAGTCAACTACTCCTATCTAGTGAACGATAGAGCACATAGAGCAATAATACCTGGAAAAGGGATCAGACAAGGCGACCCTTTGTCTCCTTACCTTTTCATCTTATGTGGAGAGGTCTTATCGGGTTTATGCAGGAAAGCTCAACTCAATGGTAGCTTACCAGGCATAAAAGTCGCAAGACGATGCCCCTCGGTGAATCATCTCCTCTTCGCGGATGATACAATGTTCTTCTGCAAGGCAAGCAAAAGAAATTGTCAAGCTCTGGTAAACATCCTAAAAAGCTATGAAACAGCATCCGGACAAAAGATTAATGTGGAAAAATCCTCAATCACTTTTGCCAAGAAGACAAATGCAGAAATGAAAACAATGGCAAAGGAAATCCTGGGAATAGCAAAATTGGGAGGCCAAGGGAAATACCTCGGTTTGCCAGAACATTTTGGAAGACGAAAGTGGGACCTCTTCTCCATTATAGTGGATCACATAAGGAACAAATCAGTTAGCTGGTCAACCAAGCTTCTGTCTGGCGCGGGAAATATGACGATGCTGAAGTCCGTTCTTTCAGCTATACCGACGTACACGATGTCCTGTTTCAAATTGCCAAAAAGCCTTTGCAAAAGAATACAATCATGCGATGAAACAGTTCTCATGGGTTGCGTGGAACAAACTCACCAAGTCTAAGCGAGATGGAGGTTTGGGGTTCAGGGACATCGAAGCTTTCAACGATGCCCTCCTGGCGAAGCTGAGCTGGCGCATTCTGATGAATCCCCAATGTCTTTTAGCAAAAATTCTGCTGGGGAAATATTGCAAGCACAAGACTTTCTTAGAAGTTGGAGGAAAACAAACGGCATCCCATGGTTGGCAAAGTATCCTAATTGGAAGGGACTTACTCAAGACAAATCTGGGAAAAGCCATTGGAAATGGAGAAGACACCAACATTTGGAGAGATCCGTGGCTGTCTCTAGACAAACCGCTTGCTCCAATAGGTCCTGCACATCAAGACACAGAGAAGCAAACAGTGTCAGAACTTTGGAACAGTGAAGCAAAGAGGTGGAACAAAGAAAAGATACGAGGGCTCATACCCCATTGGGAATCTGAGATACTACTCATCAAGCCAAGCTGTCTGCAATCAAAACATCGTCATATTTGGCTCTCGAATCCATCCGGGGAGTATACAACAAAATCCGGATACCAACAAGCTATCACCCTACAAAACCAGCAGCAAAACAATCTCGTCAACACATCAATAAACTGGAATGATGATGTTTGGAATAGTAAAACATCACCAAAGTTGAAGATGTTCCTTTGGAGACTTACAAATGGAGCTTTAACTCTAGGGGAAAACCTATTGGGACGAGGCATCCACTCCAACGCCGCTTGCTTTCGATGTGGTGAACTCGAAACAAAGGAGCATCTACTGTTTCACTGCGAGTTCGCGAAACAAGCATGGAAGATGGTACCGGTGACGACTACGGTAGATCAGCTCGAAACACAAAGCTTTGCGATCTCTCTGAAGGAGGCTCGGACCTGGATCTGCCTCCCACCGACAGGACTAACAAAAGTATCAATTTTTGCCTGGGTTTGCTGGGGACTCTGGCTGGCTAGGAACCACAAGCTCTTCGGGGATCGGACTTTCTCTCCTCTCGACACAGTCACGAAGACTTGCGCAGACGCAAGGGAATGGAACGCGGCACAAGCTCAGGAAACGAAGGAAAAGAAGCAGAAGCCCCCACACGGAACTCGCCAAAGGACGAATCACACGACCAAGGTGTTTGTGGATGCGGCTTGGCGATCGGACCTTCAAACAGCGGGTCTCGGATGGGTTTTCATGAAAAATGAAGACTCCGAGATCGTGAGGGAACAAAGAGCTGAAGCCTGCGTCCGATCACCGCTTGCGGCGGAAGCTCTAGCGATCAGGGAAGCCCTCCTCTATGCAAAAGCCCACGATTTGAACAGATTATGCCTCAAATCGGACTCTCAAACGCTCATCCGAGCCATCCTCAATCGAGATCAGGTAGCTGAGATCTACGGAATCCTTCAAGATATCCACCAGCTAGCCTCAACTTTCACCTCGATTTCGTTTCTCTTTACGCCGAGATCGACCAACCTTGTGGCCGATTCTCTTGCAAAATTCGCACTGTCTCTCTTTGTTTCTGACGCCACTTGAAGCGTTTTTGTTTTGTTTCAATTTTAATGAAATAGCCCGATGTTCAAAAAAAAAAAGCAAACTACACAATGGGAGGTGCTGGTTCTGAGTTATGAGGGGTATACTATGGGTTAAAACATATAAAGGATTGTGTAAATTAATTCTTGAGTTCAATATTGAAGCTAAGTAAGATGTATATAAAATGCAGGATGATTTCGGCAAGAACATGATTATATTACACAAGTGTGCTTCCCTGAAAACTGATGTTAAAAGGATATATACCCACAAGAAAGAAGATGAAATTATGCGTGTAAATAAATATACACATTTCAGTAGAATAAATATCTCTTTATTATTAACTGGGAAGTACATGGGTAATTTTTGGACCAAAAAACCAATATAATTATAAAGAAAATGTGTTTGGCAACACGTTTAGTAAGGGTTAATTTCGTAAAAAAAACTGTTGAATTTCACTGAGTTAACTCAGTTACAAGAAAAACCCGACCCAACATACTATGAAAAAAGACGCGGATCCTGATATAAATTAAATTAAACCGAACCGATCCAATAAATCATCGAGCCTTACCAAGTCGGTTATTCAATGGGAAACTTGGTGGCAGGGTGGTTTTTAAGTTTCTAATTAACTATTGGGCGGAAACGAGTTTGGAATTGCGAAATAGGTGGTTCACTGTTACACCCTTCATAATCGACCCCAGCAATCTTGCGTAATTACGGTCTTATGCCACTCGATTACCAAACATGAAAATAATTTTTATGTCCACCGACTCGAGTCAAGGTCCCACAGAACCCCACCTCTGTCGCCCAACCGTGAAAATAAACCATACCCGTCAGACCGACCCAATCATAAATGCGAAACAGTGTACTGAAGTGTAAAACCATAATCGTCTGCGATTCCTGAAGGAAATTAGAGTTCATTGTTGGGAAGATCTAGATGGGCAGAAAGCGGAAGGTCCCTCACCCGGTTTCGCCAACGCCGATGGCAAGAAACCTCCGGAGTAACATACAGATAGGAATCAGGTACAGTCACAACCGTGTCGGTTGTGGAAAAACAATGTGAGACGGGATAAACCATACGATTTCTTAATTAAAGGTAGATAAGGTAAGATTATGCGTAGTTGGGAGGACTGATTAGAATGGCTGTAAGGGAAGATTAAAGTCCTAATTTCTTGGAATTAGCCGAAGTATGGGTTCGGATTTGATTAGCAAAATAGATAAAATCCCAAGATCTGAATGCATTCGTTACTTTATTAAAGATTATCGGTTTCAATCGTATTGTAGGGACACAGCGAAAAAAACGGTGGTCAACTGAGCTTCCTTCTCGTTTATATGCGGCAGACTGTTACCCAGGGGACCTCAGAGACTAAACATCTATGCGAAAGCAAATGTCATCGGCCAAGTGGTTGCGGCGTTGCAAGGGCATGAGGAGTTGGAACATCTCCGGCAAACGCAGTTCGCCGGATTGCTGAATCTTCCGGTAGCACGATCCTCTAATTCCGCTAAACTTATTCACGCTCTGCTTGCCGGCAACTGGTGACTAGGAGAAGATATGAACTGTGGACAGTGTTCGGTCCGAACCCAATTCGTTTCTCGCTCAGGGAATTTAAACGAATTATTGGGCTCTACTGCGGGAAAATTCCGGAGGACCATTTGGCGGAGAGGGAGACAAGTCCAGAAACGAGTTCATCAAGTCAGTCTACTGAAGACGATGATGGGAAAAAGAAACAAATGTCAACTATGTGGAAAGACTTGTTTGGGAGGAAGGATGCGCAAGTAACTGTTGATGATGCCATTGCCATGCTAGAGGATCCGAATTTGGCTCAGTGGAAAAGGATGCCCCTGGCTCTTATAATCCTGGTGGAAGGTGTTCTTATATGCCGTGACAAGCATCTCGTATTCACACCCTCATACGTGGATATGCTATGCGATATGGAGTACTTCCTCGAGTTTCTTGGGGCAGAGAATCTTTCTTGAAAACGATAGTTAGGTTTATCCCCAGCGAAAATGTTGAAGGAGTCGGCGATGACTCGGCGGAGGGAGATGTAGTCCAATTGCGTCCTGCGGATCCCCTAGGAGCGATGAGACACCAGCTGAACCAGCAAACCAGCGTTTGTAATGGTTTCCCATTGGCTCTGCAGCTGCTGGCGTTTGGAAGCCATTCCGCTTCTTGCCCAGAAAATCCCCGACCCCGGAAACCTGAATACCTTTCTGACTGATCCCAAACCCAAAAATACTATTACTATTCTTCATCTGAATACGATTGTGGACGTGGAACGCGATCCTAACGTAAGTGTCGACCAACCTAAATCGCTTTTAATGTCTTTTATGTCTGTTCATGTGGTAGTTTTGGGTGTATAGGTCAGACATATCGCAATTAATATTGACGTCAGTGTACACTATTGCATTAGTTTAGGTGTACGCAGGATGCAATTCTTTTGGAGTGTAGGTGATACAGAGCAATAATAGACATAAGTGTAATTGTACGCATGCATTGTTTAGTGTAGCATATAGTTAAGTTTAAGTAGGTGAGGCCTTAATGCATAAGTGTAATAATGCATTATTTAAGTGTGGGATGTCTGACGTAACCACTGCGGAAGAAGTGTAGGACGTGAAGCATGTACACTTCGTTTGTAGGAAACGAAAGTGTACAGTAAGGCTATGTTTGTAAAGTTTTGCGGATGCTATTTTGTTTATTGTTTGTAAGACGTTAAAGTTTTATATGTGGACGTGTAGTTGGAGGTGTTGTGTTCGTATGACGAGGATGAACCGGAGGAGGTGCAGTGGGATGATGAAGTGGTCGATGAAAAAGTTGAATACTTACTGAAACTCAAGAGGGACGGTTACAAGTTTAAGAAGTCTGATTTCAAAGGCGGAGACACAACCTTTGTTCCCATCGTAAACGCGAAGAATAGAGAAGGAAAAAACGGGAGGAAAAGTAATCATGTGAAGATGGAGGGGAGGGATTCCAAGGATGGTCCGACACCAAAAAAGGCCGTAGAAAAGAAGGAGAAACAAGGAGTGAAACCTTTGCGCAGAGGAGTGCCAAAGAGAAAGAGGGGCCGTGATAGGTAGGGATAGATCGAAGAGTGTTGAGGAATCTGGAGGAAGTTCTTCCTCAGCAGGTGGTGTTGGAAATTGTCGACGAGATGAAGAGCTGGATGTTAGGCCATCTGAACCAAATGAAGGAAGCTCTTTTGGTAGTTGTGGCTGAAGAGAGAGAGAAGGGGAAGGAGAAAGTTGAAGGCGGAGGCTCAACAGACGGGAAAGAAAATGCAAGGGCCGGTGCGAAAGGAAATATTGGAAGACCTAGGGAACCTACTCCGGGTCAGGGTGAAAAAGGTGGAGAAAGTGGTTGGGAAACTGAAAGTGAAAAAGAAAGCTATAAACTTCTCGCTAAGAGAGGAACGAGGAAGCGGCAGGACTCAGAAGCGGTCCGTTGTACAAGAAACCTAGGGTGGTGGGATGGGAAGGGGATGATTATTTGAATACAAGATCGGATGAGGCGGGGAAAGAGCGAACTGGAGTAGATGAGGAGACGAGTACGTGGAAGTATTACGGTGGAACTCTGGATGTGTTGGCTGAGTTAGGCGTTGATAAAGTAGACAAATCTCCGAATGTAGGAGAAGAATTGGGTGGTCGTGGGGAAGGAGGAACCGTTGTAGCTGACGGAGGAAAGACGAACCGTAAGGAGGACAAGGTGGTGGATGCTGGGGACGAAGGTGGTGGATGTGGGGAGAAGAAAATGAAGAGAGCTGTTGGTTGAAGAGAAAGAAGACGAAGAAGTTACGCCGGGGGAGGAGATGCTTGAAAAAGAGGATGATGATTGCGAGGAAGGTGATGAAGGCGGAATTCCAGAGAGCGAAGGAGTTAGGGAACGAGAGACAGGCCAGGAAACGGAAGGAGGAGTTGGGAAAGAAATGAAGGGCGTCCAAGTTTCTGTAAGGATAATGTTTTGCTATACAACTACTGAGAATTACCTTTGATTTGTAACAAATCATTTTTCCAATTTAATTTAAATGTGAGCCACAGGTTGGGGAGAAGGAAATATTAGAAAGAGCAGAAAGCGAGAAGGAAGGAGTTGAAGGGGGCTAGCATGGTCGAAAGAGAGGAGGAAAAAATAACATCATATGACAAAACTGGTGAGGAAGACAGTGAAGGAGGGATAGGGGATGGCAATGCAAAGGAAGTTCACGTAAGGCCTATTTTGAATCAAATTCGCAGGTAAATAATACATATTATAATCCTTCTGTTATTATTAACAATCTGACTTGCAGGAAGGAGAAAAGCGAGAGGCCGAAGGTGAAGAAACCGCATGCTTAGAAGCGGTACACCAGGTAAACACGTACACCATATTACCGTAGAACTTGGTAGCGAAAGTGTATCCGCGTATTTTCTGTAACCCATCCACCATTGTCAAACCTTGTACAGAAATTTATCGCGTTGATGATGAAGTTTTGTTGTTTGAAAATATAATTGTAATAGGTGTCAGCCGAGGAACAGTGGCCGTAGTGATGTAGGAGCCGTTGGTGAGTACACCGAGGCCGAAAAACTACCTGAGAAAGTTACGGAGAACGTAGAGGACGAAGGTGATGAAGCAATGAAGACCCCTGAAAAAGAAAAAGCTGATGTTGACTGAGCAATGCGGAGCCGTTTACATCCCGGTGGTCAGGCAAGCGGCAACAGTACTCTGCCTCAGAAAGGTGAGGAGAAGCGCGTCCACACAGTTGTCTCAGAGAGTGAATGAGAGGGAATACATTGGGGATCCACGAGTGTGGGGGCTTTTTGCAAGTCGAACTGAACCGAGATATGAACCCATTAACCGAGCAGTGTACCGAGTTACAAAGGATGAGTTCAAGATATTCCAAAGGGCTTTAAAGGAAAATACGAAGAAGTGCGTTCGAAATGCGTGATTTGTTATGTGTTTTATAGGTTTGTAGGTTAATAGATTTGCGTACTAAAAACCGTGACGGTCTTATTTTGCTTCGCAGGGAATTCAGCATAGTGACTGGTCACACTTACTAACAAATTTTTCTTGGAGATTGCGAAGAAACAAGAATGGGTCGGCACTGAGGTATGTGAAAGGAGAAAAGAAATAATGTTTTTCGTACACCGTGCAAAAATATTGAGCGTACACCATCATCTAACTTTCCGTCAAATTGGAATTTCAGCACATGGAGGTTATAATGACAATGTTGTGGCGTCGCCGAGGAGAGGTATTGGTGAAAGACCGAGCAGTATTCGTAGAGAGTGCCTTCACTTCACTTGTGGCTTCAATGTACCCGGTATTTAAGATATGCGATGACAAAAGTGCGTTCGACTGGGGAAACAACGTTCGGAGCTTTGTTTCGGGTAAAAGTCAAGGGAAAAAAACTGAAGTCCGAATTTGTGACGAACGTGGACATGTTGTACGTCCCGATGAACTGGGTAATGATCACTGGGTTGGTTTGGTGATAGACATTCCCGGAAGTTATGTGGAAGTACTTGACCCGTACGTCGACTACAACCATAAAGAAGCTGTGGTCGAAGCGTACATGGAACCGGTCGTTCAGTCAATGCCTTGGATATTGAAGCGTTACGTGGGACCCAATGTGACTACGCACATGACCACCAATGCATACGGGTGGGCGAGGACCGGTGGTCTGTATCAAAACACTAGGGCTGGTGATTGCAGACCTTGCGCGGCGAAGTTCCTAGAGATGCACGCACACAGGCTTCACGAAGAAATGTCTACGGTGACCGATGAAGGATGTGGATAGGTTTCGTGAGAAATACCCTATGGACTGTCACGAGGAGTTCGTGGGGAAAGCAAACGTAGCAAACAAATGATACGTTTGACAAATATATTTGAAATCGACTATTAATCATTATGTCGAACTCTGTTTGTGTTTTTACCTTTGTTACAGTTTCGAGTCCTTTGTATGGTTCTACGACTTTTTTACTTATTTCGTCAGACTTGTGTTCGTAGATGTTATGTGTTATATCTCAAAATCTTTTAATTAGTATAATATGTGTGGTACTTGTTTACAGTATCGGGAACTTCGCTGCCGAACGAAATCTTCAATGACCCCCTTTCTGTATGCAAAGCATTTAGGGTATAGGAAACGTACTAGGGTAACGTTGTTTAGCTTTGACCGAACTTCCTCGGTGGATTTTAGTATTCATAGATGTTATGTGTGTTATATCTTGAAGTGATATAATGAGTCACTACAAGAATTCACTGAATTAGCTGTGGACCGGCGACAGCATTTCCGTAGCCATCGCTATTGGCTACGCTAATGGCGAAAGATGGCGACAGAACAAATAATATTATTTTTTGTAGCCAAAACTGTGGCAAATCTGTAGCAATATAGCTACGACTTGATGTGGTGGCCATTATGTAGCTAAATAGCTACACATTGGCTAGAGATAAGTTGTTGCCATAAATTTTATATTAGCAACAGATAGATATGAATATTTATGTTGCTATATGGCAACGGTTTGTGTGCGCTCACCAATCCATCGCATGGTGGCAATGACAAAGCAACGGAACTGATGTAGCTAAGTTCTTTAAAGTTGCTAGGTGATCAAATTTCATTTTTTAGTTTTCGTAAGATTTAAGAAACATTAATGTTTTTAAAATAAATTAATAATTAATAATATTTGTAATAGTTTTCTAATATACTCTTTAATTTGGATCATAGTTAATATATATTGAAAAAAAATAGATATATCAACATAGAAACAAAAAAACTTATCAACATAGTTATAAGTTATATATCAATGTTAATATATAACTTATAACTAGCCTTGTTACAAGAAACAAAAAAACTAGTTCAATCTTCGATGGTCAAGAACGGATCAAGACGTAATGTAGGGTGGCGGGTGCACATGTTCTTGAAATCGTTTTGTTTGTGGAGGGCTTTTACTTTTAAGTGGTTTCTCCTTTGAGTGCATCGAAAAATCTCTCTCTGTTTTAACCAACGCGTTTATGTTCTTGAAATCATTTTGTTATGTCGATTAGTTTGAAGAATAAACGTGTCGGTGGAGCGTGTGGTCGTGTGGATAATTAGGAACCATGAAGGAATGGTAATTATATAGTAGAAGAGCCTTCAGTTTTATAGATAGAGGCCTCTGAGCTAGTAGGAATGATCACTCGCCCAACGGCTTGGCAAGTTTCCCGGTAACAATCTTTGGAGATGATTAATGGTTGGAGTCGACTGGTCAAACAATGTGCATCGCTTATAGCAAGAAGCGCTACGATGAAATGTGTGTAACTGGTTCTCTGTTCTTTGGTTTTGGAGTTTTTGTCGTTGTGGCTCTGTTTTTAGTACTCTGGTTTTGTTCTCTGTTTGTTGGAGGAAGACTCTTTGTTCTTTGTTCCTTTCACTTGTAATAAGAACTCATAGGTTTTAAGAAACGTCAAAACGATACAGTTTATGTTATGTTGGTGTACGTCCAAGATAAATAATAATTACGGTACGTTGGTACCGATCGTCAGTTTATGTAATGAGGTGATCTACTCAGTCTCATCTCACCTTTCTCATCCCAAACAATAGTTATATGCTAACCTCGAACCTAGTTCACAATTCTAGCCTTGTTACAAAAAAAATAAACTAGTTTTGTTCTTGAGGGTAAGTCGGTAACAGATCAAGACGAAACATACGGGTCCAAGGTGAACTCTCTATGGTCCGGAATGATTAAAACGTTACATAGCATGTGCTTTTGGTAAATTTTCTGAAACTACATTTTTGCTTTAGTTTAAATTTGTTTAGTTTAACTTGTTTCTTTAGGCGAAATTCATAGCAGTTTACTATCTTACTTAGACTTACTAAATCAATTAAAGCCAAAATTTAACTTATCTATTCTAATTTTTGCATGAAATGAAAATGGACAATCCATCAATAGTTGAAGAACCAACTATAGAAGATCACTATACAACTTCGAACGGTGGATTATGCGGGGTCTGAGTGATTCTATAATATCTACGTTACGTTAATGAATTGATTTGGCATTTATACTCATATCCTTAAAGATTATCTTATAAATTATGCTTCTTATATAAATTTTTTTCTTAAATCACATTATGCTTCTTATAACTAAACGTTGGGTTTAAGAAAAAACATTTCTTTCTTATAAATTCAAAGTTGGTTCTTACAAATTATCTTTTAACTAAAGAATCTAAAATCATGTAAATCTAAAAAACTAGCTAACAGATGTTTAAAAATACAATATTCTCTATAGATTCCACAGTTTTTATGTAATTATTTTTTGTCAAAATGATAACATCCGGTTATAGGCGATATTTATATTTTGCTTGGTCAGAGTGTTAGTAATACACGGAGTAATACTTAGCGATAGATTTTGGGGAACTATTTGGAGTGACCGGGAAAATTTTGGGAAACAATTTGAGTTTCCGCCATAAAATTTCGCCAAATCTGAAATTCCCATGATTTGCTCATCAGCTAAATCTTCCTTTCCCTCTTCTTCTCAGCGGCAGAAACCCTTTCGTTTCCCTCTTCTTCTTTTCCCTTTTCTTCTTCGCGGCTGATATCCTGATAATATCTCGCTGCATCTCTCTCTCTCTCAAATCGATTCATCATCAAATCGCTCCTTTCCTCCTTCACTCCAAGGTTCGATGCTGCTTAAATACCTAGATTGATTCCCTCTAATGTTCAATCCTTAATTCAGTCTTCTATTTTCTTGCAGAAATTTAGAGTTCGATTCTTCTATAAATTGATTTAGGTTCATCCCTTCTTCTGGGTAAAATCGATTTAGAGTTCAACTCATCTTGAAATCTATGGGTTTTAGGTTATATTATGCTCTTCTGTTTATATACTGAAAGTAATTTAGGGGTTAATTCTTCTTTCAATCTTGGCTTTTTTTGTGCGGTTTATGGTTCTTGTGTGACATTGTCGTTGGATTTTTCTTTGGTGTTTTACAGGGAATGTTGGACGAAAGGTCCCTGGTTACTCAAGGGGTAGTAATTCATGTTCACCGCCAGTATTTCCTCTCCGTAGCATCACTGAGCTATTACAGGTGCCTGCGCGACAAGACCAGCCAACTCTGCATCCCGAGAAGAAAGATAGGGCACTTTGGTAAGAGTTTACCGTGTAATGTCTGTATAACATTTCAAGTTTCATATAACTAGTATTCTTCTTCACTAACTCAATAGTATGCCCTTTTGTGATAGGATTTCCATCGACAATGAGGTCAAATATGACATTAAAAGGGCTTTTACCAATGATTTTGATGGACTTTGGTGGAATTTTGGTGAGGTTTGGCAAGAGCCGCAAGACAAATGGTGGTCTGATTTGGTGGTAAGATTTGAATAGCTTATGTTTTTCTTACCCTGAAATAAGTGAAAAACTGGAAAATTTTGTCAATTGTCTAGTGTTGTTTTTGATTATGGAGTCTTCGTTTGTGTAGTTTTGTGATTGACATTGATATATCAGCTTTAAATTGTAAGAATCAATGTTTAATATGCAGGATACATCCTTACAATTTTTTTTGTTATACTTACCAGATTAATCAGATATTTGATGCTTACCAGATACAATTATGCTTAACAAATGTATACAGATGATAGGGTTGGGTGAGGAGCCAGCAATAACGTACTTAGTGCGGAAGACGCACATGAAGATTGATGGAAGTTTTGTTGACAAACATGCGAAGAAGATCATTGAAGAAGCTGAGTCCATTGTTCTTTAGCAACAACTCTCCAAAATTGATCATGATGAGTTTGTCAGCCAAGGGTCCAACTCACAAACACCAATTACACCACTTATGCGAGTGAGGCTTTTTATTCCTTATATATTGATGATTTGGTTTTTGGTTCTTTAGTTTTTTTTGTTTAAAATAGCACTACTATGCTTTCTTTCCCTGAACAAATGTTATTGTAGGTAGTCATACAGTAACTGCTTGGACTTGGAACTTCACAGATGGATAACTATGATCCCATTGATCCACCAGTCGTTGTTCTTCTCTCTAGCTCGTTATGAGAGGGATCTGCTCAATTGGACTGGAGCTGTCAATCTTATGAGCCAGCAGCTACTGATTGCCTCAATCGATCCTTCCCCTTCTTCACCTCTCAGCACCAACGTGCAGATGAATATAGTCTAGGTAATGTTGACATTTCTTCTTGCTAGAACTTTTATTTGTACTGAAGACATAACAAACAAATTATTTTGTATGTAAGCTTGGTTTAAACTTTGCGTATGTTTTATGTTTTCACTTTTCGGATGTTATATTATTTGTTTGTCTACTAGAATGTTTTGACTTTTGTAATGAATGCTTAACGATTATATTAGTTTTGATTATTTTGGATTTCTTGTTTTTTACAATATAAGATTTATTATTTATCAAAAATGCAAACATTATTGAGAAATTATAAACTATATTATCCTAGCTACAATTAATACAAAGCAACTTCTCTAGCTAAGGCAACAACAAAATCTGTTGCTAAACTAACACTTAGCCACATTTAATCCGTATCCAAATATGTTGCTATGTACGCTACAAAATTGTTAGGGGTAAACCGTAGTTATAATTTGTAGCCAAATAGCTACACAAAATCCTTCGCTAAACCATCGCTAATGAGCAACGGAAGATGTCGTAGCCATATCGTAACCATTGGCTGCGGAAGATGCTCTCGCTAATCTGTCGCAAATTGGCAACAAAATAGCGACAAACCAATTTTAGCGTCGGAGCTGAGGCAACAAAATTCATCTGTCGCCATCCGTAGCCTTCCAAGTTTTTGCTACGGATTGTGTCTTGTTGCTACAAAATAAACGGTAGCTATTTCACTAAATTCTTGTAGTGAGTACAATATGCAACGAAATCTAATAATCCCCTTTCTTTATGCAGCGCATTTACGGTTTAGGATAACGTACTATGCGTATAGGGTAACGTTGTGTAGCTTTGACTGAACTTCCACTGTGGATTTTAATTGGCGAACGGTAATAATGTAACTATCTTGTATGCGACTTTGTTGCATACACTACAAAATTTGTACTGTTTCAATAGTTGTTTTGTGGTGCCTCCGACGGATTTTGATGTACTAGGCACAAAACCGGGAATGGGCCATATATAACAGGGAATTGAAAATTGTTATAATATTCTTTATGCTGACCATCTGTAAAACATCCACCCAATTTGAATGGAAAAAGTGAAGTCAACATGTGAAATCAACTTAAAGCGAACGGGGGATAAAGGTGATCTTCGAGGACGATGACACGTGTACGGTGAAAAACATATTTACCGTCTATCATTTACGTTTTAAATCTGGTGAACTTTTCATTTCACAATCATACAAACATGGACTCCAATTCATCTTCCTCCGCCGGCGGTGCCCAATTGACAAGGTGGATGGGGTCACCTCTCTGCCGATGTCTTGAATCCCCGATAATACTGACTTCGTAGATGGATCAGAACCCTGGTCGCGAGTTCTACAAGTGCCCCATCATGAACAGCCGATTCGAACGTGGGTGTGATTACTTTAGCTGGGTTGATAACGAGCCACCGCATGGATGGCAGAAACGAGGACTGATTAAAGCGAGGAACCGGATCCACACGCTAAAGACGGAGGTAGAATACTACAAAAGGTTGAAGGATGAGGCAGATGCGAGAATTTGTGCGAACGTCCCTGGAGCTACTGACTCCAATCTTCTTCTACGTCATGTTGAAGGGCCACCCGACATGTATGGACCGATGCGATCTTTGGTTGGATCAATTTACCTGCCTAAGTTTTCCTTTGTTTCAATTGTCATTGTGGCGACAGCTGGGATAGTTTTCCTGGTTGCATATTAAAATGTTGTCTGGTTTACTGCTTCGTTTCCCTTTTCAGCTGCTAAACTCTGAACTTATGTTTTAGTTTCTTTCTTTGATTACCCTTATGTTTCTTTCTTTATTATGTTTTAGTTTCTTTCTTTCTGTTGTTGATTTCCCTTTAAATATGGCAGTATCTTATGAATGAAGTATTAAATGAAGTTGTTATATAGCACAATTGTGAAACTGGCAAATACAAAAGCGCTTAACGTTGTATTCGTAAGAATCAATCCACCCCTTCAACCACTGATGTAGGAGTATACTTCAGACATAAGTGTACGACCGATCTCTTTTGTAGACCATAGTGTATGCGTACGCGTATAACTGAATTGTCTCGCGTTGATGTTTGCATAAATGTAAAAACAACACACTGCCACCAAGTTTCCCTAGTTAATTTGAGGGCTTGGCATAATCTTTCGCGTCAATCTCAGCCAGGGGTTCTCAGTCTGGGGCCGCGTCGACACAATAAGCTTGTGTACGCTTTGAGTAATATGTACGTGTAGGGAGTTGTACACCATAATTGCGTCTATACGTGCAAAACATATTTACAATAAACAGATCATCAGCATTAAATACAAAATTAATCCCCTAACCGTCCAGCTTTGTTAATGGTTCAACAGCCGCTCTGTCACCGTTATATATTGGAATAGTCATCCATTTCTGATGTTTATTTTTGTTTTGGCGATGACGCTGCCCTTCATACCGGACGAAATATTGGCGGAGATAATGAAGGTTCTCGCTCAAGCCGAAGTGTCGTACCTTTCTCCATTTGTTTGTGCTGGCAAGCGCACCTCCAACATCGCAGGGACGGCGGAGGTGCTACAGAAATGTAACTTCACAGATTTAATCCATCAAAACCACGAGGACATCATGTCGGGTGGGAGAGTTAGACGTTTCTTCGAAAGGTATTGCGAAGGCGGTAACTTGGAAGCCGTGTATGTTGAAGGACTGCCTCGCCATCCACTCAGGTGATATAAATCTTGCAATAGAGATGTTAATCGGTAACGACAAGGGACATTGTAAATCGACTCTCGCAGCTGCATTATTCGCTGTATGTTCTGGAGATCGGCAAAAGGCGAGCGTATTGTTTCAGAGATCTTCGTCGAACCACAGCGGTCTCCAGGAAGAGAATGCCAGATTTCTCGGGAATGAGACAAAATGGGACATACTCATGTTGAATCCAACTTTCTCGATACTTATATGGAGATGTTTTCGTATCCGGATGACGATGTAGTTTACCTTCCGGAGTACGCGGATGACCATGTCCTACCTCACGAATGCCACTTATGTTACATGTATGCGTTAGCACTCGAAGTTCGTTGTATGTTGTAAAAAATTGGTTTCTATGTTGTAACACAGCGGTGTAAGACGGACAGATGCCTAAAAGTAATTATCACGTGTCAACCTTGGAATCTGCGGATGAACCACCTTCTTTTTGGACCTAAAACGACAAGAAAATTAGCCAAAACTTGTGGGGAAACAAGTGCACCGAGACAGGGCCGTGTTAGTACATCGAATGTACGGTATACGGTCTTAGAACGCCGTATTAGTTCATCAGAAGACAATGTACACATATGGGTAATTCAGTACACGTATTACTAAATTTAGAGCATGGAGATACTATGCGCGCTGGTTTTCCACTTTGTCAGTTGTAATATTTTTCCGTAATGAAGGAGAGGTCGGATTAACTTCATCATTGGGGTTCTCATCCGCAACAGTAGAAATAAGGAACGACACCTTCTGTTTCTTTTTTGGGACGGTGTTTGGACGGGAGATGTCAAGCGAAGGGAGATCCGGTGAACCATCGTCCGAGTTGTCCTTTCGTTTAAGCTTAGTGGACCTCCTAAAAGATGTGCCTGCCTTCTCAGCCGCTCCCAACAATTACACATCATCCATATCGACGTATATATCGCGGACGTCCTCTCCTTCTTCCGATTTCCCCTTTGATTTTGCAAAGACATTTTCCCCTCTGTTTTCCGGCTGCATCTCAGATCCCCTTTTAGAGGTCTGGTCGGTTACTTTGGAAACGCCTCCCTCGCCGCCGCCACTTCTGATAGCTTCCACCAGTTTCTCCGTCATAGTGCGAAATTGGTCAGCCATCCATTTTTTACCTCTGAGATGGTGTAAAATGTTTGAGGTGCATTATTCTTATCCGCCGGTTTAGCCGACGTCTTTTGTTTCTCCGGCCTCGGTTTCGTAGACCTATTCAGTTTCACCTTACATGAGTATCTGTCTCCTTGAGGCTGATAAAACACCGGAGCCATTGTAGATTGACCCACCACAAAGTCTTCTTGGGTGAACACATGCCCTCCCTGCAGCAACTGAACAATCCTATCGACTCCGTCGTCATGGACCTCATCATCCCAATCCGGGTCTGCGTTTTCGCCTTCTGTGACGTCCACTCCGAAAGTCAACTGTAGCAAAAACGAAATGAACGTCATATTAGAGGATCATATGATGTACGAATAGCAACCGTATACATAGACCAATTAGATCATGCAGTGATACGTACCTTAGGGTTCGCCTCTACATGTAGGATATCCTCCGATTGCAACCGAACAATAGCGGTCTCACAGGCGAATGGCTCTTCTAAAAATGTGGTGGTCTTTTTCGGATCTGCCAACTTCTCTACCAGTAGTGGGCTGGCCTCGAAAACTACCAGCTCCACTGCTAATGGAAATCCGTAGCATGCCGAGGTTTGCTGCCTCAACCTCTGTTTTAGTTCGTTAATAGGGTCGGGATTTTTTGGTGACAGTGGTGCAGGTCTGAAACGGGATAGGGTTCTAAACCGCCCCCACGGGAATCGTAGAAACTTCTCTACATCTTCAACCATATCCACGTACGTCGGTGTGATATTTGGTGGCTTGTTGCCAAGGACAACACCGTCTACTAGAATGATCAGAGCATGATACAACCGCTTACGGTCGGATATATGCTTCTCTTTCAGCTTATTCAAAGCGCACTCCACGCTCACTTGCTTACAATTCCTTCGAAATAGCTCTTTCCATGTCGTCGACGGTTCCTTTGGTACTGCTTGGAAAAATGTGTGGCCTTCGGGAATTCTAGAGCATACCAAACCTGAAACACGTTCGAATTCCCGGAATGAGAACCTGAATGACTGCCCTCCAAAGACCGACCAGATCTCATATTTCCTCTTTGGTACCAGCTGCCTCGCCAGTATTGCGTGGATGAGTTTCCCGGAGTAAGAACATCTACCAACAGGCAACATGAACAGCTGCCTAAACTGAGATCCGTGAATTGTTTTCAGGGCCGGTGTTCCGGCCAATGCATCGGCGACGCGTCCAATCACGTTGGCTTTCGAATAAATGTTCATCCGCCCTGGCTCTGGATAGCAATCCACAGCGAAAACCTTCTTTGGGAGATTTTCGTCAAGTTTATCTTCCCTAGTCGATTCCGGGACGTCTCTAATTCCAATGGGTTCGGTACCTGCGAATGAAATTTCTTACAACTTTACAGACTTTCGATTGTGGCACAACTTCAGTCAATTCCATTCCCGAGAGAAATCAACTGGGTCTAATTATTAATTGAAAGAAAGAGATAGTTCGTTACTTTCACCGGCATCCATGGGCGGAAGCGTCGATGTGGATGGACCCTTCGATGTGGATGGACCCTCATCGTCGTTTTTGCCAGATTTCGATCGCCGACTGTTGTCCTTTACAGCGACTGCCTCCTTCGCAATATCCTCTCCTCGGTTGCCGGTGGATTTCCGACCGACCATTACGGAATCTTCCGTCATGTGGGTTTTCGAATTCACAATTGATCAGTTGCAGCAATCCTTCGTGATTCTCCAAGTTACCTCTCTGTAAGAAGCAAAGGAATAGTTGAAGACCGGATCTGACTACGGTGGTTTCTCGAAAATTTACTAAACTAACATGGAGACGGTTCTGATTGAAAATCAATTGACGGTTTGATTGGGGACGGTTTAGTGGGTATTCCGGTCGGCATAGAATTATTTTGAAAAAAATAATCATTAATAATAGGATAATTGCCACGGACGGGGGTTATGACACGTCGACAACCTTGACTATAATAATATTTTTGCAAACATCGCATGGACGATGTATTTCCACGTGTCACCTCTTAATAAAATACAAATTTAAAGTCCGTAAATAAGCACATATCACGGAAACGACAGTGGTCTTCTAAACAAATCCAATGTGGGATCTAGAGAAATTGACTCTGTGCGAATATCTCGCATTTCACCAACAAAATCGAAGATGACATCTACCCCCAATTGCGATTGCTTTGTTGTGGATCTACCCGACGACCTTCTTTCCAAAATCATCGAGATATCTGGAAGGGAGTCCTACGCATGCCTAGCTTCCTTTGTACGCGCGGGAAATAGATCTAAGAAGCTTGTGTACTTTAACAATGTTCTCCGAGCATGCAGTTTATGCCCCCTTTTCTTCTACAGCGCCAGGTTCCTACTTTGGGAAACCGGCAAGGCACGCCGCCACTTCGAAGCATGACTACGAGAGGGGAATCCGCAAGCCATATATTACGATTCACTAAACCGCCTTGTCAACGGAGGAGATTTTCATGGCTGCGTTAACAGCTTGTCTTCGATCGCCGGTAGATCCCCGATGGTGTCCTTAACAGCCACAATTTTTTTTGTTTGCAGAGGTGAACCCAAAAAGGCGAGTGAGATATTTCAAATGTTCATCAAACTCTCTGGAGTTTCCTTGGAGGACCCTGAGGCTCAACAGTATGGTGATGAGATAGTGCGTAACATCTTCCGCTGCGAACCCCACATCTATCCTAGGATCGAACCTGAATCAATTTCTTATCCGGACGACGACGTCATGAAGCTGCCGAGTTGTGCGTTTGAGCATGTCTTCCAGCATGAATGCAGCAAGTGCTACATGTACCGCCTTGCGTTTTGCGTATGTTTATTCATTACTTTCGTATAGTGGTTCATCATAGAAATAGGTCGTATTACTGTCTAAGTCTTCTGCTTGTACCTTGTATTAATGGTTTATTTCGAATGTTGATGGGAAACTTGGTCAGTAGGTGTGTTTCATGTTTTCATCCCTTTAAGTTTTGGTCGGTGGAGTTTAAGTTTTATTAGAGTTCGCATTGCCTAATTTACAATATTTGCACCGGCGTTGTGGAACACCCGTACACCTTTGCAAAACATTTTTCATTTACACGGAGACCAACTATCGGGAAACCGTACTCATATGAGTACACAACCTATATCGTGTACGCCACACAATTCTGTACGCTACATGATTAGTATACGGGTAGTAAACATGTGCCGAGTGAGTTACAGCGGAAACGACAGCATTTTCTACTCAAGTGACTGTAAACCAAAGGTACACCGAATTCAATCACTAAGGCCGAGTAACTAAAACGATGACATCGTCGTCAACCAAAACGAACACATAAAACAACCGACTGAAATGTTCTGTTACAATGATAATCATTATCATCCCGTCACAAAATACAACAAATAAACATCAGAAAGTGTACGCGCTACTGATAGTGTCTTCGGTGCGCATAACTGTTACCGCTGAGCAGAGGTCCATATATTCTTCTCAGTCGAGGGGTTCCTTGCACGACCTTTAGTTGTGTCCGCCTAAAGGTGAATGTGCATCGGTTATGGTACTTACGCCTTTCGGGACCATTCACTTATGGACGACTAGTGAATGTGCTTCGGTTATGGTACTTACGCCTTCCGGGACCGGGTATTCACCAGCGGACCGTTTCCCTTTCTTTGCTGGCCTTCTAGGGGGTCGCTTCAACTTCGGTTTCATGGTCTCAGGTAGGTCCAAAATATACAGGGGAAACATCAATATTGTCTGGATCAGGGATAGGCAATGTGATACATGATATTGAGGCTAACCATGTTGGCTTCTTGTGAATGTCGTCCATCAACGATTTGTAGGGCAGGTCCCGAATTGTGGCAGCGGCAATTGCGTGCCGACATGGTGCAGGAGATCTACAGAGTGGTGTTCTCCGGATGCAGAAACTACCTCGAAATTCCACGCACCAACTTGCACAGCCGGCAGTCCTGCAGATTCCTCCAAAATGAACGACAGCTCCTAATCCACTTCCTCGGGTATGTCACCATACATTTTCTCTATTTTCTGTCTCCTGCTCTCAAACCATATGCACAGCATTCTACGAATGAATTCAAACAAGCCGGCGATAGGGCTCTCCCTCGCAGGGAGTAATGCGGCGTTGAGGGCTTCTGCAATGTTTCTAGACATCAAATTATATTTGTTACCGGGAAAATAAGCCCGTGTCCACTGTGATACTTCAATTTTCTCCATGTACCTCCAACATGGTATATCTGCCGCGTTCAGCATACCGTAATACTTCTTGAATTTCGCCACTGTAAATGCCTCTCCAGTCTGTTGGACTAGTTCTCTCTGATGCCTACGCTTGTAGTGGTCGTCCACGTTCCTTGTTAGATGTGTAAGACATGTTCCGTGGTGGGAACTTGGAAACCATTTCCGTATCTCGCTCTTGATTGATGGGCTTCTATCAGAAATTATCGCCAGTTCAGAACTGTCGTCAATGATATCAACTAAATTCTTGAAAAACCAAGAGAAGGACAAGTCGTTTTCGCTATCAACTACGGCAAAAGCTATAGGGAATACTTGAAAATTGGCGTCCTGACCGCTGGTCGTCAAGAGACATCCCCTGTACTTCCCAAACAAATGAGTTTCATCCACCACGAGAATTTTCCTCAAGTGCTTCCATCCCTCCACGCATGCCTTCAGCGCCATAAATGCATACTTAAACCTTGTTGCACCCTTTTGATCAACCTCGGTATGTGGATGTGTAATGCTCCCTGGATTTGCACACTTCAGTAAGTATAGGTACAATGGTAGCAACTTGTAGGAGCTTTACTCTGTTCCATGCGCAGATGCAATTGCCAACTCTCTCTTTCCAGCATTTCCAGTAAGAGGCGTTAATGTGATGCTCTCTACGAAGCGAGTACGGCAAATCCTTAGGACGTGGCCCAACAGTAGTTTCGTACTTGGTTCTCAGAAGTGCTGCTATCACCTTCGAAAACGTCCGTCGGCTGTCCGCGTCGCAAGTATGTTTCAGATTCGCCTTCCTCAAATCATATGTTTGCGAATTCCCAAGATTACATGCAGTTACTCTCCAATCACACCGCGGATTAATGCAAGTGGCGACAATATAGCACTTTTCATGCTGATGATATTTAAACCTAAACATCTTCTTTACGGCATGTATAGCAAGCGTTATTTTAAATGCTCTTTGTTTTTGAACAACCTACCACAGTAGATCGAATCATCCTCGTATGTCAGATCAATTTCGGCCAACCTCAACGAGTCGCTTGCCATATCGTTGTAAATAGGACCGATTTCTTCATAACCATAATGATCAACCATCCGAAGCCCTTTCCTCAATCCAATCCCACCATTGTTAGGAAACCCTGCGTCGATGCCAGAACAACGATTAGGAGCTGGATCCGTAAATTCCTCGCCAACATTGTAGTGGATAGCGTCAGCCAGTTTTCTTCTCGTGTTCTCCTTCTGTGGAGGGGTTTCGAGAAATATATCCTCAGAATTCCCTAAAGGGTCAGGAAGCAGAGCAGCCGATCCGGACGTTTTATCATCGAAAGCGGCAGGGTCCCTCATTACCTCCTTACCAACCAAATATTTTTTCTTCGTCTTCCAAGGAGGAGTAAAGGAAAGTGTACAGTCGGCTAGATGGGCCTCCAGATTAATTATCGGAGGTGTTACATTGCTCGACGTTATCTGCGCCTTCTCTTCGGTATTTTGGAAATTAAAATCCTCAGTTACACCTTCGGAGGGTGTAGATTTCCCTCTTCTCGGTAAACTTTGATACATGGACGAAAAATGTTGTGGCTCATCCACAAAATCATCATTGTCAGCCGATCTCTTCCCGTCATTTCTGACAAACTCGTCCCAGTGGTCCCAATCGTATGCAACTCCATCACTGTGCCAATCATCATCCTCATCCTCCGGTCAATCAGTATCTCCGTCTCCTTCATTGTCTTCACCACAGTCCTCTTCTTCATCATCTTCGTCTTCATCTTCCTCGTCTTCCTCTTCGTTCTCCTCTTTCTCTTTTTCATCCACGCTTTCCACTACGACCTCTTCTGACGGTGCTTTCGCAGTTTCAATTTCAACGCCTTCCCCTGTTTTACTACTGCTATCACTCCCACGCACTCCGGCGGCTTCTGTTGCGGTCATCATAGCCTTTCTTTCCATATCCGCCTCAAATGCCTCTGCGTCTCTAACCATGATTTCCTCTATGGTCAATTCCATTTCAATCTCAACTCCATTTGCAGAACATTCTTCGCCACCTCGCTTTTCGTCACTTATCTGTGGGCAATCACTTCTCCTCATTATCTTAGCCTTTCTTTCCATATCCGCCTCAAATGTCTCTGCGTCCTAACCATGATTTCCTCTACGGTCAATTCCGTTTCAACCCCGACTCCATTTGCAGAACATTCTTCGCCACGTCGCTTTCCATCACTTATCTGTGGGCAATCTCTTCTCCTCATTATTTCGGTTGCAATACCTTCCTTTGGACCCAAAATAACCAATGACCCTCCGACTCTCTCCCTCACTGTGACGAAAGTGTTGACAGACTTATCTGCCGAATGCAGGACCTTCAAAACTCTTACATCATTGTCGCAGACGATTTGGACAGGTTGTGTCCCTTTACCATTCAGCTCGGCAATAGGATCTTCAATCCAATACGACATCTCTATAGAAACCGAAGATGCCTGAAATCCGTACAACAGAGCGACTCTCGATTGAAGCCCCTCAACTGACCCGATGGAAGACAACTTTATACTCCTCCCCATTTTAGACTTATTTATCTTGAAATCCCATTGGCCGGTCCAGTACAGTATTCACGGGCCAACCATTACGACAATACTTCCGTCGTTTTTACATGCGTACTCGACTATTAATCACCACATTTATCCAACAGAAGGTGTATACAGTAAGAACTAATAATTTACCTGCGTCTTCATCTGATACCGCCAATTTTTCCTTTGGTGCACTAGGGCGAATCATTTCTGCTCCAACGCGTACGAGAGCTCCAAAGGGTTTACCTCTACCTTCTTTTCCCGCTATACTTTCTAAATAAATAACGAAGAATATTCCTCCGACCGACGTGTGTCACACATATTAGCCACATCATATAAAATAGCTGTTGTTTCCCTCCATATCTGATAAATAGTGTGGACCAATGTTCGGCCCGTTAAGAAAATATAGCCCACCGAAATTATGTTCAAGTATTATTTTATTATTCATTATTTATTCGTAAACCCACTGCGTTACCCGAGTGTCTTTAATCGCCGTAACTCATACCGTCCCCAACAACTATAACCGGCCACCAACCAGAGTTACTCAACCAGCGAAAACCAACCATGGTTCTCTTATCCGACATTTGCGATTTTACCGTGCCAATTCGATTGCAAACTTAAACCGTCTTCGGGTATCACATTCGTCTATTTCTGGGCACTTGCGAACATGATTCCATCCCGATCTAATCCGCTCTGCTTTTGGGTTCAAGATTCGAAACTGTAATTACAGGAAAACAACAGTATTTGACCTCAATTCATTGGATCAAACTTGAATTTGTTCACCAAGTTTCTCAAACTACCCACTTTTTCTGAGACGACCTAGATTCCCTTCCCACGCGTCGTCCACTCTCGGCTGAACAGGCACGTCAGCGCGTGTCTTTGGGGGATGGGTCCACTTGGGACCACTTCTACATCTCTCTCCTCAGTCTTTCTCTCTCCCACACTCAGGGCGATTTCGGTCCTCCAAACTCAAAAGTAGCCTTCTCTCTCCTGCTTTCCCAATTTAAACATACACCCACCTACTTTGCCTATTTGTAACTTGAAACTACCTACATCCCTAACTATCCCTTATTCAATCATATTGTTCTCTTCCTCACCTTTTCTGAAATCAAAATAGAAACCACAATATCAGTTCTCTCTCGCATGCCTCCATGGCTCCATAGGAAGTCTCTCGCACGCCTCCGGCGAAGACGCGGGGAAGAGAGGACGAAGAAGAGGAGCTTCCGGTTTCTGCATCCTCTACAGGTTTAACCGGAGCAGATGGTTCAGTTGATTCGGGTCAATGGATTTTCGGTTTAGTCGGGCTCTGCAAAGCGGGAAAGTGGATCAGGAACGGAACCAAGTATCGATGCAATCGACGTGAAAAGTGTGGCCACATTTCGAGAGAAGACGGCCTTTGTCATCTTTCTCAATCTCCGACAAGCAAACGGAGCACTCCTCTAATGGTGATTGGTGAGTCTTGGAGGAATAAACAAAGATCAGAATCTTCTTGAGAACCACCGGATCAAAAAGGGTGTAGGAGATGCTCGGGTTTCGGGAGATTGTACGGAGGTGAGCACGAATCTTGCGTCGAATGCGAAGGTTTTAACGACAGAATAACCATATGGCATTGCTGTGGAAGCAGAGGATCATAATCACGACAACAAATAAGATGATTACGGAGGAGAGGATGATTTTGCCGTTTAGAACATAGCCTGAGGCGCGTGATGGAGATTTAGATCAGTAGAGGAAGAGAGAGAGAAGATCGGAGTGTTTATGCAGAAGGAAACAAGATTATATTAAAAATAAACATCGAGCATGGCCAAAGGCCATAGAGAACTGGACGACAAAATTAAACGGGAGTTTGATTATAAATCTGCAAAAGGTTAGACCAAACAGATTGGAAAAGTGATCGGGACTAGACTAAGACGTAATAGAAGCCGGACATAGTTGGAAGCCGATTAATCCGTATGAAAACTGGTAACAAAATTATGGGCTGAATCGATACAACATTCAAACAAAAATCTATAGTTAGAATTTGAAAATTCTTACTCAAATAATCAACAAATGGCAACCAGCAAAAGATAAATGAGTGGATGAATCCTATGAGATTAATCCAATTATTTTGAATCAGGTAGAGGAAAGGGAAAGGAAAGTGAACAAATAAAAGACGGATGTCTTTATTTCTTTATTTTTTATTTTGTAAGAAATGAAAAAATCACAGTATTTTTTTTTTTTTTTGGTAATGACAGTATTATTTTCTTTTAGAAGTCGGCTGTTCTTTCAAAGACAACACAAAACCACATCAGAAAAAGAGAACAAACACGCGCTACTAGAGCGCGGGCTAACTACTAGTTTAATTTCATAATCTAAGAGCAATTTTTTCGGTTTCCGCCATAACCAAATCAAACCGAAGCAAGCTATAGCCACACGCAAACCGGTTCAGAGCATAGCCAATACAGTACTCGTCATAAACAATCCTGTGTGGAATCCGTACTATGGCGATAAATGCAATCATGTGTTGAACCAATCTGTCTCATATGCAACTGCATGTATGATCTCTGCACTTGAGCTTTCATCTCTCACATTTATTATACTTTTTTTATTTCATCTAATTCGACGCTTGATTTGATCCTCTTCCCGATGAACAAATGCTTCATTGAAAGAATTAACTATATTTATGCATCTTATCTTATTTACATTTAGTTCATAAACTATGATATAAGTAGTAATTAAGTATACATGATTTTTAATGGTGATCATCAGTTTAGCATTATTATCAATATTTTAAAACAATGATCATCTTCATGACCGACCAATTCGTAAAGTTGAACAACTAAAGAAGTGGCAAACTTAATAGAGAGGAATGTGAGTTTTCATAAAGCTCCTGCATGGAAAAATTTACAGATTGCTACACCTAAACACTTCCCACACCACAACACAGTCCCATCTCAAATTTCAATATTCGTTGGATCATAGACAAAGAAAATAATCAAACAGATGAAAATTAATCTTACTTTTGTAAGCTCTCTACAATTTCAGTTTCTATCAAGACGAGCAACATCCACCTTTCTTGGACTCACCTTGCGCCTCTGATGGAATCACAAGTTTCTTGCCATTGCTTAGTGATGCAGGATCTTGCTTGTTTAGCTCCTGCGAGCTCATCACTTTCCTGCTCAGAATGTTGTATATCTCCTTCACAACCGTCTCAAATGCAGCTGCCACGTTTGATGAATCCAGAGCCGATGTCTCCATAAAGAAAAGTCCTTGCGCTTCCGCCAACGCCTTCCCTTCCGCTGTTGAGACTTCTCTTATGTCCTTCAGATCCGACTTGTTGCCCACCAGGATCGTCACAACGTTCATATCAGAATGTGCTGCAACAGTTTCATCATAAGCATTTTCATTGAGAGATAATTGTTTTAGTAAAAAAGATAAGAAAGAAAGAACCGAGATTTTGCTGTTCTTACTGTGAAGTTCGTTTAGCCATCTACCAATGCTGTGAAAAGTCTGCCGTCTGCTGATGTCATAAACAAGAAGAGCTCCAACTGCACCTCTGTAATACGCAGAAGTGACTGCTCTGAAACGTTCTTGACCTGCTGTGTCCCATATTTGTGCTTTGATCTCCTTTCCGTTAATATCCATCTTCTGCGTCTGAAACTCCACTCCAATCGTCGACTTTGAATTGGGATAGAACTCATCCCTCGCAAATCTTGCAAGCAAATTTGATTTCCCGACTGCAGAATCACCGATCAGCACAATCTTAAAGAGGTAGTCTTCACTCTTGTTGTCGTCCTCGGAATAAAAAGCCATCTCTTTGTTACGCTGGGAAACCACTTCTATAGAGGCATATTACCACTGGCTTTTAGCGCCGTCTACAAAAGCTATGAACAAAACAAAGTGCTCAAGTAAGGGAGAGTGAAGACAAGAATGAGTAAACTGGCAAAGGAAACAGTGAGATCTAAGAGTTAACATAGCAGAAACAAGAGAATCTTTAAGATCACATGTCTACTCAGTTAGCTTCCTAAAAGGTTCTGTGGAACAAAGTTAACTAAATTTATAAACAATATCAGCTCTCAACCACCCTAGAAAATGTATCACAAGCGAAAGGCTCAGCAAATAAATGCATTGTGGATCTAACTTAAGTAAGGAACCAACAAATATAAGATACCTCTTCTGAAAGCAGGATATGACCCTCTAAGAACACCTCCAAATAATAGTGTTATGCATGCTCAGTTGGATGTGTACGCCTATATAATATATAGAACAAGCAAAACCAAATTTAGTTGTGATCTCACCCTGATAATCTAAGCTACAGTCGGTGGATAATAACTATTCACAAAGCAAGAAAGCCTCCAATAAGAAATCAAGAAAATATTCTCTCTATCAAAAAGAAAAATCAGAATTCAGACAGAAAATAAAAAAAGATAAACGCGGGACATATCCAACCAACACTACTCATCAGTGGATCACACAAAGTGCAACTAAACACTGATTGAAATTCCTAGTCTTGTCCCAGGATAATTTGGTAAATGATTGTTGCAGCTTTACTTTCTGCGTCAATATGCATCTTTACATACGTGATGGGACAATGAGGGTAGGCCACATTTCTGAGATATTTGTAACAAAGAGAATTATAGACAGAGATCAAAAAATTTCAGCTAAAGAAACTAAACCCAAGTAAGAAACCATTCCGCTGCAAAGAAGGAGGAGTCAAGAGAACATTTAACCAAACAGAGCGTGTGATAGAAACAAAATTCCAATGTTACCAGAGAGATCACAAGACATTACCATCCAAAACGTAAGAGTAAGACTACGCAAACTAAAATAAACGCTGATCATAGCAAATTTGGAAACTCCGAAGACCAATTTTGCATAACAGAAGAGAAGAAGAAAAAAAAATACACATATACAGGAATAATCAAATGGAGAAATGGGGGAAAACCTTTTTTTCTCGGGAATTTGAGGGAATTGCTGAGGGAAACATGATAATCTTGTAAAAGCTACAACAATATAAGGAATTGGGTGAATGAAGAAATGGATCCGAAGAGGAAAAACGAAATATGATCCCGAAATGGAATCGATCCGGGTAAGGAAACGGAGGGATTCGCTTCTGCTGGGAAATCAAAGAGAGACTTGTTGGCAATAACTCTGGGAGGGAGAGAGAGAGAGAGACCGGAAAACAAACCAATCACATTTCGGTTCGGATTCCGTAATAACTGGGCTGCGAAGAAAAATCATTTTGAGCCTTCAGTGGACCCATTTCACCTATTATATCATAGGCCCTAATGTTTAAAAAATATAACAATACTAACTTTGTCAATTCTTTGAAGAAACTCTTTGAATTTTCAAGTGCGTCTTTGTACGGACCGGAACATAGAAACTAGAATCAATTTCAGTAGTGTTGAAGAATAGAAAGCAATGTATAACTCTTAATGCTCCACCATGATTCAGCACCTTTCCTACTCTTTTCATGTCACGAAACCTCCATGATTCAGCACCTTTCATGTGTGAAAATGAGACAATTTTGATTCCTTTCTAATTTCGTGTTGAAATCCATGAAGTCGTTCAATTTCTTCATCGATTTCGTGTCTGAAGCGAAGAGACAACTTCTTTTCTCACCGAATCGATACCAAACTTGAAACTTGCATGATTCTGAATCATTGATTCAGCACCACGATGAGTCCATTGATTATAATCGTACCTCATGCAGCTTTGCCGAGCTTCTCCGTTGATGAGTCTCCATTTTTATATTTTTTTTCCTTTTATCTCTCTTCGAATCCCGACTGACTAAGTGATCATGCTCATGTTTTTGCAGGAATTGGCTGGTTTCAGCGTCACAAATTCAATGACTGAGGTAAATTATTTGCTACTATTGTTTTAATTTGGGATTCCAAGGACCAATTTTGAGTTAAAAAGCTCGAAACTTTTGTTATAATGGTGAACAGAATGAAGCTCAAAGCTCATTTCGATAAATGTGTAATCTTGAGCTCAGCTCATTGTTCAAACCATTCATAAGATGAGTATCATTAGACCAAAGCACAAATCACTTAAGAGGATTGTGACCTTTATGTTGAGTAAATTCTTTTTTGTTTTCTTTACATGGGATTGTGTTGCTGAGTTTATGATGGGATTACAGTAGATGTTAATTTAGTTTTGTGTGTTTTGTTTTGTAGCAAGAAGATGAAACAAAGGCTAAGATAGCAGTTGCTAAAGGTCTTCTCTTTTGCTTGCTAAAGAAGTAGAAACTGGGAGAAAGCTGCAGAACTGGAAGATTTCTCTCCATCTTCCATGATAAACAACACTGATGTACGTTAACCAATACTTTCCTTAATAAACTAAATGCTTGTAGCAAGTTTTGTTGTTCATAGATTAGTTTGAGTGTTTCTTTTTTTTGGTAGCTTCCATGCAGAATTCTTGAGCTAATACTTAGAGAACTTGGATTTAGCCTATTGAGTTGTTTGGTCATGATGTTATGGTTTAGGCTGAAGGTCTTGTTGAAATGTTGCAGCTGCTCTATTGTTGGATGTTGTGTAACTTACAGCCTGTTTTGGTCAAGCTTTATGTAGCAGATTTTAACATGTTAAAAATGATAAAGAAGAAATACAAAATTGAGGACCAACATGTAATAATTGCAGAAACCTGTCATCAAATGGATGTTGCAGGTTTTTCTTGCATTTTTTCTCTTTCTCTGTTTCTCGTTGATTTAACTTGTATGTTCATATGATTACCAGATAAATCAGATTATTCTTTCAGAACAGTCACTAGAAAACTCTATTGTTCATTCAGACTGTCGATCTATTACCACATTTATCCTTATGTGAGATATACATGTTCTGTTTTGCCTCAGTTTTCTCTAATTCATGATCTGACCAAAACCTTTTTAGTTAAGCATGATCAAGAAATCTTGCTATGTTTTTTACATTATTTTCTCTTCTCTTAAGAATTTCATCTAGCTTGTTATTAGACTATCAAGACTTCAGAAGAATGTGAATATTTTATATAAAAAATATTGTAATTCAATATTTATAAACCCTTTGAACCAGCTAGAATCACTAACAGTACTACGTAAACCCTAAAATTAATAATCCTATCTTTTTAACTTGCGAACTGAAGTTAACGAGTAACGACAGCCTTGTGAGGTTTTGACTGAATCACTAAAGAGAGGCATAGTTTTGACTTCATAGCTTTCAGTGATTCAGCTTACAGCAGGAAGACTTTTGCAAAAGACAATTATGTCTTATTCTGACATGATAAATATTTCTCGTTATCATATCATTATTTCTATGTTTAACTGTGATATCAAATATAACCATGGTTTTAATTATGATCTTCGCATTTTAGTCACAGGACTCGGCTTACTACCGTGGCTTATCATCAATTGACTTGGAGTCTCAGGAGTTGGCATCAAGATTAAGTGCCGAAGAAGAAGATGGTAGAAACATGGAATCAACACAAGATAGACAACCAGATGCAGTAAATGTTAACGAAAGAAGGTGCATTGAAGATGTATCTGATGAAGCAGAGGAGATCACCCCTGAACGGATACAGAGAGGGATTAGAGATGATGGTATCGGAAGAGCACCTCAAAGTCAGAGTAGGAGAAATGTGTCTCAGGCTCCTTCTGATGGTGGAAATGGGAAAGCAACACAGGAAAAGAGTAGGAAAAAAGTGGTTGAGATTCAGGATGGGATCGCTGGAAGGAAGAAGAATATGTTTCAAACTCAGTCAAGCAATCCGAGTAAGAAACAGAAAAAAAACTGTTGAGGTTGAAGATGAATCAAATGTCGATGGCTCCAATGTCGATGGCAAAGACAACGCATCCAGTCGGAAAGAAAAAAATCCAAGGCAATACTCAAGAGCTTTGAAGGTTTTTGACATCATAAAGAAGCCAGACGGGACAACAAAGGCTCAGTGCAAACATTGCAAGCAAGAAAATGCGCATGACTCGCACAAGACCGGTACCATGCATCTTCTGCGCCATATGGACAAATGCAATTTGATACTTAAAAATGGTGATGTACGTCAAATGTTGGTGAATGCAGAGGCAAAATTGCAAGCACGAAAGATTGATCAATCTGATTTTTGCTTGATGGTAGCTAAGTCCATAATTCAGCATGATTTGCCTTTTGCATACGTTGAGTAGGAGAAGGTGAGAGCAGTTTGGAAGTACTTGAATCCTGATATGGAGTGTTACACTCGTAACACAGCAGCCAAAGATGTTTACAGGTTCTATCTAAATGAGGCAGAGAACTTGAAGAAGGAGCTAGTTAGTCTCCCTGGCCAAATTAGCTTCACATCGACGGCTACATGTCTTTGACAGCACACTATGTAGACAAAAACTTGAAATTGAAAAGTAATATTCTCTCATTTGTTTTCTATTAAGCCTCCACATACAGGTATTGATTGTGGACTTAAGCTGCTTGAGAAATGAACTCAATGGGGAGTCGATAAAAATGTTTTCTCAATCGCACTAGACAATGCCAGCAGTAATGACACAATGCAAGACTTTCTGAAAAATCAGTTGATGTTGCGTGAGGATTTGTTGTGCAATGGAGATTTTTTCCATGTTAGATGTTCATCCATATATTGAATCTGATTGTTCATGATGGCCTCAAAGTCATTGGCAATTCCTAGCAGAGACGGTATCAAATATGTGACAACCTCTGAAGCTCGGAAGATAATGTTTGGAAGATGTGTTCAATCTGTCAAGTGTGAATCGAAGGCTGGTTTGGGATTGGATGTCATAATAAGATGGAATTCAACATACAAGATGCTTGCAAAGGCTGTTGAGTATCGTGATGCTTTTAACTATCTTCACCACGTGGATGGGAGAAACTTCAAGGTTAATCCTTCAGCAGAGGAATGGGATCGACTAAAGCAATTGAATGAATTTTTACAACCATTTGATGAGATCACACAGTTATGTCAGGTTCGACATATCCAACTTCAAATATGTATTTCATGCAGGTTTGGAAGATCCAGTGTTAGCTTAAAATGAATGAAATGAGTCCAGATGAAGTTGTCAGAGAAATTATCAAACCCATGAAAGAGAAGTATGATAAATACTAGGAAGAAGTGAGTGATATTTTTGAAATTTCAAGTGTCCTTGATCCAAGGTTTAAGCTTTCTCTTGTGGAGTTATGTTTCTCAACAATTGATAGAGTATCTTGCCAAGGAAAGATGGATCGCTTGCGCGATAAAATGCGTAAGCTTTTTGAATCATATGAGCCAAGAACAACCTCACCACCTACACAGACTTGGGAAAGTGAAAATCAAAACGAAAAATGGTGGAATTCCTAGCCTATCTTAGCCTATAGAAAGACGCATGTTTCTGTTAATGGGAAGTCTAAACTCGAAATTTATCTAGATGAACCAGTACTAGACATGGCAAATCATGCTAGCATGGACATAGTAGATTATTGGAAAGAAAATGCTCAAAGATATGGTCAATTGTCTTCAATGGCTGCTGATCTGATCAGCATTCCTATCACAAACGTTGCTTCGGAATCATCTTTCAGCATTGGATCTCGAGTTTTGAACAATTATAGAAGCTCACTTCTTCCAAAAAATGTGCACGCTTTGATCTGCAGCCGCAATTGGTTGAAAGGTTATGAATCTCATGAGAATGGTAAGTTAGTAATACAGTAGAACCTCTATAAAATAATACTCGATAAAATAATAAACACTATAAGATAATAAATTTCTCCGGTCCCAACTCGGGCCAATGTAAAAAATAGCAAAATGCGATAAGATAATAATATTTTTGAAACTCAACAATAAGCTAAAATAATAATTATAAAACTTAGGCATATATATTTAAGGGAATTTAGTAAAATATGACTCCAATGTAGTTTATCTTTTCTGAAAGTTGGATTCTCGTTGGAGCTCATCTCGAATGTTTCTTATTGCATCAACAATTTTTGGTGGTGTGTTCTCAACATGCAGCCAAAAGTTGTGAAGAGTTATTGAAACCACAATCACTTTCTTACGTAAAAAATATAAGGAAAATTTGAATAAAAAAAAAACTGAAAAAATATATAAAGTTTCTTGTTTTTGATAGAATATTTCTTTAAGATAATAATTATTATTTTATCGATAAAAAAATAACTGTATAAGATAATAAATTTTCAAAGTCCCAACATTGTTATTTTATAAAGGTTTTACTGTAATTGTCATCTAAAACAGCAATCTAGTTCTCAAACTAAGTGTTAAAACAGAGTAATGACCAATGTTTTTAAAACCGGACTGGAGGACGAACCGGAAAGACCTTTGGGTCACGGATCAACATGGTCCAACCGGTTCAACCGGGTTTTCAATATATATTTTATTTTATTAAATATATATGTATATAGATATATATATATGGCAATTAATTTTTATGTGTATATTAGCTATCAATGTGATTGCCACTTAATACTTTCCAATAAAAATAAATCAAAGAAACAGAAACTACATTTCTCACAAAACCCTACTTCTCTTCGTCCTTAACGGCCGCCCATCCCATCTCTTTCTTCTCCTTCCTTAGTTCCTTCTTTCTCTTTACTGAAGTATTTTAAAACTTTATTTTTTTCCCTTAGATACGATTTATTTTGTTTTTGTTCCTATTATTGTATCGAATCAGAGAAGGGAAAATGAACACAAAAAACAATGTAACTATGAAAACACACAAAAATTTGATTAACATTAAGCAGGTTCGATCAAACTTCGAATTGACAAAAAGAATCAGGTTTCAAGAGTGTATAAAAATAAGCCGGGTTTACTAATTCAATTGAACCGGCCGGTTTCCGGGGTTTCACCGGGTTTCTGCTGGTTTTTTTAGGCCAATTACATTTCCGTTTTTTTATTAAAATCAAACCGGGATAGGCACCGGTTCCCGGTTAAACCGGTCCGGTCTGATTTTTAAATCATTGGTAATAACTTTGAATTTTTTTTTACATGTAAAGGAGGATGAGAAGTTTGGTGAAGAAGATCTCGCTCCTTTCGAAATAGTATATGAAGATGATTGATATGTAGAATCAAACTGTTCTTGATTTTTTTTTTTATATGCTTTCTTGTTGCTTCTCAGACTTTTGTTTTCAGGTTGTTTTTTTTATTTTCTCTTGTTAAACTCCGGATGTTTCAGGTTTTGTTGGATGTTTATTTTAGTTTAATGCAAAATTTGTTGGTTTTGTTTTTATTATGTTTGATGATTTGCAGCAAGTTTTTTTTTTTTTTTTTCAGTTCATATATACAATGATGCAGGTTAGAGACAGAGATAATTCAGAAAAGTTCAGATTACCTCTGAACTATAAAAACTCAACAAGTACTTTAAGGTTGGCTCTGATTTTGCTAGAGCGTACTATGTTACTTATAAAGCAGAAGCTCACTTAAACAAGTTTCAAATGATAGAAACTTCATGAAGGAAATGCTTTCTAAGCAAAAGAATGATTCAGTGTCTCCAATAAAATTTCGTGGAGAACGAATAAGCAATGTTGGAGTAGAATACATTACGGAGTATGTCAAAGATATGGTTTTCTATTTCTATCGACTCTCACTTACTAGCAAGACTGGTTTCAGAATCTGCATGCTTGTGGCGAGTTTCTGATGGCCCAAACTTCCTGCTTTTGCAGTTGTTACTGATACTTCTTCTCTGATTACAAAGCCTGCGAGCTAAAATCAAAGTAGGTGATAAAGTAGCTGGAAGACATGGAAATAAAGGTATCATTTCAAAAATTTTGCCTAGACAGGATATGCCTTATTTACAAGACGGGAGACCCGTGGATATGGTGTTCAACCCATTAGGAGTACCCTCACGCATGAATGTAGGACAGATATTTGAATGCTCGCTTGGGTTAGCGGGAAGTCTGCTAGATAGACATTATCGAATAGCCCCTTTTGATGAGAGATATGAACAAGAGGCTTCGAGAAAATTGGTGTTTTCCGAATTATATGAAGCCAGTAAGCAAACAGCGAATCCCGCAAACCCACTAATATTATGAGGGGCAGGCTTGGGCCTAAGGTATTTGTTTGCAACCCGCAGTGGACTGACTCGCATGGATGTATAAAAAACAGGAAGCCGAATGGACAGATCCATGCGGATGCGGGCTGGCCTGATTGACAGCTCTAAAAATAATCATTGGAATGACAATAAACCTTTATAATAATGTGTAAAATCAATCATAAATTAATCAAATGTTTTTTTTTTTTTGAACAACTTCTCATTATGAACTTATTTCGTGGTTAAATAAGTAGAAAGGTGATAGCTCTTTGCCAAAGAGTAGAAGCAGCTTGTTGCATAAATGAAATACAAAACAATAAGAGTGGAAGCTTCTTCGAAAGGGCTTCTTAGATCGTTTTGAAACGAATCTCAAGTTCTTTTGCTATTAAAAGCGTGCGAACAAGACAAAGAGCTCGTGATGCTGTCAAGGCTGTTGAGGTTGTTGAGCTTTTGAAGTTGATCTCCATAAAGGAGAGGGGCGAGTTGAGAGATACGCCGGTAAGTTGGCAATACTCTACAACCGCAGATGTAGAGTTGGAGATATGTCTATAAGTTGACAATACTTTGAAACCCATGTCGGCAAAATCCGACGAATTCCCAGCAGATGATCCGGTATATTTGACAATAAATAATCTGAAATTGAGTCGATCGCTCCACAAATGCATGAAAGTGACGAAGCTTGAGCCAGAGATGACATACCATTTTAAGCAAAACATGGTTGAGAAATTGTCGTTGAAACTCGGTGTTGTATTGCTGCAAAAGGCAAAATGCGAGCTTGGATCCATCACAAGAATGGGATTGCTCGGAGGGGACGACCAGGGAAGAAGCTTGATCTTCTGACACTGCGCCGGAGATGAAACTCCAGCTGGCGAATCTATAAATTTGAAGATTTTGGGTTTGTCGTCAAGGATAATACTGTTGCCGAGAACAAGACCGGTGGTGACAGAAGCAATAGTGGAGGAAGGCGGCAGAAAAGCTTGCGGCGGAGGGTGAGCGAGGAACGGCGGGTCGAAAATCTCGATTTTTGAGAGCATGGGCGTGAGATTGACGATTCTGGCGGTGGCTTCAGCAGATCCATGACAGTCGGCTCCGGTGGGTTGCAGGAAGGAGGTGAGAGCTTCGTCCTCACAAACTCCATGTATTCCCTCGAGAAGAGCACCGGAGAAGAAGCTACACGGCTGCGAAATGAAACAGGTTGATGAGATCTCATCAGCTTAGGAGACACCGGCGGAATGAGAGAGACCCTTTTGCTTTAGCACTAACGGCTTTGGTAAGGTAGATGAGCGATTCCAGATCTTCGTCTTTAAAAGCTCTGTGAATCCCCATGTATCCACCACCGGAGAAGAGAGAGCACGACTGCAGAGCGAGGTGGAGAGATGAGATCTCATCGGAAGAGGAAACAAAGGTGGTGAGTGACTCAAAATCATCGAATTCCAAAGGAGAACCCCGGAAAGAGGAGGTGGTGCTCCGATTTCAGGCGGAGGATCTCCGGTGAAGAGGATCCATGCCGAAATCAGAGCAGAAAACAGAGGTTGACTATGCAACATATGATTACATGTATCATTGCTCTGTTTTCTTTTATCATTCATTGCTTTGTTTTCTTTTATCAATTAAAAAATTTCTAGCTTTAAACAGGGGTGTCAAATGAGTAACCCAACCTGACCTGACCCTAACTCATACGAGTTTTAGATTTATAAAGGTGGGGTCAAACCTAACCCATTTATTTTGTGGGTTATAATTCATTACCCAAACTCTAAAATGTTAGAACCGTTCAGTTAAATGGGTTAAACGAGTACTAATATATAGATATAATAAAATAATAAAAAAATTCAAAACATACTATTTATCATTATAAATTCAACAAAAAAATTGAAGTAAAAAGTACATAATAATGTTTGTGTGGTAAATAAGAAAATATACTTATAACTAGATAATAATAAAACCATAAAATAAAATATTTTGCACATTAATTTATGTATATTTTATTTTTAGTTTTAAACTTATGTATATTATACATCTTTATAAATTTTACATTTTTTGTAGTAAACTCATGGATAACCCACTACCAAATGGGTTTACCCGCTAACCTCATAGATTATTAGGGACAATCCGTTAAAACTCATTATATAGGTAAAAAAACTCTGCCCAAATATTTCATAGACCGGGTCGATCCCTGGCTAATTAACCCATTTGACACCCCTAGCTCTAAACTTATCAATCTCTACTAACATCCACAACAAGACATTCGAGAAACAAACCTAGACCCAAGTGGTTATGAAAACCATCCAAACAAAATTATCAGTCAAATCGAATTCTCCAATCCTAAAAACAAACCACGAAACATCAGCTTTCATCTTACTATCAATCGATCACGTCTCTTATACCACAATTTATATGAATTTAGCGACTTGTATCAAAAATCCCCAAAAGATTCATGAAAGTCAGAAACCTTTCTGTCTGAGACATAGAGAGACTCAATAGATATCAATTAGGTTAATTAACGTAGTTGTTTAATTAAAAAGAAGTACGAGATCGCAATAAGAATCCATAATCAAACCTGTTGAAGACAAAGCTTTTTTGCGATCCAATCAAACACTTAGCCAGAAAAGGAGAGTGCAATTGGAAGAAGCCTTAAGCTGGGCAGATTTTGATTTGAGATAAAAAAAAAAAAAAAAAAAATAGTACGAGAGAGAAGAGAGAGAAGAGAGAGAAGAGAGAGAATGAGATCGTGATCAAGAGAGAAATAGAGATCCAATTTTTAGTTTCAGCGACAGAGATGCAATCATATTAGATTTGGTTTAGTAATTGGGTTAAAATTGGTTAACCATGATTATCCACCAACCCATTACAAATCAATCCATTTCAATCCAACCCATTAGAATCCAAAAATTTTATCCATTAGGATTGATGGATTGGTTGGGTTGGATCGATCCATGAATTTGAATCCATTTTGACACCCCTATTTATCAGCTTTATGTTGTTGAATTTTGATATTAGGAAATTTATCACCCCGGTTATATTATTTATAAATTTATTGACTAAACATTATCTCTATTTTCAGCTATAATTTGCTTAGTTTGTAGTTTGGTGAACATAATTAAGGTGAAAATAATCATGCGACAAAATAATAAGGCAAGAAGCCAAGAGTCATGTTTTAGTTATACATGAGTAGAGTCAACGTAGATTTTGTTGAGGAAAAGGAAATAATAAACATGAGTGAAATACTATCATTTTATCTTAAGAGTGTATTATTTGTATATCGTATCGTTGCTTTTGTACATAAGAAATATAGAAATGTATTAAACATAGATTTTGATTATAAGGTTTTTTAATTGGAGTGTTGATGGTTTACTCATAGTAACAAAACAATCAAAGAAGAGTTAGAGAATTTTATACCAAATAGATAAAAATAGTGAAGATTGTACGAAAGCTACTTAGGAAAAGTTAGGCTAAAAAATCCTAAGCTTGCAGTATCACTACCGTTTCGACTGCGACAGACTCACTGCAGTCTTTGCCACTTGAAGAGTTGAAGTACATATACAACTCCAGAATACATGAAAATGTCACTTCTCGGAGACTACTTTTTCTATGTCGGATTATTTTCTAAATGACTGCCTTTCTGAATCTACAAATATTCCCCTATCATGACTTTCCAAGATCAGAAACTAAATTCGTAGGAAAATATAGAAATGATACAGATAAATTGGAGTGTTGTAAAACTTGATAGTGTAAGTTCTATGGTGGGAAATAATCGACTCACCAGCCAGCCTACAATATATCCTTTGGATCACTAAGGCAAATGGAAGAAACATAATAACGGGAAAATGCCACTGTCGTTGAGAACCATAGTCTCAATAATTAAACTCTTAAACTGTTAAGAATTTGATTTCTCCGAGTCTTACTTTCTCTCTCCCCTTCTCCTTCTCCTCGACACTCTAAATTTTCCAATTACGACGAATCCAACATCCCTCAGCAGACCGGATCTCCCCAATTTTGATAACAGATTCCGCCGTTTGGAAATCTCCTATGACTCATCAGCCGACCTTTCAATCGGGCAATGATCTCAGAATTTAATATGCAAAGAAGTGTATGATAAGGCGAAATCAAAGAGCTGAGAAGATGATGATACCTCTTCGTGAAGACTAACGTCGAGCGACCGGAGAGTTCATCGATCGAGACTATACAGAGGGTGGAATGACGGAAAGTAAAGCTTGGGAGTGGACCTGATTTGAGGAGTAAATAGAGCGTAATAGATAATATGAAGATATATTATCGTTACAAAATTGAGAATTGGAAGCGTTTGAGGTGAGGTGCGGCTCAGAATCCAGAAGATGGAAGTAAATTAAACTTTTTAGCTAATGTCACGTGGCGACATGAGAGAATCCACAAACCAACACCTCGTCGTTGCAGAATTGGCCGTCGATTTTATCAAGAACTTGGAAAGGCAGTGGTTGGAGAGAAGGAGAAAGAGCTTTTGATAGATTTCGGAGTGTGTTTCGAAATGATTGGCCATCTCATGGGTTGAAGAGTGGCGGATTTTATAGGGATAAATGAGACGATTCATGTAAGACCATCTCAACCCCTCATGCCATATGTTATTGCAAATGGCAAAAATATAGCAATAGCATTGGGTTTCTCTCCAACCCCTCATGCCATATATCATGCTATAATTTTTTTCCAACTTATTATTAATTGTTAAAACTACTTGATTTCTTCAAATTTTACAAAGTGAATCATTTGTTTTTCTTTTTTTGCAAAAACAACCAGAATTATATTTTTTTTTATTATTATAATATTAAAACAAAATACATCATATTACATAAAAATTATAGAAAACAAAGATTTTAACCTATTGTTTTATGTTTTTTGAATTTCAGTATTTTTAAAAATAAAATTTTAAGTTTATTATGGTTATGTTTTTATATTTCTATGAAATAAATATTATTTATATTTTGAAAAAGTTATGAGTATTGTTTATTTATTTAAATAAATCATAATCAATATAATTAAACTGTTAAATTAAAAGTAATTACAAATTGAAGGACTATTTTATAAATAAAAAAGTTCAATGGCAAAATAGCATATTGCATAATCTCATGCCAAATATAGAAGCAAAAATAGCATGATGCTATTTTGCAATAGCATATGCAATTGGGTTGGAGCAAAAATTATGGCAAAATAGCATATATGTCATATTTAGCATGGGGTTGGAGATGCTCTAAGTGGGAGAAGTTTGTGAGGATTGCTCATGGGAGAAGATGAGCTGCAGAATCAAGATGGATCCACTCGCTTGTAAGTTTGTGGGTTTTATAGATCCCAGAGCGACGATTCCGGCTAGAAGGGCCATAAATTCGAAAGAGGGGGAGGCGAATCGATTCGGCTCTAAACCTGCGTGTGTTACCAAATGGAGATAACGACACTTTAATGCTTAAAAGTATGTTTATTGGTGAAACCCAAAATGTCTCTTAGGATTATAATAATAATATATTTACGTTAAGAGACGTTTTTGAGAAACTTATGTTTTCGCATCAATTATTGGTAAAGTTTCTTAAGTGCGTTCTTAATTTTTTTTTGTTGAATTATATTTTTTTAACATTCTTCAATCACTTCACAAGTATTCTCGCTTCACTTTCCTCATCATGTACCGTGCAAGAAATTCGTTGTGCTTGCTCACTCCTTGGATCTCCAAATACTTGTAGCATAATTTAGTCAGATTCTCATCCAAGTCTCTACAAAAAAGGCAATTAAAGACAAGAACATCAAAACCTTGCTACTCATATCTATAAAGTTTCTTAGGACCATCATCATCCTCATCATCGGACATTCAGAACCATTCAGACATTCCAAAGAAGATGACTTTGATGGGATTCTAGAAGATCCCGCTTGAGGAACGACACCATAAGAGTTATTCTTCCACCACGGCTCTGGATACATCATCGCTTGCTGATTAGACAATACTACAATGAGGGATTTGTGTGGCTAACAACTATAGATCATGAACAGCCTCAACAGGTCAATTTCATTGTACAGTCTCAACAGATCATGAACCTACACAAATCATCAGCATAATCACATCACATGTCAGAGATTAAAGACGCAAGAAACATATACTCTGTTTTATATGATATAGAAGCTACTACCTCTACAACGACTTGGAAAGACATGGAACACAATGAGAGGATGGCAAAAATCACACTAGAATAAAAATCACAACTGCAGTCTACAGGTTCTTGGATTTGTGGTCTTTTAAGTGTGTTATGAAAGGACCTAAAGAGTATTTTACAGGTTCTCTAAGTAGATGGTCATGTGAATGAGAATTTCTCAATTCACCAAGGAACTTCTTTGATCGCTGAGTAATATCCATGTACAGAAGAAATCATTGAGAAATGATTATTTGCGACACTGAGAAGAGACGACGGAATCATGTGACGAGACAATCATGTGGCAACCGTCGATAGCTACACACGCGGCCGCTCCGATTACCATTACCAGTTTCATCAGCTTCTATAGTTCTATTAATCAATGCCATAATCATCAACATGATCATAAAGGTTGTAGCTTTCAGACAATCCCATCTTTTTCACCAGATGCTCATCCCCTGAAAACACAAATCACAACATATTCTCTTATTATTGTACATACACAACTAAAAAAGTGGATTCTCAAGCTCAATTGGAAGATTTCGAGGTGGATTCTTAAACATATTCTGCAATTCGGAGGTGTATTCTTAAACATATTCTACAAAATAAAAATACCCTTTGATTTCGAGGTCTATTCTTAAACATATTGTATGGTTATCACGGTTAAGGTTATTTAACCACCGGATACGGTTAGAAATTTTGTTAACCTTAACCTTAACCATTTAACATACGGTTAATACGGTTATGGTTAAATATCAATCCGGTTAGTACGGTTACGGTTACGGTTACGGTTAGTTACGGTTATAATTATAATACGGTTAATATTACGGTTTATGATTAAATAAATATTATAAAAAAACAGAATAATGTAAAAATTTACACTAACATATATGAAAGAGATAAATTAAAACATAATTATAAATGTATATAAAACTTTGAAAGAAAAATGAATTATTCATGTGAGAATTATTTATTACAATAATAAAGTTTAAAAAAATATTAGTCACTGTCTTCGGATCTCACTGAAGATACATCACTATCAAAATCTTCTAATTCTTCTTCATTGTCTCGGATGTATTCTTGTTGTCTATATTGAGCTCTGGTCCAATCATCAAGACATGCTTGAGCTTCGAGAGAATCTGGACTCATTCTTGATCGAGTTTCGTCTAAAATTTGACCTCCCATGCTAAAAGCCCGTTCCACAGAAACTGTAGAAACTGGTGAAGAGAAAATGTCCTTTGCTATCATAGCTAAAATGGGATAATGAGATTGATGATACTTCCACCACTGAATGACTTGAAAGTTATTACCTGCATCTGCATCACTAAACTCAAAGTTAGTAGATAAATATTTTTCAAGTTCAGAATTATTACCTTGTGATGGTCGTTGTCGTTTCTGTCTCCGCATCCTTTCTGCAAGACTTAGTGAAGATGTTGAGGACATGTCATTTTGTAGAGATGATTCATCCATTTGTGGTGCCAGATGCTTATATACTCTATAATATTCATCATACAAAGTCTCTATATCTTTTTTAGAATTTGAAATAATGTTTGGAATATTAATGCTTTCAGACAAATGCAATAACTCATAATATGTAGATAAATATTCATTTAAACCATCCAATTTAGTTCTAGGATCAAAAATAGATGCAAGCAAATTAAGAGGTGGAATTTCTTTATAATATTTTAACCATTTTTCTTTCATACTCTTAATACATGATGACAAAACAATATCATGTTCATGTGCATGCATCACATCAGCAATATTAACACATTCATATAAAAGCAAATGAGCAGTAGGATAATAAACACCAGATAATAAATATGTTGCATCATTAAAACATTTTAATAATTTTAAAAGTGCAGCACATTCGTCCCAATGAGTAGGCCACAAAGTTAAAGAAATACATTTTTGTTGAATAAAACTACATAATAAATCCTTATAACCAATTGAATCTACAAGCATATCATAAGTTGAATTCCAACGGGTAGGGACATCACGAGAAAACCTTTTGGGAGATGCATTATGAGTTTTACAAAATGAAAACCATTGTTTCATTAATTGTGGATGCCCCCACAAATAATTTAAAGCATTTTTTATTGGTGCAATAATATTACTTTGAGAAACTAATAAACCATCTTGAACACATAAATTCAAAACATGACAAATACATCGAACATGAAAATACTTTCCACCTAAAATAGGATTACAATTATTTATTAATTCATCAAGTGAAGCTGTATTAGCTGATGCATTATCAAATGAAATAGAAAATATTTTGGATGTTAAATTATATTCTTCTAAAATAACTTTTATTAATTTAAAAATATTATTAGCTGTATGTCTTTCATCAAAAACTCGAAAAGCAATAATTCTTTTTTGAATATTTCAATCACTATCAATCCAATGACATGTAATACCCATATAATAATGAATTTGCCAATGATCACTCCAAATATCACAGCATATTGAAACTTTATTATGAAAACTAGAAAATAAGTTTTGTAAATCTTTTTTTGATTTCCGATAAAGTGATTTTAAAGTACGAGTAAGAGTAGTACGGGGAACTCTTTTAGCTTGAGGATTTAAAGCATTTTTGCAATAATTATTAAAACCCAGTTTTTCACCAAAGCTAAATGAAAGATGGTCAACTGCAACACATTTTGCTAATTCCTCTCTATTTTTTTTATCTGAATAACGAAAAGATGAAAGATTAGAAGAACTAGCATGAGGATCTTGGTTGGTTTCTAAACCAAATTTTTCAGGATGAGTCTTTTTCAAATGATATTTATATGAACCATACCCTGAACCCGATTTCCAAAAAAACTTTTTGTCGCAATAGTTACAACATGCTTTCATTATACCATTAATTTTTTCTTTTCGAAAGTGTACCTTAAAAACCTCGGAAGCATTCAAACGTTGTCTCTCCACGTTTATGCTAGCTTGTTCCTGAGTTGCACTTTCCTGAGTATTGATGGTTGGTATGGCAGCACCTTCTCTCTCAACGTCCACATTTGAAAAAAATGAACCTGAAGACATTGTTAATAGCAAGAAAAAAAAGCAGAGTCGAGAATAATAAGAGATAATAGTAAATATTTGTTGTGATTGTGAGATCAGTTTACTTAGCTTACATGCATGCACACATATTTATAATGTTGGTTACGTGGTTACTACAAAGGTGGACAACGTCTTTATTTGTTACTAAAAAGGTGGAAACAAACTTGATAAAATCTTTTGGAAAATTTCAAAACAATTTGAATCGGAACGGCCCTCTAACCATGTCAAAATCATTTTTATCTAATAATCTTATTACTTAACGGCTATACTATATTTTATATTTTAATTAGATTTTACTTTTTGAATTTAACTAAAACTTATCACAATATAATATTCAAGTTTATTTTTATATTTAATATAATTTCTCCATGTCATAGCTAATTTTTTTATTTATTTAATATAATATTTTAGACGGTTACGGTTAAAATTAAACGGTTTAACCTTGCGGTTAACCAACGGTTTTTATACAATTACGGTTAAATAGCGGTTACGGTTAATAATTTTTTTAACCATAACTAATATTTTTTTACGGTTGACGGTTACGGTTTTAACCAATTTATACGGTTACGGTCCGGTTACGTTTAAAAACGGTACGGTTACGGTCCGAAATACGGTTACGGTTTGATTTTGGTCATGCCTAGATTACATGGGCTTATTTGGGTGGTTTTATGCTACGTGGCAGTTTTAAAGACGCTGGTGACATAGCAATTTAAAGAGCTCTCTCAGAAAAGTGATGTGAGAGGCCCTAGACAGCTACTTTAATGTATTATAGATATTAGATACATTCGGGTTTCCACATATATTGCTAAATTAATGTTAGTAATTGTGAAGTTGAACGGCTCTTGAAGCCTTGATTCTCTTTACACCTTCACCACGTATACATGTGAACCATAACAAAGCCATTTTTATTTCATCAACAGTGAATAGTGTACAAGTAAATACACAAATCAAATAAATATCTTGTCTCTGTGTGTGTAAGAGAAAGTGAGAAACAGATTTGTTACCTAACAAAAAAACAAAACAACAGACTTCGATGATGTTTCAAAAATGTTTGTTTAAAAAGGGAAGGTAAGGATGATTTCAGTTGGTTGGTTTCAAGCAAGATCCCGGGGCTCAAGGGCTGCGATTTCTCTCAAAACCTGACTTTTGTCTGCTTCAAACCTCTCGTCGTCTGCCAACAAGAACAAAGCATGAGGAAGAGAAAGACCAGACACAAGCGCGTCACGCAAGCAAGAGGAGTTTTCATACCTTTGTCTGGTTTCAAATCAGCCAACAATCTCAGAAGCTTGCTTCTGTTTGCCAGCAGAATGTTGATTATGTCTGCAGGCTTGTTTTGGTTCGCTGCAAACAGCTGTACAAGAGTGATGGTAATCTCAGACCGATATTTCAACAAGCAGATTATGCTCCGCTTCTTAAGGATAATAAGACATATACCTTGAAAACATGGAATGCTTCTATCTGGATGCTCTTGCTTGACTCCTGTAATGCAAAGGGATTGAGTTTATTTCCCAATATACTATTATAAACAAGAAGACAAGATTTGAGGAGGGTGGTATTAGGGTAAAGGATCATACTCTCAGAAGATTCATGAGAATCCTCAAGTTTTCCCTTGAGCTCACATATTTGGTCATCACAGCTGAATTTGATCGATCAAGCAATATATCACCCAACAACTGTTTAACATAAACACAATACAGTACATGAGACTGACCACCCACTTATATTGTTTAAATGTATTCAAGTCTCAGAATAGTTTTACCCTACCTTAATAGCTTGCCGTCTGGTTATATAATTACTTGATTCAAGAAGCTTTGAGTTGTAGTCCGCGAAAAACTGCAAATAAGAAAATTATGAGAATTATACTAGTCTAACGCATGGATCATAATGTTTAGCGTAGAGTTATGAAAAAAAACTTACCCAGTCTTCATTCTTGGTTAGAAACTCGGCAACAGTAGACTTATGCCTTGTCAGCAGTTCCTGTGAATACAAAGTACAGAGTTATAATTGCATGCTTGACACTTGATAGTGCCAGACAGGAAAAAGATCCAAGCGAGAATGCAAGTTTGTTGGAACCTTAAAAGTTGCAGCTGCATCGGCAGCAATGTCGAAGTTAGGAAGCTGTATGTAATCGAAGAACTTCTTCACATGGTCAGACTCCAAAACATATCTGAATCCAAGGCAAATGATGTTAGTAAACCCATTCTTTGATTACTTGGCATAGGTCGTAAAGTGAAGAAAAAGGAAGGATTTTGCTCACTTGGCAACAATCTGATGGCGGATGCACTCCCTAAACATAGCACCATAATGCAAAGCCATGTCTGTGTTCTCAAACCTGGAAAGCGATATAAATGGCAAATTTGAGAGAATCTCTTAATTTGGAATCTAGCTTCAATGAATGGAACACTCACCCTTGTATCAGGACATCCATGAGATCGATGTTGGCTTCTAGGTAATCAGATGCAATCAACCGTGAATTGACTTGTTGCCTCTGCAGATTTGCAACCACTTGTGTTGCATCTTTCCTGGTCTAGAGAGACAGATTATTCGCAAAATTAACCATAATGGAATTGATCAGTCTTGTTGTGAGGAGATGGGGAGAGCGAATTGTCAAAGGTACCTCGAGGTTGAGCTTGGGGAGACAAGTGATCAAGGCGCGTAGAGTATCCTCTCTAAAGAATTCTTGAGTCAATTGGGCACAAGCATCAGCGACTGGCTCGGCCTCGCTGTTTCCGTATAGAATCGACTTCATATCACGGATATTCCGGCTTAGCTCCGCCATCTGCAAATTCAAAAAAACCAAAATTAAACATTGAATTGCGATCAATCCGTGCTTTGATTTCGATGAGAACAATCAGGAATCGGAACCTTTTCCTCGCGTTTGGATTCACGAAGGTCAGGCAAAGAGTTGGATCGATCGGCGTAGAGAAGGAGATCGCGCGTCTGACGGACGAGGTCAGCGGGAGTTCGAGGCTTGGACTTGAAAAGCCCCTTCATCTTAGCACCGCCGATATCGGATTGATCCGACGGTTCTCCGCCGTACCCGGCGGCTGAAGAGCTTACGCTTCCGCTTAGGTGCTGCGACGGGAGCCTCCTCGCCGATGCGGAGGCCTCTCGTCCAGCACCTCCTCCCTTTGACACGCACGACCCTATCTTTGCCTCCTTCCTTCCCCTTTTTTTTAGTCAAATTAAAACAACAAAAGAGAAAAAAACAATTCCAAAATTGAAGCACTATTTAGTCTCTGGATTCGCCTCCCTAAATCTCCTCGCGTTTCACCATGTTTCTCTCTTCTCTCACTTCCTCTCGGCCTCCATTTTTAGCGTTTGCTCGTTGCAGGAAAATTGGAGAGAGAAAGCTATTTTCTCCTATCTCATGCTTCCTTCCTTTTTTTCTTTTTTTTTTTAAGGAAAAATATCTTTGATTGCACATTTTGTTTTGGCTCTTATTGGGTGGTGATTGAAAATGTCCATGATTAGTTTATTAGTTAAACCAATGTTTTAATATGACTTGTGAGTTGAGGAGATTAATCAATTGTGTTCTTAAAACAAAAATGGAGTCACGGGAAAATCCAATCGTTAAATTAAATAAATACTTTTCTTAAAATCAGACACTTTGTTCATCGTTTCACAATTCAGAGAAAAATAGAAAAAGAGAAAAAATTATCTCAAATGGCTAGAAACGTTATATGAAAAAATGTGAATAAAGCAATTGAATAAAACACTGTCACATGTAATGAGCTACGGGACCAAAGACAAATGACATGTTCACTTTCCACCTTCACACTTCCCTCCTCACATGTTCTCTCGCGTCTCCTTGCAATTTCAGTAACATATGAGAAATCACTAGTTTATTAATTAATTTTTATACATCTCTCAATGGTCTTGTGACCCATAATCTGATGTTTAGCGGAATATATGGCATGATTAGCGGATTTATCAACTTTTTTACAAAGGATTTTCTTAAATAATTTAAATAGTGTTTACAGGTAACGTAGATGAAACCAGTCATCTTTTACAAGAACCAACAAAGAATTAAAGAGAAAATAAAGAAGAAATAAGAAAGAGAACTCAAAAAGGGCAAGAGACGAACTGAGCTAAGCAAGCATAAACAGTTTCCAATTTTCACCGATCACCACCATCGTTCGAGAAAAGAGTAGCATAACTGGAGTTTTGGAGGAGAAGACTCCAAGCTTTGCTCCGAACCACACACAAAACTTTTTGAATAATCCTTGGATGAGGCAAAGTAATACCATAGTAGATTTGTCAACACTTGTTCAATCAAAACACCAAATACCATTTATTCATTTGCATCAGATTTACTCCAACATGAAATTCTAAAACCATACATATTGTATAATATAGAGATTAACAATAATTCATTTTTGTTTATTTTGCCTTTTTCTTGTTTTAACAAGATGAAGTACTTATCAAGTGGCTTGAACGAAGTGAGATTCATTGATTTCAACCATGGCTTCTCCCAGATAATAGCCTCGTAGTTGTTGCTCTCGCCGGTATGATTTGCTGTTACCACAAGTTTGTAATTCAAATTCATACCAACGACTACCTGAGACTCGCCGCTAACAACCCTCACGAAGTTAAGTTATGATTTTGTCTTCTTGACATATTTAGAGACCGAAAATTCACCGATTTCGATGACGTGAGGGTCCTTGATGTCCTTGATGGGACTCCAGCCGCCGGTACGCGCTGCAGCAAATGCATAGAGAGGGAGGAGGACGACCAGAGATAGGAGAAGAAAGAAGATTGCTTTGTTAGTATTCATTTTGAAGTATTTGTGGATGCTATTTTCTTCTTATTGATTGATAATGGGCAAAGGGGAGAGGTTTACATATATTTTATAGTAGAAGGTTTGACACAAGACATGATGTGGCACATACTTGTAATTTTTTGCTCATTTCTATCATACATGGCTACAATGTAGAAGCAAAATGTTGAAATAACTAATGCTCATTTACGGAAATATATTTTAGTTACCACTTATTTATTTCAAAATCTAAGTTATATATTTAAACTACTAGGTTTGAAGCCCCGCACAAGCGCGGGTTGTTTGCGATAGTTTTTCTGTTTAATTTTATTTATATTGATTTGAAATTATGATGGTTTTGTGTTAACTTTCATGTTTTTGTTATGTTTTGAGTTAACTCAACCACTAACACTAAAAAATATGAATAATTTGTTTTTTTATTTTAATTTATTAGGATATTAACACCCGCTTTATCTCGAGTTTTCTATTTCTAAAATTTTATCATGTTATAAATATTATGTTTGTTTATTTTTTTTTTACTTCTATTAGACTGTAAAATGTATATGTATTTGATTGAAGGTTAAAATTTGTAAACATATTCTTGTTTTTCACTACAATTAAATTTACATATAAAACCCATTTCTATTTGTTTAGAAAAACAAACTCTAACTCTAATTTTTCATTAGCTTTCTATTATCTTAATTAATTTATATTCAACTTTTTAACTTGTAAACACATTATAACATTTTTAAATAGGATAAATCCTTTGAATAAAAAGTAAATATATACTATTTGAAGTTAAATATTTCTTTACTCCATCTCTATTTTATATTCCAACTTTTTGATAACTTTTAACATCAAATTATCATTAATTAATTTAATTTATTTGTATATTTTTATTAAATATGAATAAATGTAAAGAAATATGAATAGTCATATATTTAATAAATATTTTAAATACAATTTAATGTTTTGTGCTGATGTGGACACTCTAGATGGAGAGAGCAACTCCCTAATTACATATAAGATACAAAAGCTAAAAGCTCATTTATTATTAATTTAGTTTAAAATAAATTTATTTCTGTTTAATTAATTTTTAATTATTCTACAAATGATCTGCAATTATATGTTTGAACAATGATATTAGTATGAAATTTAGGGGTTTTAAATACCAGTACACACTATTAGTCAGATTTTCTAGGGTATACTTTCGATAATATTTTACCAGACCCTAATCAGCTATTGTTCGACCATTTCCTAGTAATGTTATGCCTTAGTAACAAAATGTAGACTTAATATATCATATTTGTTATATACTTATATTACATGGAAACCTAGGTAATATCGCTTTATTTTCAATCTTTAAAACACTTATTTTCATGTTTTTTTTTTAACTATGTACAATCAGTTGATCTCTACACTGATTTCGTATATATTTGTTTTAATATTTTTGACTATTGTTAATCCATAGTTTTATTTATTGATCCCTATTTTTATACTCACTTTACATATTCTCAACTTTATAATATATATATTTTTTAAACTTTAAAGTAACATAAATCACATAAAATCATTTATTTTTATATTTCACTATAGATCAATAAAATTACATTATAATATGGTAAATTCTAGATACCATTTTGGCTCAAAAGAATAATTTATCCAGTTCATATTATGACTTTTAAAATAAAATTTTACTTATCTTATTTATTGACTTAGTTTACCTGTATATGATTGAAAATATATGTTATAATTTAAATAAGAGTAATAACTAATGTATATATTAAATCAGTATTTTGATGATATGGACACCTTAAATGGAGAGAAAAATCTCCTAACTATATATAGGGAGCTGAAGTTTTCAAGTGATTTTAGGCGATTTGATTTTTTAGTGAGTTTTTAGGCGATTTTCCGTGAATTAGAGAAATCCTTGTGATTTTAATTAAAGTACTCTAGAATCCCACCTAAAACCATGATATTTTGGATATCATGCTTTTAACAATTAAATTCCACCAAATAACTCTAAAATACTTGAAATCCCTTAAACTCCACTCTTAAAAATATTTCCAATAACACTGGATTGAAATTTACATTTTAAATTCACAAGTTCAATAACACTATATTTTAAAAGAATCATTAAAATCACATTTACCTTAGGGAAGGTTATTAATTGGGAGATGAATTTTATATGATTGTTCAAATATACAAAATCCATTGTTATTGGTTAATGGACATTCTTATTAAAATATGCTGTTATTGGTTTGATAATTTTGAAAATCCATACAATATTCCATTAAAATCTTTGTTATAAGGACATGGATTTTAATCAAATTAATTCATGAAACAAAACTTTCAAATACTATGTATATCCCTAGGATTTTCAAAGTCATTATAGTTAAAATATATTGACAAATTTTCTAAATATACCAACTCTCTACAAATATATTAAATCTTTAAACAAATTTAACATATCTCTCAATTTTTATAATCTACAAACTTTGTACAAATTCATCTTCCAGTAACCGCAAAAAGTTACATATTTATCATTATTCAAAAAGAACCTTTTTGTGGGAAACCTATTTATTTTGCAACCTACTTCTTGAACATCTATTAAATTGCATCTCTAAATATTAAGAACCACAATGATTTAAGTAATGGCTTGGTTTTTTTATCAATAAATTACCCAATCTATAATCATATAGAGGTCAATCCTTTCCATTTATGCGACATATGGATATTTCTGTGATTGACATGTGGCATGACTTTTCATTTGCCTTTCAATTAACAACTTTAAATCTTATTTATTTGCTAAACATTTGAATTTCTTATAATTAAAACAACTTTATTACTTTAAAATTATGATGCTTCAACTTCCATCTTGAATCACTATTAAACATCTAAATTCTTCAAAATATACAGAAAAAAAGAATCCAAGAAAGACCGATGGCGAGGAAGCAGAGTTCGTTCCATGTAATGGTGAATAAACAAAGAGAATTAATGACATGGAGACGTGTGGTATATAATGCAATAATAGACATTCGACAGCAGTCACTAATCATACAAAGTGGAATCAGAATGCCCGTCTTATTTGGGTAAGAATTTATAATATTAATCACAAATATATAGTTGTTTTCCAATACTTTAAAAAATAATGTAACAACAGAAAAACTCGCGCGTATGCGCATGCATTAATCTAGTACATGATGAAAACAAGATGTATACAAGTTACACAAAAAATGAAGTTCTTCTAAAAAAAAGTTTGTATCTGCAATCTAAAATATTTAGAGTAATTTATCATATCAGAATTTAAAATACTAACTTATTGATTTCCTGACTTTTATGTAACAATGTAAGTTATGGAAACTCGTATAGTCCTATGAGATTGGATTTTATTTATGTACTAGATATGGACCCGCGTATATGCGGGTTTATAATAAGATATTTGATCATTTGTGAAAATAATTATGGATATTTAACTATTTTGTCTATTATTAATTAATTTTTGGTTTTATAATTTATATATTTATAGATATAGTTTTTAAGATTTCAGAAAATTAATATTCATATTTACATTTGAGTGAAAATTAATTTTAATCATAAATGATGTTTTTTTGAATTCATAACGCAAAATCAATTTTTTTTCAACTATTTTTATATTTCTATTTATTTTTATTTTATATTTCTAATTGAGTTTTAGTAAAGCACAAGAAATACATGTTAGTGAAATGGAATACGCCATTAACAAACAACATGGCGTTAATGGAACAACTTTTTATCAGCTTAGAAGAACGAAACATCAGAACGCATGAAGAGAATTTGAAAACAATAGTTGATGAGAGTTGGGTTTTAAAATGCTGAAAACATATGACTGTGAAAGGACGAGATGGACAAGTACGCAAAAAAAAAAAAAAAAAAATATATATATATATATATATATATATATATATATATATATATATATATATAAGAATTCAAACAATTTCCTGTCATCCTTGTTTTAACTTAGAAAGAATGCATACCGTGTTCTCGCTGAAATATTCACAGCGGGTAGAGGTGAATTGAGAAGATGACCTTCAACACTTGACTTCCTGCGGCTGTTTCGTTCCTGGTATAAAAAAATTGACGTTTGAGTATAGAAAATGTGGAGAATCTTTCGAATTCCACTTTTTATGATGACTTTTTATGAGAAAAATGTGTAAAAAATAAATATGTGTGTCTCGGGTTCTATGATTCAAACAGTAAAGAGAAACGCAGAATCTGAAACGGCATGATGATTGAGAAACAAATCTGTCATCCTGATTCGCAGTGGCAAGAGCTAAATTCAGAATATGACCTTGAACACTTGACTTTCTGACTCAGTTTCTTTCCTGGAAAAAAATGAATCCACTTTTAAGAAAGAAGATGACCTTTTAGTGTTCTCAACTGATAAGCAATCGACTTTCAAAAAGTGAGGGAAGAACATAAAGCACTCAAATAGATAATTCTTTGAAACGACTATATGGTTCACAAACTAAATTAACACCAAAGTTTGAGGAGACCCAAGTCAATCATGTCAAACCACGAACCTAAAAGCCTCACCAAGAAGGAATGGGGAAGAATTGGAAAATTGAAACAGTCGGATGAAAACACATAACAGTTTGTTTTTCAGAAAGAAAATCAAATCGATGCAACACAAAATCATATGAACGCCGAAATCAGAGAAGTTGAACAAAAGAACAAACATGGAGATACCAAGGAGAATGGAAATAATATACCCGATGGATCAATGTTTGCGGTGTCAAAAGTTTCTTTTATTTTTAAGAAATCTCTGTAAATGGAAACGTTGTAGAAAGGCAGAGAGAAATAGCTAAATCCGAAATTAAGGTTACAAATAGCGTGGCTAAACCACACCCACAGATCCTAGATTGAAGGAATACGGGTACAAAAAACCGTGAAGAAGGAATTAGCCAAACTAAAAGGATATTAACCTGCGGGAAAAGACCCTGAAATTTAGAACAATCAGTAAGAAGAAGGGGAGAAAGGACTCCCGGAGATATTGAGTCTGGCTGATATTTCACAAACCGGACATGAAAATCGGTTGTTGTTCTTATCAGGAGAAACTATTACCGTCTCATTAATTAAGGGTAGAAGAGAGGGAGACGGGAGAAAGAAGAAATCTTTTCTTTTTCCATTTCTCGGGTGTAAATTATATAAAATTAAGAGAAAAGGAGTTGTTTAGAAAGGGTGGGACAGGTGTCAAAAATATGGGAGGACAAATGGCAGGTTCTCAGGTAGTGAGAAAATGAGTGACCAATGAGGTACTTACATGATCCAGGGTCTTTTAAAATCATGTATTTCGTCATGGAGATGAAGACTTTTTTAAAATTTTCCAAAGTTCATTGAGAGTGTGAAGAACATGTAAGCTTAATGCTTGAAATTATATAGTCCTTATCTTTTTTAGTTTGTGACGAGTGTTCCCATCAATATTTTCATCTCTTTGACATAGAAATTATATGGTCCTATCAATATTTTCATTTTGGTGGTTTAGGACATCATGTGTACAAAAAGTATAACCCACAAGCTAAAGTTATCTAGAAAAATGCAGATGAAGCATTTTCATATTGTTGGAATGGATCTTCTCTGAAACATGTACGCTATGTCCCCGTAGCTCAAGTTTATACTAAAAACTGACGCACACCATTTCTGTAAAGTAGAATTGCCTATTGTAGACGCATAATCAGGAACCTTTGCGACGAGGAATGGTTTGCGTCTAGCATATATGGACTAAGATTATATCATAACCCTTTCCATCGACGTTTTTTCTGTTTCTCTACGTGGATGGGGAACGATTACATGGACGCAAAGGATTCTGTAAACAATTTTAAGTATCTATTGTGTTTTATTATTGGTGTGTTCTGCAGAATACACAATGTTAATCAAAGTGACCTTTTCAACTGTGCTTTCCACTCTTCATGGTTATTTAATTTCCAACACAAATTGATTGCTCATGGACTGAGAAATAGAGATCGAAACTAACAGAAGTTTGGATTCTTTTGATTTTCTGTTCGTGTATTCATTATGCAAAATTAATGAGATTCTTATCACTTATCCATCAGTGATCAGTGAGGTTTTCATACTTAGAACTTAAATCGCAAACCAAAAAACTTATAAAATAAGAAAATAAATGTTGGTGCATTTCTATTTGTGGAGTATAATTTAACAAATGAATATGTCTTATATAAATTTATGGAGACAGAAGAAAATAATAACAAGAAATTAAAGTTAGATTAGAACATAAAACAATTTTTTTCTGAATAAGACATCACTTTTCTAAGGTATGTACTTAACAACATAATGTTAAAAAATGAATAAAGAAGCAAGGTTTGCAGGTACAGATTCTGCAGATTATGGTTCGATCGCGGTATGAGAGGAAGATCGGATGAAAAATTAGAAAGAGAGCCAACAATGCCAATTTTGAAAAGGACCACACAACTCCAAGATTATATGAGTAAGTTTAAGAAAACATATAGCTTTGATGTGTGTTGTGGTCCAAGGATCCCTTAGGATAATATCTATGTAGAGAGAAAGTGGTTGAGAAGTTGTAAAATGTTGAAGTGAAAAGTTTAGTAGAATATATGTCAAAAATGGATAGGCCAACATTAGAAAAAAGAGGGATATAAAGATATAGATAGAAAGTATTACACAGATTTATAAAGACAAAGAAGGTCGAGTGTCTCATGAACATGTTTTTTTTCTTTTATTTTTTTTTGAGAAAAGGCTTTCTTAATTAATTGCAGAAAAAAAAAAATTACAAGCCCATAGGCCTTAGTTGTTTCGTTGCCCAAAGCGAGATGCAGTGAAAGTACATAATTTGAACCAGCCCAATTAGTTAAAGCCCATTGCCATACAGGGAAATGAAAAGTTTCCGTCTTCCACCAACTGAGATCGAATTCTAACGCCTTAGAGTCTCCGAAGCCAACCAAGTTTGCAGAAGCTTGAAAGCTAGAGCTGCGTTTTTGTCTCTGTAGCTTGCGATCCGATTTCTGATTTGGCGATCAATCTGATTCACAATAGAGTCCTCTGACAGGAAGATTTGGCTGTGGAGTCTCCCATTTCGCTCCCGCCACAACCAGTATATTACAGCCTGCCAAGCCAGTAATGTCAGTCGATTATTCAGTTCCCCTCCAGCAAGACTTTGCATCTGCAGAATTGAATCCTCCCACGATCGCCTTGGGTTTATACTGCATCTTCTCGCCATTCTCCTCTAAATTGACCAGCTGAAGGGACAAACGAAGAGAAGATGATCTCTTGTTTCTGCAGCTGAGTAGCAGAGCAAGCAGTTGGGATCCGTCTGAAGGCCCCAGCCAGCTATTCTGTCCCGGGTCGGGCACCGATTGAGAGCGAACAACCAAGCGAGGAAGTTATGCCTCGGAATTCCTCCCACATTCCAAATCACTTTTGTCCAAGCCGCTATTGGACCCTCCCCAGTAAGTTTCCTATAAACTTCTCCTGTTTTGTACTTTTTTGAAGCCACTCCATCTAGTTCCCACTCAAATTCGTCTTCCTGATTATTAAACACCACCGTTGTAAGGAAAATGTGGAGGCTAACCTGGTTCTCTGATCTTGCTGCAGGGAGATTCCAGCGGTTTTGTTGGTACAGGCTCGCCAAAGTAGCGGTTTCCGGTATTCCAAACCGAGTGTTTCCCGTTTCCCGGAGGAAGCTTCTCACATTTCCAAAGGGGGACCAATGATCCGACCAGAATCTACAATTCCTCCCATTTCCAATCCTCAGTTTGATCCAAGGGTACACGACTTCTCTAGTCTTGATCAACTTGTTCGCTAACCAAGAGTTATCTCTGTGAGGCCTTACTGTCCAGAAGTTATGGACATTGCCTTGGAGAATCTCCTTCGTGTACCACGCTACCCAAATAGAGCCTGATTGGAAGAATAAGAGCCAAATAAGTTTGAGGCAGCAAGCTTTGTTCCAAGTGGTAAGATCTTTAATCCCCAAGCCCCCTTCTTCTTTTGGTGTAGTAACCGTTGACCAAGCTACTCTAGCTGAGTGATGACCCTCTATACTCCCTTTCCACAAGTAGGCGCTACAAAGGGAGTTGATTTTCTTTATGCATGCTTTCGGGAGGATAAAAGCAGAGCTCCAGAAGGTTATGATTCCCGCTATGACCGTCTTTATCAACACTAACCGGCCCACAAAGGAGAGAGACAACGCACTCCACGAGGTAACCCGATACTTCACTTGTTGTATTAGGATCTCACAGTTTGCTATACTCAGCTTTTTGGTACATAGTGGGACTCCCAGATATCTGACAGGCAGTGTTCCCTCTGGCATTCCAGTGGAGAATTTGATGAGATCGGATTCTTGGTGGGAAATTCCTGAGGCGAAGAAACTGGATTTTTGAACACTCACAGCTAGACCGGACCTCAAATGGAACTCCTGGAGAATCTGAAGGACATTTTGCACTGACTCCAGCGAGCCCTCCACAAAGATTAGAAGATCATCAGTAAAATAGAGGTGAGTCAATTTAGAAGCTTCACATTTATGGTGATAACCAAATTTTCCTTCTTCTGCGGCATTGTTTAGCATAATAGATAGACAGTTCATAGCTATTACGAACATATAGGGTGAAAGAGGGTCCCCTTGCCTTAGACCTCTTTTTCCTTTAAAATATCCATGCACCATACCATTGTAACCAACTGTGAAGCTAGGGGTCCGGATACATGATTTTAGCCAGTGTAGGAATTGGGGAGGAATGTCTAGGCCTTCGAGGCAGTTGAAAAGAAAGTCCCAGGAAACACTGTCAAAAGCTTTTGCAATGTCCACCTTGATAGTGATTCTTTTGGGGCCCTTGCTCTTATGATAACCATTCACTATCTCTCCGGCTAGCACTGTGTTCTCTACTAATAATCTGTCTTTTATGAAGGCCGTTTGATTGGGGAGGATCAGAGATGGGAGCAACGGTTTCAGCCGGGAGACAAGAAGTTTGGAGACGACCTTGTAGAGAGTGTTGAGGCAGGAGATGGGTTTGAAGTCTGAGATCTTAGAAGCTCCTGGGAATTTGGGTACAAGGGTGAGGATTGTTGAGTTTGTAGAGGTAGGCATGAAGGAGGAGGAAAAGAATCTAGAGATTGAAGTCGTTACTTCCTCTCCCAAGAAGTCCCAAGCAGCCTTGTAGAAACCGGAGGTGAGTCCATCAGGGCCAGAAGATTTGTTGGGTTTTAGTTTGAATAGGACCTTCTTTATGTCCCTAGCTTGGGGAATGATTACCATGGCTTGTTTTTGTTCAGGTGAGCATCGAAAAGGGGTGAGAGACATGAACCAGCTCGGGGGAGAGACAATGGGTGTAGGAGGCAGGATTGAGGGACCCAAGATGGACTTGAAGTGGTTTATGGCAAGCAGGCTCATTTCCAACGGGTCTTCAAGAATGTCACCAGAGGGCAGAAGAAAAGACCTGATGGAGTTGTAGCTAGTCCTAGTTTGTGCAATCCTTTGGAAGTAAGTCGTGTTCTGGTCCCCTTCTTTAAGCCAATTGATATGTGATTTTTGCTTGAAATAACTCTCTTCTATTTTGCGTAGGAAGTTCTATCGGTCATGGAGGGTTCTCTCTTGGTCGAAAAGAGCTTGAGTTGGGTTTTGGAGCGCCTGAACCTGCACATCTTGCAACAAACAGTTAACCTCACTAACCCTCTTTTGAATCTGTGAGAAGTTCTCTTTATTTAGTTCTCTCAAAATGCTCTTTATGATCTTTTGTTTCCAGCCCAGCTAAGATAGAGTGGAAGCGAAGCTTCCGGCCTGAATCCAAGCCTCCATTACCAACGGATGAAAGTCTGGGTGTTTTGAGAGGTAGTTAAAGAATTTAAAAGGACGGGTCCCGGCTTTAGGTAGGGGGTGAGCAAGGTCAATTAGGCAGGAGGTATGGTCTGAGGTGAGGGGAGGGAGGAAGCGGGCTGTGCTGTTAGGGAAATCAGCAACAAAGAAACTATTTACCAAGAGGCGGTCTAGCTTCTTTGCTACTGGGGTCTCAGGTTGGTTATTAGTCCAAGTATGTTGGGGGCCATGGAACCGAAGGTCAAACATTCCCAACTGAGTAAGACAATCTCTGAATTCCGTCATTTTTGGTGTTAGAGTATTGACAGCTACGTTTGAATGCTCTGCAGGGTGTAGGATTTGATTGAAATCTCCACCGATCATCCAAGACGAAGAGGAGAGTAAGAGGGACTGGGATATGTTTAAGAGCTCGATCCACAGGTCTGTCCTCTCACTGCTCAGATTAGAAGCATAAATTGCTGTGTAGTTGAACTGAGGCAGGTTTGGGATCCTTATCTGACAAGTTAAACTTTGTCTAGATTGGTGCAGGCAAGTGACAACAACAGGATCACGCCAGATCAAGATGATTCTCCCATCTTCATCCGATAAGTGATTTGAGGTAAACTTCCACCCTTGGCAGAGCTTGAGCATGAGCTGGTTCAAATTGGAATTCTTAATATGGGATTCCAGAATAGTTCCAAAAAAGGGCTGCTGACTGTGAAGCCAATCACCAAAAGGCCGATGCTTGTTCGGGTCATTTAGGCCACAAACATTCCAAAAAAAGAGCTTATTATCCATTAGGAGGAAGGTTTAGATTCTCCTAGTTTAGGAGGATCTACGGATAGAACAGAGGTAGTTAGGGGAGCAAAGGCATTTTTTAGGGTAAGGGGAGGAATTGGAGGATTTTTAGGTTCAAAAGAGGGTAGTTTTTGTGGAGTGGAAGGGAGAGAAGGGTTTTTGGCTTCAAAAGAGGGAAGGGCTGTAAGGGGTGACGGGTCTCTATGGTTTAGGAGGTTTGGGTGAGAGCGTGATCTTTTTAGACCAGAGAGCTTTGGGATAGGAGGAGGGCTATACTGGAAGGGTTCACCGGATGGGGTTATAGTAGCCGGGAGAGCTATGATAACAGGAGGGAAAGGTTTTGGTAGTGGTTTTATGGATGAGGGAAGTAAGGGTAGAGGAGGCTTTTTTGAGAGGGGACAGGGAACAGAAGAAGAGGACGAATGCTTTTGGGGGATGGGTTCAGGGTTGGGACAATTCCCCAGTTGAGATGGGGGGGGTTCCTTTGTAGAAACCTCCAGTTGAGAAGATAGCGCAGGGTCGACTGGGGACTTTGAGGGATCTGCCTGAGAAGTTTTCTTTTGATAGACTTTTTTAGTTTGGGTTTTTTCAGGCTGATTAGTAACTGGTTTTGGAGGTACAGGGAGGAGCAAGCAATTCTTTGCAATGTGTCCCAGCTCGTGACAGTGACTGCACTTAGGAGGAAGCCACGGGTAATGTACTAGGACCTCTACCACTTCTCCACTGTCTCTTTCAAATTCGACAATATCCGGGAGCTTCTTTGTTAAGTCAACCTCTACCTTTACATGCGAAAGAGTAAGGCTCACCAGATTTTTTGTGAAATCGTCAGTTTCCTTAGGCTCGCCAACGAGGCCTGCAACGAAGCTCAACCCTCTTTGATGCCTCAAGTCCAGAGGAACTCCAGTTAAATGAGCCCACAACTGTATTGCTACCATGGGTTTATCTTCTGCAGAGTGAGCAGCCGTGATAAGTAGGATTTTTCGTATCAACTACTCTTAATCCATACCACTCATGTCATCGTAGTACTTGAGATGTCAATCCAAGTGGAGGTTTAAACTTATCGAAATAAAGAAGAAACTGTTTTTCTTGGAGAGAAACTGGTTACAAGATAAAGATTGCCTAAAATTAGGTCTTAAAGGTTTATATAGAGAAGGGAAAAGTGTATCCTTTGGTCAACGTTTTTGCTTTGACTTCACAGATGCGCGCAGCTTGAGCAACTTCCTCAAGCACTCTGTTTCCTTTTGCTCAAGGCTCTGTTCCGTCTTGCTTGTTTTGCCATCCGATTACTCCGATCTCCTTCTGGTCCATCTCCGATCATCACCTCCGGTCCCTCCTTCGCCATAAGCTCCGAATACCTGATAAATGCACCCCAAATGCAATGGAAATGCAAAATGCTATCCTAAAGGCTAAATGATCCTAAGTAGACTAAAGCTACACTAAATGTTATGAAATGGGACTCAATTATACACAGAACTATGCAGTATGAGAGGCTAAATGTATGCAAATGTTGAGTACATCAACACCCCCACACTTAGTCTTTGCTTGCCCTCAAGCAAACATCAACCAAGCATAAGAGTGTTCTCTGAGCAATAGAGTCAAGTGAAAGCCGAGAAGAGAAATTGAATCAACAACCTAGTTCCAAGGTCTAAAGCGCAAAAGATGTTCTCTACTTCAAAAATCTTAGCCGCACCTTCATAATTACAATCAATGACCACTAGCTCAACCTAAACATGCATTCAAATCCTCTACTCCTTTTAACATTCATTAAAGCTCAAAACAGTGAATCAAAACACATGCAAGTCAAGTTAACTCGTTTGGCCAGTGGAAAGAGAGAGAGCAAATCACAATGCAAGCTCATGTCAAATGACAAAGGAAGGGTTCTCTCAAGAGAAGTGAAACAGCTTCGGCATAATGCTAAAGGCGAGAACCAATTGGGAGGTACAAGGACAAATGATCATCTACCCGAAACCCCAAGTACCTTTTGGTGACTCTCAAATCCGAAACTTCCTATTTCTACCCTTTTCCCTTTTCTTAGAGCTTTTTGAAACTTTAGCGAATTTTTCTAAGGCTTTTTGAAAGACAACTCGAGAGACTTGGTCTAAACTCTTGCCCTAACCCATCTTTTCCTTTTAACCTTTTTTTTTTTTTTTTTTTTTTATTTTCTGATGGGGGCTTTCTTAAACTCACAGACCAAGCTCTTAATCTACCTTAGCGAAACGCTTCTTTTCTTTTTGCTCACAAGCTCTTTCTTTCTTTTTCTTTTTGAATCCCAACCCAAGACATTCCCAAACCCAGTCCTAACCTAGTCTGGCCCAAAAAGCGTGGACCAGAATCTACATGATCACCTATCCTTGTCGGCTCAAGACCTAACACTTTATGCCAAGCTTTTTCAAAAAGGCCTCACAACACACAAGAACAACATTTGGTTTGAAAGGAAGGGTTGGTTAAGGGCAGGGAGTTCTACTTGAATCAACAAAGAAGGATGAACAATAATGCAAAGATGATTCAAGTATGTATAATCCACGAGTTGAACTTAACAAGCATGAGCATGATAATTGATGTTCAGGTTCAGGTTTCACTTAGACAAGGAGCAGATTCAAATCACAGCAATGCATTCGGTTTTACTAAGACAGTCATGATGCTTTTTGATGATGCGGTTCTACCTTAACTTCAAGAACTATCAAAAGCGCCAAACAACTTAGAACTAGGGCACTGAAGCAATTCCGCAACTCAATCAATCAGCTCAACAAACATTGCTCAGATGCAAATGAAATGATCTTAACTACATGCTCTGTTTTTGGTTTTTTTTTTTAGCAATGCAAAAATGAAAATTTTACATGATTTTCTAAAGATGTAAATGCATGAGACTCAAGGTTATGCAAAATATAAAATAAGAACATAAAGCACTTCGTCAAATACCATTGACCCTCTCCCCCACACTTAGTTCACACGGTCCCTTGTGTGATAAGAAGGCGGAAGAGAGAATCAAAGCAAAAGATAAGTGAAAATAAAAAGAAAAATGCATGCTATTTACATGGTTGGGGTTCATACCTCTCAGAAAGAATCTGAGGAGGAGGATGATGTGGAATCACCCTTTGTGCTCGCTTGAGGTGACTTCGAGGCCTTCCTCTTCCTGGTTGAGGTCTCTGCCGTTTGGAATTTGGAGGAGCCTTCATCACCTTCTTCGGAGTCCTCGACTACGTCGTCGTCATGATAGGAACCGAGGTGTATCGGAGGAGTGTTGTCGGAGTCGTGGCTGGGAGACTTGCTCTTGCCCTTGGTCAGCTGCTTGATGCGCTTCCCCATCTTCTTCACGGTCTTGAGGAGGGACTTGATCGCTTTGTCCTGGAACTGGTTCCAGGCTTTTAGCGTGTTGATGCTCTCAAGTGCGGTGTTAGCCGCTGACTTCCTCCCTTTGATCTCGTGGTTCTTGAAGTGGAACTCTCCGGTTTTGTAGTCCATGAGGTTCTCACGTCGTCCCTGAGCTCTCACCTTCGCCAGCTGCTCCAGGGTGAGCGTAGTCTTCCTCCTCTTGGCCTTGCTCGAGAATGGTCTCGATAGGAGGCTCAAAGTCTATGTTCTCCTGACCGTGATGTAGGTCAAGGGTGGTTTGGCAGGAAGAAACTCGCCAGCCCGTATTCAAACTGCCTATAGGCGAACTGATAGTTGTGGCGTCCGCTGATGGGTTACCGCGAAGGTAGGTGCTCTTGCGGAGATACTGGATGTTTATCGCTGAGGATCAACCGGCTTCTCAAGCGTGATTCCACAGTTCATGAGGATCGGCGTTATGAGTCCTCCACAGCTCAGCTGACCACTGCTTGCCTTGTGCACTTTGTTGAGGAGAGAGCATACTCCCTGTAGCTGAGGAAGCTCTTGAGAAGATACGTCGCCACGCTGTTCCCTGATCTGTCCCCGACCATCTCAGTCCATCCGGCAACGTGTGAATCACCTTCTTCATCCCTTCATTTAGGAAGAAGAGCTCCTTTTCGGTGACACCAGTAACGTCGCGCCTCGCATAGATGGTGTGAGCGAGGGCCTTGTGGACGTATCGGAGCACGGGGTTCCTGATGTGTGTGCTCTTGGCAGTGCTAGCATGTACTCGCCAACTCCGATCATTGCCCAGAAGGCTTGAAGCTCTGCTTGTGGCGTTCCAGGCTCTGTTTCTCGCCCATCTTTGTGTTCAAAATGAAACACATCCTCCAGCTCCTTGAAACTCATCCGGTACTTCCTCTTGTTGATTCGGAAGGAGAACCTTCCACTTCCATGACCCTCAGGCACGATCTCGTCAGGCTCGTAGAAGTTAACTCGGAGAGTGGAGAGGAACTCGATGGTTTCCTTCTGGTATGCAGGGGAGGGTTCATCATCAGCCTCGCAAGCTGCATCTCTCGAAGAGGTAGTGGCAATCCTGAGAGATCCCAAGTCTCGCCATAGCCGTCAGGTCAGGGTATCTCGTCCCGACGAAAGACATCTGGTCGAAGATCTCGGCGTAGTCCTTGCTCTTCATGACCCGGATCCGCTTTTCCTACTGCCTGAGCCTTCCTCTGTCACCGGTTTCTTTCCTTCCGCCTTCTCCGCCGCGGCTCTCGAGAGAGTTCCTCTTGTTGTGGACACCATTGTTCCTGTGGAAAAACAAACTCACAAACAGAGTAAGTTCTCTAGCCAAATAATGTCACTCGCAAGGCTTAGAGAAGAAACAGATCAAGCAAGTTGAGATTCGAGATAAAAATCAAAGCTTTAGACAGATCTCAACTAAAAAGGTCGATTAAAACCGGCGGTGAACTCAAATCTCGGAAAAACAGAGACATGCAAAACAGTTTTCAAAAATCCAAACTCAAAATCTCTCTTTCAACCTTAACCCGAAACAAATCCGACCTCTACTAAGCGAAAATCAAAACCAAATCTAGCCAAAGTCGGAGAAATTACCGGTTGAGCGCAGAAAACGGTTTGAAAGTGAAGAAGAAAGAGCGAAATAGTAGAGAGAAAGATGGAGATTTTTCTTTTCACAAATCGGGAAAAAGGAGAAGTATGAAAGAGAGAGGTTTGGCTTGTCTCGGTTTTGTAAAAGGTAAAGTAGAGAGAGATGGGGTTGCGGAAAAATCGGGAAGGATTTGGATTAAAACCGCTGTCAAATCACAACTTCCCCAATTGACTACTTTCTCTCTCCCACGTTCCTTTTTCTCCTCTTTTCTTTTTCTTTTCAAACCGAGACAAAATTCCGGATAAAACTCGATCAAAAACTGTTTTCATTTGGGCCTTATAAACAGGGTGGGCTTACCTGGCAACGATTTTTGAGAAAACCTAAGTCTTTTCAAAAATCGTTGCATCGTTCTTCTTGAGTTTGCTCAAGCTTATCGTCAGGCTGACCGAACACTTCCTTCATCTATACACCTGAGCACTTATAAAAGCTAAAACAAGAAAGATTAAGCAAAAATAAATATATACAAAGATAACCATGGGACTTCCTCCCAAGTGAGCTTGTTTTGAGTCCCATAGCTTGACTTTCATAACCTTTTAGGCTAAGGGAGCGTCCGGAAGAGGAGTTGAGACTCCTTCTCCTTGAATGCGTTGGCCCAAATACGGTTTGAGCTTGTGGCCATTCACCGTGAACTCCTCGCCATTGTTGTTAAGCAAAGTGACAGCTCCATAAGGAAGGACGTCCTTAATCTCAAACGGGCCCGACCACTTGGACTTGAGCTTCCCAGGGAACAACTTAGCTCTCGAGTTGAAAAGCAGCGCATATTCTCCAACCTTGAAGACCTTAGGCACAATTTTCTTGTCGTGAAATGCCTTAGTCCGTTCTTTGTAAATCTTGGAGCTCTCATATGCGTCCAGCCTGATCTCTTCCAACTCATGTAAGTCGAAACCCCTCTTCTCTTGGGCAGACCTGATGTCGAAGTTGAGCAGTTTGATTGCCCAGAGTGCTCTGTACTCAATCTCCACCGGAAGGTGACACGATTTCCCGTAAAGGAGCGAGAAAGGTGTCCTTCCTATTGGCGTCTTATAGGCGGTCCTGTAAGCCCAGAGAGCGTCGTCCAACTTAACTGCCCAGTCCTTCTTGGTGACTCCCACAATCGTCCTGAGGATCCCCTTTATCTGCTTGTTCGACACTTCCACTTGACCACTTGTCTGAGGATGGTATGGTGTCGCTACCTTATGCTTGACTCCATACTTCTTCAGAGTTCTCGAAGACTTTGTTGATAAAGTGGCTTCCTCCATCGCTTATTACAACCCTTGGCACTCCATATCTCGGGAAGATGATGCTTTTGAACAGCTTGAGCACAACCTTGGCATCGTTCGTTGGGGAAGCGATTGCCTCGACCCACTTGGACACATAGTCAACTGCCACTAGGATGTATCTATTCCCATGAGAAGGTGGCTCAAAGGGGCCCATGAAGTCGATGCCCCATACATCAAACACTTCCACCTCAAGTATCGGGTTTTGTGGCATTTCATTGCGCTTGGAAATGCTCCCTTCTCGTTGGCATCTATCACACCTTGCAATGAAGTCGTGAGTGTCTTTGAAAAGGCTTGGCCACCAGAATCCGGCTTGAAGAACTTTGGAAGCTGTTTTGAAAGTCGCAAAGTGACCTCCGTAGCTCGATCCGTGACAATGCTCGAGTATTCCTTCTACTTCCTCCTGAGCTATGCACCTCCTAAACAGACCATCTGATCCTCTCTTGAACAGGTATGGTTCGTCCCAAAAGAAGTGTGAGATGTCCCTGAAGAACTTCTTCTTCTGGTAAGGAGATAGATCGGCTGGACCTCTCCACACACCAAGTAGTTGGCGTAATCTGCATACCAAGGCGCTTCCTTTTCCTCAACTGCCTTCAACTGCTCTAACCGAACTGCCAAACCTACGCTTTTCCCAGACTTTCCACCAAGAGTAGCTGTTCCTCAGGCAGAGTATCGTCGATAGGTGCGGTTCATTTACTCTCATCCTTGAGAGATGATCCGCAACTCCGTTCTCAACCCCTTTCTTATCCAAAATTCGAGATCGAATTCCTGGAGAAGAAGTATCCATCTCAGGAGCCTTGGCTTGGTGTCCTTCTTTGCCAACAGATGTCTAAGGCCGCATGATCAGTGTAGACTATCACCTTTGAACCCACGAGATAACTTCTGAACTTCTCGAACGCAAAGACTACTGCCAAGAGCTCTTTCTCAGTTGTTGCGTATCGTCCTTGGGCATCGTCCATGGTTCTGCTTGCGTAATATATCACGTGGAGCTTTCTTGTCTATCCTCTGGCCAAGCACAGCTCCCACGGCGTAGTCACTAGCGTCACACATGATCTCGAAAGGGTAGTCCCAGTTTGGTGCTTGCACAATCGGGGCCGTGACCAAGGCAGTCTTGATCATCTCAAATGCCTTAAGGCACTCCTCGTCAAACAGGAACTCAGTCTCCTTGCACAAGAGGCGTGTCAAAGGACGAGCTATTTTGGAGAAGTCCTTGATAAATCTCCGATAGAAACCAGCGTGCCCAAGGAAACTTCTCACGTCCTTGACTGTCTTTGGTGGAGCAAGCTGACTCATCACCTCAATCTTTGCTTGATCAACCTCTATCCCCTTTTCTGATATCTTGTGTCCCAAGACGATCCCTTCCCTGACCATAAAGTGACACTTCTCCCAATTGAGCACTAGGTTCGTCTCCTCGCAGCGCTTGAGAACCCTGCACAAGTTGGACAAACAAGACACAAAGGAACTGCCATAGACAGAAAGTCATCCATAAACACTTCAACAGTGTCCTCAATCAAGTCCGAAAAGATGACGTCATGCACCTTTGGAAAGTCGCCGGAGCGTTACACAATCCAAAGGGCATACGTTTATAGGCAAAAGTTCCATAGGGACATGTGAAGGTGTTTTCTCTTGGTCATTAGGGTGGATGGGGATTTGAAAGAATCCCGAATAGCCATCAAGGAAGCAATAGAAAGGATGGTTTGCCAACCGCTCAAGCATCTGATCGATGAAAGGCAGTGGAAAATGATCCTTCCTAGTCGCCGCATTGAGCTTTCGGTAATCTATGCACATTCGGTGACCGGTTATGGTTCTGGTTGGGATCATTTCGTCTTTTTCGTTCTTGACTACTGTGATTCCACCTTTCTTGGGCACACAGTGTACCGGCGAGACCCAAGTACTATCCGAGATAGGGTAGATCACGCCGGCGTCAAGCAACTTAAGGATTTCCTTTTTCACCACCTCTTTGAGGTTGGGATTTAAGCGTCTTTGGTGTTCAATAGATCCCTTAGATTCGTTATCAAGGTGAATGCGATGAGTACAAAGCTCAGGAGATATGCCTTTGATGTCCTCTAAAGAGTAACCAATTGCTCTCCTGAACTTCCTCAACTCATTAAGGAGGGAGGTTAATTGGGGTGGGGTAAGTTCTTGGTTCACAATTACGGGATAAGTTGAATTTGGTCCAAGAAATGCGTACCTTAGCCCATCTGGTAAGGTCTTGAGGTCCACCTTTGGGGCTTTGAGCTCGCTCCAGTCATCGTCTGAAGGTTGCTCGAGGTCGTGCTCTGCCTCTACCTTGTGGATTTCCTCAACTCTCACGGAGCGTCCTATGATTTCCTCAACCACGTCATTGGGAACAGTCCCTCTGTGGGAGTCTAAGAGTCGAGCATACTCCAAGGATTCGGTGTTGAAGTAGCTCTTTTCCTCCGCTTTCTCAGTCAAGGTTAGCTGAAGCTGGTCCTCTGTGGCTAACTCCTCTAGATACTCGTCTGCCAACTGATCCAAAGTCTCTACCCAGAAGAGCTGTCCATCAATGGTTGGTTTCTTCATCGACCTCTTGATGTCGAAGCTGAGCTTGAAGTCATCTCCAAAGTTTAGCTCAATCTTCCCTCTCTGAACATCGATGATAGCTCCAGCGGTTGCCAAAAAGGGCCTTCCCAAGATCAGCGGATCCTTGGGTTCTTCATCCATCTCAAGGATAACAAAGTCAGTGGGTATCTCCACGTTTCCTACTCGCACAGGCAAGTCCTCGAGCATACCCACTGGGATGCGTACTGATCTATCCGCAAGTACCAAGGAAACGTCGCACTTTTGATACTTCTCGAACCCAAGCCTCTTAGCTACTGTGAGTGGCATTACAGACACGCCTGCTCCAAGATCACATAAGCTTCGGTTGAATGCCAGAGGACCAATAGAACAAGGGAGTGTGAAACTGCCTGGATCCTCAAACTTCTTCCCAACCACTTTCCTAGTGATGATTGCACTACATTCCTGAGAAAGAACGACCATACCCTGAACCTCTTTTCTTCTCTCGGTTACAGCGTCCTTGAGAAATTTCTGATAGGGAGGGATGAGCATACATGCGTCCAAGAAGGGCATTGTAATATCAATCTCCTTTATTTGCTTATCAAACAGCTCTGCTTTCTCAAGCTGTTGTTTCTTGAATCGAACAGGAAAGGGAAGTTGCGGTTTGTAAGGAGGAGGAACGAAAGCTGGGGCTTTCTTCTTCTTTTGCACTTCCTCTGGTGCTTTCTCTTTCTCTTGAACTGGTGGTTCCTCTTCAGCACAGGTGCTGGCTTCAGTTTCAACTGAAATCTCCTCCTCTTGTTCCTCAATGTCCTCATTGACTGGTGCGGGTCCTGTTCTTGGAGGTAAAGCGCGTCCACTTCTCAATGTAATTGCTTGTACGTATTCCTTGGGATTCTGCTCTGCTTTACCCGGAAGTTGACCTTGCGTTCTGGATGAGGAAGCTGTTCCGCCTTTGTGTTCAAGCTGATGGATTCTACTTGTGAGAGCTTCAATCTTAGTCTGAAGGTCGTGGTGCGAGAAGTCGATTCTCCCATTGATCTCAGATAGTCGCTTGTTGAGATCCACGTTTCCGGTAGACTGTCCCTGAAGTAGTTGCTGAAGCATCTGCTTGACTCCAGGTTCTTGTGGACCTTGCTTAGCCTCGAATCCAGGTGGAACAGAGGTGTTTTTCTGATAGCCTCCTTGGAATTTTTGTTGTACCCATCACGTGGTTTAGTTGGGTACATCTTTCCTTGACCAGACGTGTTGGCTTGAGGAGGATAGACTTGGTCCTGGGGGTTCTCTACATTCGTGCTTCGATAGGACATATTGGGGTTGTTCTTGTAGTAACCCTGGCTATGAATGTAGTTGACGTCCTCAGTGTAAAACTCCTCCTCTTGATCGTCATCGCGTTCCTCCAGCATGTGTACCGACTGTTTTTGCTGGACTATAAGCAGTTTGTCAAGCTTGTCGTTCAGCACCTTCAGTTCCTTCTTGTGCTTTTCCTCTGCTTCGACGGATCCTCTGTTTGTGCGGTCGTCTTCGCCGTATGTACCATTGCTCATTGCCATGTTTTCCACCAAAAACAGACCGTCGTCGACGTCTCTGGCCAAGAAGTTGCCTTGGCTTGCTGTGTCAAGCATCTGCCTAAACGAGGCAGTACACCACGGTATAGAGTGCTTAAGAGTGACTCTTGAGAGAAACCGTGGTGTGGGCACTTCGACTGATATCCTTTGAAGCGTTCCCAGGCGTCTGTGAAACTCTCGCCGTGCTTTTGTGCGAAGCTTGAGATGTTGGTTCTGAAGCTTGCAGTTCTGACTGAGGAGAAGAACTTAGCCAAGAAGGCTTTCTTGCACTGATCCCAGCTTGTGATGGACCCTCGAGGTATCGTCTTTTCCCATTGGCGAGCTTTGCCATCAAGTGAGAATGGGAATAAACGAAGTTTGGTTGCGTCTTCGCTTACCCCATTCTGTGTGATCAAATCACATGCTCTGTCAAACTCGTCAAGATGGTCCAACGGGTCTTCCTCAGGTAGACCGTGATAGATCTTTTGTTGGACTTGATGCAGAATGTGCGGTTTGATTTCGAAGTTGTTGTGCACATTCGGCGGGGCTATGCCTTGACGGTTTTCGTGAGTGTTAGGTGCATCGCCGGCACCTATTTGACGGTGAGGTCGCAGAGGTGGATTGTTTCGCTGACCACCTTGTTGTTCCGGTCCGGGTGGGAATCCTTCCTGTTGGGGTTGGGCTGCCATGTCCGGAACCTCTTGTCTTCTGGTTCGCGAAGTAACTCTGCGTGACCGTTTGTTTTGCTCTGCTTTGTCAAGATCGCTTGTACTTAGGAGGTTGTCTCGTCCTTTGGATCTGGTGTGCATACACCTGAGGTCAAAGATGAGAGGTTTCACAGAAAGTTAGCGACTTTAGGCAAGATAGAGCAAAACCGACTTAATCTAAGGTTTTTCTTGAAAACGAAATGCTTAAAAGTCTCCACTTTGGCAACGGCGCCAAGTTGATAAGTAGGATTTTTGTATCAACTACTCTCAATCCATACCACTCATGTCATTGTAGTACTTGAGATGTCAATCCAAGTGGAGATTTAAACTTATCGAAATAAAGAAAAGGCAAAGATCAAGTTTCGATAAAAGATTGGGTTTTGTTTTGTAAAGATCTATGCTTTAAGCTAACAAGATGAAATAAAGATTTAAACTTTGAACAATAAAAGATAAAGGAGGCGTCTTGGGTGAGACTTAGTTGGGATCAAACGAGCTCAACCTTCCTTTCTCAACACACCAAGACTCAAGCTTTGTGCTTAGACTTTGGGTAAATCTGCCACTCTCGTGGTCAGATCGCTTTGCAAGCTGAGAATCCAAAGCTAGCTCTCACTAGTGGACTCAAAGTTACAAGCTTTCACAAGATCTAGTCTAAAAGTGCACAAGATACATCCCAACAACCAATCTCTTAGGTTGGGAATGTTTCTCTCTATCGCTAGCTCTCTTAGGCATTAACGCAAACACCTTCTAGGTGTACTAGCCTAGATTCGCGACTTCAAGTGATCAAGAAGAAGCCGAGATATAAAGCTCTAGCTAAAGAAAAGCTGGTCAAGGGAGATTAAGGAAGAGGTTAACAGGAAGCTAAAGCTCTGACCTTTCCTAATCTCACCCTCGAAACCTCTAAAGAACTACTCGCTACTCATACTCGAACCGAAAGCAAAGAGGTAAAGAAAGCTAGAAATCATCATTAAGACAAGATTAGCAAACTAAGTACTTCTTAAACTTAAAAGATTCAAAGTAAAAGCTTACAAAAGATCTCCAAGAACAAACTGTTTTTCTTGGAGAGAAACTGGTTACAAGATAAAGATTGCCTAAAATTAGGTCTTAAAGGTTTATATAGAGAAGGGAAAAGTGTATCCTTTGGTCAACGTTTTTGCTTTGACTTCACAGATGCGCGCAGCTTGAGCAACTTCCTCAAGCACTCTGTTTCCTTTTGCTCAAGGCTCTGTTCCGTCTTGCTTGTTTTGCCATCCGATTACTCCGATCTCCTTCTGGTCCATCTCCGATCATCACCTCCGGTCCCTCCTTCGCCATAAGCTCCGAATACCTGATAAATGCACCCCAAATGCAATGGAAATGCAAAATGCTATCCTAAAGGCTAAATGATCCTAAGTAGACTAAAGCTACACTAAATGTTATGAAATGGGACTCAATTATACACAGAACTATGCAGTATGAGAGGCTAAATGTATGCAAATGTTGAGTACATCAAGCTGTCCACTGAGCTGTGTGGAACATTGAGTCGCCTACATACCAAAAACCTTTTTCAAGGATTTTGGTCCGCAGGTAATCATTTGGAATTCTTACAATCATGGACCTTGTGAGGGGGTTGTTATGTATCTCTAGTTTCCTTCCTTTTCCCCACATATGGTTTAGCACACTTTGAATTTGACTGTAGGGGGGAGCTCGTCCATTGAAGTAGCAGATGATAAAATCTTTATGCAGTTTTGCTCCTTGTTGGAATACTTCATCTGGAATCCGAACTCGCGGAATTCCATTGTCGGAGAACGACACAGGAGCTAGTTGTTGGAGAGATTTATCTTCAAAGACTTTTATTCTATCGACTAGAGAAGGGTTCGGGTTATTGGGGATAGTACTTCGAGGGTCTAACGGTACCTGATTGGGTTTTTGTTGGGGCAAAGATATTTGGGCAGTGGGGATAGCGGGAGGGGAAGTAGAGGAAACCTTATTGGAGTGGATAGGGCTTGAGGTTTTTGGAGGGATGATAGTAAAAGTTTTCTCAGGGCTTAGGGTTTTTTGAACAGTGTTTTCGCAATTTATAGTCAAGGTGGGGGGAATCAAGGGGGAATGGGAGGAAGGTTGAGACGTTAGGGGAGCCTGCATCATCTCAACATCCGTGGAAGTAGGGTGAGTTACTTTTGCATCAGCAGTAATAGGTTTCACTGTTAGGGAGCGAACTCCTGGAACAGTAGTCAGCGGGCTTGTTTGCAGAGTGGCTTGGGGATCCACCGCTTCAGTTATTTGGGTTCGCTGAGCTGTTACGACATCAGCAGTAGAGGGTTTTGAGGGACCAGAGGTTCGGACCACAGGCTTCTTTGGCAGAGCAGTTTGTGGAGAAGATCTGGGTTTACTTAAACCGGGGGGTGAGAGGGGAGGGAACTGGGAAGAGGAGAGGGCGGAAGGGTCAGGAGGGTCAGGGGGAAGGAGGGGAGGGGGAAGAAGACCTTCACCGGCGGAAGGCGGCACAGGATTCAGGGCGGAAGCACGACCATTCAAGAACCAGGGGTTCTTCATCGGTAACCGGGCCAACAATCGTTAGTTAGTTAGTTAGTCTCATGAACATGTTTTCATTTCGTTTTTCTTAGTTTATTGTATTTGTATATAATATTTAAAACTATGTAGGTTCTACATTTTCCAAATGATGCTCTCAAACAGGAAAAGTATAACTATAAGCTTCAAACATACAAAATCTGCATATGAAAAAGGAATTCATACATATAAAAAGAAAGTCGTTTTTTTGTTTTAAAACTTACAAAATAATAGTAATAATGTTAGGAGAATATCGTGATGTGCAAGTTCAGATATTCTCCTTGTTAGTTATAGCAAGTTTCATTGTACGAAAATATTGTCTCAAGGGTACTAGGTTATAGGAGTTGAGTTGTATATATATGATGTACATGTCTATGTGAATAAATCAAGAAACTCTTCCACCATATCTTTCTTTGTTCATGGTATCAGAGCCATGATGACTAAAACCGGCAGATCTAAAAACGAAGGAGAAAACCAGAGTGGAGAGAAGAAAGAGATGGCAGCGATTGCCGGTGGAGAGAAGGAAGACATGGGACCGATTTACTAATTGGCCGCCAATGAAAACCCATGAGCTGTGATTGCACAAGTGCAATTCAATGGAGACAACTTTGATGAATGAGCTCAAGCAATGCGAACAGTGTTGCGAGTCAAGAAGAAGTATGGATTCGTCGACGGAACCATATTGAAACCAGATGAGAAGAGTCATGAGTTTGAAGACTGGACTTCGGCGAGTTCTATGGTGGCTCTGTGGATCCTCAATACCATATAGGCAAAGGTGAGAAGAACTCTGGCCAACAAAGAAGATCCAGCAGAACTGTGGCAAGAGATTAAGGATCGGTTTTCCGAGGGAAACGGTCCGCGTATCCAAGAAATCAAAACGGACCTTGCGAATCTTTGATAAGGCGGGTCGAGTGTGATCGATTACTATGGAAAGCTGCAAGTTTTGTGGGATGATCTGATGAATTACGAACCAACGATTACGTGCAAGTGTGGACATTGCACTTGTAATCTGAACTTGCAAATCGAGAAGAAGAAAGAAGATGACAAAATTCATCAATTCCTCTTGGGAATGGATGAAACTGTGTATGGGACAGTCCGTAGCTCAATTATTACCATGGACCCACTTCCAAACATGAATCAGACTTACGCCAAGGTGAAGTCTGTGGAAAGAGTTCAGACGGTGGTGAGAGGAAGGGAGCAACAAGGAGCTCAAATGGCTTTCGTTGCTCGTAGTGGGAACGCTCATGGTGGTGGAGAAGATAAAACTAAACTCTTATGTACCGAGTGCAAGAAGACACGACATATTGCAGAGACTTGTTTCCAGGTCATTGGTTATCCAACTTGGTGGGGAGAGAAATGAACATCCCCTCAAGGAGGTAGTCGAGGCGGAGGCATAGGACGCGGTCGAGGAGGAATGATGCGTGCGAACGCAGTGACAACACACGAGAGTGTTGAGAGTAATGGTGAAGCAGAAAGAAATGGATTTACGGGCCTCACGAACGAGCAATGGAGCAGACTGAATAAAATTCTGGATGATCAGAAACAGAGTGGACCTCCGAGGTTATGTGGTAAGACTGTATATTGTTATTGGGTTCTTGACACTGGAGCGTCATATTCTGTTGATTTTTTTGTTTTGATTTGAAGTATATTTTTCCTTGCTCTATTGGTTTGCCGAATGGTCAGAACACTATTACAAAAGAAAAGGGAACTTTGATATTTGATGAAGAATTTAAGCTTAAGAATGTTCCCTTAGTTCCCGACTTGAAGTGCAACTTGATATCTGTCTCACAGCTTATTGCAGACTCAGATTGTGTGATGCAGATTGCTTATAAGGGTTGTCTGTTTCAGGACCGTATAACGAGGTATCTGACTGGAGCAGGGGAACTTAGAGATGGGTTGTACTTCTTTCGTCGGATTTCAACCTTTACTGCTTTGCGTACGAATAAAGATGAAGCTGAGGAGTTGTGGCATCAGCGATTAGGCCACCCATCTAATATTGTTTTTGATTTGATTCCTTTTGTCCGAAGTAGAAGTATGGATTTTTCATCTTGTGGAACTTGGTTGAAAGCCAAAAAATGTCCTCAAGTTTTTCATTCAAGTGATAATAAATGTAATGGGATTTTTTATTTGATTCTTTGCGATTTGTGGGGGCCTTACCGCACACCAAGCCTTTGCAATTCCTATTACTTCTTGACAATTGTTGATGATTATTCACGGGGTGTATGGGTATACTTGCTGCACGATAAAGCTCAAGTTGGGAAAACCTTGAAAAACTTCTTAGCCTTGATTTCAAGACAGTTTAACAAGCGAGTCAAGACAATAAGAAGTGATAATGGCACATAGTACATGTGTTTAGGTTCCTTTTTTCGTGAAGAAGGTATCATTCATCATACCTCTTACGTTGGTACACCGCAACAAAACGGTAGGGTAGAAAGGAGGCATCGTCACATTTTAAACGTGGCGAGAGCATTGTTGTTTGAGTCATCACTTCCGGTGAAATTCTAGGGATAGAGCATTTTCGCAGCAGCTTATTTGATAAACAGAACACCATCTACTGTTCTAAAAGGGAAAACACCATATGAATTAATTCATGGGGTTCCTCCCATATACGACAACCTTAAGGTCTTTGGTTGTCTTGCTTTTGCACATAAGCAAAAGCATAGTGGTGATAAATTTGATACACGGAGCAGAAAGTGTGTCATGATTGGATATCCTTTTGGAAAGAAAAGGATGGAATATGTTTGATCTTGAATCAGAAGAGAAATTTGTGTCTCGGGACGTAGTGTTTGTGGAAGACGCTTTTCCATTCAAAGAAAAGCAGGGTCGGAATTTGAACTTGGAAGCTGATGGAATTATGGATTTGTTTCCTGACAAAGATTTTGTTGTTGATGGAACAGAACATGTAGATGTTGTAGCTAAGGTTTCTGGTGAGATTGTGGATATAACAGAAGCTTCACACACTAAACCTGCAGAAAACCCTGCAGCCAAGAATACAGAGGCTGATCTTGAAGAAAAACCTACAGAAACAGGTGCAGAGGCTGAAACTGCAGGTAAGTCTGCAGAAAATACCATTTCTGGGTCTGTAACTGGTCGTGATAATCAGCCTAAAATGAATAGAATTTCTGATAATCAGCAGGCTGAAAGGAATAGAAATTCTGATAATCAGCCTGAAATGCATAGAAGTGAAAAACTAGGCCGTGGATTGAGACAAAAAACGACCTCTGTGAAACTGAAAGACTTTGTTTTAAACTCAATCAAGACTGGTGCAATGTCTGAATTTATTGATGATGTAGGTTTAAGTGAATATCCGATGTCATTTTTTATTGACAGGAGCTCTTTTTCACCTCAATATCGAGCTTTTCTGGCTGCTATTACATCAGGAACAGAGCCGGTTTTGTTTCGTGATGCTGTCATTGAGCGTGTGTGGCGAGAAGCTATGCAGAATGAAATTGGAGCATTGGAGAAAAGTCAGATGTGGGATTTAACTGAGCTACCTCCAGGGAAGCAAGCAATCAGGTGTAAATGGGTTTACAAAATCAAATTTCTATCAAATGGTGAGATAGAAAATACAAAGCTAGATTGGTTGTCTTGGGAAACAATCAAGAAGAAGGGACATATTATTCTGATACATTCGCTCAAGTAGTCCGAATGACTACTGTTTGTACTTTCTTGGGAGTAACTGCAGCGAAGAAGTGGGAGCTTCATCAAATGGATGTGCATAACGCTTTTCCTCACGACGACTTGGATGAAGAAGTATACATGAAACCTCCTCCGGGATATCGAGTCAATGGCTCCAATCTTGTATGCCGTTTGAAATAGTCGCTTTATGGTTTGAAACAAGCTCCGCGATGTTGGTTTGAAAAGCTTCGACATTCCTTACTCGATTATAGATTTTCGCATGCAAAGAGTGATTACTCGATGTTTTCACTACAGAAGAATGGATCAGAGATCTATGTCTTAGTTTATGTTGACGATCTTATCATCGGTGGAAATGACTCAAATGGTATCAATCGCTTTAAGGATTATTTGAGTGAATGTTTTCACATGAAGGATCTGGGAAGCTTGAAATTTGTTTTAGGCATTGAAGTAGCACGAAGACCAGAGGGGATTTTCCTTTGTCAACGGAAATATACATTGGATATAATCAGTGAAGCTGGTCTTCTCGGTTGTAAGCCTGTAGCATTTCCAATGGTTCAACAACATGGATTTGCCTTGTCTAAGAGTCCGTTGTTGGCCAATCCTGAGCAGTATGGACGATTGGTGGGAAGATTGATTGTCGTGACCAGGCCAAATTTGACATACGCAGTACACATTTTTTCTCAGTTTATGCAAAAGCCTCAACATGATCATTGGACAGCCCTGATGCGTGTTGTTCGTTATCTCAAAGGCACACCGGGACAAGGGGTTTTTAAAAAATCAGATTGTGACTTGAGGTTAAATGGATGATGTGACTCGGATTATGCAGGGTGTCCGCTAACGCGGCGATCGGTGAGCGGATGGCTTATGACGTTGGGTAATTCTCCAATCTCTTGGAAGACCAAAAAGCAAGATGTGGTGTCGCGGTCATCTGCAGAAGCAGAATACAGATGTATGGCCATGGCTCTGTGTGAGTTGAAAGGATTGCGTCAACTTTTGATGGAAATGGGTGTCAAACAAGATCAACCAATGAGCTTGTATTGTGATAAACAAGCTGCAATTTACATAGCTGCGAATCCCGTTTTTCATGAGCAAACGAAACATGTGGAGATTGATTTTCATGACGTTTGGGATGCTGTTCAGGATCGTTTGATAGCCACACAGAAAGCCTTGGGTTGTCGTGAGGTTGAGAATTTTGAGACAAGCTGGGCATTTGTAATCCACATGCTCCAGCTTGGGGGGGGGTGTTAGGAGAATATCGTGATATGCAAGTTATCGTGATGTGCAAATTAAGATATTCTCCTTGTTAGTTATGGCAAGTTTCATTGTACGAGAATATTGGAAAAGATGGTACTAGGTTATAGGAGTTGAGTTGTATATATATAATATACATGTCTTTGTGAATAAATCAAGAAACTCTTCCACCATATCTTCTTTGTTCAAATAACACGTGACCCCGGTGCGTCACACTCGCCCTCCCTCTAAGCCAGCCGGCATTGAGGCTTCTCCATTTCCTTACAAGATTTGGCCTTTTTTCCTTAACTTGCAGTGTTTATTACAATTCAGTCAGTTTTTTTGAGAAAAGCATGTTGTATATAAGTCTTTAAATTATTGTTTATGAGTCTATATATGTTTTCTACAATTTTTCAGAGTAATATGAAGGTCAAAGTGCGTGCATCAGTTGCTTATGGACTTTACTCCAAGCGGAAATCGCTCCTAGATGGATGGCATTCATTTCTGCCATAACGGTAATGGAGAAGCTTGTTTTTTAGCTTCATCAAAATACCTAACAAAATGGTTCATCAACATGCAATGTGTTGTTAGTTTTTTCAGCCAGATGAATCATTTAAATAATTTGTGTTAAAAATGACAAGAATACTCTTATTTAGATTATAGAAAGATAATAAAACTTCAAATTTTATCTAGTTATATTTTAGGCAATAAAATAGGATTTTACAGTTTAGTAGCAAATTAGAATTTTGGAAAAACTGATTTTACGGTTTTGATGAAAAATGTGATTTTGGGGTTTTATGGAAAATTGAATTTTTGCGGACTTTACAAAAACATGATTTTACTGTTCTTACGGAAAAACATGATTTTGCTGTTTTGACAGAAAAGCCGTAATTTTATGTTTTTGACACGAAAATGTGATTTCCGAATATTTTGGGTTTTACAAAAACGTGATTTTGCGGGGTTTGACGGAAAAATGTGATTTTGAGTTCTGACAGAAAAATGTGAATTTGCGGTTTTGACGGAAAAATATGATTGTGCGGTTTTAATGGGAACACCATGATTTACGATTTTTGCTAGAAAACGTGATTTTGCGGGTTTTGCAAAAAAAAAAAAAAAAGGCTATCTTAAGGTTTTGACAGAAAAACATGATTTTCCGGTATTGACGGAAAACGTGATTTGGTGAGAAATTATGATTTTTCGGTTTTTGCGGAAAATGAAATTTTAAAATTTTGGCGGAAAACCGTGATTTCGTGGTTTTGATAGAAAAAAAAAATTTGAAAAAAAAAATCGGTTTTCCTGTTTTAGTGCATAATTTATTTTCTTTTTAAAAAAAAATAAATAAATCTAAAGTTTTATTCTTCTGTAAATATATATTTATAGATATATTGTCATTTGTATTTTTGGTTTGAAGATGCTTCATTTCAAATCAGCTAATGAGTTCAAGGTCTAAATTTTGAAATCTCGTGAGTTAGGAGAATATCGTGATATGCAAGTTATCGTGATGTGCAAATTAAGATATTCTCCTTGTTAGTTATGGCAAGTTTCATTGTACGAGAATATTGGAAAAGATGGTACTAGGTTATAGGAGTTGAGTTGTATATATATAATATACATGTCTTTGTGAATAAATCAAGAAACTCTTCCACCATATCTTCTTTGTTCAAATAACACGTGACCCCGGTGCGTCACACTCGCCCTCCCTCTAAGCCAGCCGGCATTGAGGCTTCTCCATTTTCTTACAAGGTTTGGCCTTTTTTCCTTAACTTGCAGTGTTTATTAAATTTCAGTCAGTTTTTTTGAGAAAAGCATGTTGTATATAAGTCTTTAAATTATTGTCTATGAGTCTATATATGTTTTCTACAATTTTTCAGAGTAATATGAAGGTCAAAGTGCGTGCATCAGTTGCTTATGGACTTTACTCCAAGCGGAAATCGCTCCTAGATGGATGGCATTCATTTCTGCCATAACGGTAATGGAGAAGCTTGTTTTTTAGCTTCATCAAAATACCTAACAAAATGGTTCATCAACATGCAATGTGTTGTTAGTTTTTTCAGCCAGATGAATCATTTAAATAATTTGTGTTAAAAATGACAAGAATACTCTTATTTAGATTATAGAAAGATAATAAAACTTCAAATTTTATCTAGTTATATTTTAGGCAATAAAATAGGATTTTACAGTTTAGTAGCAAATTAGAATTTTGGAAAAACTGATTTTACGGTTTTGATGAAAAATGTGATTTTGGGGTTTTACGGAAAATTGAATTTTTGCGGACTTTACAAAAACATGATTTTACTGTTCTTACGGAAAAACATGATTTTGCTGTTTTGACAAAAAAGCCGTAATTTTATGTTTTTGACACGAAAATGTGATTTCCGAATATTTTGGGTTTTACAAAAACGTGATTTTGCGGGGTTTGACGGAAAAATGTGATTTTGAGTTCTGACAGAAAAATGTGAATTTGCGGTTTTGACGGAAAAATATGATTGTGCGGTTTTAATGGGAACACCATGATTTACGATTTTTGCTAGAAAACGTGATTTTGCGGGTTTTGCAAAAAAAAAAAAAAAAAAAAAAAACGCTATCTTAAGGTTTTGACAGAAAAACATGATTTTCCGGTATTGACGGAAAACGTGATTTGGTGAGAAATTATGATTTTTCGGTTTTTGCGGAAAATGAGATTTTAAAATTTTGGCGGAAAACCGTGATTTCGTGGTTTTGATAGAAAAAAAAAATTTTGAAAAAAAAAATCGGTTTTCCTGTTTTAGTGCATAATTTATTTTATTTTATTTTTTAAAAAAAAAATCTAAAGTTTTATTCTTCTGTAAATATATATTTATAGATATATTGTCATTTGTATTTTTGGTTTGAAGATGCTTCATTTCAAATCAGCTAATGAGTTCAAGGTCTAAATTTTGAAATCTCGTGAGTTAGGAGAATATCGTGATATGCAAGTTATCGTGATGTGCAAATTAAGATATTCTCCTTGTTAGTTATGGCAAGTTTCATTGTACGAGAATATTGGAAAAGATGGTACTAGGTTATAGGAGTTGAGTTGTATATATATAATATACATGTCTTTGTGAATAAATCAAGAAACTCTTCCACCATATCTTCTTTGTTCAAATAACACGTGACCCCGGTGCGTCACACTCGCCCTCCCTCTAAGCCAGCCGGCATTGAGGCTTCTCCATTTCCTTACAAGGTTTGGCCTTTTTTCCTTAACTTGCAGTGTTTATTACAATTCAGTCAGTTTTTTTGAGAAAAGCATGTTGTATATAAGTCTTTAAATTATTGTCTATGAGTCTATATATGTTTTCTACAATTTTTCAGAGTAATATGAAGGTCAAAGTGCCTGCATCAGTTGCTTATGGACTTTACTCCAAGCGGAAATCGCTCCTAGATGGATGGCATTCATTTCTGCCATAACGGTAATGGAGAAGCTTGTTTTTTAGCTTCATCAAAATACCTAACAAAATGGTTCATCAACATGCAATGTGTTGTTAGTTTTTTCAGCCAGATGAATCATTTAAATAATTTGTGTTAAAAATGACAAGAATACTCTTATTTAGATTATAGAAAGATAATAAAACTTCAAATTTTATCTAGTTATATTTTAGGCAATAAAATAGGATTTTACAGTTTAGTAGCAAATTAGAATTTTGGAAAAACTGATTTTACGGTTTTGATGAAAAATGTGATTTTGGGGTTTTATGGAAAATTGAATTTTTGCGGACTTTACAAAAACATGATTTTACTGTTCTTACGGAAAAACATGATTTTGCTGTTTTGACAAAAAAGCCGTAATTTTATGTTTTTGACACGAAAATGTGATTTCCGAATATTTTGGGTTTTACAAAAACGTGATTTTGCGGGGTTTGACGGAAAAATGTGATTTTGAGTTCTGACAGAAAAATGTGAATTTGCGGTTTTGACGGAAAAATATGATTGTGCGGTTTTAATGGGAACACCATGATTTACGATTTTTGCTAGAAAACGTGATTTTGCGGGTTTTGCAAAAAAAAAAAAAAAAAAAAAACGCTATCTTAAGGTTTTGACAGAAAAACATGATTTTCCGGTATTGACGGAAAACGTGATTTGGTGAGAAATTATGATTTTTCGGTTTTTGCGGAAAATGAGATTTTAAAATTTTGGCGGAAAACCGTGATTTCGTGGTTTTGATAGAAAAAAAAAATTTTGAAAAAAAAAATCGGTTTTCCTGTTTTAGTGCATAATTTATTTTATTTTATTTTTTAAAAAAAAATCTAAAGTTTTATTCTTCTGTAAATATATATTTATAGATATATTGTCATTTGTATTTTTGGTTTGAAGATGCTTCATTTCAAATCAGCTAATGAGTTCAAGGTCTAAATTTTGAAATCTCGTGAGTTAGGAGAATATCGTGATATGCAAGTTATCGTGATGTGCAAATTAAGATATTCTCCTTGTTAGTTATGGCAAGTTTCATTGTACGAGAATATTGGAAAAGATGGTACTAGGTTATAGGAGTTGAGTTGTATATATATAATATACATGTCTTTGTGAATAAATCAAGAAACTCTTCCACCATATCTTCTTTGTTCAAATAACACGTGACCCCGGTGCGTCACACTCGCCCTCCCTCTAAGCCAGCCGGCATTGAGGCTTCTCCATTTCCTTACAAGGTTTGGCCTTTTTTCCTTAACTTGCAGTGTTTATTACAATTCAGTCAGTTTTTTTGAGAAAAGCATGTTGTATATAAGTCTTTAAATTATTGTCTATGAGTCTATATATGTTTTCTACAATTTTTCAGAGTAATATGAAGGTCAAAGTGCCTGCATCAGTTGCTTATGGACTTTACTCCAAGCGGAAATCGCTCCTAGATGGATGGCATTCATTTCTGCCATAACGGTAATGGAGAAGCTTGTTTTTTAGCTTCATCAAAATACCTAACAAAATGGTTCATCAACATGCAATGTGTTGTTAGTTTTTTCAGCCAGATGAATCATTTAAATAATTTGTGTTAAAAATGACAAGAA